CATGAGCCCAGCCTGTTTAAACGAGGCAAGGCAAGACATGAGTACGAATATTAATGGGCCGGGCCTAGAAAAAAAAATGAGGTCCAATGGACTGGGCTGGCCCATGGCCCAAGCCCGCTTCAAGCACGGCTCGAGCCCAAGCTCGCTTCAAGCACGGCCCAAGCCTGGCCCACTTAACTTCTTTTTTTCCCTCAAAAGTCAAAATGCAAAAATTTGACATCTAATGTCATTGTTTCTATATATATATATATATATATATAAATTTATAATCATAAACAGATATTTGATGTCTTTCATTTTAGGGAAATTAATTGGGTCCTTAATTAATTAAACATATCAACTACAAATTAATTAAAGGGTTAATCGTTTCATTAGTCCCTGAACTTAGACTCGATTTTCATTTGAATACCTCAATTTTCAAAATGGTTCCCGTGGTCCTTTAACTTCACTTTTGTTAGGACAAATGGTCCTATCGCAATTTTGTTAACTTTTTCTGTTAAATGCAAGGGCAAAATGGTATTTTTATGTTTTAAAAAATGAATAAAAAAAATCATATCTTTAAAATAAAAATAAAAGAAAATCAAATAAAAAACCAACATAAAAAAAGATAAATCAAGTTTAGGGGAGTAGAAATCGGGATAGAAGGGGAGAGTGAGAGTTTAATTTTAATTTGTTAGTTTTCTAATTTTTTAATCATATTTTAATCAATTTTGATACAAAAATACCATTTTGCCCTTGTTTTTAACCGAAAAGTTAACAAAATTGATGGCAAGACCATTTGTCCTAACGAAACTGAAGTTGATAGACCACGGGAACCATTTTGGAAATTGAGGTACTCTAATGCAAATCGGGTCTAAGTTCAGGGACTAATAAACGATTAACCCTTAATTAAACAACACTGAACTTGATATCTAATCAGTTCATATGACATATACGATTCTCTTATAATCAAAGCAAGAAATTTCTTCACATATAAAATAATAAGTTGTTTAAAGATGAAAAGTTGAAGTGGACTTTGTGGAGTTGGACACTTTTTGCCCTCCGCCCTTTCATATTGTTTGGATGTTTAATTGATTAATGTTTTCAAATAGTTCATCATTTCTTGCCTCTAATTATACTTTTAATGTCTATAATTTGAATTATCTAGTGGAAAAAAAAATCAAGTGAAAAAAATTAAAATTAAATGGGTTGGTTCTTAGGCCCGAGTACAACACGAGCATGAGCCCGACCTGGCTCGTTTCAATGTAGACAAGGGCTTTAGGCCAGGCCTGGATTAATGATTTTACTAAATGGGCCGGACGACATGGCCCGATAAATTAAATGAGCCAGGCTGACCCGACACGAAAATGTTAAAAGTATGAGTTTAAATAGGACGGGCCGGCCCGACACGGCTCGTTTGACACCTCTAGTCTGGACTGGACTAGAAGTGGCTAGATTAACGATTTCTAACCTGGAACTGCATTTCAATACCTTTTTTGCTTAACTGTGGACCTGAGAGCTATTCTGGGGATTCTGAGAATCAAGGTTTCTTCGAAAATTTGTTGAGGTTTTCATATTATGAAAAACTCGAACTCCACTTGATTCACCTAGTCTAAACCAAATTTGTAATGAAAGAAATCTAATTTCCCTTATGAGTTGCTTTTTTGAGCTGAACTGTGGTCGGAAGTTTGAGTTCTGCCTATTTTGTCAAAGGCTGGATGACTTTTGCAAAAACAAAGAGCTTGGTTGTCTTTGAGTCTGGAAGACTTGGGATCGAATGATCTTGTTTGAGTTTGTCAGTATGACTAAGAGTTTTTGTTTTTGATTGAATTTTTGTTGTCCTCAATCCTGTTCATGTCCTCTCATATTTATAGAGGATCTGCACGAGTGATTATTCCTTACTATCTGGAGGACATATTGCTGAGAGGATCCTCTGTTCCAGCACAAAAAGGGTGGTGGTTAGTCTGACAAGAAAGGCCCCCATCAAGAGTCAGTTTTCAAGATTGATCAGTTTTGACTTTTGAACAACCAATTCTCTTATTTCTAGTTTATCTCTTATAAACCCAGCTTTGTACGAACGAGAAATCCTCACGAGTATGGGAAGAAACTTGGCCTTATTTTCTGGCATTTAATGGTTATGGAGAGTGGTTTTCCGATTTAACCTTTCTACCGTCCTCTACTCTTTCTTCTGTAGACGTCTTGTCGTTGGGGATCAAGTGGGCCTTTTGTGGAGAGAACAATCCTCCCCATTTTCTGCTGATTTGATTTCTGAATCTAGTGATCAATAGTGGTAATCAAACTTTGAGCCTTTGGGAAAAAAATCTAGAAGCTGGCTATTAATCAAACTAATTAAATCTGGATTCTTTCAGATTAAATTACCATAAATGGCAATTACCCCTTAACCTGCGAAAAATATTTTTGCAATTGGCTTGAAATAGTCTGGGCCTAAAAAAAAGTTCTTGAAATAATCTATTCAAGCTTCTACTTAGTAACTGGGCTTCTTGCCTAATCAGCAATAAGTGTTCGTGTCAAATGGTGACGTTCTGGGTGTGAATAATTTTGTGTGGCTAGTTTAGTTTCGTAGCCTTTTTAACCTAAGTTAGTAAGCTCTTAGGGGTGCTCTACACCTAGTGCCCTAAAGCCTTTTTGGTTTGAGAGTCACTGGCCTACTTAGAAAGGATAATGGCAAGCTTGCACAGCCATTTTGCACATTTGCTATTTAAAAAAAAAAAAAAAAAAAAAAAAAAAAAAAAAATACCTGGTTTGTTTCTTGCAAGGGAGTTTGACCACTCTTGAGATCAAAGGGTTGGTGTGATTGGAATTTAGCTAATGCCACTCAATTGTATTGGTTCACTTTACACCAAAGGAAACATGTGAAAAGTTTACTGGCTGATGGGATTAACTTGAAATGTTAAATAAGTGTTCTCTCTTTTAATGTTGTTTATAAATTGAAAATTCAGACTTTGTGCTTTTGTCCTTTTTGTTGGTGACAAGTGTTGAAATAATTTTTCAAAGTTCATTTTATTTCATATTTCTGAATAATTGTGCTAGCCTCATACTTGATGTTTGTGGGTGTCATCCTGAAATCCCTCACAAGACTATAACTCGTCCTTTAGGGGTAACTTAAGGGTTTAAAGGCTTGTTGCATACATTAAATGCAATCGTTTCCTGCAAAAGTGGCTTAGTTGTTTTTTATTTATTTTATTTTTCATTTTTGCTTCAATTTGAGTTTCCTTTAGTCACTTGAATTGCCAGGGACTAGCAATAAGCTGGTTAGGAATTGTGATGATAGTCTCAAATTGCATCTTTTAAATATTATTTTGGAGACTTTATGATATAAATTTGGCATATTAAAGATAATTTCACTTGATGTTACATTTCATTCTCACCAATGGATTTATGAATTTTCTGTATTTAATTCGGTGAACTTATTAGATGAATTTATCTTTTGTAGGAAGTTGGAAAGCCAAAAGATGATAATATATATTTGTCCAAGTTCAAGCTAGGTGTGAAAAGAATTGCTGGCGGATTTTATTGAAGAATTGATTGTGGGATTATTGTGATTTTAAAGAGAAGTAAAGAGGGAGAAGATAAGACAAAAACGTTGAAGCTAAAAAGCCTATTTCATGTCATTCATATAGCCATTTAACGTCCATTACCTCACCATTATTTATTTTCCACTAACTCTCCACCATCAACACATGTTTAATCCAATTAATCTCTCACTTAAACCCTTCATTACCCACCATAAATGTATTAGTTTTCCACTCACCTCATTGACTACTATAAATCACCCATCAACTTATTTGGCAAGGAGACCACTAAGACAAATTTCTTTATCCATTTCATTTAAAATTTAGTTATGTTTTTCTTTTGAATGAGTTGCTAAAACTCTAGCTAAGGCTAAATGAAATGTCCCTTGAGTAAGTTTGTTCATTGTTCTTTAATCCAATATACGGTATGAATTGCTAAATTTTTTTATTTTTGGTTGTTCAATATTTTCATATCCTTTTATTTTAATTGATGTTAAGTCCTACTATCTTTCATGAGTTCAATTATATTTTCCTCACTGTTAAGAATTGACTAGCATGCTTTTAAATTAAAAGATTAGATATTAAGCAATTCCATTTTTTGAACAATCATTAATAAAAGATAACATTGAAAAATTAAATTGATTTTAATTTCTTTATCTTCCAGTCAAAGTTTCTCAATGATAATTTTAATCGAGTTATAATTTGGATTAAAGAGCATGAAACATATTTTGCTTAAAGAATTGAACCTTGATGCCTTAGCATTTTCATCATTGATATTTCATTTTTAAACTCAATCTCTACAACACTCAAATCAAATTACTTTTCCATTTTGCTTGTCACATTTATTTTGGTATGTTTAATTATTTCTTTGTCTAAAGACATTTGCCTACCTTCTCCTTGAGGATACGATACTTGGACTTCCAAGATTATTACTACGTGTGATTACTTGCACTTGGGTAGACGCAACAAGCAGCAGCATCACAAAGTTTAGGGAAAACAGTTGTAATGCCAATCCATCATCACAAAGTCAAGAGGAAAATTGAAAAAATCCAATCAAGGAATCAAGGATCGACCACATGTCTAAGCAAAAGGACAGTTTTGGCATTGCCAGCAACGCTTCACCGAAGGGAGATAGAGGTGAAGGCATCATTTCTACGAATGAGAGGCTGCGATGGTGGAGGCAGCCATTAACCCATACTGAGGATGATGATTTGGTTGATCTTGTATAAGACACTGAGGCATTGCTAACACAGCTATCTAGGAAGGAGTAGAGGGGCCGAGGCACCAGGTGGTATCTATTGTAGGTATGGGTGGTTTGGGCAAAACTACTCTTGCGAAAAATTTGTACAATCACATTCATCTAAGGGACCAATTTGATTGTAAGGCGCTCGTTTATGTATCTCAAGAGTACAGAAGAAGACTCTGCGAGGAATCATCAAAGATGTAAATGCTCGAAATATAGGCAATTTGGAGGAAGTAGAAGAAGAGATGGTAAAGCAGCTGCATGAATTCTTGAGAGGGAGAAAGTATCTTGTGGTTCTTGATGATGTATGGGAAAAGGAGGTTTGGGATAGTTTGGAAGCTGCATTTCCTACTAGTGGAATGACAGAAGACGAAAGCCTAGAATTGTTTTGCAAGAAAGCACTCCCGGGAATGGATTATTTTCCCTCCGACTTGGAGAATCTAGGAAGAGAGATGGTGACGAAATGCGGCGATCTCCACTTGGCAGTGGTGGTGCTTGGAGGATTACCATCCAGGAAAATGAAGACTAGAGAGGAATGGGAACATGTCAATCAAAACATCAGTTGGCACCTGATTGATCAAGATCGTGTTTTTGCAATTTTAGCCCTGAGCTATAAAGACTTGCCTTTCTACTTAAAATCATGTTTTCTCCATTTGAGTCTTTTTCCCTGAGGATTTCTCCATACCAAAAACACAATTGACGCGCTTGTGGGTAGCAGAAGGATTCTTTCTTACCACAACAAGGGGAAAGATAAAGCAGAAGCTGTTGCTGAAAATTGCTTGAACAAGTTGATTAAAAGGTGCATGATCCAAGTGGGAACTCTAACCTCACTTGGGAGTCTTTCTTACCACAACAAGGGGAAAGATAAAGCAGAAGCTGTTGCTGAAAATTGCTTGAACAAGTTGATTAAAAGGTGCATGATCCAAGTGGGAACTCTAACCTCACTTGGGAGGGTTAAGACCATCCGCATCCATGATGTTCTTAGAGACTTCTCTCTCTGTATCGAGGGAAGAAAATTTTCTTGGAATTTATACTGGTCGTGAAGTTGAATCATCAGTTTCCCCATCAACCAATCTCGAAGAATTGCCTTACATTCTAACCCTACGCAGCATGGTTTCCTACACTCACCTTTCCTAAATCCATATGCTCCCCATTTACGATCCCTTCATTTTTTCAATGACTTTCAACATCCAAATTACTATTTTATTGAAAAGGATTTCAAGTTGCTGAAGGTCTTAGATCTAAAGCATACACCTAGTGCTATAGGGATCCTAATTCAGTTGAGGTATCTTGGAGTGAGCCAGATTCTTAAAAATTGCTACATCCCATCATCGATTGGAAACTTGAAGAACCTAGAGACACTGGATTTGGGATCTTCTATTCACCCATCCCCAATGTAATTTGGAAGATGAAACGTTTGGAGCATTTGCTCCTTTGTGATAAGTCCCAACCAAATTGTGTCAAGCTTAGATTGGACACCTTGAGCCATTTACAGACCCTAAAAACTAAATGGGCTGGAAGATGGATAGAAGACGGCGGCTTAGCCAACATGATCAGTCTACGACGACTGAGAATAGAAAGATTATCACTAGAAAAGGTAAACTTGGTGATTTCAATCCTAAGGAGAATGTGCTACCTGCAATCATTGTCGCTGGAGGTGATGAACAATGAAACATTCCCAACATCCATGGGCCTCTCTCATTTCCAACATCTCCACAAGCTGTGTTTGAAGGGGAAAATAGATAAGTTACCTGACGTATGTGAATTTCAGCGAAACCTCGTCAAGCTAAGTTTGATTGGTTCTGAGCTCCAGAAAGATTCGATAGTTCAACTAGAAAGATTGCCATACCTGAAGATGCTTGTCTCGGGGAACCAATCATACAAATGGAGGGAACTGGTTTCCTTTTCAGAAGGGTTTCCACAGCTGCAAGTTCTACACCTTGTTTCTTTAATTGGAGGAATGGACAGTGGAAGACAATGCAATGATGAAGCTCAAGCATCTAAAGATAGAAAGTTGCCTAAAACAGAAAAAGATTCCAGAAAGATTGAACTTGTTTACTACTACTCTAGAGAAATTAGAGATTGTTGCAATGGACACAGGTTTCGAACAGCGGATTTGATTGAATCACCATAAAGCCCTCAATCAAATCTTTCCAACATTAATGTAAGTTTGTTTTTTATTAAGTAAATCAACTTTAATTATAAGGCACAATATTTGTTTTTAAGTTTGATTACTCCTTTCTAATCTATTGAGAAAATTTTATATACACTACTATATAAATAACATACAGGCTACTTTGTTAGGCTCGCATTCATAGTGGTTTTATGAACCGTCTCTAAGACCCCCTTCAAAGACCATTCATGCCAGAAATCAACCAAATAGGACATCGAAATAAACATTAATCAATTGCGAACTTTGTGACAACCTAAACTGTTCCTTTACATCTTTGGCACATTATGAAAATGAAGATGCATTGAATCCAGATTTTGGTTCAGGATGCATGAAACAATACCACGCTACAAAATGGATATTTTATTTTCCCATGTTGATTATAAGGAAGAAATACTCTTAAGAAGTAGACACAGAGTTGGTAAGGTGCTCTCATTAATTGTTGACAACAATTGCTTCAAAAAATACAGATTTCAGATTCCTATTGAATGAGCTTTTAAAAAACAAATTAAAAAAGAAATAAAACAAAATAAAGATGTATAATTACCTAGGTACACGGGTGATGATATACCGTCCCTTCTCTAAATCGTATATAGTCTTTAATTGTGGTTTCCGCGATTGCAATACAAAGAATACAGCGAATAGAGCAATTAAGAGAAACGCAAAGAAAGAGAAGTAAGTGACTGACTCATTTCCAACAATCTGGCCCATATTGTCCAGTTCCCATTCAAGGGGCTCCAGCATTGTTTCAACGAGGAAAGCACCAAGTGTCCAATCAAGGAGAATGTTTCCAGTCTTGTTTGCAAATCCAACCCTGAAAAGAGTAATAACACTAACTTGATCGTATACAAAAAGGGTTTCCATCTTACAACAAATATAGGTTCAAGGGAAGCTAGATCACGATATTAAGTGTTGTAAAGGGTTGAAGGAAAGATGCAATAAGGATAGCTCCACAAAATGCAGTAAAATGAAGTTTGAAGACATGCAGAGTGCATACAAAGCCTTCTACATTGTAGAAATGCATTCTTCGTTATTACGCATGCATCAATACCAAAAATATCAGTTGTATAGCTCATAGGATTTCTGGCAGCTTTTTAATTAACTCACCTCATCCAATGGATACATAAAGAATATAGATGAAGATTACTAGTTACTACCAAGCCTGCAAGCGTACAACATACCTTTTCTCATCCATGGGGATTCCTAGACTGTCATGCAACAGTGCCACCATATATGCAGATGAGAAACAATATTTCAATAAATCCGAGTCAACGATGCTGTGATGTTGATTTTTCTGTTTATCCCAATCATCTTCACAGTAACGTTGACCTGCTGCCTCCAACTCAAACAAAGAAGCCGTGGGAACCAGCCCAAAAAGCTGTACATGGTTGACAACAGGCAAAAGTACCAAATTAATGACTGAAACAAACAAGAAATAAGGCAAAAGGTATTCAGGTTAAACAAAAAGTAGCCTAGAACTAAAACGTGAAAATTTGTAATTATCTTCGGCATGTCCTCACACTCCCTTTAAAGTAGATTCAAGCGAAATTGAGTTTACAACACCCTTCGAACTTAAATATATCCTTTAAAATTTTTGCAAACAGGCACTTTATAAAAGGCACTCCCTTGTGCCACACGCTCCTATAAATTGTCAATTCATTTATAGTGACATTCAGTGATCAGGGTAAGCTAAGTTGCAAATGTACTTAGGCTGAAGCGAACCATTGATATATTCTAATGATCGCAAATTCATACCTAGGTGGATACGAATTTCTAATTTCTGGGCAATACTTAAAGAAGGTGAGTGCTATCACGTCACTACTTTCCTAGAACCTAGAACAGCACTCAAGCACATGTTAGAAAACCAAATTTGTCGGAAATCCCTAATATTTTATAGTTCTTACTGTATTTTATTTCTAAACTTGCATAGAATGTTTGAGGCCTTGATTGCTTGATAAGCTCCCTGAGATTAAGACAAACTTTTTGGTATTTTGTGTTGGAATAAAGCTTCTTGACAACTTTAGACAATCAAGAAAGCTGTGCTGCTTTTCCAGTGGAGTTCAGGAATCAATGGACCAGATATTTCTGGCAGTAGGAAAAGGGAATATATGATTGTGCAAGAAAGGCCTCGAATCCAAGTTCAAGTAAATCGGTTTTGCTAGCAAGTTTAGAACTCATGGAAATGATTAACTTACATAAGAGAACAGGTCTCAAGGGCATTGTAAACCTTACAAGTGCCTATTATTCTGACCATATTCTGAAGCACAGCTCATAAACTTTAATAGTTTTGTTGGTTTATTTTTTCTTCCTACACCTACTTTGAGTAAGTTGACTAACTCCTGAGCAAGTGCAGTCCCTTTGTGCCATACCATGTACTTAACAAGATAAATCCCTGGCTTCCCAGGGTTGCACACAATGAGCTATGCTGCTTGCAAAGGCCACACTTAGACCTGAGTAAATTGGACTTGTTCTTAAAACAGTGAGCTTGTGTAGGCTTTGCTTAGTGGAGGGTGCCTTGCAAGCCTATGTATAATACGAAAAAGTGTATAATACGAAAAAGTAAAAACCTTGTTAAGTTAACAGTATAATTTATAAATATGTACTTTAAAATTCATTCATTTTTCTTTTTCAAGTTTCAGACTCGAGCTCAAGCTCAGCCTGTTTTATAGGTTCTGAATTTGTAATGAACCAGGTTTAAACTTGAAGTTCAATGCTCAAGTTGAGCTCAACCTAGCAAGCATAGCTTAAATGAACCGTAGCCCGGCTCGATGTGGCCTACTTGCATACCTACATAAAGCAGCAACAGAGAATTTGAAGACAGACGCAAACTCAGGCCTGTGCTTCCTAAACCATCTTGAACCTAAACCAAAGAAGCACTCACCCGTCTGGTTGAATATGAGCCCAATGTTGGCTGACAACACTTTAGTGTGTGTAGTTGCAGTTTGAACTATTATACCCTTACAGGTTAGTAAGGTTTGCAATTGGGTCCAAAATTACATTTCTGTCAAATAAATTGACAGAAATGAGATGCGTTGGTCATACATGAGAGGATAAAAGTGCGATTTAACAATGGGTTTTATCTCTCTCCCCCATTTTAAACATTTTTAAAAAATACCCTCAATCCCTAAAATACATTTTAGAAAGTTTCAATTTCTAAATGAAAATCCTAATGCCCCTTCTAAATGATTTTACTTTAGAAAGGGAATTAGGAAATAATCTCATTATACTTTTTAATGAAATTATGGTGTAAAATACAAAGAAGTTTACTGTGACCAGTAACAATTAATAGTCTAATTATAATTTGTAACAAACCAGAAACTCATGCCAGCTAAACTTTAACAAAGAAAATGAAATAACCTGTTTATTTACCAACCTCAGAAGTAAATAAGAAGTTCTTGGTAGAAACTGGTTTGCCTCGTAACTCAAAAGGAAAGGATGAGACAATTTTGCAAGGTGCGTGCATGCATTTGTCTGCATTTTTAAATAACAGCTATTAATGAATATCTTTTTTTCATACAAGTGACCTAGAATCTCATAAACCAATGAGTTATAACTTCACAATTTATCTAACAGATATCTTCTCAAAAAGAATGCTTCTATAAACAAGATAATTTATAGGAGAGTAAAATTGGTAAAATAGCAAAAATCAAAGTGTATTTCCATGGATGTATAGGTAGATATTATTTATAAAATTTATCAATAAGCAGGCAGTGTGATTTTTTTTTTTAAGCTTGATTAGTCATGCTGTCAATTGACGATATAGTTACATAATCATTTACTATGTCATTTCCAACTGAACTCTGCATCAATCACAAATGGCTTTCAACATGCAAGTTGACCTTGTAATTCTCTTTACATTTTATTCTAGCTATATGGGTGAATAGGTCAGTTATCTAATGAGATCTTAGAACATCCACAATGGACGCTCTAAACAACCTCCTTAGATAAAATTTAGGAAGGAAGTGAGAAAACCCACCTCCAACCATGCTCCCTATCCAACTCCTAAAATAGGGAGACCTCTAGGAGCTCCTAAATCTGAGGAGAGAGAAAGGACTCCTAGTGGCTCCCTATAATTAAATGCTTCTACTTTAATGCTAGTTTAAGTATTTATTTAATGCCAATTATTTATTATTATTATTTTATATGAAGAGAGAGCACTTATGCTAAATTAAAATAAATAAATAAATCATTTATGATTCCCTAAACTAGGGAGCATGGTTGGAGTTGAAATTTTTTTAAGAAGCTCCTAAAATAGCTTTCTAATGTTTTTAGCTAAATTTTAACTAAAAAAATAAGGAGCATGATTGTGGATGCTCTTAGTTCTCAAAAGTTGGGTCAAATATGGATGCACAATAGGTGAAATGTTTCTTAGGAAATCTCTCACCCCTTCACATGTGATCTAACAGGAAAAGACTAAGAAACAGAACCTGACTTAAAGACCTTAGGAAAGAGCGCTTCATGGATAGATTTAGAGATCCAAGGGAAAAATGCTATTTTTCATCCTCTCTACTAATTGACAACCCCTTTACTGACTACACCTCACTTGCTCCGTCCACTTAACTTACTTCATCCATCCATTGGCACCACTTAACTAACTTCATCCATCCACTGCCAATGTACGTTAAAAAGGTGAAAGAGGGTCACCTGCCTCAATCTTAAGGGCAATACCTGTGAGATAACCTTGTACAAACTTGAAACAAATCCGTTGGTTTGAAGTCCACAACATTTACTGCATCTCATTTATTGGGATAAGGCAAGTGTGGGTGATGCAGAATAATGAATTAGGGTTGTTCTAATTTCGTTTCCTATTTTAATTTGTTATTTTCCTCTTTCTAGTAGGATTAAGATTACTTTCCTATTTCTAGTAGGGTAACTTAGGGATCACTTTCCTATTATAAATATGTGGTTGGTAATTCAATAGAGACGACTTTATGGATGAATGAAATTATCTGTTCTTGTGTTCTCTCTTGTTTCTCTGCCTTCTAAACCCTAATATCTCTATTCTCTTCTTCGAGATCTCTCTTCAGTCTATCTATTTCTCTCTGATCAGCTCTTCTATTATTATAATTCTGATTCTAATCCCCAGTTTTCTTCTCCTAATCTTTTTGTTCGGTATTTCTATTCCTCTATTTCTATTATCTTGAATCCTAACTCCACTTCTTTTCTAAATCCCTTTCTAATTTCTAAATTTCTTGTTACTTGTTCTAAATCGGTAAGTTTCACCAGTTATGCTGCATTTATTACTTCATAGTATGAAACTCCTCAAAGACTGATGTTTTGCACATGTGCGGGTGTGTGCTTTAATTCAAAATTATCCCAGCACAAAACCATAAAATAGCATCGAGGATTTTCTTGCCCCTTATAAAAACTTCCAAGAGCAGAGCTCTTTCCTAGATCCATTGTGATGGCGCTTAAAATGCAATTTGGTCTTCCATCTTACTCCCTTCTATTGTTGCCACTACTGACATATGCAATAGTGACACTGAGAAATAGGCTAATTAGTAGTTCTTTTTTCAGGAAAGGACAACTTTATTGCTAATAAACAATAAAACAACTTTTTATAGACATGTTATTTTATGGTTATATAAGGGGCAGCTAACATGAAAAGATATAAAGAAATAATTCCACTAAACTGTCCAACAGAAGCAGGAAGTCAACTAAAAATTGGTACCAGCGCAAGATAATTGAATTTCAAATGAAAAGGAAGATCAGAAACTCATGACACTGAAGGAGCAAAAGATGATGCTACCTTGCCTTCTCTTTAATAATGCCAAAGCTTCAGATTTGCATGCAGAAAAGTTTCCACCCATTGAGGACACCAGAAGTTGCGTATCACTTGCATTCACTGTCAGCTTATATCCTCTGGGAATACAAGGGTTACCAAGACTTCTCTCCTTAGAATTCGAAACTGCATTACAAGTGATTTTTTTGCCACAATCAGAAGCAGATTTTAAAATAAAAAGGCTGAACGTGCAACGAATTTATACTTGAGGCTTAATGTTAACACGCCCATATATGCAACAGATTAAACCACTAAAATTTGTTTCATATCCAGATATAGTTCCAAATATAGTTTTGTATAGTATTGCATGTTTGAATACCAAACTATTAACTATCTGAAACAAACAACAATGCATAAGTAGGTATAGCCATGAAGAGCAACAATGGTCCAAGAACAACAAAGCAATGTATGCAAGGTAGTCAAACCTACTAAGCATGAATAGTGCCATGAGGAATATGGATATGAGACGACATCAACATGCTGATTAGAGAGTTCTCAAACTTTAAGAATATGGTTACGATAATAATCATAGTTCTGTAAAGTCTTAACAAAAAAAATTTAGCATTGCTAATCAAATAATGGTCTATGACCTAAAATTCCATTGTTTTTTTCTCCCAAGTAACCACTGTGTTCATTCATTGTCATGCTTCATTGGTTATATTCGAGCATCAAGAGCACTTTATCATGCTAAGGTTCAGTCTAATGTGCTAAAGTGTCTTTATATTTTTTAGTCATTCTTTATGTGAGTTGTGCATTTAATTTTCAATTCTCATTTATCAAAATCTCAAAGTTTCAGACCCATAACTTTATATACTATCACAAAATATGAATTAAAAAAATCCAGGAAAATGCAATTGAGATATATGTTTCCGCCTTTTGACTCACCCAGGCATTCTGGAACCCTCAATGAGCTCAAGCAATTAAAACTAGTTAAAATTATAGTGCTTGAAACCTCTGACTACTTTATAATGATTGTAGTGAGCTTTAAAATAATGAAAATATTAGAATGTGCCACTGATGCCTTAGTAACACTAAACTAAAGTTAATTTTCATCCCTTTCCTTTTTCTTCTTTTATTTTTATTTTTTATATAATAAGAAACTTGAATTTTTATTAAAAATTAAACAGTACAACAAAAGTGAACAACAAGTCCACTTCTAAAAGAAAACTAAATGTGCAAACTGCATTAGCACCTCAATGATGTGAATGGAACCAAAAAGGCACAAATCAATGGTGTGAACGGAGCCAAAATCCAGACGCAACTGAAAGTTGTGCAATATATATTTTAATGTATAATTATAGTAGTTCAAAGCCACGAAATCAACTTTTATTCCATGGTTCCGAAAAAGAGAAAGGTCAACAAATCTTACAAGGTGTCAAATCTCTGGACTTCTGCAGCTCATACAGTGATTCCCAAGCCGCATCCTGGACAAAAAACACAAAAGAAAAGAAAAAAAGAATTTGTCACAACATTTGGTTGAGGATCTTCCACTGTATCATCAAAACATTTCGAACGTGATCAAGTAGCCTAAAGTTTAAGCTAATTCATAAAGCACTAGAAAAATTAAATACAAGTGGTACTTTAACTATGAAAATCATTGATATTAAGAAGAAATTAAAGTTAGAATCCATTAGCCATCCATACGTACTTATGGTGAAAAAAAATTAATAAAACATACAAGTAATCCAATTAAATTGAGTCCGTACTAAAGATTTTATATCCACAAGCAATATCATTTAAGTATGCTGCAGATCAGGGTACATTAATTAATAGATAAAAGTGACTAATGAATGAGAATCTTTATAAGAAATACCACGATTCCAAGTGCTGCGCTCACACAAACTTGTACTAGCACATGTGCTAGTTACTAATTAAACACAGATTTAGATTAAGAACACAAGCTCTATAAATTTACAAACAGGATAGAGTGAACTAATTACGTAGATATCAGAGGTTGTTAATTAATAGAACCACATAACCAATGAATTAATATCTAGTTAGTCATACACATGCCAATTTATAACATACAGAGAGTTTCCAATTCATAATTATGTTATCCTATCAAATTCCAATATATACACATATGTAGTTGCTCAAACACATTTGAATTGGCACATGTACTGGTCAGACATAGGCATAGATTAAGCATACAGAGTGTATAAAATCACAATATCCAGGCAACACAGTTGTCCATGTTTGGAGTTTCCTCCACAATCTTTCATGACCAACCAACTCCATCAACAGTCTTATAATTCAAAAATACATTTACAAACGGAATTCAGATGCAAACACCTGGCCAAATAGTGGCATGCCTTGACTGTAAAGGTGGTAAGTAACTCCAAACAATTTGATAATTCGAGACGGAGAAGAATTCGCTTCTAGTGATTCTTTTGCAGCATAAGTGACCTGCAAGTGATTTGCATTTTCTAGCATTATTATTAACACACAAAAAACACAGCTAGAAATGCAATTGTTTGTTTAGAATGATAAAATAAAGCCAGTAGTAGTTGGTAAATGAAAATAAACCTGCAAAGAAGTCCCACCAAGTTCAACAATCCCAGTAGTTTCCTGAGGCTCACTCTGCAATGTTCCAAGAGCATAGTTGGCACTCACCCAAGCATAAACACCTTGTTCCTCACCTGCGCGGCAAAATCGCAAATTCCAATTCACAATGTGACCAATTCACGCAAGCAAACCCTAACTACTGTACAGGACATGAAGATTCTAACCTGGAATGACCCGGGCCCACTCGTCCTTGAACCAAAACCCCGACGACCTCAACACCTTCCTACACGATTCCAGAAGCTTCTCAGCAACCTCAGGCCCCAACGCATCCAGCTCGGCCCCGGCAAAGAAGAGGAGCTTGGTGTTGCCTCGCTCCTTCTTGGGCACCTGCAGCTTGGCGAAGCGGAGGAGAGGGACGAGGGATCCGCCGGCGCGATCGGGGTTGGCAGCGAAGGCGGAGAGGCCATGTGAGGAGGAGGTGGAGCTGGAGGGCGCGGTGCCGTCGAGAAAGTGGAAAATGCGGAGGCGGACGGCGGAGGGGCGGGCGGAGACGACGACGCCGAAGAGGGTGGATTCGGAGTGGGCGAATTTGGGGGAGTGGTGGAGCTTGTGGGCGGTGGAGAGGAGGTAGAAGAGGAAGGGAAGGGTGAGGAGAGAGAGGGAGGGGATGAGGCATTTGGAGGGAAGGCGGTTGATGTTGCGGGAGGAGGAGCTGCCACTGGGAGGCGGTGGTCTCTTTGATTGGATTTGGAGTTGGAGGGTTGACAAATCCATTGGAGTTGGTGGCTTTGGCTACATTTGGTTTGGTTTTGGTTGGGAGATTTGAGATTTGGGCACTGAGCACTGGCCACTGGGCAGGCAGGGGAGCATGCAAATTCCAACGGAACTGCAGATTGTTCCCCAAAAAAATTGTATCGGGTTTCTGCAACACCTTTCTTTTTTTAGTTTAAAATTTGGATTATTTTTGACATACACCTCAAAGTGCATTTGACTCTAACTTTGCCCCCTAAAACTCATTTTGTCTCACTTTACCCCATTGTTCACACATACTTGTCTCACTCTACCTCATTTTTGACAAAATATTAATACAAATTTATAAATAAACCCAATTCTAGACATGTATTTATAAAAAAACCCAAGCATTATTTAAACATAGAAACACACCCAAAATCAACCTCAAAATCAACAATTGTATATTTTTTGGGTGTGTTTATAAATGAGTTTTGAGTGTGTGTAATGATGGGTTTTTGGTGTGTTTATAAAGTGTTTTGGGTGTTTGGTTTTTTTATAATTTCAGCCCCCATTTTGGGTATTTTAATGAAACTCCCAAATATTAATGGATAGTTGGGGAGGCAAAGAGAGAGAGAATTGGAGAGGGAGGAAGATGAGGGAGAGAGAGAGGGGCAGAGTGTGGGTCGGGGAGGCGGGCTAAGGTTTGGGTAACATGGGTAGTTAGGGAGACAAACTGAGAAAGAGAATTGGAAAGGGAGGAAAATGAGGGGGGGGGAGAGAGACAGAGACAGAGACAGAGTGTGGGTCGGGGAGGAGGGCTAAGGTTTAGGTAACATGGGTAGTTAGGAAGACAAACAGAGAGAGAGAATTGGAGAGGGAGGAAGATGAGGGGGAGAGAGAGAGAGACAGAGTGTGGGTCGGGGAGGAGGGCTAAGGTTTGGGTCGTGGGTTGAGAGAGAGAGAAGGATGGGGGGGCAGATGGAGGGGGAAAGGAAGAGCAGGATACTGATGCAGTTTTTTTTAATCTTCTTTTTTTTTTAAATTAATTTTATTTATGGATTTTAAGTTTTAAAATTGAATTTTTAATTAATATTTTGTGAAAATGGGGTTAAAGTGAGACAAAATGAGTTTTAGATGGCAAATTGAGACTCAAATACACCTTCAAGGGGTACATAAAAAAATAAGCTTTAAAATTTCATTTTTTTCTTTTATGAAGTAGGAAGGATAAACCCCAAGAAAAAAAAAATTTTAAAAATTTAATCAGAAAATACCACCTTTTTTATCAAATCAGAAAGGGTGATGTTAAATAAAGCTACGATTAACTCAATACACCATACTACCAAATTATTTATGGCATGTTTATTAATGCGTAATTGGATGAGGAGGAATTGAATTGAGGATGAGTTGATTGAGATGAGTCATATTCTGAGTTCCTATTGAAGTTGTTCACTAAACTATATGGAATTGGGGTAGGAGTGATGGTAATTACTAAAATGTCCTCATTATTGGGTTAAAGTATATGACAAATTTGGAATTTTAAAATTGTGTGAGGATATAATGGGTTAGTTCTCCAGGAATTAGAATACTACATCCCATCGAATAATTGAATTCCTCCAAAATCAAGATTCAATTCCTCCAAAATCAAGATTCAATTCCTATGAATTCCTAATTTTGTATAGACCCCACTTATATTTTAATTCATTAATATGAAGTAAACGCACGAATCCTCCATATGTGGAATTCAATGCCTGATGAGAATTCCAATTCATGATTAGTAAACACACCACTATTGAATTACTCATTTACCTTTATATAAAATGACCAAAAAGGATATATTTAATTGTGAAACAAATTTAATTTTAATAAGTACACTTGACTCACCATATTCAACTTTGTTCAAACGTAAGTGAAAAACTCTACTTCCAAAAACCTTAACTCCAAACAATTTGTTTCATCATTATTTAGTTATTTATTAATGCAAACAAATGTCATGGATGCTTCACACATGTCGAGGGAGTCATCAAAAGAGGTATTAACTTTGGTTTTTTTAATTTAGGTTGAAAATCTAACCAACCCTATTGGCACATAAAATTACTCTTTATTGTGGAGGCAATTACACAAGTAGCAACAATCTCTATTTTAAATGTATAATCATATGTACAAACTTTGTAATTGCTATTTGCTCCTAAACATAATAGAACCGTGAAAGCATTAATGTCCCAAGGTTATCCAATGGATGTTGCAGCACTCGGGCATTAACTATCAACTTATGTAAATTTCATGGCATTTGCATCTGGGTCTCGTGTACAAATCGCTGGCCTCCCAGACTTGCTAAGCGTGTAGGGAATACCTGCAGTAGCAAATAGTACTATAAGCTGCCCATACTCTTTTTGAAAATCAACATCTGTTTGAGATATGATCATTAGATGAAAAAACATCAAAACCTCAATCTAACCTAATTCATAACCCAAATACTACCCAATGCCAAGACTACAAAGTAAAATTGAGTCTAATATTTGACAAGTTGAAAAGAATAAAAAAAATCAGTTACATTAGCGACTTTAGTGGACAAGCAACAAGTTCGGCAACAAGGTGGGTTTGGTGGTTTGATGGTTTGGTGGTCTCATAGTGTTTGGCAGCCAACACTCAAATGCGTTTGGTGTTGTGTGATATATATTAAGATGTACCATGATATTTTTGGTAGTTAAATAGGGTGTACTTATTTAATTTTATATTTTGTTTTAAATATTAGGGAGTACTTAGATCATAGGATATACTCAGTTAATTTTAGGGTTCATTTAATAACACCCATAAAAAAAAAGAACAACTAAAGAAAGAGAAGTTGCCTCTAGCAAGTCACCTTCTTTGGGATTGTTGAAGCCAACCGTGGGAGCAAATATTTTGGCCTCCAATCATTAGAAGGTACTTTGGACATAAACGAATTTAAAAGGACAAAATTTACTGCAAATAGGAAAAAAGGATCGGTTACCATAATCATTAAGTTAATTAGGTGCACGTTACACGTTGAAGTCACATAGTGAATGACAAATGGCATCCTCTAATAGGTAGTTTTTAAAAAAAAAAAAAAAAAAAAAAAAAAAAAAAAAAAAAAAAAAAACTATGCTTACTAGGGGTGGGCACAATCTGATTCAGCTCGGTTCTCTCCTAAACCCGAAACAAAAACTGACACTATTCATCTAATCCAATTTGGTTTGATTTTTGACTAAATGACATAGAGAATCAAACCAATCTGGACCCACCTGGTTGTGGTTTGGTTATATCGGTTCTCGGTTTTTTCCTTCTGCAACTATAAACACCTTTCTCTAGTAGCAACAATAATAGATACAACTACAAACATATCCAACAATGACGAAACCTTTGTAACAATAACATATCTAGTACAAAAAAATGCAAAAAGATCCAAGTATTTCATGCTTACCTGCATCGGAGAGAGAAAGAGGAATGTAGAAATAATAAAACATTAGAAAAAAGGAAGATGAGTGAAAGAGAATACATAGAGAGAAAAGAAAGCGGCTTCTTTTGTGGCTCAAATGAGTTTTGGTTGCTTCAGTTTGCTTTGAAGGTTCATCAAGTGATCATTATTTGAGTTTTTGTTTTGGTTTTTGTTTTTGGTTGATTTGATTGATTGATTTTTGTTTTTTTTTGTTTTTTTTTTTTTTTTTTTTTGCCTTGTTCACTCCCTCTTATATTTATAAGAAATGCTTAGGAATAGGGTGATTTTTTTAATAATGGGCGGCAAAATTTATCAAAAGATCTCTTAATTTTAAATACAAAGAAAAAGGGATTTTATCAGTTCTGGCAGATAGGCTTTCAACGGTCAGCTCCTATGGCAATCACTTCCTGTATTTTGAAAGAGAACCTAACCCCTTTCTAATCTCAACTGCCCCTTGTAAGAGCTCAAATCGTGATGGTTAGTTGATTTTCCAGTTTTGAACAACTCCTGTTCTCCTACTTATCTCTGTTTTGAGAACATAGCATGCTTATCTTTTTGGGAGAATCACCCTCTTTGGAGTAGAAGAAATATCTCTGAATATATATATATATATATATATATATATATAAATTGATCTTCTGTTTTGGCAGAGTTTTTCATAGATGTCATTTTTCTGTACCTGTCCCAATTTTAGCTCTCTTATCACTTTCAGTTGATATTGTTGACTTTCAAAGTTTTTAGATAGTCACGTGGGCTTCTCGTGAGCTCCCTTGAGAATAGTTCCTTCAAAAAGATCTGTTGATTTGCTCCTGGGCCTTTGAGAGAGATGGTAGTAGATTTTGGCCCAATCTAATTCTTTGATTTGCCTAAAATGTAATTGCCATTTATTTTGGCATTTTTTACATTTCTGCCACTTCTGAAAAGACGTGGGTTGGGCTCACTCATGATCTGATAATTCAAAACCCAGCTCTTTTATTCGTTTCATGGGCCTTTTTGAGAAGTGGGCAGGTCGTGAGATCTTTTGGCCCAAACAGTGGCTAGTTTGGTTTGTTTTGTAATTCGCTTGTATACCTATTATTTCTTTTGTACTTATATATAATGTCTTTGTTGCAATAAGATGGTAAAGAAGAATAGTAACTTCACCACAACTGAAAATGTTGCAAGTGGATCCCGAAAATTGTCAGTATTGTGGAATGCTCAAACTATAGCCATCTTCATTGACCTTTGTATCAAGGAGGTGGATCTAGGCAATCGTCCCAATACTCACTTTAATAAAGTTGGATGGGCAAGGTCGGTCACAAATATTAGTAAAGAGATAGGAAGACCATATGAAAAATTACAATTAAAAAACAAGTGGGATTTACTAAAAAAAATTATGGAAATTATGGAAAGCACAGGATCGCTTTCAACATTCTAGTGCGACTGTGAGTAGATATTTTAGTATCTTACTTGATGTTGTATGTCGTTTGTCTTTGGATGTAATTAAACCATTAGAAAATGCGTTTAACAACACTCCAATGGAAATCCTACAAGATTCTAGATATATGCTTCATTTCAAGGTAACTATTGCATCTACTACTCTTAAATATTTGTCTATATTTTATTGTGTTATAATTAATATTATGTTTGTCTTTTTATCGTACCTCCTTCTAATCAAATACCATTTATTGGTATAAAGGGGATATCAACCCAAAATGTGATGGCTACATAAAATTTTGACATGCAATTTATATTTGCATGTGCTTGATGGGAAGGCACGGCCCATGACATAAGGATATTTCTATCGGCTTTGCGTGATCAAACTTTGAATTTTCCTAAACCTCCAAATGGTACTATTTCTATCTAAAGAAAAAAATTCATATAATTTATATTTAAGTTTTTTACATTGTGCATAATCAATTAAATTTCTTTTTTAGGAAAATATTAGCTAGTAGATGCGGGATACCCACAAATGAGTGGCTACTTAGGACCATATAAAGATGAAAGATATCATCTTCCTGATTTTTTTAGGGTTGTTCAATCGACGGGTCATAAAGAGGTATTTAATCATGCAAACTCTTCCCTAAGAAGTGTTATTTAACGCACTTTTGGAGTATGGAAAAAGAGATGAAGTATTTTACGAGACATTGTTGGAAAACAACAATTAGTGACTATTTAAAATAACTATATAAATAGAATTTAAAACAATCTGTAATACAGAATATAGTATATAAACAACAAATTAAACTAACTTGGATTTGAGATAAAGGCTTCTAGAGTTGATGCAATGTCCTAAAGATAGTAATTTCACCCCTTCTCGGTGCTTGAAGTTCTACAGGTGACTCCCTCCCAGAATTCAACTATATGTATTCTAAGCCCTAGCACTCAGACTTAGAATCTGGTGAACTTTGATTGTTTTCCTTTCAGACAATGTGAAATGCTTGTAGAATACTTTTTCTGTGTCAAACGAATGAGGTTTCGTTTGATTTAAATAAACTTCTAAAACCTTATCAGAAGAGTCACAATTGTTAAAAATAGTTAATAAAACTAATCCGAATTAATAAAAAATTATTAATTCGAAACCAAAAAATAATAATTTTAAATTTGAAAGTGCCCCAAGGCCCAAGGCCCATCTTTTTTACTATTAAATATTATATAATTTTATATAATATTCAAAGCCCAAATCATTTTGAAGCCCAGTTTGCTTCCACTTAGCCCACTTCCATTTACTAAATGTGGGACTTCCACACTTATAAAGACTTCACTCTTTCTACTTTCTATCAATGTGGGACAAAGGTTCTTGAATTTCATTCAAACTTCCAACAGACATGCCTAGTTATCCTTTTGCAAAACAAGTAAAAATAGTTATTGCAACCATGTCACTTCATAACTATATAAGAATACATGCCAAATGTGATTGTCATTTTGATAAAAGTGAAGATGACCTAAATGGTATTCAAGGTGAAGAGATTGAGACAGAGGTTGATGCACAACAAGAAGATGGTCCTGTAACACAAGAAATGGAGGTATTGAGAAATCATATAGCTGCAAGTTTAATGAGTTCATTTGCTTAGAAATGTATATGATTGCTTGTTTATGACTAACTTAATTTTTGTTATGACCATATTATTGTCAATATATTTATTTTTAATGGAATACTTTATTTATTTTATAATTAAAATAAATTTTAGGGTATGATGGAAACATATTTAATACAAAAAAAAAATGGAGATAAAATGAAAGTGTTTTTCCTTTAATCAAAGACTTGAATAGAAAAACTATTTCAACATAATGTCCTTTTTGTTCATTATACACAGCTCACAACACTTTCAAAAATAAAAATAAAAATTAACGAACACTTAGAAATTGATTATTGTACAAACATCACTTATAACAAAAGTTTACCAAATGTCAAACTGCTTTCTTTCATTGCTGATTTCTCTCACAGCAAATCTGACAACGATTATTTTCACAACATAGCAATGCCAAACTAGTAGTTTGCTATAATGACTTTCTAGCTATTTTAGCTAGAATTTGACTAAAATTTGGAGACTCCTAGAGATGCTCTAAGAACCAATTAAAAAAGAACAACTGGCTACTTTTTGATTTTCTATTCAAATCAGCTCTATGTAGGTATTTGTATAATATGTCATTCAAAAATGAGCTTTTTACTTGTTACTAAAAACCTAAAAAATAATAGTAACACGAGTTATTTAACTAATAATCAACCAATCAATAAGGGTGTTTTTATGTTTCCTATAAAATATTTGGTCACTTGGTTTTTTAATGTGATATAGGATGCGCAAAGGCTGAAATATGGTCACTTGGCTTTTAATTTTAATTTTTATTTTTACTGAAATATTTCCTCTGCTTTCAACATTACACAGCCAATGCACAAATTCCATACCTTCAACAACTACAATTAAAATCCACAAATGCTTTAGTTTAGCTAAAAACAAATCAAACAACTAGAAGGCAAATGAAAATCCCAATTAAGGCAAGAAAATTTAATCTCACAACTTCAAACTCTCCATTTTCTTCCCTAAAATGTTACACCTCATCAAACTTCCAATGGTATTGCAAACCATCTTAGCATCTTCCCACCTATTACCATCTGCCAACCTCTTGTACAAGTAACTCTCAAATGTCATGCGTTGCACATACTCATCCCCACACAACTCCACCAAAGCTTCTCTAGCCGCATCACTACCATAAACACCTTTTGCAACAAATCCAAAAACCTAAATGTTGTAATGTACTTGGCATCCCACTCTTTCAAATACTCCCTCCTCAAATCCCCTTCGTTGATCATCCTCTGCCCTCCTTCGGATGCCTTTACAATCGCTTGGCCGCACAATCTCCCAGACTTCGCCGCAAAATAAATCCCCTCGCCAGAGCATTTCGTCACATACCCAGCTGCGTCCCCAACAAGCGCAACGCGTCCTCTGACACGAGTTGGTCGGGGATGCTCGGGTATCGGGTGGGCCTCCACTTTGATCACTTTCCCACCGCTGATCTTAGAATTGGCCCGAGCCCTAATTGCCCTTTGGAACACCTTAATATCCTGCTTGGAGCACACCGTACCTGTCCCCACTGCCACGTGGTCGCACTTGGGGAAAACCCAGGCGTAAAAATCGGGCGACACGTCGTTTCCCACGTACATCTCGGCGAGATCTTCATAGTACTCCATTTTGTCGTCCGTGAGCTTAATCCTCTCCTGAAACGCAATGGCGCATGCGTAGCCGCCGGCCTTGATCGACTTGGCGACTCGGCTGTTGGCGCCGTCCGCGCCGATCACGACGTCCACGGCCAGAGCCTTCTGCGAGTTGTTCGAAATGTAGCGGACGACGTACGGCGCGTTGTTCGAGGTCGGGACCTCGAGATCGGTGACGAGGGCGGAGATGAGGTCGGCGCCGCGCGATTGGGCGCGGGAGCGGAGGAAGGAATCCAGTACTTCGCGGCGGAGCATGGCGATGAACTCGTCGGGGCGCAGGGTTTTGCCGAAATCGACGGCGAGATTGGAGGGGGAGAAGATCCTCATGCGGGTGACGTGGCGGTCGATGAGGTGGCGCGGGATGTCGAACTCGTCGAGCATGCAGAGAGGGATGGCGCCGCCGCATGGCTTGGCGACGGAGGGGCCGCTCCGCTCGAACAGAAAGGTCTCTACGCCGCCTGCAGCCAAGGCCTCGGCGGCGGAGGATCCTGCAGGCCCCGCGCCGATCACGGCGGCGCGGAGCTTCCGGTCGGCTATGGGCGGGTTGGTGGTGGCGGAAGCTCTGATCGTGAGAGGGCGGTGCTTGGTCGGGAGGGAAGCTGCGAAGAGGCTCAAAAGCGCTTGAGTTGCTGCGGCCATTGTTGAGGGTTTTGTTTGGCAGCAAGGTGAGTGAGTTTGATTATTGTGATATGCTTTTGCTTTTGAATATTATTAAATTAATCAGACAATGTGGACGTTGGGGGTTTCAAAAGTTCCAAACTTTTTACTATTTTTATATTGCAACCCACTGTGGAGCTTGGACGGAGGAATCTGGAATCTGTGAGCTTCAGAAAAATAGTTGAATCTACTTGAACCAGATAATAGGAGAAATTATAACAGAGTTCAAGTGCTTAATTCACTGAAAAAGAATAATTCAGGGAATTAAGTTCGATTAGCGTGATGGTTCACGGGTAAAACGACAGTTTATCCATTTTAATACAGCATTCCAATTTCCACTAAGGAGTTTAGACAGAGGAATCTGGAATCGCTGAGCTAATTTCCACTGTTTCTACTTGAACCAGAAAACAGTGGAAATTATTAGAAAATTAGAGTTGCAGAGTCAGGTGGGAATTGGATGTGAGGGTGAAGCAGTGGAAAGCAATTCCTGGATGGTGGTAGGGCGGCAAATGCGAGAAAGGGGAGAGCCGGACCAGGCAGAGTCAGCTAGCAAGGAGTTGACTGCCTTTGTTGGGTTGTACAAATCCCACCACACATGGCTTGTGTCTTGTTTGCATGCCGTATCTTTTGAAAGGCATCCAATTGCTGCCCCATACATTCCCAACCCACAGCAGGCACTCTTTACATCCTCAAATCCTGCAACCAGCAAGTTTCTTAGAATCTTATAATTCGAAGTAATTAAATTCCTTCCTTGAAAATGAAATGAAATCAGTAATGTATGGAAATTTGAAAGAGTTGGTAGTTGTGATTTGTACCGTAGTGTTCTGGGTTTTTTATGATCTTTCTAATTCCTTGGTACACATCACAGAACACAATCTGGGCATCCGGAAGCTCTGCGCGGAGCATAGCAATCTGCTCGTGCAGCATTTTGTTGTACTCCGAAACCTGCGCATTGATCTCCTCCACACAACCCCTTCCATCATCATCTTCCTCACTTTCCTCACCGGCTTTGGAATTCGAATTGTACCGGTCCAGCAACATACGAGGTGTGCATCCCAGAGGCAATATCCCCATGCAGATCATCTTCCTCACATTCATGTCATAGAGGTTCCTTATAACATGTATCATCTGATTTGCTAAAACGTGGGAGAATTCTTGGTCACTGTAGTTGGGTTTTGCAGCGCCGGATGCATTGCGCAGGTAGATGTCGATGTAGTCGTCTTTGCCAAAGGAGAGGTAGAAGATGGAAGATCGGATGAAATGGAGAGCTGTTTCCTGGCTCAACTGCAGTTGTAAGAGCTGCATTGAGTCGAAAACTTGGCGTAGTTGCTGGTTTACAGACTGGTAGCTCTGGCTGCTCGGGTTCATGATTGTTGCTTGTGTTGAACCAAAGTTGAGGCCTTTTAGTATTCCATCAATGGATCCATTTTGACTGTAGAAAGGTAGGATATTTGGCATGCCCATCTTCTCAGCTGTTGGTACAAACAAATATGCAAGTGCAAATCCATTTTTCATTAAATTAAAATCCGCACAATTGATTCTAGTTACTGCAGTGCAGAATAAACTGATGCCTTGTTAGCATTTTTCTTTTTTCTTTTTTCAAATTCCCATGATGCATGAACATATAGGTAGCAATAAGCATTTTGGCACACTCATATATTCACATAATTACTTTGGTTAGCCATAATTTACAGAAGTTGACACTGATAAATTGTGTTTATTATTCAATTAGCAGCCAGGCCATACATGTTTATGTACTTTTGGGCCAGCCCATGCTACAAACATCTAACCTTTTCCTTCATCAGAAGAAAGTTGAAGCAAATTTGAGGGTTGGAAGTTGAATTTTCTTTGATGGTTTAGCTTCTACTAGCCAAAGAATGATGGGTGCCCATCAATCCCACAAAAAAAAAAGAGAAAAAAAGAACCAAGAAAGCCAAATTCGATCACAGAGGCCGGTTCTCAAATAATTCACGTCCAAGAAACAAAAAAGCGAAGGCCTAACACAGAAAATTTCATAATTTCCTAAGGAAATTAAGTCCAAGAAACAAAGCATAATCAATTTTTTAATATAAGTGATAGTCTAAACTACAGGGAAGGTGGGTTTCTTACACGCACTACTAAGGTGTCATGAGAGTTCGAATTCAAACTTAGACCACTGGAATGCAAAGCAAGACCATTTTTCACTAGACTAAATCCGTTGGCAAAAACAGAGAATACTCATAAAAACAATGAAATGAAGGATTAAATGTTACCAAGAAGATGGGGAATCAGAGTGGAATCAGAACCGTTGCATGAATACAAGGACAGATAGCTGTGAATGAGAGGGTAAAACAGTGTGTTGTCTCCACAATCAACAGAGGAATCTCCCAAGATGTAGAATGCAGGGGCATTTAGGTCATTTGAAACCTCTGGCGGCAATCTCCCATGAGCTATGACCAAAAGGGCTAGAAGATGAACAAGAAGCAACAACTTGCTTGCTTTGAAATTGGGTTTTTCTCGGGACATTGTCATCTTGCTTTTGCTTTCTTGAGTTTGTGTTCATCTGCTTTTGCTTTCTTGAATGGAATTGAATTGAATTGAAATGTGCTTGAGTTGTGTTGAGGAAATGGGTTTTAAAAGTGTGTTTGTGCAAATAAAGGACATGCTTAGTGTGGGTTAGGCGATAGGCATAAAAATCATGTCTGGGGAAGTTTGGGTGTCACTTGGTAGTAAGCTCCCAATGTTATTATAGAAACACTATATTTCCTTTTTTCTTTTTTTCTTTTTTGTTTGGCAAATTTAGGGAGTTTTTCTTTCTCTGACTTATTCCCTTTTCCTTTTCTTTCATTGTTTGTATCCCTTTACTAGCCTCCCAAAACAAAATTAAATAAGATCAATCCTAACTATAATTTCTTTGGTGTGACTGTCACATCGCTACGTAGTGTTACTATTCACTATGTTAAAAAATCTTTGTCTATTTGTAATAAACCCTAATATTAGACTTGAAGGATTTTTCTCAAAGGTGTGAAGTTTTTTATTTTGAAAAGCTAAGGGCCCATTTGATAACCATTTCAATTTTTAGTTTTTAGTTTTTGCAGGGGCTTTTTCATTCCGACAGCTACGAATGGGCCTGGGCTGCTGTAAAGTGCAAACGGGTGAACTTACCCCTGTGTCTGAGTTCAAGAATTAGATCCCAAGAGTGCTTCGAAAAGGTTGTGGAGCCTTAGGAAACACCTTGGTCTCCTTCACCAACAAAACCAACAGTTGCTTACAAATAAATATATGGCTTAACTTGAGAAGTTTGTGGCATGGAAGCTAAACATTCATGAGTTTAGCATCAAAGAGAGAGAGAAAGCTTGGATTTCCTATGAGAAACAGGAGTTCAAAGTAAAGGGAGAAGGAATTTCGAGAGAATTTGTTGTGGAGAGAGAGAGAGAGAGAGAGAGAGAGAGAGAGAGAGAGAGATGAGGGAAGAGACGTGGGTGGTTTGAGCAATTTTCCGACAGCTTGACAAAAGCTTTGTCAGGCTCTGGAATGGCTTGCTAGAAGAGAAAATAGGAAGAGGTCTATGACTCGAAATTAAAGGATTCCAGGGATGAGAGATGATGCTTGCTCTCTTTGGATGTGGGTGAGATGATGGGTATGAGATGTCCCCTTTTATAGACACTGGAAACCCCTTTTTCCCAAGAAACCCTAGTTGGTTCTCTCCAATTTTGCCAAGTCTTCTCCTCTATTTCTCTTCTCTTCCTTCAATTCATCCTCATTTTTGTGAAATCCTTCTCAGTCCAAACACACAGAGACAAGATTTTTGGGAGCTCTAGAGCCTTCCTTGCAATTGTTCCAGTGGCCATCTCCTATCTTTAGCTACCACCTCTCCTTCTTTCCTCCCCTATTTCATGGAAAGAGCTGGTATGAGAAAGAAATGGGTAAGGGTGTTGTATGAAGGGTGCTTTTTCTTCTAGCAACCTGCGCGTGCTAATATCCTTTGGTTTTTTGAATGGTTTTCCTTGAGGTTTGCCTTTAGCCACATGCTGGAGTCTCCCAACAGCCTGCATACGTGAGTAACCCTTGGGTTTTGCCGTGGTTTTGTCTCTAGCCATGTGCTGGAGACTTTCATATATTTTATTGGTCATTTGGGTCTTTCTTTAAGGTGATGGGTTAGCCTACTAAGGGGATGGGTCAATTTTCTAAAGTAATGGGTTACATTTTCCTCTCTTTTATGTTTACCCACATATTTGGGCTCAAGAAATGGGCTTGAGTTTTGGGGCTCTCAAACAGCCCAAAACTTCCATTTCTTGGCTCATCAATGGGCCTCGTGAATGCTCTTGACCATCCATACCACAACCCACTCAACAAGCTTTGGGCATTTGCGTGGCTTGGGCCCACTTAAGTTTGTAGCGTGGCTATGTGCAAAATAAGGGTTTTTTGCTTGGCATTGCATGTCAATTGGCGTGCTCGAATTTTATCATTTTTGAAAAGGGATATGATGCTTAACGGGATAATTAGCATGAGTTCGTAGAACCAGTGCATTTTGTAGGCTCATTTTAATCCTTAGAGTGACGGATTACATGTTTATTTGGTATGGCACGTGGATCGTGACTCGTGTGAGCGTGTATAACGAACTTTCTCGTGCCCAAATTGGGTTTCTCCTTAGCAAAGTATTGCAGTGGGCCGGGAATATATTTGGGCCTAGTCCTTGGATTTTTTGGGCCTCAATAGTTTTAATTTTTTGTGTAAGAGTATAGAGGAAAATGAGAGTGATAATGAGAGTAAGGATGCGATTGAGAGAGGGGATTAGAGGGGAGGATGGGAGGGAGGAGTAACAAAAGTGAAAACAATTTCAAATATATTTCAATTTTTAGTTTTTGTTTTCACTTTTGTTACTCATCCCTCCCATCTTCCCTTTCAATCTCATCTTCACTCATTCTCATTTCTATTCTCCCACTTTTCCTTCTACACTCTCGCACAAAAAATAAAAACTAAAACTAAAATTGAAATGGTTATCAAATGGGCAATTTGGCCTTATACGTGAAAAACTTGATCCACGCAATTTGGAGTGGATCAGACAAGCCAATTTACATGTTGTAAGTTAAATTTATACTATGCTCCGATTTTTATGTGCTGTTGTTATTTTGTGCTTTATTTTCCTATGAAAGAGAAACAATTCTATTGTGAGGAATATTGGAAGCACACACAACTACACCCCCTCTTTTTTTCCCAATTTTAAATAGTTTTCCAAAATGATTGGGGCTTCTTAGATCTAGGTCCAAAATGATTAGTTGTCATTGGACTAAGTCCTCGCCCTTTTTAATTTTAGATACAAATCCTTTGACTTTTATTACTTCGTTGTGTCTATTTTACCCTTTGAGGTAAATAAGGAAACACATTGAAAATCCAAATTTAACGCATTATTTTATTGTAATTGAATTTCAGAATTTAAAATTTGAATTCTTTCCTTGTGAATATTTACATAATATATGCATAAAGTAAAGACCCACATATTATACTAATCGATGAGGCAAGCACCCACATGAAATTATGTACCTATACATCAAGTAAACACCCAAATATTGAAAATACAATATGTTTAATACTTATCAAGTTGATTCATAGTATTTAAGCATAGCAACAAATAAAAAACTTGAGAAAAACAAGATAAACAAGAGAACTATTGATGACATTTTTATGTAACTATGAGATAATGTGCTTTATATTAATATATGTATATATATGGGTAGAATTTTCTAATGTACCTAGTTACTAGATAAATATGAGATTATTTACATAACTTACTAGGTAAATAGGATTGTACCTGATTATTGGGGGATGTATGAGATAATATATAATCTACATAACATATAGGTATTTTGTTATTTTCAATATACTTTTTCTTAGGTTTCTTCAATTTACCTAATACTTAGAAAAAAGGCAACGTTAATATACAAAATCATGTATGCAATTAATAGAATTCATGGATGCAATTAAAAGAAGAAAAAAAAAGGGCAACGTAATTAATATACCAAAATCATTATGGTCATAAGCACTTAATTTGTTAATTAATTATGGTCATAAACAATTCTTTCCCGTAATTATCACATAAACTACAGTTACCTGATTCAAGGCATAAGGGGCAACATTAGAATAAAAAATAATTTAAAATAAAAATAAAAAGATTACATAATAAAATATTTAAAAAGGAATATAATCCTATGTGTCACAAAAGTCGAAGGACTTGTATGAAAGTCACCAACTATGAGGATTAAAACCAACTTCTCAATGAAAATTTGGATATATATAAACTTTTTAAAAATGATTTTTATAGTGTTTGGTTTAAATAGACAGAAGTGCTTCTAGGGATGGAGAAGCACCTATACGAAGCTCCTGTGGGAAATAGCCACATTGAATATAATCCTATGTGTCACAAAAGTCGAAGGATTTGTATGAAAGTCACCAACTATGAGGATTAAAACCAACTTCTCAATGAAAATTTGGATATATATAAACTTTTTCAAAATGATTTTTATAGTGTTTGGTTTAAATAGACAGAAGTGCTTCTAGGGATGGAGAAGCACCTATACGAAGCTCCTGTGGGAAATAGCCACATTGAATATATAGGAAACACTTGGCTTTCAATGGAATTTTTGATCTTGATCTCGTAAAAAGACAATGAATTGATACTGTGCATTGCAAGGATAACAATTGCTGTTGGAGTGGATGGAATTTTCATGGAGGTAAAGTAATCTGCTGATGCAAGCATTTATGTTTCATCTTCTCTTAGGATTAAGATTCTTAATTTTGGGGTTTACCAGATAACAAATTAGTTGAAGTTAGCCAATTACAATTACCAGCAGTGCACAGAATAATTTTAACAATACCGCTACATGCACCAACTTAAATCTTAACTTTTGGATACCAACACATGTGGCACATAACATGATAATACATTTCATTTGCCACATCATATTTTAATTTCTCTTAAAGCTTTTGTCTTTCACATTAAAGCGAGTCAATATCCAGTCATGATTGACGGACCACCAAACTCCACAGCCACAAGTCAGCTGCCCACCATACCATCACCACACCACCACAGTGGAGCAGCGGTGATATGAAAGATTTGGTAAATCTGGAAATGGGTTTCGATTTGTTTTTCAAGTTGTAAATTTGGGTTTTTATTTGTTGTGCAAATTCGTCTGTAGTCTTTGTTCAAACTGTTCGACAACAAGCCATACGAGCCTAATAGCTACTGCAAACTTGATTCAAATGAAAACTAATTCCCAAATGCCTTCTTAGCATTTGAACTTTAGATCCAACTAATAACTTCGATGATTGTTATGAATAGTTAGATGGTCTTCCACGTTTGGATTTGGTCTCTTACAATGATTTCTTGGCTGAAGTGTTATAGTGCCCTCTAAAACATTAGTCAATTCTTACTAAATCCCCTTAAAGTTAAAGTGATCCACTTTGCCTCATTGATTGATGTTTTTTGTCTCATTTTGCCTATCATTGTTAAATCTATTAAAAATTCTGTTAAAAATACTGACGTAATACTAATGGGTCCCACTATTTTACTAAACTAAGTGCTATGTGTGAAGAAAAAAAATTAAAAATTAAAAATTATCTTTAAAAAAAATTTAATCTAACTATTAAAATAAAAATAATACTTTAAAACCAAAAAATCCCAAATTCCCCTCCTCCACAACTCCATTATCCCTTCCCAGTCGTCATCACCACCACTACAACCAACCCCGACTGCTCCTCCCTCTTCCTCTCTCGCAGACCCAAAACCCAGCCCCCTCCCGAAGAATATGCAACAGTCATCAAATAGTGCTCCAAAGAAAAGAGGAATTGGGGTGGATCCTCGCTGGAGGTCGACGAAACGGACGGGTAGATTTGCTATCAGGTAAAGTTGTCGCAGTTAAGAGGCTTAATTTGTCAGACTCTAACGACATTCCAGCAATCAATCTCCAAAGTTAAGCCTCTTAACTGCGACAACTTGACCTGATAGCAACTCTGCCTTGTATACTCTTTCAAATCCTCCTTTTCCAATACAGTACTTCTCATGAAAATCATCTATGGCCTTTACAAAATCCCTGCAAAATAATCAAATGTTAAAACCTAATCCCTTCAAGATCTGTTGCAGAGTGGTTTGATTTAAAATAACTCACGCCGTACCGGGTTCACCTGGTTCAAAGCTTATAACCCACATAGCAAGAAAGTGGTGAGTGTAGGTTTGAGTTCAACAATTGTTCAGAATATGAGATGAGTTTTAGAGGCAGGAGGATGGGTTAACGGGGATGAAATGGATGTGAAAGTGAAGTTTGGCTGGTATGTGATGGTGGAGAGTTTCTCCTTGAGAAGAATGGATGGAAATTTGGCTTGGAGATCTGATTTTAGGCACACTGATAAGATTCGATGTAAGTGGGAATAAGGTTTTGTGATTGCTGTCAAGGTACCAAAGACATAGATTTTAAAGTATAAATAGTTACATTAAGTTTTTTAAAAGACAATTTTTAATTTTTAATTTTTTTTCTTCACACATGGCACTCAGTTTAGCAAAATAGTGGGTTCCATTAGTACCACGTCAACATTTTTAACGAAATTTTTAACAGATTTAATGGTGAGGTACAAAGTGAGACACAAAACATCAGTCAATGAAGCAAAGTGAGTCCTCCAAACTACTTGCCCAACTGCCATGGCAGCACACTTGATGCCAAAATTTTGATAAAATTTGCACTCAATTTGAAATTCTCTGAGTGGGATGACACTGCTGAAATTACCAAAAACCAGAACAGTACAGACAAGATTCTAGGGATTTAAGGCTTAAGCTTGTAGAGTGTAGTTCTCTAACTAGGGTTAGTATTTTCTAAATCACCAGAGCACAATCAGCTAAACAAAGTATCGGAATAATGATCGATGACGTCAACTCACCTCTCTTCCGATTCTTCCTCAGCCAGGAGGGAGGCTCCTCAGGTCAGATTAGAGGAAGAGCAGAAGAGCAGAAGCCCAAGGAACATAAGAGAGAGAAGCTTGGCATGATAAGCGAAGCGATGTATTGGTTTAGGATTCTAAGCTCTTGAATATGATCGGTATTTTTAAGACAAGCTTTGGCTATATCTTGGCATTCCTGTATCTTTTTAAGCAAAACATTTGCAGTTAAAAGTTCTTTTCAAAAAAAAAGAAATGATATAAGCACAAGATCAATGTCAAAAATAACAGCAGAGGATAGGATACAGACTCCCTTTTCCTTGCTGTTCAAGAATAAAGAAACAGCAAAGGACACATCGCCGGTGTCTCATCCGTTGCAACAAAAAGAAAACCCTATCAAGATGACCTCTAAGAAACATTCAAGAATTTAGGATGTGTTCATATGGAAAATTCTTGTGCTCATTTCATAATGCAGAATTGATGCGGATAACAGAACTTAACCCCCTGTTGTTTTAAATTATGTTCAATCTTTGCCAAGGACCAATATTCTTTTCATGCACATAATGCACATTTACTTATGCACAGAAAATAATCTCCATATCATTCTTCATGGGACCAGATCATTCACTCACTGGAGTTGCATATTCAAGGTAATTAGCTATCCGCATAGTTATGGCATGCATAACTCTCAGCTAAAAATGAAAACACTGGGCCAAATATTGTGCAATCTGTTACATGAAAGTGCCTCTGCCACTTCCTGAATATAGATTTTAAGCCAAGAGCTGGTAAATTGTTCTCAGTATGAGAGAGAACAACAAAGCTACGCGTCAAAGATTTTAAAAATAGCATTAAACAAAACATAATAAAGCCATCTAACAATAGAATATCATAAAAAGCAACAAACCCCGTCTATGAGATGGCTAGAAACAATTTAAATCCAAATATAGAATGAAAAATCTACAATTAGTCTGCTTACCTGCTTAAACCATAAATTGTATTCTACTGATACATAATCATCCTAAGAGTAAACGAGTAGTAAAGTTTAGAAGCATACAAGGTAACTACTATATCTGCTACTATGACTTCAGCTTGCCGCTCAATGCACGTTTACTGTGCCAACCACTCCTGTCACCAGTGACTGGATTCTTCTTGGCTGCAACTGAACATTGATCATTTCTACTGCCTTTGCTGCTATTTTCTAAATGGAGCTTACGCCGCCTCATCCGGTTCTCCAACCGTATTGCTTTTAAAGCACAAACCCTCCGCTCAATCTCCAAAGCTTCAGTGAAGTTCCAGATCCTAACAACACCTTCATCGCCTCCACATACAATACGATCAGCACCAATGCCCACTGACATGAGATTCTTCCCAAATCCATGTAACATCCTCTGTGGGGGTTCCACGCTACTGCGGTCCACGAGCTTAACACATGAAAAACGTTTCCCTGAATCATGCTTTCTAGTCCTTAGAAGCTTTCTCACATCAATTAGTGCGAGTTTCCCATCAGCAGAAGCAGAAACAAGCCATGGAAACTCAAACGCAAGGGAATAGACACAACCTGAGTGAGGAACCCAAGTCGCAACAAGTAATGCATTAGTCTCAAGGCCATGACTAGTGATTTCGTACATGTGTATTGCACCATCATCCCCTCCGGTAAATAGAAAATCCCCTGTGTGGTTTCGTGCCAAAGAGTAGGTGTTACCAACATGAGCACTATGAATAATGGTCATCAGTCTCCCACTACTAGTATCCCAAATACAAACATCTGAACCCGATGTGCTAGCAACTGTAAGATCATGAGGAACAAGTGCCCAAACCCAATCACTATGTCTCAAAACCTTTATGCACTTCAGTGAAAAACGATCCCATACACGAACAGTCATGTCCCAGGAACCACTATAAATCCTGGTAAGATCCAAGGCAAGAGAAGTTATGGGCCCCTCATGCTCCCATAGTCGAAACTCGGTATTCTGGTTTTGAGGACCCTTAATATCAAACAAGTGCGGAAAGCCTTCCACTGCCTGCCAACACTGGATAAAGCCATCAGTACCACCAGCAACCAACAGTTTGGTATCTCCAGCAACTGCACGGATAGTGCAACCAAGAGATCTTGAAGATGCAATCAACAACCCTTCTTCCATGTTCCACATTTTTACAGTTTGGTCATACCCCGCAGTAAATATGAGCTTTGCGGAAGCCAAAAGGAAAACTGTAAGAACAGCTTCATTATGGCCATACATAACATCAATGCTATAACGTCCCATAAAAGTCTTACTCCTAAACTCCCTTTCCACAAAAAATTCCTTCCATGACTTCTCATCAGAAACTCCTGAACCCAAAGATGTTGGAACTGTTGAATTTCCCCATCTCTCACAATAAAAATCCTTCCAAACATGGTGTTCAGACGCAATCCTACAGAGATACGTTGATACACATGAAACCACACCTAGCTCTTTTGGGTCAAGGAAATTCAGAATTTCGGATAACAAGGCTGGTGGAAGGTCAGTGATTGACCTACGATAATTAAGAACAACATCACTAGACAAAAACTGTTTTGAACCACAAGAGTCCGAGTTTGGTTTCTTGGTCAATGTAGGTTTCGAGAGTGCAATTTTTTCCTTTTCAGTATATGAATCTGATGTTTGTTCTGAAATGCCAAGGTTTTCAGCTTCCAGCTTGGAATTGAATTGATTTGGTTCCCCTTGTTGTCCAAACGAATTGTCTACACAATCTACCAAATTCTTAGAAACCTCAGTACTCACCTGGCATTCAAATTCCATAAAAAGATATGACCTTAACCTTGAATGTAAGGAATGGAGACCCTCTTCAGCCCAACACCTTCAACAGCACAATTTAATCAAAACCTTATACCTTAGGAAACCTAAAGAAGAACCCAAAAATCCAAAAATTACCTGCAAAATAAAAAGCTGTTAAAAATTGGGGAATGAACCTTATAAATCAAATTGGATCAATTGCACTAGTCAAATAAAACAAAACTAAATCAAAGAAAAGAAGAACCTGCAGTATTTAATGCAGATTAAAACAAAACCCAAGATGGATTTGATAGATAGAATGTTGTTGTTGGATCCAATGAAGACCCAGAAATCAAAAGAAGAAAAATATTGCCAAAAGTAAGTGTAAATGAGATATAGGTTATGAATATTGAGTTTCAAAAGTACCTTTCAAATTAACCGACGAAACTTTGACGTAGAGAGAGACAGAGAGAAAGAAGAAGGGCAGCTTTGGGATAGGGAACCAGGAGGAAGACACAGACAATACTTCGTTTGGGGACGGAGAATAGAGAAAAGGCATAGGGGTTATGGTCCAAGAAGCGGGGATTAAGGGTTTGATCACCGTCCTATTGAGAAGGAATCGACGGTTGGGATGAGAGTCGTGAACGGCTTATAACAAGACGAACCCTACGAGTACAACACTACAAATATCTACGCAACTCGCGTTTCGGACCATTGTGATCCAACGGTTCATTCCATCCTCGCCCGCCTTTACAGCATCTCCAAGGAATATTGTCATGACAAATTAAAATCTTTTTTTGGTCTAGTTTGTCAAAAGAAAACCTCAAGAAAACTCACTGTCGAGGCCCAAAAAATCTCAAAAAAGGTCCGTGCATATTTTTAGGCCCAATTCATTATTATGATATAAAAGGGACACGGAGGTCCATCAAATACAGCTACGAAATGTCTAAACAAGCTATGATATTAGCGCTATGCCAAGCGAGACTACAATTTAGCACGTGGAGAGGTTATGATATGGGTTTACCAATTTCACATGCAAACCTATAAAGTTGAACAATGTCACATGCTCGAGTTCATTTAGCCCAATGCTTCGTCAAGCATTATCTAACATAACCTCTCTAGTCACTGCAATTCAACGTAGCCTAAGCATAAGCACGCAAATAGCATGTCATGCCAAGCGACTCTCTTTAGTGCCAAACCACTCGACAAGTATAAGTGGACCTAAGCCACATACATGTCTGGGGCTTGCTAAGCAGGTTATGGTATGAATGGGTACGAGGGTCCATAAAGCCCATTGAGGGTTTAAAAGGTGGAGGTTTTAGGCTGCTTGGGAGCACCAAAACCCAAGCCCACTTTCTTGAGCCCAACACATGGGTAAGTAAGAGAGAAATTATAGAGATCGAACTAGTCTTGCCCAATTCAAATTGAAATCCTTAAAATCCAGTTTACATAAATATCTAGGCTGATGAAAGAGATAAGCCTCAACCTTTCTATTTGACCATCACATTTACCCATCTTTACCCCTATGAGCTCATGCAGGAAAAGAGAAAGGAAAGCCAAGCTGGAGCATTACGTGGAAAGGAAGCCTCTACAAGGTCCAGTTGCAAGAAGGTTTTGGGACACCAAAATATTTTGTCTCAACAGCCATGGATTCAACTGATTTGAGGAGATTTCACTTATTAGGGCCATATTGGAGAAAGTGAAGGAAAAATAAAGGAGAAGACTTGGCCAATTAAGAAGAAACCATCTAGGATTTTTGGGGTAAAGATGAATTCCAACGCCTATAAAAGTAGGTCATGGGCTATCCAGCAAAGGGGACTCAACTCAGGCAAAGAAAGCAAGCTTTTCCTCCAACTACTGGAAACATCAAGCCCAAGCACCATCCTTTCCATCGTGTTCTTCTCTCTCTCTCTCTCTCTCTCTCTCTCTCTCAGAAAGCCCTATTCCTTATCTCAAACACTCATCTTTCAAGCCAAGCTAAAATCATGGTGTAGGGGTAACGCGGACCTAGGCTGCTGTAAAAAGCTAATTGTGATGCCCCTTTGCCTGAGTTTGAAACCAAGCACCAAAACACTCCGAGAAAATGTATATTTTCAAGGAATGCTCTGGTTCTTCTCACCAAGAAGGTGATGGTTGTGGTGAAAGAACTAGAAAGTTATGCTTGGCTTGAAAGGCTTGTTATGTAGGAGCTAAGTTTCCATGAGTTTAGCAAGAGAGAGAGTGAGGGTTTCTGTTGCTTGGGTTGGAACATAAGAACTTGCAGGAAAATATGAGTGATAGGGTGATATTTGAGGTTCAGAAGGATATAATCACAAAAAAAGGTTAAGTCTGGTTTTTTAGGGTCTCCTCGGCAATAGATTCTTCTTGCCCTTTTATACGCCTTGTGAGCTCACATCCTCACACGCATGCACTCCAGTATTAAGCTAGTTTAGCCTGCTCCTCCAACTTCGAGGTGGTTGTTTCCTTTTGGTCGTTTTGCCTTCTAGCTGAGATGACATGACTTCTTCAATCTATGTAGGTGTCGGGTAAGGAGTTATTCTAGGTGTCGGGTAAGGAGTTATTCTAGGTGTCGGATAAGGAGTTATTCTAGGTGGTGGCTAGTTAGTACGAGAAAAATATGGTAGTTTGTTTTGTTGTCGTATAGCTTGTTTTGTTGCCGTATGGCTTGTTTTGTTGCCGTATGGCTTGTTTTGCTATCATATGGTTTGTTTTGTTGCCGTATGGGTACTTCACGTGGGATATGGGTAGGTGTTGGGTGTGGGATAGATGAGACAAATCTTCTCTCTCCTTGCTCTTTTAATGACTCAAGAAAATGGGCCAAGTTTTGGTGCCTAGCCCAAAACCTCTATCTTTTGAGCCTCTAATGGGCTTTGTAAAACTTGTAACCATCCACACCACAAACCGATCAGCAAGCCCCAAGCATGTAATTAAGTGGCTTGGGCCCACTTAAGCTTGTTGAGAGATTTGACACTAAAAGGAAGTTGCTTTGCATCGCGTGTTATTGCGTTCTTATGCTTGGGCTATGTTGTATTACGGTGGCTTGGGCTTTATGTTACATAATTCTTGATAGTTGTTGGGGCACTTTTTTCATCAAAAGGCTTATCCTAGCTTGTTCCTTTTAGGGCCGCCATAGAGTGGTGAATCAAGCCTTCGTTGCCTATTTTTCTGAGTTAGCGAGAACTAGACTCAAAGCATCCTGAGGGATAAGCAAGTCTTAAGAGAGTACTCTGTTGTTCTTCCAGTGGCTCCGTGTTTTGTGTTGAAGTTTCCAGCAGCTCTAAAAATGGGTGAAGATGATTTGCTGATGTTGAACTGAGATTATATGAGCTTGGCATGAGAGCTTAAAGTGTGGGAGCTAAAGACCCACAAGTTTAGCAAATGAGAATGCTTGTGCTTGGCTTGGTGTTTGATATGCTTGAGTTTGGGTATTGAGAATTTGTTGTTTGAAACTATGGCTATGGTGATTTAAGAGTTTCAAGAGGAGGAGAATGGAAGGAAAAGTTTGAGGCTTAAAGGATATGGTGTTTATAGCTTGGTAGAGTATGAGGAGGAAGGCTTAGAGTTATGTTTGGTGAAGCTTTATAGGAGTTCAAGGATGAGAAAGTAGGAGACATGGTTGTGATGGCTGCTGGGAGTTTGCAGCAGCCGAGAGAATTGGTCGATGGTTGCTGGGATGCTTGCAACAGCCAAAGGATGGAGGTTGATGGCTTAGGAATGACTGTGATGGCTGCTGGAATGCTTGCAGCAGCTGAAGAAAGGTGAGTTCTCATGGTTGCTGAGAGGCTTGCAACATCCAAGAGGAGTTGGTTTTTCCTGGGCTATGCCTCCCAATTTATAGAAGGTGAAGGCTCTATTTGGTTTCCAATAGGTAAAAGGAAGTGTTGGAGCTAGTCTATTTCCAACGGGTAAAAGGGAGCATTGAGACATTCTTATTTCCAATAGGTAAAGCTAGGCATTGGAAAATGACTATTTCCTATGGGTAAAAGAAAGTGTTGGAATTGGCTTGTTTCTAGCGAGTAATAAGGAGCATTGGGACATTCTTATTTCCAGCAGGTAAAGCTAGGCATTGGAAAATGACTATTTCCTATGGGTAAAAGGAAATGTTTGAAGAATATCTCATTTGCTCATCTACATTGGAGAACTCCAAGTAATGGGCTTGGACTTTGGTACTCCCAAGTAGATAGCCCAAAGTCTCAATTATCCAAGAGCTTCTGTGGGACTTGTGGACCTCTGTAACCTTCCACACCACAATCCCTTGTACAAGCCCCGTAAACCACATGACTTGGGTTCATGTGAGCTTGGTAGGTGATTGGCATAGGAAAAATGTATTAGCGTGACATGGAGTTATTTGGCATGTGCTTGGAATGCTTGGGCATGTGTTATCACTATGCCAAATTTTACTTTACACCACACTATATAGGCATCGACAAACCTAAAAACCGATGTTGTTAGTATATTAGGCATCAATTATATAAATAATCAGACTAAAAGTATATAAAGACATCAGCAAAAATTTCAGGCTTTGCCTACCGATGCCATTGATGCTACTTTAGCATATATGATTAAATATACCGATGCTTAAAATGGTGTTTCAACTTTTCTTAACATCACTTGCTTCCAAATGTATGTACTACTTGTTCTATTTTACATTTGCTTAAATAATATATCCAATCTCTCATAATCCCTTGAAATATTTAATTTCATCTTTATTATTAGTTTTTTTTATAATGATTGTATTATTAGTTGATAGTTAAATACATATCTTTTTCATTTTATTATTTGAGCGTGATGATAGGTGAGAATTATTAGCTAATAGTTAAATGCAAATCCTTCAAAAAGTTGGTGACTAATCTTATGGAGGATTCTTTTAGAAATATGGCTGCCTTGTAGAAGTATACATGCTCTGTAGGTGGGATCTATGTGCTTCTGCTTCTCAAGCACTCTGTTTGTGTTTGGATATCTAGATTGGTTTGGGTTTTCGTGGATTTGAAATCCAGTGGTGGCGAAGCAAAGAATTCTCTTATGTTCATAGGCTGAAAAAGGAATAATTTCAATTAGGAATACTTTTCGTTTATTTGGGATTGTGCAAAGGCTGAAAAAAGGAATACTTTTCAAAACTGAAAAAAAGTGACTGTCAATTATTTAACCAGATCGATAGGGAACGTAGACACTTGGACTATGTTTGTCCTCTCTGCGCGTACTCGGACTGTCTTGCTCTTTTAGGGCCTGTTTGATATTCAACTTGAATCCAGCTTTTTAAACTCAAAAACAGAATTTGAGTCCAAAAAAAAAAAACCTGTTTGGTAGCCATATTTTTAAAACCTCAAACTCAAGAACAACTAAAAAAGACCCCAATTATTAAAAACAAAAAATATATGCTTTTTCAATTTTTTTCTAACAACCCACAAGTTCTCAAATTTTTAAGATTTGAAAACAGTTTAATTTTGATTCATTCTAAACCAGGAAATTGAAAGACTTGGTCTTTCTTTGTATACAAAATACTTACTTGCGAATTAAATATATATATTTCCTTTTTGTTGAGCTAGTATTTTTTGTATGTTGGATTGGCTTGAGCATCCAATTCAAAATCAATTGACAATTAATGGCTAAAGAATTAAGTTCTAGATCTTTTAAAGACTGACACAACTTTCATACTTCAACGTTAAATGCTCTTAATTTTGTGACACACTTTGGAAAAATTATTGTATAATTAACATCATCACGTGGTATAACAAATCAACTCAAATTACTATGTGACGGTGTTCTTGTCACAACCAAAAAATAATTCATAAGATCGTGGAAGTTACAAAGAAAGTGTTGGATGATAAGCGTAGTTACTATATATATTACACCCTTTGGGAGCCATGCTTTTGTAAAGAAACAATAAATTAAGTCATGATGCTACTTTTGGGAGCATAAACTAAAAGTTCACTTTTGATTTCCATGACTCGTTCAAGATGTTGAGATTATAGAACTTCATATTGGGGTTTTTTTTATATAAAAAAATTACTAGTGTGCAGGTGCCAATTGTTTTTATTTTTTAATTTTATTTTTATTTTTAGAATTAAGAAAAGATAACATGGGTTATGTTTCATAAAAGTATGACCTATTATCTGATTTTGTTTTTAATTTTAATCTTTTTTAATATGAAAAAAGTGAATTTACCATATTATCCTCATTTAATTAATAATTTCAATTTTTAATGTTTGATTTAACCAATAGCATTTTCTGGTATTTTGAATGTTTCACCATTCTCTGCCTTTTACTTTATATATATAGATAAATAATTCATAATTGTCATTAATGAGATTTGAATATGTTAATTTTTTTTCTTTAAGTTTTTGTTTACATTTAAAATAAAATATTACGTAAATTTTAATTAATCATGATATATAATTTAACATAAGAAAAAGACGACGACCTAGTTATGGGACCAAATTGCTGCAAGGAGTTGACTTAGTCTTTCATTCATTGAGATGAGAGCATATCATCTATACCTTTCTATTATCTCAAAATGTAGAGGTGCACAAACTTTACGCAAGATCCCAAACATGAAGACTTGGTGTTGACCAAGACGACAACAACAACAAAAAAAACACACAAACACACACAAAGACTTGGAAATTAATTAATATTGGAGAGTTTGAAAATGTATATATATAGAATGCTTCCGTTGAGATCCCTTAATTATATGCATAACTGATATTCAGGATTCCTCTCTCAAAACCAAAGCCAATATAAAGCACAGGCTATAACAAGCTATAACACTTTTCCTGTATAATATAGTTGGATTGCTTGCTATCACTAGCTATATATCTGGCAATGGAAGAACTACATGCAGCAGCTTATGCATACTATAACCGTGGCAATGAAGATACTCATCGTGTAGCATATGATTTCTTTGCCAACTGAATCAACCTGTAAAGCAAATGGTAGTTTTTTTTGTCAAAGTTGTTTAAATCAATTGTTGACATAACTGAGGAAGAGTGGTGAGGTCCTTAAAGCATGGAAGGCGATGCATATCATTTTGAAAATACCTAAACTCAATTTCTAAAGCTTTCAAGTCACTTGGACTGAAATCAGCATGATAGAATTTCTCAGCAAGTTTACATAGATGCCCAATATTGAATGATTTTAAGGAATTATGAGGATCCAATGTTGAGTTAAGAATAAAAAGTTTAACTATTTGCTCTGGAAATCTGTCATTTAACTCCTTCAACATGCAATCTATCATATCATTAAATACATCAATGCGATAGTAATGTTCAACTATAATAAAATCTTTTTGTTGACAAAAACGACCACTAATTTTCTGGCTTTATGTGGTTAGGGTGAGGTTTGTTCTACGGCACGATTCATTAAAATAATTATTTTTTATGTCGATCTATATGATCGACCCTGGACGTACCCATTTGCCGCATGGGGAACCGAGTAAGTGGAAAGCAGCAATATAACAATAATTTTATACAAGTCCTTTTACGATTCGCTGACTTCTAAGAAAAATATTATTTGGAAGGGAAGGAAGAGATATTTACAAAATATAATAAAGAAGAGTTATCACTCTACGGGTTTCCTCATTCCTATGGTAGGGACTCATATAACGAGAACTCATATCAGGAACATCAATACCATGTTGTTTACAAAATGGTACCACACTTATGAATAAATCATCCTAGTCATGTGCCCTCATATCTTGGAACTGTGATTTTGTGTTTTCAACAAAGTTTAAAGCACTTACAATATCTTGAGTTTTTGTCTGAAACACTTGACAAAGAAAGTTGGTCAATCCCATAATTTTATCCATCAAAAGCAATGAAAACACAAATTCAAAAGACATCATAACAATATAGTTACTCTCTGCATCGCCACAAAATTGTTGGTTAAGTCTATAATCACTTATTCCCTGGAGAAGTATTTTAGGGCTCGTTTGGGAGTGATTCTAGATAGGCTAGAATCACTTCTAAAAAGAATCATCTCCCATGTGATTCTCCATATAATCACTTTAATTGATTTTAAGTGATTCTGAGCAGAAGCACCTCCCATGTGCTTCTTCATAAAATCACTTAAAACAGCTTAAAGTGATTATTTGGAGAAATAATTCTCCATAGAAGTGATTTTTGGCTTATCTAGAATCACTCCCAAACGAGCCTTTAGTCTTTTTAAATAAACTCATCAAACTTGTAATAGAGGCAAAGTGAGATCCCCAACAAGTGGCTCCAGCTCGTTTCAAACTACGACCTTGATTAAGTCTTCTACCTGTCTCAAGTTCCCCATAATCCAACAACTCTTTGAGTTCAAATTTTCGAATTAAATTTAACTCATTACGGTGCTTAGTAGAAGCACTAACAAAATTCACAATGTTAGTCAATGTTAAAAAAAATCTCCATACCTAAGTGGGTTTGGTCTAGTGGAAAATTAAACGGGCTAGGCCACACATGTTGGGCGAATGTAATCCGGCTCCTCAATGAGGTCCTGGGTTCGATCCTCAGCATGTGTAACAAACCTCTTGGGGAGAGCTTTCCCTTAACCCATGCCTGGCTCTGAGAGGTGACACTCCTACCACCTTTTTTGTAATTAAAAAAAAAAATCTCCATACAACTTTAATATTTTCACATGCTTATATTGCTTTTTATTGTTTTTGTTAAAAGAGAAAGTTTGAGTGTGCTAGGCTATTGTTTTTGTTAAAGGGAAAATTTTGAGTGGGTTGGGTTTGAGTAGATAGAAGAAATTTGATTGTATTGGGTATTGGGTAATTTTTGGTTTGGCAAACAATGGAGTAGCCGCTGCCTACCCTGCTCTTAGGGTAGGACCGCTCCTGGTAAGTTGGGTTTGAGTAGGCAGAAGAAATTTAATTGTATTGGGTATTAGGTAATTTTTAGTTTGGCAAAAAATGGAGTAGCTGCTACCTCCCCTGTTATTAGGGTAAGACCGCCCCTGGTGGATTAGGTTTGAGTAGGCAGAAAAAATTTGATTGTATTGACTATTGGGTAATTTTTAGTTTGGCAAAAAATGGAATAGGCGGTTGCCTACCCTGCCCTTAGGGTAGGACCACCCCTGATCATCATCATCATCAGTATCCAACGTATGTCCTGTGTGCTGCTTGCTATGGTAATGCCAACTACACTCACCAGCACTCATACTTCTTGGATAACCACGTTTTGCTACGATCCAAAAGAGGCCCTCCTCATGCTCCGCCAAATCTCTCCATGGTAATTGAATTACTAGTTCTAACATCATATAACATGTTTATTTATTTCCCCGGTTGTTAGATGGTTTGATTTTCTGATTCGAATTGCTATTGACTCATGTAGGCAGTCGCTCAACAGAATCCTCTAGTGATTACTAATTATTACTACGTCAATCAAGCTGCGCCTCAAATTCAAAGGGTGAGTTGAGCTTCAGATGCTTATTTGAATGTCGTACCCTCTACGTTGAGATCAAAATGCATTAATTCTTCCACTGAATAAAAATGCTTATTTATATGCTTTTGCTTATATATGTTTTCGACTTTTCAGAATAGATGGTACCAAGCATTTCAATCATTAGAGATGGCTCTTTCTATTTCAGCTTTGGCTTCCAACTGCACAACATTGTGATGTTACAAAAAAGGCCTTTCAGAGTTGTCCTATTTTCTTTCCATGTTGGTAAAGTTTCGTTGTCGATTTTATTAAACACAATAAGGAGTTGACTTGGGATGCAACTAGCCAACTAGCCAGGAAGGAGCTTTTAATTATTGACTCCATCGTGAACCAACCTGTAGTCTCCTTGGACTCTGTCTTGGTCTTTCTGTCTTTGCCCTTTTCTTCTCCCCCGCTGTAATATTATTCTCACTAGTGAGTGAATCATTATTTAAGACTATTTCTACGTGAGTATCGTTTCTACATGCAGCAGCCTTAGCCTACTATTCCAATGGTTCTCCGGAACTTCAACGTCTGGCATCGTCTTTCTTCCAATCCATGGATGCTAAAATATGAATATGGTTTGAATACTTTGGGTTAGGTTTTATTTTTCTCTATAAGGAGGTATATATAGGAGTTTACATGAGTGCTTTACGAGGAAATAAATACAATAATCAATTAGGATAGTATCTCCTAATTATACAATTATTTGTCAACTACATATAGAAGAGGAAAGTAAATCCCTTAATTAATCAAGGAAATAAATCTCCTTGATTAATTAGGAGACTCACGTCAAAACTCCTTATCAAGTTGGTGCATATATGTCACCAATGCCCAACTTGGTAAGTGAGTTATGAAATACTCTGCCACATACAACTTTTGTTAAGATATCTACTAGTTGATCTTCTGATTTTACGAACTGTAGGCAAATGATCTTCTTCTCAATTTTTTCTTTGATAAAATGTCTATCCACCTCAACATGTTTGGTTCAATCATGCTGAACTGGATTATGGGCAATATTGATAGCTGGTTTGTTGTCACAATGCAACTTCATTGGCTTTTCTGGCTTGAAGCCCAATTCTATCAAGAGTCTTCTAATCCATAATAATTCACAAACTCCGTGAGCCATTCCTCGATATTCTGCTTCTACACTAGACCGAGAAAACACATTTTGCTTTTTACTCCGCCAAGTGACTAGGTTACCTCCCATGAATGTAAAGTAACTAGAAGTAGAGCATCTATTTGTAATGGAACTAGCCCAATCAACATATGTATATCCAACAACTTTAAGATTTCCATTTTTTGAGAACATAAATCGTTTCCCAGGGGCTGATTTTAAGTATCTTAAGATCCGATTAACTGCATTCCTATGACAAACACTAGGCGAATGCATAAACTGACTACCCACACTTACAACATATGCAATATCTGGTCTTATGTGTGCCAAGTATATCAACCTTCCAATAAGGCGTTGGTACTGTTCCTTATTGGTTGGTTCTTGGTTCATGTCTTCACACAACTTGTGATTCATCTCAATGGGTGTGTCAGCATGCTTACATCCAAGTATTTTTGTTTCAGTGAGTAGATCCATTACATACTTCCTTTGAGACGGAAATATACCAATTTCTGACCTTGCTACTTCGATTCCAAGAAAGTACTTCAGATCACCTAAATCCTTCATCTCAAATTCTTGAGACAAATACTTTTGAACTTCAATTGCTCTTCTGCGTCGTTTCCAGTTACGATTATGTCATCTACATAAACAATCAATGCAGTAATTTTTCCTTCATCACGCTTCAAGAACAGGGTGTGATCTGAATTACTCTGTGTATATCCAAAATTCTTCATAGATTTAGTAAATCTGCCAAACCATGCCCTAGGAGATTGCTTTAACCCATATAATGACTTTTGGAGCTTGCAAACTTGATTTTTCTTGTCAAAAGCTGAATTACATCCTGGGGGTAAGTCCATATATACTTCTTCTTCCAAGTCTCCATGTAAGAATGCATTTTTGACATCAAACTGATGTAGTGGCCAATCGAGATTTGCTGCTAAAGACAATAGGACTCTAATGGTGTTAATCTTGGCTACGGGGGCAAAGGTGATAAGTCCATAATATACTCATTTATGTACTCTTTTTACTTAGGTTTTGTAGGAGAATTAGATTTAAAAGGGGCTTATTACTTTACTTTTTTGATTTTCAACTTTTCTGCGCTCTTAGAAGGTTTTTAAGGGAAAATCAACTTTTCGAAGGAATTTTAGAACAAGGCTAATTGAAGATGAAAGCTAACATCTTGAAGTTTGGTCTGTGATTTTTGTAGAATTTTCTACCCAGCCAATTGGAACAGTATTACAAGTGAAGTTAGCCCACGTGCAGACAGGACAGTTTCATACATGTTACTTGAATGTGAAGCAACGGAAGCCTTCCCGAATTTTTCAAGTTACGTGCTATATATGGTTGGAAAGATAAGACATTTATCTTTCTAAAATATATTTTTAATGATTTTTCTTGAAGGCTGAAGATCCCCAAATCGTGTGACAATTGGGTTGAGCTGTATTTCCCTATGGAGTTAGGAATTGTGATTTTTACTTTCCTATTTGGATTCCTTGTTTACCAAGACTTCTTAGACGACTCTTCAGTCAATTTTAGGGTTTAGAACTCTGATATAAGTGATATAAAAGGCCAGCCAAGGCCCCCATACAGGGGATTCACGTCCTAAGGAGATTAACCACACAAGAGGAGAAAGCTGCCAACAAGTTCTTTCTTTTCCTTCATTCTTTTAATTTTAAGTTCTTATGTATTTATTTTTGAGTTCATCCAAGAACATGAGTAACTAATTTCTTGTTAGTTAGGGCTTAATCTTGAAGCCCAAAACATGATTTCAATTTTAAAAACAAGTTTCAATGGATTTTCAGTTTCTACAAGCATGATAATTTCAGTTTCTCTACGTTATGTGAATTTTGATATTTTGTTTCTTTGAGTAGCTAACTTGGAAGCATGTATTGGAATTAAATTGTTGTAGAACATAGGTCAATTGCCATATTGAATGTGTTCTTATTTGCAACAAATAATTTGGGTTAATAATTGGTTATGAGAAATCGATTCTTGAATTCCTAATAACAAATGCCATGTTTTAGGATTTTTGTGACACTCGTATTCTCTTTGATCTTAATGGATTCTTGATTGTTAATTTGAGTAAATGCCATACTAGATTTCAATTAAGAATACACGTATTGATGTAAATGCCATACACGTTACATACACTTAAGAGAGAATCATGCAACTCGAGTCAAATGCCATGATCTTGTTGTGAGTGTCGTCATCATATGCTTACTAGAAATTGATTATCTATTGTTGTTTATGGATTGATTGATTGTTTGGAGGTGGATAGTGAGTCCTAGCTATTGTTCTTGATTGATTTTAAACCAATTTCTCTTAAACTCTAATTTGAATTTTGTCTTGTTTTATTTTCCTTATTTTTTTTATTCACAAAATCAAATCAAAACCCCCCTTGGTGTTGGCGTGTGTGTGGAAGTCCTTGTGGTTTCAATCTTTATTATGTTTTCGTGTTTAATTGTGTTTTAGTTTTCATTGTGTGACCTTGATAAATATCTCTTTAGATCACAATCTCTGTGGGATCGACCCTTGCTTGCTTACTATCCTATCATTTGATTTGTGCACTTGCAAGGTTTTAATATTGTTGTTAAAAATTACCAACAAAAGGTCTCCTCATAGTCTATCCCATATCTCTGTATATACCCCTTCGCCACCAATCTAGCTTTTTATCTTTCAACGGATCCATCTGCTTTGAGTTTCACAGTATAAATCCACCTACATCCTACTATCTTCTTTCCATGAGGTAAGGGCATGAGTTTCCATGTGACATTCTTTTGGAGAGCTTGCATTTCTTCATTCATAGCTTTTTTCCATTTTGGGTCTTTTAGTGCTTCAGTTACACTGTTGGGGACAAATATGCCGGCCAACTCCTTTACATAGTGCACATGTGACTTTGATAATATGTTGAGAGATATATAATTATTAATGGGGTATTTCCCTTTGGCTTTAAGATCTGCTTCATTTTGTACTCGAGGTTTGCCACGGTTCTTCCTTTCTGGAAGTTGATATGTAGGCTATGTGCCTTATGAAATCAAATAATCATGGGATATTTCATTAGTGTTATTATTTCAGGAAAATATGTTACCTGAATGACTTCCTCAGTAAGTGATTGGTGCGGTACTGGAGCTGAAGCGGCAAAATCTCATAAAACGGTTCAATTTCCTCCTAATTTTGACAGCGTGGAGACAACTGATCGTTGTCCTCTGGCGACCGGTTGTTGTCTACTGGCGACCGGTCGTTTTGAAGTAGGTTCTCTATAGTTGAAGAACTAAGGGGGGCGACCGATTGCTTTCTACTGGCGACCGGTGATTTTGATGTAAAGTGACGTCCTGGCGAAAAAAAATCGAGAATTGGAGCAGTGGTGGATTCTTGATTATCCTCTCGGGCTGTTGAAAAATATAAATCATATTCCCGAAACACAACATCTATGGAGGTAAAGATCTTCTGATTATGAGGATGATAACATCAGTATCGTTTTTGATGAGGTGCATAGCCAATGAAAACACACTTTTCAGCTCGGGGATCCAATTTGCTTCGTTGGTGATCATGTAAGTGGACAAATACATCACAGTTGAAAGTCCGGGGTTCCATATTTGGGGTGTGAGGTGTTTGGATATGGTGGTGAAGTGTTTGAAGTGATGTTTGGAAATTTAGGATACTAGAGGGAATCCGATTGATAAGATATGTTGCGGAGACGACGACTTCACCCCAGAAGGATCGTGACATATTGGCATCAAAGAGAGAGGCACGAATGACTTTCAATAAGTGTCTGTTCTTTCTTTCAGCCACCCTATTTTGTTGGGGAGTGTAAAGGCATGAGCGTTGATGTTTGATGTCATGATCTTGTAAGAACTGGTTAAGATCATGGTTGAGAAATTTTCCGCCATGTCAGAATGAAGAACCTGAATTCTGGCATGAAACTGAGTCTCCACCATTTGATAAAATTGTTGAAACTTGGAACAACCTTGATGATATGATCTCAGAGTTTTATGACTTTCTGCAGCAAAGCAGTCATAGCTGGATCGTCAACGACCCCAGTTTCTTCACGAAACTAGATCGAAACCGCAACGATGGCCTGGATTTTTATGAAGTGCTCACCTTCTCACTATGCCAAATTTCACTTTCCGCAACACTACATAGGCATTAGTGAAATGAAATACCGATGCTGTTAGTATATTAGGCTTCGGTTTTATAAATATTAAGACTAAAAGTATATAAAGGCATCAACACAAATTTTTGGTTTTTCCTAACAATGCCATTGATTATACTTAGCATCTATGATAGAAATATACTGATGCGTAAAATTGTTGTGCGAAAAATAAATTTAAGCGCCACATTTAGCTCCGATGCCAAAAGCCTAGTTGACCGCTATAGTGATTTTTCCCTAAAACATTTCAGTCCCCTGTGAATATTTCAAATTCCCACTCTCACCAAAAATTTCCCTCTCTTCTTGATACCTATAGACAGTCACTCTGAGCTCTCATCCTTCTCACCTTCAAATTGCCATTCTTCTCTCTCACGATACCCCCAATCACCCTAAACCCTCTCTCACTATACCCACAGTCACAGTCACTCTCTCATCCAGTCACAGACAGTCACTCTGCCTGCCTTCCTCTCAAGGCTTCTTATTTAGCTAGGGTTCATAACTCCGATCCTTTACCGGTATGTGCTTGCTTTTACAAGTCCAAGACTGTCGTTTTGTACATTTTATGCTGCATTTTTAGCTAATTTTACCATCGTTTTTGTTCTGTTTGTGGATATGATCTTTTTCTCTTCGTTTTCACTCGAAAGCGTTTGCTTTTGCTTCATGCAATATCTTTATCGCCATTGGAAATGATTGTGTGGAATTTCTGCTAGTTTTTGGGATCAATTTTTCTAGATGTTGAGAGCTAGCCTTGTTCTTTGTTATGGCTCTAAGATTGCTCATGTTCTCTATGTTCTGAATTATTTTCTATTTTCGTAATTTTAGTAAAGTTAAAGTCATAGTTTGGCAAATTCATACACAAAATTTTTTTGATTTAGGTAATTTGTTATAAATATAATTTTTAAGTTTAGGGTTTGATTATTCTTTATCTGAGATCTATTATTTTTCATAGATGTTGCATGTTGCAATTTGAAGCTTATTTTTCAGTTTATTAAGGGTTGTGGTTTCTTGACATTGTTTATTGAAAATGGTTGCCTTCTTTCAGAAACTGAGTAAGGCCACCGCAATAACCTTCAACAACTCATTTGGAGGTCAATTGAAGTCAAATTTTGCATTCCCTTTGGAGGTCACGCAGATGCCTTTGGTGGAGTCTCTTGTCTTTGCCTGTACTGAATCTTGATAACTACAAGTAAGATAAAACATCTTCCTCTTCAATCTTGAGTGTATTTGTTTCTCACTATTTGAGTTCTGAGTTTCGTATGCTTCCATTTATGCTTTTACTATTTCTATTTGGATACCATTTTGTCTAAAAATATTTGAATACTCTGGTTTGGTCTTTGAGTGTTAGTAAAAAAAAAAAATTTGGTTCTTTGTTGGCAACTGTGGGAAATATTGTGATGCAATTTTATTTAAATGATGGAAGGTCAATGTTGTGCATGTAATTTCCATTGCAATGGATGGCTTAGAGTGTAAATTTGATGCTTTTTGTTTAGAACTTTTTGTGTCTGCATGGATTTTTACTCTGCGTGATTCATATTCTCAAATAGAGAATTCAATGGTTGGTTGATAAATGCATCACAATGGTATAGTTTTCAAATAATGGCTCACTCTCTAACATGATATAAAACTTAAGCCTTACTTTGTCTATTCTAAAACATGATGACGATTAATGATTTTGAGCCCATTATTCTGTTTTAGGTTCAGTCCCCAATATTAAGACGAAATTGAAGCTCTAAAATAAATTGTTTAGTACAAATCATGCTTTTTAGGGGCCAAATTAATTATTGGTGGGCTAATGCAGATGATACAGCAATGATTATAAATGTTGGTCGCAAAACATCACAACTAATCACAACAAAATTTTATTAATTAGGGATTTTGGTCGTGCTGCCACTCAAACATGGTCAAGAAAAAATCTAAGCAATGCTTGCTTTCTTTCTTGCCTTCCCCCCCCAAAATCCCCTTCTCTCTCACCACCATTTTTTTTATTTTTGGGTTCTATGTTTGATTCTGTGTTTGTGTCTTTCCAGCATTGTATGCTCTTTGGATGTGGCTCATTTTGAGAAGGGGGGTCACTACTACTAGTCACAGTAATGGCTAATCTTTTTAATTATGTTAATCGTCATAATTAATTAATTAAGTGCCCTTTCGATCTAAAACATGACCTAATTTTCATACTTGACCTCAATTATTGTGAATGTGTTACTACTAGGTTCTATAATGTTCATTGTGATTTTGAAATAACAAGGCTTAAGTTAAATATGCATGTGGTATGTAATTCATGTAACATTATTGCAATTGAGCTTAATTGCATGCAATTGGCTGTTGCCCTTTTTGTTTTGAATATGAACTAATGTTTCCTCTAACTTTATTATCTGTTGGTAAAAATGATGGATTAAGCAATTATGGAAAAATCTTGGATGGTTGCCGATAAGAGAAGTAAAGAGTATGAAGAGGGAGTTGAAGAATTTCTAAGGATAGCATTAGCAAATGCTATTGATCATGGACGCATTCGTTGTCCATGCCAGAAATGTGGGAATACAAGAAAGTTTACGATTAGAGTAATAAGGGAGCATATGTATTTTAATGGTTTTGACCAAACATACAAGGATTGGATATGGCATGCCAAACCTATTGAAATAAATGCTAGTGAAACTGTAAATCAAGAACCACAACCGGAAGGTGATGTTTTGGAGAAACGGTTGACATGTGTGAAGGTGCACATGAACACTTCACTGAAAATCTAAAGGAATTTAAGAAGTTTGTGGAGGAAGCCAAGAAGCCTCTTTATCTTGGGTGTCATAAGCACACCAAGTTATCAGGATTGGTTAAGTTGTACTATCTTAAAGCAAGGCATGGCATGACCGACAATTGTTTCGCGGATATGCTGATCGAAGTTAGTGATTTTCTCTCAATCGGTCAAGAGCCACCCTTGTCTATGTATGAGGCAAAGAAGATGTTGAATGCATTGGGATAGAAATATGAGAAGATACATGCATGCTCTAATGATTGCATTTTGTATAGGAAGATGTGTCATGATTTGACAAGCTGCCCTAAATGTGGCCTTTCAAGATGGAAGGTGACAAAGAAGAACGTAGTGAAGAAAGGGGTCCCGACAAAAGTTTTATGGTACTTTCCTCCTATCCCCAGGTTTAAAAGTATGTTTAAGTCCTTGGAAACATCTAAAAGTTTAACTTGGCATAATGAAGCTCAAATAAGGGATGGTTGATTGCGTCATCCAGCTAATTCGCCATAGTGGAAGATGATTGATTATAAGTGGCCAGATTTTGGAAGTGAACCAAGAAACCTTAGGTTAGCTCTTTCTTCGGATGGAATCAATCCACATAATTGTCTTAGTAATATATATAGTTGCTGGCCAGTGATTTTGGTGATATATAACCTTCCTTTGGAGTTGTGCATGAAGAGGAAGGATGTTAACATTGTTAATTTCTGGCCCTAAACAACCTGGCAATGATATAGACATGTACTTGGAACCATTAGTTGATGATTTAGCATTACTATAGGATGGGGTGGAGGGAGTCTATGATGCTCCCCGGCAAGAGTCATTCACTTTGAGAGCTATCTTTTTATGGACAATCAATGATTTTCCGGCATATGGTAACTTGTATGGGTTTAGGGTGCACTACGAAAGGGTATTATGCGGTGAATTAACTGAAAAATAAAATGGCATATGCGGAAAGGTTGGAACATGGAAATAAAATGGCATTCACTGGCCATCGAAGATTCTTATCACGTTATCATCCTTACAGAAAATTAACCGAAGAATTTAATGGTAAGGAAGAACTTGACCCGACACCAATGCCTCTAACCAGGGAGCAAGTATGGAAAGAAGTCGAGTCCATAAACTATGAGTGGGGGAAGAGAACTAGGAAGCGGAAAGATGTAGGTTGTACTAATTGTTCAAGAAAATATCAATTTTCTTTAATATTCCTTATTGGAAATCACACTATGTTCGACATTGCCTCGATGTTATGCACATTGAGAAGAATGTATGTGAGAGTATTTTCGGTACGTTCTTGAACATTCCCGGGAAAACAAAAGATGGTGTGGCAGCTCGTAAGGATCTTGTTACATTGGGGGTAAGAATTGGTTTGGCGCCACAAGTTGGGAAAAAGAGAACTTTTTTGCCTCCATCAATGTGTACATTGAATAAGAAGGAGAAAATTTCAATGTGCAAAGCATTGATGGATATAAAAGTGCCAGAAGGCTACTCTTCAAATATAAGAAACATTGTATGCATGAAAAAGTTGAAACTACTTGGTCTTAAGTCACATGATTGCCACGTATTGATGCAACAATTACTACCCGTGGTTATACGTGGTGTGTTGCCTAAACATGTTAGATATGCAATAACAAGATTTTGTTTCTTCTTCAATGATTTATGTAAGAAAGTGATGGATGTACCTAACCTTGATAGGATACAATCATACCTTGTGGCAACATTGTGTTTGCTTGAGCAAATTTTTCCTTCATCTTTCTTTGATATAATGGTCCATCTAATTGTGCACCTTATTAAAGAGGCTTGTTTGTGTGGACCAGTTTTTTAATAGATGGATGTACCCTTTTGAAAGATACATGAAGGTATTAAAGGGTTATGTACACAATCGTGTGTATCTGAAGGGTTGTATCACTGAACGCGTCCATGTGGAAGAATCTGTACAGTTTTGCTCAGAGTACATGGCTGATTTAGGTACAATTGGGGTACCTATATCGCAGTTAGATCTAGCAAATACTATCATTGCTTTATCAAGCTCTGTTATAGAATTAGTGCCGCATGACAAATGGGAGCAAGCACATCGAACTATCTTGGATAATACAATGGAAGTTGATCATTACATAAAGTAAGTTGTCTTTGAAAACAACTCTCTACTGTTTTTTTTTGGTTTTTTTTGTTATTAAGTCAGCTTAACAACAACAATGCCAACATCAAATCAAACATCTCAACAATGCCAACATCAAATCAAACATCTCAACAAAATTCTTAAAATCAAAGACCTAATTAATTTCAACAAAATCCCCAAATTATATTTCATTCCTAATTAAACCCTAGAAAACTCAATTTCAAATTAAAATTAAAACTAAGATGCATACATTTATTTTAGGAATAACCCAATAGAAGAAGATAATTAAATAGAAGAGATTAAGAAGAATACTTGTTTCCTTGTATATGAGAAGAGAAGAGAAGAGGCTGTCCAGTGTCCACGATTGCACAACACAGCCAAGACTTGCGTTGAGAAGAAGCTCTCCCGACTCTGTCTGGAATTGCACTGCACAGCTACTATTTGGCTGCTTAAGTTATATTCTTTCTTTTATTAAAGTTTGACTGGGCCATTCATAACATGGGTTGGCTGGTTATAATTTTTTTTCTTCAGTTTTTTAAAGTTTGAGTGGGCTTGTGCTGTGGGTTTTATATGGATTGGGTAGGCAAGAGTGTATACCAACACATGAAATGGATATCAATTACATAGCTTATATATAGTTTTTTTTTTAGTGAAATATTTTTGGGTAGGCGGTAGCCTACCCTGCCCTGGCTTAAGATCCGCCCCTGGTTGTATCCCTTCTCATCAAAACTTGCAATGTACTGAGGAGTCATTGAAGAAGACCAAAGCACTCCCTAAGGCTTCAATTCTTTCAGGGTGTTTTGGGGCCTGGTGCCGCAAACTCAGACATGGGTGAAAGAGAGCTCAATCTACCTCTCAGCAATCCAGTAAGTCCATTGCAGCTCTCAACAAAAAAGACCCCAATACTCACATATATGTACTAAAATTGATCGTAATAGAAGAGTTTTGCACATGCGTTAAACTGTTATTCGTTATGAGTTAAGAATTAGTGATTCCTTAATAGATTTTTAGTGCAAATAATTGATAGATATTTGATAGGTTTAAAGGGAATATTGCCCTAATCACATTTATGTTGAAAAAAATTTCTTTATTAGGTTTAGAAACTACTTTGGTATGTGTGGGAGTAAATATTCGCATGTAAATAACATGCATGCAATTATTCCAAGAATTCTATAGTGAGGGCCTTATCTAAAGGCCCGTAGATGAGAGCCTATCTCTTAACCAATTTGATCCAACGATTAAGAGATATGACCTTAACATGACTGCAAATAACAACCCAAAAAGAAAACCCAAATCGGACAAAATCCACCTAAACAACTATTATTTGGGACTGGACTTGGCCTCGATTGGATTTATGCACTTGTTTGGGATTGCTTTAGTATGAAGCACTTATGCTCGCAAACACTTTTTCTAGAAGTACTTCAATTAGAACGTCAAATTTTTTATATAAAATCAAAATGCTTCCTGAAAAAATACTTTTCTTGTTTTATTGTCAAACACTATCAAACATGCCCTATTTCCATTAAATTGGAGTAATACTTCGATCGGGACTTGATGAACTTATAAAAATTGAGACCTTATTAAATTCGATATTTTTTTGGTCGTTATTAAATTGGATGAATACAGGTGTTCCATCCTAAAACCCCTAGCAGCGACGCGCTCTGAGTTTTTATCCAAAAACCTTACACCCCAAATAAGCTCTGCCTTCAGACTCTGCACAATGGCGTCCATGCTCAAACTACCAGCCAATTGTGTCGTTTTTCAGCAACAGAGGCGGGCAGTCTTAGCTAGAGCGGGAACCAATAGATTAGATGCTACTGGTTTCAATTGGAAGCAAAGAGTTTCATCATCATCATCATCGGCTATGAATATGATCCCAAAGATGTCAATTTCAGCGATACCCAATCAAAGTCTTGAGAATTCTTTGCCCAAGAACAAGATTGACATCCCTATAATGGTATTTTGTTTTATCTTTCTGTTTCTAGTAGCTACATTGCTTGCTGCGTTCATAATTTGAGTTCTTATAATGAGCCAACGAAAATTTCGAATGTGGATGTATGGATTATTGTAATTGCTGCTGCGAAATTCATGAATTTGTGTTCAATTTATCGAACAGGTAAACTCATGTAGTGGCAAAATGGGGAAGGCCATTATACAAGCAGCAGATTCTGCAGGACTGAGTGTGGTTCCCGCATCATTTGGCTCTGCCGAGGAATCGGGGCAAACCGTCCAAGTCGGCGCAAACGAGATTCTGATCCATGGTCCTTCTGAAAGAGAAAGAGCCCTTGCATCACTTCTCGAGAAATATCCCAATTTGATTGTGGTGGACTTCACTGTGCCTTCGGCAGTAAATGGTAAATAAATTACACAGGTTTGGAACTCTATTTTGACTTATTTTTGCTTAAAATCTTTTCCATTGCATGGTTAGTAAATATTGTGGCTGGCTTTGTGTCTTCATTCATTTGTATATTTTTGTATCATGTTCAGATAATGCAGAACTATATTGCAAAGTTGGAGTGCCATTTGTGATGGGAACAACCGGTGGAGACAGGGATCGGTTGTACAAGACTGTAGAAGACTCACAAGTCTATGCAGTAATTTCACCACAAATGGGAAAACAGGTGCTCAGAATTTTGTGCTTTAATGGTTTCTAATATTGTTTACTACTGTGGGGGCTTACCTTCCATATCCTAATAGTCGTTTGGTATGAATAGGTTGTGGCATTTCTTGCAGCCATGGAAATTATGGCGGAGCAATTCCCTGGAGCTTTCTCTGGGTATTCCCTACAGGTATTCACTTTTTTCTTGTAATTTGTTACTAATGAAAACTATAGAAGTAGAGATAGTCTAAACATTTGACCAAGTTCATGTTTCAGTATATAGACATTCATTTATCTGGTGTACTATATTTTTCATTTTTTATCATAACTAGTAATTATCTTATCCTTCCTATCTACGAAACCTGCATTTCTTTCCCTTCCAAATGAACTCTTAACGAAGAAAAGGATTACTTTCATGTCTCAGTTAAACCTTTTGTTTTTCTAGCGGTATCTTTTTATTCAATGGAGAACTTTTTGTCCATTGGAACTCCAGCAGTTAGTGTTCATTCTTCTAGCGGTTCATTTTTCTGTTTTCATTTTCTGCGTGCTTTTCCCCTCCCTTGAATTGCATAAACTAATCGTGCAACTCTGCACACTTTTATTCATTGTTAATATCTTTAAAAACAGAAAAATGTTATAAATTTTCAAGGTGCTTGTTTTCTATGCCTTATTCATGTTGCTTGATGCGGCTTAATCATGTTTTTAAATTTCAGGTTATGGAATCCCATCAAGCAAGTAAAGTTGACACATCTGGAACTGCAAAGGCTGTTATTTCTTGCTTCCAGAAGTTGGGTGTGTCCTTTGATATGGAGCAGGTATGTTACAGGATGCATAGTTAATTATACCTTCGGATAATTAGAAATAGTTAACCATAGCATCTGTTTTTCTCATCCTTTTCCCCTGCGTTCCTCACTTTCTGTTTGTTTGTCTGAATCTATTCAATGTGGCCATTAACTTGAGTATCTTCATGTCTGGCAAGGATACTGCGAATGATAATGTTATAGCTGCATTTCACTACTTGTGTTTGGGATTCATGCATTTTAATAGGTGCGATGAAGAAGAAATAATGGCATTGATGGGATAAGTGTAGAAAAGATTGATTCTGGTTTAACATTAAATCTTTGAAGGCTGTAAGATTGTAGTGAGAAAGAACAACAATGTTTTTATGAAACGAGGAGAGAAAATTATAAGGAAAGGATAGAAACTACTAGAATCACAGAAGTAGGGTTCCAGGAATCACACCTACAGGCCTTAGGCATGACACTTAGGCAGGTTGCATCACACAAACCAAGAAAGAGGCAAATCTCCAACTGAAAGCAGATTAGTAACAGTGGTGGCTGTATGTATTTATATTAGTACAATATGGGATACATGAATTCAAATTTCAAAACAGTTGCACCATTGTACGAGCTAACCAACCAGATATCAAGGAATTAAATCTAAGACATAGAAATTCAAAACAACAATAGAAGCAGTCACAAAGTTTCAAATATTTTTATGTAAATCTTATCAGTAACAACCTGTATTGGTTGATTATCAGGCCAGTCCCCTTACATGAAATACCAAATACTTAGAAAGTTTTATATAATCCTTCAGCATTTCATTTTTATCTTCAATCTTTGACAATTTTATCAGGTCCAATTGGTCCGGGATCCCCAGCAACAATTAGAGATGGTGGGAGTTCCAGAGGAGCATTTGTCTGGTCATGCATTTCATATGTATCATCTCAGTTCACCTGATGAAACGTAATACGGAATATTCCCTCTCTCTCTCTCTCTCTCTCTCTCTCAAATTAGTTTTAATTCTATTCCATTGACTTAATTCCCCCTCATTTTTGCAGAGTTTCTTTTGAGTTTCAGCATAATGTTTGTGGTAGATCAATATATGCAGAGGGCACAATTGATTCTGTAATTTTCCTTGCTAAGAAGGTGTTTAAGCTTTTCCATCTCTCTTTTATTCTACTACTTGTTACAGTGCTTATAATGGATAAATTCTTTCTCAAATTACCATCTGATATCGATTATTTGGCAAGAATACTGTTAACATACGTTTTTTGTTTAGTTATAGTACTTGTAGGACAATGCACTCCTTCACTTCTGATATGAAATCTTGCATCGATGCAGGTCCATTCGAAGGCAGAGAAGCAGTTATACAATATGATAGATGTCCTGCGAGAGGGTAACATGCGATGATAGTTGGCTTTGTACGAAGGACGTTGTCTGTATTAGTATATTTATTAGCTCACAACAGTTAGATTCTGGTTGAGTAAGATAGGGATGCAAGTTTCGGATTAGCAATTTCAACCTTATCTATGTAATGTTGTTATTTTCCTTCCAGCTTGTGTTTGGAGCATTAAAATTTGTAGTTTGGTCGAAGGAAATACAAATATAACAAGCTTTACTGGTAAATTATAAGGCCCAATTGAAATTAAAGGCCAACAGAACCTTATTAGAGAAGCAAACGCAACCTTGATGGTGTGGCATTTATTAGGACATAAAATTTCTGAAATTTGTTAGAGCCCAACCCAAACCGACTGGTGATGTATACAGAGCCTTTCCTCTTTCTCTCTCATGTACAAAATTCTTAACTGTCTCACATGGTGGTTGATAAATGTTGTTGACACATACATTAGTCCCTGTTCCTCCTCCCCGATTATCGGCCAAAAAAGAACATAAAAAAGGAAACTTCCCCCTCAATTATCTCCTCTGACCATATAGATCACATCTGTTTTAACATACTTTGAAACGCACCCCATTTAATCTCTCTCCCTCTCAAGCAATGTCCAACGACCCCTCCACTTCCTCCATCCTAGAAGATGATCAAGATACCATCAATTCCACCACCACCTCCACCATCACCCCAACCCCAACAACTACCACTTCAGCCTCAGCCTCAGCTTCATCACATAACTCATCCCTCTCCAAATGCCAATCAGCAATCCAATCCCTCTCAACCATTCTCCCCTCTCTCCCTCCTTCCCTCTCCTCCTCCTCCAACCCCGCTCACTCCCTCCTCCATGACCACCATACAGCCTCCCACATCTCCTCCCTTCTCCGCCAACCCGACTCCGGCGCAGGCGACAACAACCTCTGCCGCTGGCTCTACGACACCTTCCAATCCTCTGATCCCGACCTCCAACTCCTCGTCCTTCGCTTCCTTCCCATCATCGCGGGCATCTACATATCCCGTGCCGCCCTCCGGGTACCCGTAGCCGGATTTGAGGCCGTCCTTTTAGCCCTCTACGCCCACGAAACCGCAACACGTTCTGGCCACTCCATAACCGTCAGTGTCCCCGACTTGTCTCATCCCAGTCTCTACCACGAAACCATAGCACCCGCTAAAAACAACTCCACAGGCCTAAACTTGGCTGTCATATCTCCAAGTTTGGAACCCTACGGTACAGTGAGGTCCACAAGGAGGGCTAGGATTGTTGGGGTTGCACTGGAGTTGTACTACAGCAAGATACATGAAATGCCGGTGCAGTCAAAGATTGAATTTTGCGAGTTTTGTAGGGTTTGGGCTGGCCAAGACGGAGAAATGTACAAGGAGATGACTGGTAGTAGCTGTAGCAGTAGGAGTGAACGCAAAGAAGAGGATGGAAATGGAGAAAAGGTGGGGAGCATTCCTTTGCCATGGGAATTGATGCAACCGGTTTTCAGGATTTTGGGTCACTGCCTTTTGTGTCCAAATCAAAACAAGGAGTTAGTTGATAAGGGCAGTGAGGCTTGTAGGAGTTTGTATGCCAGGTCTATGCATGATATCAATCCCAAAGCTATTTTGGCCACTGGGAGTCTTCTTAGGCTCACTAAGCAAGCATTGGACTCTAACGATGATTTTGATCCAACTGAGATTCCTAAATCTCGAATTATTAGTATCTAGGTTCTCATTCTCCTCCTGATAATCTCTTTATTTTCTCATTGTCAATAAATTATAAGTTGAGTTCATTTCTAAAACTTTATTCTAAGACAATATCAAATTCCAAGTTTATTTCCCCATCCAAATGCACCGTACGTACTTTATTCTCTCTTGTAGGGTCTTGATCAGTGTTTCTATCTATACATATATATTGAGCTGACTTGGTGGAACACAACAAGATTGATGGAATAATATGGGAAAATGATTTCTGTTGACGTCTTATGATCAATTCTGACATGTTTTGGGTTCCTTGTAATTATATTTGTTGAAGTGTTCTTGTTATTATATTGAAATGATTGTTGATTTGTTGATGTGTTGATGTGTTTTTTTTTGAAGTCATCTTCTAACCCTTACCTACGCTACCTCCTCTCCTGCAGTATCTCTATATATTTTCAGCAATTCCATTTTCCCTTGATCAGTTTTGGAATTTCGATGCGAGTATATGATAAACGTATATTAATGTTGATTGACATCACATATTTACATTGATGTAAACACCTCCAAGCATCTCTATTATCTATAAAGGCATCAAAATTGTACCATGGTGAGTTACCCCATTGCACATTGTTAAGATATGGATTTTGGATTATCAAGGAAGCTCAAGATCTAGAGAGTGAGAGGTAGCTAAGAGAAAACAGAATTTGGAAATGTTCTCTGGTGCGATCTACAAAACCGTTGCAGAGATCACACCTTTTGTATTCTTTCTCATTCTCTCATTACATCAGCCAATCAGTACCATTCTATTACAAGGGCCAATGTGAATGTGACACATGGCAGTACAAGGCCTAAGAACCGTTGAAAACTAGCTGACTGCTTTACACCTTACACTTGGCATATGAGCTCAAGTCACTTAACTAACATAATGCTTAATGAAGCTAAGAGTAAAAACAGACTAAGTAAATTACTAACTAACAAGAAATTAGCTAGTCAATTTACATTTCAACACTCCCTTCTAAAGTGCTAGCTGATTTCACACCAAGTAGACTTCTTAAGTAGCAGAATCTGTCTCTGTGTAGAGCCTTGGTGAATATGTCGGCAATTTGCTCTTCTCCTTTGCAATAGATCAAATCAATCACACCCTTTTGAATTGCATCTCTAATGAAATGAAACTTCCTGTCTATATGCTTGCTCTTTTGATGAAATACCGGATTTTTAACCATTGCTATAGCTGAGGTACTGTCACAGAACAATGTAGTTGCAGTGGTTTGTTCCTCTCCAAAGTCTTCAAGCACAAATCTAAGCCAAATAGCCTGTGAGGTTGCTTCAGCTGCACTCATATACTCTGCTTCTGCAGTTGACAATGCTACACTTTGTTGTTTGACCGAAGCCCATGAGAAAGCACCACTTCCAAATGAAAAGGCATACCCTAAGGTGCTTTTTCTATCCTCCTCAGATCCACTCCAGTCACTGTCACAATAGCCAATCAATAGTACAGATTTTCCAGCCACATACTCAATTCCATAGTCAATTGTTCCTTGTATGTACCTTAAAACTCTTTTGGCTGCTCCATAGTGCTTCTTAGAAGGGTTATGCATGAACCTTGCAAGCAGACTAGCTGAGAACATAATATCTGGTCTGGTTGCCGTTAGATATAGCAGGCTTCCAACAATTTTCCTATACAAGCTTTCATCTACAGCTTCACTTCCATCCTCTCTTTGCAATTTATTAGTGGCAACCAATGGAGTGCTCACTGATTTGCAATCCTTGAGCCCAAATTTATCCAAGAGAGTAAGGGCATACTTTTTCTGATGTATAAAAATACTCCCTTCCAGGTTGAGTTACCCCCATTCCAAGACAGTGGTGAAGTAAACCCAAGTTTGACATTTCATATTTGCACATCATCTCTGTTTTAAACTCTTCCATCATTCTTGTTCTACTCCCTGTGTAGACTATATCATCTACATAGATTGATACTATCAAGACACCAATTCCTTCTTTGTTTCTCACATATAGAGTTGCTTCACTTGAGCTTCTATGAAAACCACAGTGAATGAGATATGTATCAATCTCACTATACCAGGCCCTTGGTGCTTGTTTTAGACCATAAAGAGCCTTTCTTAATCTATACACTTTATCTTCAGCCTCTTCAACCACAAAACCATCCGGTTGATCCACATATACTTCCTCTTCAAGCACACCGTTCAAAAATGCTGATTTAACATCCAATTGCCACAACTTCCAACCTTTCTGTGCAGCTAGTGCAATGAGTGTTCTAATGGTGTCTAACCTTGCTACGGGTGCAAAGGTTTCATTGAAATCAACCCCTGGTTTCTGTGTGTAACCTTTGGCTACAAGCCTTGCTTTGTGCTTTTGAATGGAGCCATCAAGGTTTAGCTTGGTTTTGTAGACCCACTTCACTCCCACAATTGGTTTGTTGCTTGGTCTATCAACCAATTCCCAAGTGGAATTCTTTTCTATCATCACCATTTCTTCTGTCATAGCCTTTTTCCAGGCTTCATCCTTAACTGCTTCAGTAAAATTTTCAGGTTCAATGATGCTCATCTTGCATTGAGCATACACATCATCCAAACTTTTCCATTTCCTTGGAGTATGGTCATAAGTTTCAGAGGTTGAAACTGATGAATCAGGTGGAACTAAATCCATAGTTACTTGCAGGTCACTGACAGCTCGTGTTCTCAGAGGAGATTGCACAGACTGAGGTGAGTCACTTGCTTCTGAATCAAACTCAGATGTCATTGAGTTTTTTTTCATCATTCCAAGGAATTGTAACCTCCACTTGTACTGCCTCAATTGATTCCCAATCCCACATGGCTTTCTCATAAAAAATAACACTCCTAGATAGTTCAATCTTTTGAGTTCTCAAATTGAGTACTCTATATCCTTTTTCACAAATTCCATAACCTGCAAATACTCCCTTCTCACCAATTTCCTCTAGTTTGTGCCTTTTCTGTGAAGGGATGTGAGTGTAGCATAGAGAGCCAAAGATTCTCAAGTGTTTGACACCTGGTTTCCTTCCACTAAACTTCTCAAATGGTGTTGTGTTGTCCAAAGCACTTGTTGGACTTCGATTATGCAAATAAACTGCGGTATTCACAGCTTCTGCCCAAAACTTCAATGGAATCTTCTTCTCATGCATCATTGTTCTTGCCATTTCTACCACTGTACGATTCTTTCTCTCTGCAACACCATTCTATTGTGGAGAGTAAGCTACAGTCAATTGCTTTTCTAAACCCATCTCTTCACAAAACTTTGAAAATTACAGGGAAGTATACTCTCCACCTCTGTCACTTCTGGGTTCCTTGATTTGGTAGCCATTTTGAAGTTCAACCATGGACTTGAATCTTTTAAAAATATTGAAGACGTGTGACTTGTGCTGCAAGAAGAATACCCAACACATTCTAGTGTGATAATCTATAAAGGTGAGAAAGAATCTGTTGCCTGCAGGAGTAGTAATCTGCATTGGACCACAGATGTCAGAGTGTATCAGTTCTAAGGGCTGTGATGCTCTCCAAACTTTCTCCTTGTCAAAAGGTTCTTTGTGACCTTTTCCTGTAGCACAACCAGAGCACACATGCTTTGTGACTTGTAATCTAGGCAAACCTTGCACCATTTCTTTGTCTTGCAGAGCATCAAACTAGTATAGTATAGATGTCCATACCTTTTATGCCACAGCCAAGATGACTCCTCAACTGTTACTTTATTAGCCATAGAAGGTTTGACATATTCTAGGCTTAAAGGAAAACATCTATTTCCCTTCATTGGTACACTTGCAATCAAATCCTGCATCTGCCTATCCCCATAAATATCAACCACATTATCACCAAAGACAACCAATATCCATGTTCTACCATTTGACCTACACTTAACAGGTTCTCATCCAAGCCAGGGACAATCATAACTTCCTTAATGTATATGGTTACACCCTGCATTCCTATGACCAAAGTGCCTTTGCCAGTTGACTGTACCAAATCACCAGTACCCATTTTGACTCTACATTTCACATTCTTATCAATGTTCACAAGCAAAGACTCATGAGAGGTCATATGATTACTACATGCACTGTCAACATACCACATATTCATATTCTTTCCAATAGTAGCAGAATGGCATGCATAAAACATTGTTGCAGGTTTTGTTACCTGATTAGCAAGATTTGCTACTTTTCCAGCCTTGTTTGCTTGATCACATTCCTTAATGTAGTGACCAAATCGATTGCAACCATAGCATTTTGGCTTCCCTTTAAACCAACACTCTCCATAGTGTAGTTTATCACAATGCTTGCATTTTCCCTTAGCTTGATCTGGTTTTCCTCCTTGATTGACAGAGTTCTATGGTTTAGAATCCCATTTCTTACCCTTCGATTTCCAGTTCTTCTTTGGCTTAGCATCACCAGAAGAAGAACTTGACTTGTTTCCCTTCTGATTCATACTCATACTACTGAAAGCTTTTTCAGTGGTACTCTCAGCATGCCTATCAAGCCTTTGAGCAAAACCTCTTAGTGCAGCAATGACTTCTTGCACCTCAATAGTTTCAATGTCTTTAGTTTGCTCAATTACATAACACACTGGATCAAACTCTTTGGTCAGACTTATAAGCAATTTCTGAACCAATCTTCCTCTTGATAAATCTTCTCCATACCCCTTCATTTGATTCACCAACTCAAGCAAACGAGTGAGATACACAGACAAGGTTTCATCATCCTTCATTCTTGTGTACTCAAAATCTCGACGCATACCCTGTAGCTTAATAGATCTCACTTACTTATCACCATGAAACTCTTGATGCAAAACATCCCAAGCACCTTTTGAGGTTTCTTCATTTGAGATTCTGGGGAAAATGTCATCTAAGACAGCTCGTTGGATAATACCAAGTGCCTTAGCATCCTTCATTAACAAAGATACCTTCTCTGACTCCAATGACCCTTATTCATCAACCTTCTTTCCTTTCGCTTCTGAAATCCCAAGACCCTTTTCAACTAGATCCCAGATTCCATGCGACTTCAAGATAGTTCTCATTCGGATCTTCCAAAATTCATAGTTATCATCATTGAATATTGGAGCCCGAAGATCACTACCACCTGACCCAGCCATTTGAGACCAGAATCGATGAACTAAGTTTGAAATTTCACGTTAGATTTCAAAGCTCAGCTCCGACGCCCATTTCCAGATCCAACCTTTGCTCTTGATACCATGTTAAGATATGGATTTTGGATTATCAAGGAAGCTCAAAAACTAGAGAGTGAGAGAGGTAGCTAGGAGAAAATAGAATTTGGAAATATTCTCTGGTGCGATCTACAAAACCGTTGCAGAGATCACACCTTTGTATTCTTTCTCATTCTCTCATTACATCAGCCAATCAGTACCATTGTATTACAAGGGCCAATGTGAATGTGACACATGGTAGTACAAGGCCTAAGAGCCGTTGAAAACTAGCTGATTGCTTTACACCTTACACTTGGCATATGAGCTCAAGTCACTTAACTAACATAATGCTTAATGAAGCTAAGAGTAAAAACAGACTAAGTAAATTACTAACTAACAAGAAATTAGCTAGACAATTTACATTTCAACTAGTTTCTTGACCATTTGCCAGAATTTGCGAGCCAAGTTCATTGTCTGCTGCAGATTTGCAGTGAATGTTCATGCTTCGCCAGTCCCCTACCTTATTGGTAATACAGACAGTCACTCTTGGCCATGGGCCCATGGCCACCCACAAGCTTGTTGGCAAAGCAAAAATAAAATAAATATTACAAAATTGTTTATAGTTTTCATTTTCATAAATACTGTACTCAATATGAAATGCAAAGGTAGTGAAATGAAGACTCTACAAGGCTTCAGTTTATATATGAAGCTTTCGAGTATGCTCATGTTATTTATTGAAATCTTTGTTTGTTCATTATTTTTGTTTATTATTACGTACCTATCTGTGAGTTATATGTTTTGGAATTTAATTCTTAACATGTTTAAGAATACCAAGCTAATTCACTTTTTTTGTTTGAATTATCAACAGTAACGTCTGGTCCTTTTGGCATAATTTGTGTAGTTATCACTCTTGATTTAGTCTACGAGCTATGAAACTTTTTAACGTTTTCCATGAAAGTTGAAACCCATGATGAAGGCAAAGCATATATGATGATGCAGATGATGCATTCCACTTCATCTATTTTGAGATAAAATATTACATTTATAATTGAGGCATACAAAGTTGTCAGCTACAAGAGCCGGTATAAATGCAGATAACCAAGGTTATTATAAATACAGAAGCACAGTAACCAAGGTTACTACAATTCCACTTCATCTTAGCAAAGGGATATCACTCACCGGGTAGATATCCAATCTTATATATAAAAACAAAGCAGGATATGTCAATAAAAAACTATGCATAGCTCACATGCATTCATATTTAGTATGTACTATAGGACATCTCTAGGAAGCCTAACAAACCCCAAAAGCGTCCTCAGCCACAAGGCTTGCATTGCAACAGCAGCAAGGGGAGAAAGTAGTTCATCTTCTTGCTTCACACTCATCACGACATCTCTTTGTTCAGGATAGATAACTTAGAAGATTGTTTGATGGGTATGCTCTCAATCATGGTTCCACTTAGATCTAATTCTTGTAATGTGGTTAAGCTAAGGAGGAAATCAGGAATTTCTAATATACTGCAGTAACTGAGGCTTAGTTCTTTCAAAGAAAGCAAACCGCCTGAGAAGGGAGGAAATTTTTGAAGTTTCAAGCATCCATCAAACATGAGACATTCAAGCCAGTTTAAACTGTAGATGCTGCTTGGGACATACTCAAGGTTTTCGCAGCCAGAGAGCTCTAATATTCGAAGCCCAATAAGATTTCCAATCGACAAAGGTAGCTCTTTAACTGTTGTTCCCTTTAAACTAAGAGACCCCATATGTTCCATAGGCTCCAAGATTTCTGGGAAGTTCTTGAATTCAGAGCAACCAGTAAGATCAAGACGTTGAAGACGTTTCAACTTCCAAATGACCATCCATAAGCTCACAAGCCTTTTGCAATTTTTCAGTTTAATGTTACAGAGACCATCCAGAAGCTCGATCGATGAGCGCAATACCTCTATTGTTGTCCCAGTCAAATTTAAATAACTCAAGTCCCTGGGAAGCTCCAAAAAGTTGGCAAGAGTTGAGCAACCTTTTAGAGTAAAATAAGTATGCATTTCCATGACTTAATATTACAACTGCTTGGAAGATTTTTAAGCTCTTTACAATCTTTAATACCTAGGTGACATTTTTTCATGAGACCCAATTGATGAAGGCAATTTCTCTATTGTGGTACCACGTAATCCTAAAGTTTCCATATTATGTGGCATCTCTGGAAGATACTTGAGTTTCTTGGAGTCCCAGAGTCCAAGATGAGTAAGTGTTAAAAAGTAATGCACACATGTACCTCGAATAATAAAGAAAAATCTTCAATAATATAGAATAATTTAGAAAAATTGAGAGATGTTGACAAGTTAAAGTCACTTGAAACATCCTACTAATTATATAATATATTGTAACTAGATAATTCTAGATTTATTGTACAAGTAGTGGCTGAAAATGACTTTGGAAAAGTCGTGCAACCGACTTGTCCAAAGCCAAGTTGCCTACTTAGCATCCCTATATATATAAGCTAGCAGCCCACATATGTATTCAAGCAATTAAAGCTGAAAAACTACAGCTGTCCAATTCATGCTATCATCAAACTCAAGTCTCTGAAGCTTTGTAACTAATTTCCTCCTTCATTCAAATAAAATAAAATTACCTTGTTACTCTTTGAAAAAGTTTTCCATTCCACATCAAGCTATTGTCCTAAATACTAAAACCAACCATTTCTTAAACCTCTTCTCCCATAAAGGTATCAGAGCTTGTTCCGATCAACCTTGGGAGTTGGTTCACTCTATTCCTCCATCATGTCTACCACTAGCCAAAACTCTAACCCTCTTCCTATTTTCACCGAAAAAAACTATGACTTCTGGAGTATTAAAATAAAGACCTATTTTATGTCTCAAGATTTATGGGACATAGTTGATAGTGGCTTCAATAATCCAGAAAATCCAATCGTGGAACAGTTGAGGCAATTGAAGAAAGATCAACAAAAAGATGCACATGCCTTATATGCCCTGCAACAAGCCTTGCATGATATGATTTTTCCAAGGATCATGGGAGCCGCAACTGTAAGGGAAGCATGGAATACCTTAAAGGAGGAATTTCAAGGCAATGTCAAGGTACGTGCAGTTAAACTACAAACTTTGAGAAGAGAGTTTGAAAACATGAAAATAAAGGATTTTGAGACCACACAAGACTATTATGCCAAAATAAAAATAAAAATTAATCAATTGAGAGCCTCTAGAGAAAATATTAATGATTCAAGAAATGTAGAAAAAAAATACTTATAAGTCTTCCTGATAAGTATGATCCTTTAGTTACTACCATTGAATAGACAAAAGATTTAACTAGTCTGTCAGTGACATAACTAATGGGTTGTCTTGAAGCATATGAAAAAAGACTGAGTAGGTGAAATGAAAATTCAGTAGAAAGCGCATTTCAGTCAAAACTAAATTTAAGGTCTCAGAAAACTAAAGAAGGGGAAAGGAAATTTGGAGAAATTTTTGGAAGAGAAGATTATAAATCCAACAAGAATTGGGGAAATAAAAAAGAAATAAAGGAAAGAAAAAATTATCCTCCATGTGGGGTGTGTAAAAATACAAACCACCTAGAAAAATATCTTTGGTTCCATGGCAAACCCAAATGTCGAAATTGTAAAAAATTTGGGCACATAGAAAAAGACTGTCGGACCAAGAATTATCAAGCCAATTACTAAAAAAAAAGTGAGAAGAATGAGCACGTGTTTTATGCTCATCAAGCCACACCAGAAGGAACCAACAAGAAATGGTATATTGACAGCGGCTGTAGTAACCACATGGCTGGAGATGAAAGCATCTTCTCCAACATAGACAAATCCGTAAAATCCCAAGTAAAACTGGGAAATGGAACACTGGTGGAGACAAAAGGAAAAGGTATAATCTCTATCCAAACTAATAAAGGAACTACATATATTAAAGATGTTCTACTAGTACCTATCCTAGAGCATAATCTATTAAGTGTTGGACAAATGATTGAAAATGGATACTCTCTGCACTTTTCTAAAGATTCCTGCAAAATATTCGATAAAAGAAATAAAAATAACATAATAACAAAAGTAAGGATAGAAAATAGAAATTTTCCTATCTAATGGCAATTTGTAAAAGCCACAGCCATGAAAGCAGAAGTAGAAGATTCATGGTTATGGCATAGAAGATTTGACCACTTTAATTTTTATGCACTAAAAACCTCTTTATCAAAATAATATGATGAGAGATCTTCCAAACATAAAAGAGATCCATGATGTTTGTGAAGGTTGCCAACTTGGCAAACAACACCAACAAGCATTTCCATCTGGAAAGGCTTGGAGAGCTAAGGCCTTGTTGGAGCTTGTCCACACAGATGTTTGTGGACCTATAAGGACTCCATCTCTTGATAACAACAAGTACTTTATCCTGTTCATAGATGACTATACTAGAATGACGTGGGTTTATTTTCTACGACAAAGATCAAAAGTATTTAATATCTTCAAAAAATTCAAAACCCGTGTCGAAAAACAAAGTGGCCGCTATATTAAAGCTCTAAGAAGTGATAGAGGAAAAGAATATACTTCTAAAGAATTCAACAAATTTTGTGAAGATGAAGGATTAGAGCATCAACTAACAGTTGGCTATGCTCCTGAACAAAATGGAGTCTCAGAAAGAAAAAATAGAACTGTCATGGAGATGGCAAGATCCATGATATTTGAAAAAGGCTTGTCAAACACATTATGGGCAAAAGCTATATATACAACAGTATACTTGCTAAATAGATGCCCAACAAAAGCTTTACAAAATAAGACTCCTATTGAGGCTTGGAGCAATATAAAGCCATCAGCAAAGCATCTCAAAGTATTTGGATGCATTTTCTATGTGCACATTCCTAAGGAGAAAAGACACAAGCTAGAAGAAAAATCTGAAGTTGGTATATTCTTTGGATACAGTTCCCAATCTAAAGGCTATCGAGTCTACAATCCCAGAACTAAGAAGTTCATGATAAGCTAAGATGTTGAGTCTGATAAATTGGCGTCATGGAACTGGGAGGAAGAAAAAGTTGAAAGGAAAAGTGTTACTATAACACAACTGTGTTGAGAGGAAACTGAAGAAACTCCAAGTACAACTCCACCACCTACAACTCCTCCATCTATACAACATGAGGGCTCTCCAAAACCAGATTAAAGAACTAGATCACTCCAAGATATATATGAGACTTGCAACTTCATAACTATAGAACCAGAAAGTTTTGAAGTTGTAGTAAAAGAAGAAATCTGGAGAAAAACTATGAAAGAAGAAATCAAAACAATTGAGAAAAACAAAATATGGGAACTCATTGATCGCCCACAAGACAAAGAGAACATTGGGGTTAAATGGGTATATAAGACCAAATTTAACCCTAATGGATTGATACAAAAGCATAAGGCGAGGCTAGTAACTAAAGGCTACTCGCAGCAGCCGGACATGGACTACAACGATACCTTTGCACCAGTAGCAAGACTTGACACTATAAGAGCATTGGTAGCACTAGCAGCTCAAATGAAATGGAGAATTTATCAGCTAGACATAAAGTCTGTATTTCTAAATGGAGAGCTCGAAGAAGAAATATACATGGAGTAATCACAAGGATTTATAGAACAAGGAGGAGAAGATAAAGCACTCAAGCTAAAAAAAAGCCTTGTACGGACTCAAGCAGGCACCATGAGCATGGAACAACAGCATAGACAAGTACTTCATCAACGTAGGCTTCAGGAGGAGCAAAAGTGAGAGTACTCTCTACATCAAAACTCAAGGTAACTATGATATCTTGATCGTCTCTCTATATGTGGATGACCTCATCTACACAGGAAACAATGAAGAAATAATTCAAGAGTTCAAAAAGATATGATGAAAACATTTTAGATGAGTGACCTTGGGTTGATGCACTATTTTTTGGGCATTAAAATAAACCAAGAAGAAGATGGAATCTTCATATGCTAGAAAAAGTACACTGAGAATCTTTTGAAAAAGTTCAAGATGTACACTGTGGCTACTCCACTTATCACCAATGAGAAATTAAGAAAGGAAGATGGATCAAGTAAAGCTGATGAATCATTTTACAGAAGTCTCATTGGGAGCTTACTATACTTAACAACAACAAGACCCGACATCATGTACATTGTGGAATCAAATATATACAGATCCTAGGTCAAATAATTAAGCCAATCAATTTGAGAATTATTTGGCCTAATTGGGAGTTATTTGATTTAATTGGCAATTATTCGATTCTTACCCTAATTACGTCAATCTCTCCAAATTAGGGAATAATAATTCATTTCCATCTATGAAATTATTCTTCTGAAACCCTAGCCTTCGAGGCTCCTATAAATACATGGCTACACTAAGGGTTGATGAACGCCTAAACTTTTGTCTGAAACTCTACATAAATTCCATCTCACAAACCCTAGCCTTTATAACTCTTTCTCTCACACAAGGCTCCGACCACCTGGTTCACACCATACATATATCTCTGTACCCTTTTGTTAGCCATTGTTCCTACAAACACTCAAACTAACTTAGGCATTAGAGGGCCTTTGGCCAACACCCCCTGGGTGTGGTTCTTTACTCCGTATTGTTTTGCAGGGAGAAAGAGAATCGAAGAGGAAGACGGAATCTTAGACGAATATTCTCGTGGGACGAAAATCGCTCCCACAAATTGGTGCTTTCATTGAGAGTGCGAGTTATACTCAACACGAGCTCAAGGAATCCTTTCCTCCTATTTTCCAATCCATCGAAGCCTTTCAAACAACCATGGTTGGAAGCAAATGTCCCAGGAGCTAAACCATCGTGACGGCGCACTCTAGAACGACCGAAACCTTGTTGCCACCGCGAGGTACAACTACTGCCAGCGTTTTGGAGTAGCCTCCCACAATTGCCAACACGTTCCAACAACCCCCTAGTGAGTTCTAGCAACCCTCTAGTGAGTTCCAGCAGCCCCCTGTGGCTGCCCATGCCATCCAACCACCTCCAGAAGCTTATCAACCACCGCCGCTGGTTCGTAACATCACTAAATTGGTACCAACCTCCCTCATGGCCACATGGCCGGTGTTGTCCCAGCTCAAGGCCCCATAGTCGGTACCTCTTTGTAGCTACATGACCCTGTGGCTTCCATCGCCGTACAACCTTGGAGCAAATCCATTCGCTCCCTCCTTTGCAACCACACGTGACGTATGCACCCGTGTACGCATCTAATGGAGCCCTAGCCCATATGCCATTGGGCCCGATCCACACCTTTCTTCCCAACCTATGCAGTCAAGTGGGCCTTAACTCACAAGTTCATCAAATCACATAGAGGATCGACAACCAAAACAATTTAATTTGCCAGCTACTCAGGCATAACAACTTGAATCAAGGCCCTGACCTTGGAGCCCATGACGAGGAGAAAAGGATCCATGAGCATACCGGTGAGCATTTCGAGAGATCTGAGACTAGTCGAATACAGACAAACGGGCAGGGGAGAGAACAAGATCGTGTTGAAGAGATACAGACATCTGCAAGCTATACTCTGAGCATGTCGACAATCCGTTCAAGGTTAGGTCTAAGGACCAATGTGCACGAGAGGTTGGGCCCACAGTCCAATGTCCACGGTCGCTTAGGCTAGCAAAGAAGTATCCATTCTAGGCTGGGCCCACAAGGAGCCCGAGTTCGTGAAAATTGCGTGGCGAACGCAACAACCGACGCTCACCAACATACTCAAGAACCAACTCACGACGACTAGCCATGTAGGAATCCTCGCAAGCTCAATTTACTAATATGCCTAACGGGCAGAACAACTAAGGAGGTCGACTTTTGCAAGCCAACGAGGAAGTCAACCAGCATCTCCTAAATTGTGAAGGTCATCGACGTGACCAGCAAGCCATATGCGTAGAGGATGTCGAGAATCTATGAACAACCGGCTTCGAGATTTGATGATCGGAGAAGGTTTCGAAGATTCCCTGCGTAGGGAAGTGGATCAAGCAAACTCCACACATTCACATCCGAAATCGAGTAGGCTGCTCCCCCGAAGCGATTCTCAACGTCTTCGTTCACACACTAGTTCAAAAGGGATTCTGATCCCGAGAGCCATTTGAAAAACTTCAAGAGTGTTATGATTCTCTATAAGGACGAGTGTTTCAACATCTTTGTAATGACTTTGCGAAGAATAGCCTCAGGTTGGTTCCACACCCTACCATCCTGGTTGATCAGCAACTTCAAGGAGATAGCTTATGTCTTCACCAAAGAATACAAATCTTACCAGACAATCAAGAAGAACCCTAGCCACCTACTTAACTTGTACAAGAAGTCTGATGAATCCCTCTAAGATTACATCAAGAGGTTCAAAGTAGAAATGGCAAACAATGTAGGATGTAATAACCAAGATGCGTTCTCTGCCTTGAAGAAGGGCTTGCCAGCTGAGCACGACTTATATCGCGAGCTAACTATCAATCCAAGCCAAACTCTAGTAGAGGTGTATGCGACCACCGAATGCTACGCTATCTGGGATGACGATCGAATCCCCACAAAGAAGTTTACCAGGTAAGCTGACCAACCAGCCAGACAGGCAGGTCAGAGAGGCGACAGATTCAACAACAAGAATAGTGCGAAGCAGATGTACCAAAAAGACCCCTGGGCAGATGAGAACTTCACTAAGTTTTCCATCCCCATACATCAAATCCCAGCCCCAAGTGAAAGACAAACCTTGGGTGAGGAGATCACTGCCTCTAAAAAAGGACCCAGATAAGAAGAATGCCCACAAATATTGTGCCTTCCATAGGGGATACGGACACTACACGAATAATTGCCTTGCCTGGAAAAAGCACCTCGAAGAACTAGTGAGAGAAGGCCACTACATGGAATTCATTGTGAAGCAGGCCATTCAGCAGATTGAGGACCGCGATAATGCCAATGAGCCACCCCAGAAGGTCATAAGGATTAACACGATCCTAGCCGACTTCGAGGAGTCCTGGCTGACTAGCAAAGAAAAGAAGAGGAAGATCAAACAGGCTACTATGATCTCCCAGATCTCGAGCAACCTCCCACCAGCAGTAGACGATCCTGTGATCATATTCCAAAAGAAAGATCTAATCTACCTCGATCTACCACACAACGACCCCATTGTCATTAGCATCCAAATTGCTTAGGCCATGGTTGACCGAGTCCACGCAGATGAGAGCAGCACAACCAACATCCTACAATTGGTGTTCATCCAACAGATGGGTCTGGAGACAAAGATTAACAAATCAGCCAGGTCATAGACTGGCTTCAAAGGCGCAACAATGATTACCATGGACAAGATAGATCTCGACGTCTACTCCCCACCTCTAATCAGCTCGCAAACATTCATGGTCATTGATGAAGTCTCCCTTTACAACGGCATTCTGGGTAGACCATGGATTGGCAAGATTAATGCCATCATCTCCACCTTGGGGGCAGTGTTGGCCAGATCAACAACGATCAAGCAATGCTCAACTCAATGGTTGAAGATAAGCAAGCAAACATAGTTCCTCCTTGTGAATCAGGCAGATCTGAATGAGTAAAACATGCAGAGGAGAAAGAAGATCATGTTCCTGACAGCCAAGCAGGCTAGAAATGAAAGGGAAAAGCTACTCCCTAATAGCTATCAAAGAATCAAGACCAATTCGAGGGAATTTGTCCGTAAGTATCTCCTGAAGAAGGATGAAAGCCAGAAGAGGACATCGAGCTAGTACCTTTTGATCCTGACAAGCCAAAGAGAAAAGCACGGATCGGCTCACGCCTAAGCTAGGAGGAGAAGGCAAAGCTTGTACCCTTCCTCCAGAACAATAAAGACTTATTTGCATGGTCGCCATTCGACATAACAGGCAACAATCCCCAGATCATCTGCCATCACCTACACGTCAACCCAGCTATCAAGCCTATAGCGCAGAAGAGACGCAACTTCACTCCCAAGCAGGTTGCCATAATTGAGGCTGAGATCAACAAGCTCCTAGCTGCCGGATTCATTTAAGAAGTCTCCTAGGCATAATGGCTGGCGAATGTTGTTCTAGTTGCAAATAAAGATAAGGGTATGTGAAGGCATGCCATAAAGACAACTTTCTACTACCAAGAATTGATCATCTCGTTGATTCAACTTCTGGCAATTAACTGCTAAGCTTTATGGATGCCTACTTCTGCTACAATCAAATCATGATGCATGAAGACGACAAGGCAAAGACCTCTTTCATCATCGAAAGGGTTACATACTGCTACAAAGTCTTGCCTTTTGGATTGAAGAACGCCGGAGCAACCTACCAAAGGCTAGTAAAAAATAAAAATTTCAAGGAGTAAATTGGCAAGACTATGATGGTTTACGTAGACGACATGCTAGTCAAAGCTCCCTAGTGAGCAGATCACATCAAGAACCTTGCCGAGGCATTCAGCCTACCCCAAAAATACAACATGAAGTTGAACCCAAACAAATGCACATTTGGAGTCTCGTCCAGCCAATTCCTGGGATACTTAGTCACCCAAAGAGGATTGAGGCACATCCAAATCAAATAAAGGCTATACTCAACATGAAGTCACTTGCCACAACAAAGGAGATACAAAGTCTAACGGGTAAAGTAGCAGCTCTCAACCGATTCCTCTCAAAATCTATCGACAAATGCAGGACATTATTCAACGATTTGAAGAAGGGATAAGTGGGATGAAGAGTGCGAAGTAGCCTTTCGGAGCTTGAAGACCTACCTCACTTCACCTATCCTACTCTCAAAATTGATACCAGGCCAAGACTTGTTCATCTACCTGGCGGTGTTTGACTCAGCTGTCCACTCAGCTTTCATCTGAGAAGAGCTGGGAGCACAACATCCGATATTCTGCACTTCAAAAGCTTTCCTCAATGCAGAGACTCGCTATTTAAAAATGGAGAAGTTTATTTTTTTTCTCTTGTAGTTTTCACAAGAAAACTAAGGCCTTACTATCAAGCTCACTGGATAATTGTCATGATGGAATTTCCTTCACAGCTCTGATGCCTCTCAGCAACTGATGAAATGAGCTATCGAACTCAGTCAATACGACCTCCCCTACAGGCCGAAGATTGCTATAAAAGCCTAGGCTTTAGTAGATTTTGTTGTAGAGTTTACTCCAATAGCTGAAGAAGAGAAGCTGGTCATGAAAAACAAGAAAGATTCAAGAGCAGACAATACCTCCCCTGCTAATCCAAACTTTCCCAACGAGATGTGGTAGCTGCGCGTAGACGAATCGCAAGGGAGTGGGGACTGTGTCTAGCAAAAGAACTGCCGATCAAGAGATTAGCCATCTACTCAGACTCCCAGCTTGTCACAAATCAAGCCCCAAGCGAGTACATGGCAAAACATGCAAGAATGATCCAGTACCTCGACGAAGTCCAAGGACTTTAGAAAGAATTCCCTACTTTCACCATCCAACAAGTCCCATAGGCAGAAAACACTCGCGCAGATGCATTGGCAAGCCCAGGATCAGCGCTGGATACCTAGTTCAGATGCTCCATCCCAGTCGAACACCTTGACCAAGTCTGAAATCAAGAAGATCCAACAGAGCCAATCGACACATTGCAAATTGATGATGACCACAGCTGGCAAGACCCCATCATCGACTATAGTGAATGGACATATGCCAATGATCCAAGTTTGAAGTTAAGAAAATCCAATAAAAGCCACAAGATACTACATGTAAGAGAACAAGCTCATTCGCATATCATACTCTGGCCATCATCTCATATGCATAAAATAACCTCAAACACTTGAGGTCCTATACAAAATTCACGACAACGAGTGTGGCAACCACTATGGGGACAGGTCATTCACCTAGAAGGCTCTAAACATAGGTTATTTATGGCCTACCATGCTCCATGACTCCATTAAATATGTCAAAATATGTGATCGGTGCCAACAATACAAACCAATTCCTAACTTGCCTGGCGAAGTCTACGATCCGCAGAATAATCTGTGGCCTTCCATGCAATGGGCCATCGACTTAGTAGGCCTCATGGCAACAACATTTGCTAAGAAAGAAATAATGATCGTCGCCACTGACTATTTTACTAAATGAATCGAGGCCGAAACTCTATCCTCTACTAAAAAAAGTCGATGTTGAATGATTTGGAGAAACATTATTTGCCGATTTGGCTATCCACAATCACTAGTTATCGACAATGGCTCGCAATTCATTGGCAAACAGATGACCGCCTTCTTTACAAAATGTGGCATCAAGCAGCACAATTCATCAGCAAGAAGTGTGCAGTTCTCCACAAAACGTCCTCCAAGACCATCACTTGTACACGTCTTTGCCCTAAGCAGCGTACTCTGGAAGACGTAGGGCATAAAGCATCCTCCGAGAGAATCGCTCATAAGCCGAATCCTCAGGGAGATGCACAGAGTAACAACATGCCATACACACATTTGCCCCTAAGCCACGCATTCCAAGATACGTAGGGCATAAAGCACCCTCTAGGTTAATCGCCCATAAGTCGTATCCTCAGGGAGACGCATAGCGTAACAGCAGGCCATCCACGCCTTTGCCCCTAAGTCGCACATTTTGAAGTACGTAGGGCATAAAGCATTATCCAAGACTACCACCATAAGCCACATCTTCAAGGAGATAAGGGTGAAAAAATAGGTTATACACATCTTTACCCCTAAGCCATGTACTCATAAAGCATTATCCAGGAAAATCGCCCAAAAGCCTCATCTTCAGGGGGATGCATGGCGTAATAGCAGGACATCCATGCCTTTGCCCTTAAGCTGCGTATTCGGAGATACTTAGGGCATAAAGCACCCTATGGGACTATCACCCATAAGCCGCATTCTCAAAGAGATGCAGGGTGTAAAGCATCATCTAGGAAAATCACCCATAAGCCTCATCTTCAGGGAGATGCATGGCGTAATAGTAAGCCATTCACGTCTTTGCCCATAAGCCACGTACTCCAGAAGACGTAGGGTATAAAGTATCCTTTGGGACTAACGCCTATAAGCCGCATCTTTAGAGAGATGCATGGCAGGAGTTACAAAGCAGACCACATAGATCATTGCCCATAAGCCACATCCTCAGGGAGATGTTGGGTGAAATCTATGATGCAGAGCATCACCCATATGCCGCATACTCAGGGAGATGTAGGGTAGACGTTGTAGGGTGAAAACCTCACATACAATCACTCATAAGCCGCGCCTTCGAAGAGACGCATGGTGAGAATTATGAGGCATCCTAAAGAAGGAGCAGAAGAGCACCCTTCAAGTAAGCGGTGTGTAAACATTCAAACATCCTAAGGGAGGTGCACAACCAAGACACTAGTCGGTTACTTGAGCAGTTCACAAGACAATTACAAATTGAAGTTGAAAGAATAACTGAAATTTCCATAGTAAAGTGACCAACCGGCAAAGTTCAACAAAAAGAAGCTGGTCAAAAAGACCAATTCTTCTAAACAAGAAAGCAGACTACAAAAGTTGAAAAGAAATAAAAGAGTCTTCATCTAATCCAAGAGCTGGCAGGAGATCCCTGATCTGGAGCCTCTTCCACATCTGCTTGATCAGCCATGCTCTCAGCCACCTACCTGATCCACGACATCTGTCACCATCTCATCAGTTGCATTCCCCTCTGCTCCATCCTCTTTCAACCATAGCCTCTTCAGTCTCCTGCTCTTCAGCTCTTTCCGTGTCCATAGTATTGACATGCCTGCGTTGAATGGGGGGCAAGTCAGGGCAAAGCGTCTCGATGTCTTCATTTCAAATGGCATAGAAGGGAGCAGATCCATTTGTGCAGTCCAAGTAGCTATTTGTGCCTAATAAATCACGGTCGTCAGAAGGGACCTGTTCTTGGCCGTTGCACCTGTTCATGGACTGAAACGGCCACGTTTCGTCAGACATTTAGCCTTTTCGAAAGCAGAAGAAAATACAAAGGTAAGATCTTCTCAGCCTCACAACCACGGCATTATGGGCTGAAGCTGAGGTCCATGAGAGACACGGCCAAAGATACTATGGTCAAATCGCCACGTGGCCTCAGGGTCCCATGCCTCATTTAATGAAGTAGTGCCTCTGACCGCCATAGCAAAACCACTGGGTGCAAGAAGCATTTAATGCACGAGGGCAGAAGGGAAGTTATTGAAGTCAGGATTTAGTAACATGAATCAGAGTGGTTAGGCGCAAACATTCTCACAAAGCATTCTCACAGCTTGAGGTCAGATCACCAACCACTGGACCAGAGCATTAAATGCGTTCCCACGGCCAAGAGTGCAGAGCCCACGATCAGGGTGGTGGCCGAGATTTGCCGAGATTTATGGGGGTAACACCACCATGCTTCACGATCCCAAATGCCGATTTGACTACCCACTTGCCTCGATCAGACTCCACCATGCAGATATTTTCAAGCCATCAGGCAGATCTTTTTTAGCCTCGATTGGCCCTCCAGGACTCCTCCTATAAATACTAAGCTCAAGACCACGTTCAAGGGGTTCAAACACCAAACCAAAAGCCTCCCACAGAGCAACTTATATTTTCTGTAATGCACTTTTAATACCTTTACATGCTTTCCTAGGAGTAGTGGTAGATTGTAAGGAAAATCCATTCATCAATATATCATACGACCCTTGATTTTTCAAGGCGCCGGAGCATCATCCCTGTTATCGCCTCATTCACCCCATATATCATACGACCGTCGCTCTCTGAGCACCGCCCAAAATCCACCAACACCACCACTAAACGGCCTTGTAGCTCATGCCGTGAACTTGACGGCCGAGATAAGTTCATCTCTCGGCCACAATCGTTTGATTAGAAGTCCAACTCCAAACAGGCGCATCATTTGAACATCTTCTACCCAAACCCCATCACCATCTCAACACACGGTAGACCGTGCTGGCACACTCGCGCACAACCGCACTGCATCCAAAAGGAGGACGTCATGTGTTGACGCACATCCCCTCGGCCCGGAGCACCAGTAGTGGGACTATCGTCACGCCCAGTGGCACGCCCAGTAGGACTATCGTCAAAAACCATGGTGGGAACAGTAGTGAAGGATTTGATGGCTAAGCAGGCCGACAGGATAGAGACGTCCTTCGTTGCCGCAATGGACAGATTCTCCTCAGAACTACGGACGCTCTTTCAGGAAAGGATGCCGCCGTCATCCACAACACCTCCCAGAGACGGACAAAGAAGCCAAGAGCGTGAAAGGTTCGAGCTCTACAGTGAAAGCAGCAGCCTCGGCACCTCTGCCCGTACCCAAGCGTCAGGCTACGGCCAGCATTCTCAGCCGCCGACCGATAACTGGGGGCAATCCCAGCCAATAGGGGTAAGTCCTAGGCCGACCTGCCTAGTAAAAACGGCGCGCGGCCCACTCCATGCTTTGGCCGTACCATTAGGGAGAAGCAGCCCCACGCGTTCCGCGGCCCAGCAAACCGGCCCAGTTCATACCATGGCTGTCCAGCCCAACGCAACATGCACTCGCCCCGGCCAAACCTACGACGCTTATCTAATGCCGCACGGCACGACCGAAACGGCCGAGCCCTTCGTTCAGATGGCCCAGCAGACTAAGCCATCGGACGATAGGCCGCAGGTCCAGCGGCCACTTCCAACCCAGCTGGAGTCGCTCCCTCAGGGTCCTCAGACCGAAGGGGTCCGGCGCGCGACCAAGGACGGCCTAGCCCAGAGGTGGCCGGAAACGTCGAGTTGCACTAAGCCGTACACACTTGGAAAGCCCAGGACTTGGCGCGACTTGCTCCCTAAGGTTTTTTGGGCGCGCCACACATCAAAACACTCGGCTATGGGCACATCCCCTTATGTCGAGACCTTCGGCCGTGGTATTAATAAACTAATAGAGCTAAAGGCTCAATTTCTTCGGACTTTCAAGTGAGTTGGGCGAAAGACCAAGAGCTACGCGCTGACAGTGCCCCAGGGTTTAGAAAAGTTAGAACGATCAGGGCTCGACGCTTACAAATCGGTGCAAGTGCAAGAATAGATGGCACCAAGGGCCTACGACAAAAAAGTCAAAAAGAAAAAAAGGTGGAAGTAGGCGAGCGAGTTAGACAAAATGGCGTGGTATAAAAAACAACATACAAGGCATTCAGAAAAAAAGGCCCGCGCCTTATATTTAAATTAAGAACATTGTTTTTACCAAGAGAAGAAAAAGAACGGCCATTTATGGCCCATCAAACAAAAAAAAATATATATATACATATACTTGTCTCTGAAAAAAGAAAATGTACAGAAATTATTACATCCCCAAAATTATGAACGGCCGCCCGCTTAGACCCCCTCACTAAACATCCCCCAGATCAGGCAGGTCATCCTTCTCCAGGCGATGTCTCCGCTGTCTATATCCGCCTGCCACCTTGCCCAGATCAACTTCCTCTCGGCCAATGCCCTCTTCTTCTCGGTCGCCGCCTTGAGGATTTGCCTGGCCGAAGACTTCAGCTCGGTGCCGACCGCCACCGTACCATCTCGGCGCTGAAGGATGAGGGCTCGACGGGCCAAGAGCTCGGCAATCTGAGCCTCGACCTGCGCGATTTCTTCATTCTCTCGTTGGACAATGAGGTCATTCTCCTTCAAACGAGCCATGGCAGGTTGGACTTGTTCTTTGATCACTGACAGCTCCTGCTCAAGCGAGCACCCCTCGGTCATCCTCAGGTTGGCCTTAGCATATCGACCAATCATCTCCTCGCCCTCGGCCAGGCGTACCTAGAGCTTGTCCAGCAAGCCCATTGCCATGGCTGTATCCAGGCAAGACCTGAACTCCATGAATGCCTCGGTAGTGGTCATTTGGTGAACCCCAAAGAAAAGGAACTCCCGGAGTTTTTCAACAACAGCCCTGGAATCCTCGTCCAAAGGAGCCGAGGTCGAGCTGCCTCCCTCTTCATGGAGGCTGGCGTATAACTCCTCGAGATCATCAGAGGAGGTGGTCTCCTGAAGATAGGAAAAAAAGGGGTCAGAAAGAAAGCAACCAGCTGGGACATGAGGAATGACAAGGAGCTGCTGTAGCCGGAAGCTCGGTCAGGACCAAGAGCTGCTGTAGCCGACGGCGCACCAAGAGCTGCTGTAGCCGGAAGCTCGGTCAGGACCGTCGAAGACACAGGCGGTGAGCTCGGCGCGTCAGTAACTGCGGCCTCAACCACTGCAGGCGCGGTCACCACAACCGACTCCTGAGGCAACGGCGCTGGGGGCATGCTCATAACGGCCGCGGATAACGACAGCGACGACCGGGGAGGCTGACCGAGCGAAACACGATGCCAGTTGGGCGACGGGGAGTGGAAGACACAATAGGGGCGGCAGAAGGAACTTCCCCCAGGGTGGCCCGCGTCATTTCTACGGCAGGAAGTTCATCATCTGGCATATCTGCGGCAGGCTCCTCAGTAGCTGGCACTTCTTCGGCACCTAGCGTTTCGGTATCCTCGGCAGTGGCCACCTCCTCAGCCACCTCCTTGTCAACTAACTCCTCGGGGTCAGCCGCCTCCTCGACACCCGGCGCCTCGGTAGCAGCCTCCTTCTCGACCTCTTCCTCGCCCTGAGAAAAAGACCAGATCAACAAAATAAACAAGGAGGGGAAGGGCATGGCCTGGGAAAGGAAAAGGGAAAAAAAAAGTTCAAGGAGAAGTACTTACGGTCACGGGAGGGGCTTCACTCACAGCCACCAAAGGGACTTCCTCCTCGTCCTCGCCCTCCAAAAGATCAAGCAGGACCCTTTTCCTTGGCCATTCTAACGCCGCTGTCTAGACCACAACAGTCTCGGCCGGCGCGGCCTCAACCACTGCGGCCCCGGTGCTTGAGGCCTCTCGACCCCTCTTGCGACCCGGGGCTACATGTACGGAGAAAGAAGCAAAAATTTAAGTAAATAAACAAACAAAGACAAACGCGGCTCAGAAAGACCGACGGAAAAAACACAGAAGGGGGCTTACCACAGCCGGCGTTCTGGAGGTTGGAGCTGTGGTCGAGCCGGCGGGGAAGATGGCACTGTCCTATGCGCCAATGTCTTTCGCGGCCCCACCACAGCCGGCGTTCTGGAGGTTGAAGTCACGACCGCTGCTCTGACCGAAGGGGCGACCGCCACCCTAGGTACGGCCGCGGCCGACGTACTTGGTCGAGAAGGCGCGGCCGGGGCCTTCTTCCCTTTGCCGCCCTTGGGGAGGAGGGGGTCCCAATCTGCGTTCTTCAGGGCCCCCCTCACGGCCTCTTCAACGGGCCGAATGAATCTGGCCGAGATGCACTCCTCGTACCAAAGCCTTCCATCTTTGTCGATCGCGTTTCGACGCATCCATGGCCTTAGCGTCAGGTAGGACATCCCTTTCTGAAGCTAGAAGGAAATCCCAACCACGCTGTGTTGCTGGGCAACGTCGGCCCTCCAGGACGAGAGCCGGTTGATCGACAGCAGCGGGAGCGGTGCCGTCTAACTCAGGCCAAATTGCCGCGCCACGAAATGCGACAAATAAACCTCGGCCCCGGCCTTGGACAGGCCACAGTGAATGTCGCGCGCGACCAGAAAGAAGCCCCAGATCTCCCTCAGGTCGTTCTCTGTCTCGCCATCAGGAATTATGGAGAGGTCGTGCGCCAGGTACAAGGGATACGACCTAGCAAGGCACACCCGAAACTGTGACCCAGCCCTCTCGGTTAGCTTATAGAACTTGTAGCAGAAGACCGAGGTGTTATGCTTCCTGAGGGCCCGGGCGAGCGTGTTAGCCAGCGGCTCGGTGTCGGCGATATTGACCGCCCCCCTCAGTTCTGGGAAGCAAGCCTGCAGCCAGAACTGGTAGGCCCATAGCGGACCACCGTGCTTCGGCTTCATCCCATCAGTGACCACGTCATGAAGAGTACGGTAGACATGACCTAGGAGGAATGGGCCGAGCGCCAACCTTCCGCCCTGTGCAAGATAGTAGGCCAGGTGGGCGAACTCCAAGGTAACTTTATTTACCTGGGTGCAAAACACGAACTTGCATAGCCAGTATAGCAAGAACGCGACATGCTCGACCTCGCCCAAGGGAGTGATAGAATCATCATCGGCGCTATCCTCCACGCCGAAGTTGCTGTAGAAGCTGGAGTAATTGAGCATGTTCTTCGCCTTGCTCCCAGCAAGCTTGGTGACCGTAGGCCACACAGCCTTAAAGCTCTCTTCGGCCTCGGGGGCGGTTAGAGCAGCGTTCACCTCCACGCCTAGAGGGTATAGGCCGAATAGGGCGGCCATGTCTAGAACGGTCGACGTCATCATGCCAAACCGAAAGTTCATGGTAGATGCCTTGATCCTTCCATTGCTGGCCGAAGAAGTGCTCCATCCTCGACAGCCACTTTTCCCAATCCGGAGTCGAAGTCGGGCATTGGGGCTGCGGCCTGGCGACATTCCAATCTTGGAAGTCCCCCCCATCAAAGACCGAGAAGTTCACCAAGTTGTCCCTCAGATGGATAGCCAGCCTCTCTGGCATTCCTCCTTCCATAGAGGGGCCAAGGACGTAGGAGTCGGTGACAGCACCGTCATCATCGGTCCAGGGCGCGATAATGTCAGTAAGGACCAGGCCCTGGATGTCTCGGCAGATGTCCTGGAAGACTTGGGACAGAGCTTCAGCGGAGGCAGAAGTGCTGGAGGCCATTAAAACGGATTAAGGTAGGGTGTTTTAAAGGGAAAAGTCGAGGAAAGGATGATAAACACGAAGAACACTAGAAAGCCAAAGCGTTCAAACAAAGGGATAACTGGGTAGAGAGGTGGAGTGCTTGAGTGAGTTCGAAATGAGCAACTTATATTTTCTGTAATGCACTTTCAATACGTTTACATGCTTTCCTAGGAGTAGTGGTAGATTGTAAGGAAAATCCATTCATCAATATATCATACGACCCTTGATTTTTCAAGGCGCCGGAGCATCATCCCTGTTATCGCCTCATTCACCCCATATATTATACGACCGTCGCTCTCTGAGCAACGCGCCGGAGCACCGCCCAAAATCCACCAACACCACCACTAAACGGCCTTGTAGCTCAGGCCGTGAACCTGACGGCCGAGATAAGTTCCTCTCTCGGCCACAATCGTTTGATTAGAAGTCCAACTCCAAACAGGCGCATCATTTGAACATCTTCTACCCAAACCCCATCACCATCTCAACGCATGGTAGACCGTGCTGGCACGCCCGCGCACAACAACACTGCATCCAAAAGTAGGACGTTACGTGTTGACGAACATCCCCTCAGCCCGGAGCACCAGGCCGCGAGATTTGCGACGGACCAACAGTAGCCCAGCTTGTATGCATCTGTGATAGCATCAAACTTGGATTTTTCAGCAGACTTGTGATAGGCTCCAAATCTAGCCAGAAGCTTGTCATAACTAAGGGAGATGTCCGCATTCTTGCTCTCAAGAAGGAGGTAGGCGTCTTTTCGACTAACCAAGTCAACAACTACTCCTCTTTGAAGTAGATGAAATGTTGCTTCCCTTTCTTTTTCTAAGGAAAGACTTAAAAAGGTATCAAGATCGCTAGCCTGATAGATATAATCAACTAGCTGAAGCAAGTAGACGGGGTTGACAGGAAGTTCGTCTTCAACAACCACGCCTGCATTCCGTGCAAGGCTGGACTTGTCCACCTTGAGATCAGCCGCAAATGTTGTAGAAGAACCCTTCGCCCTGGCAGATGACTCTCGCGTCCTCTTATTCGCAACCATCCTCACCTCCAAAGAAGTCAACGACGCTGAATCAACTCCAAGCTTAACTACTTGTGACTCAACAGCTGGATCATGATGGTAAGGCAGATGAGCAGACCTCCTAGTTCGATCTCCATCCTTTCACTGGTGCAGACGAATCAAACCTCGGATAGGAATATCAGCATCTCTTGGCCTCTCAGTAGGTAAACTAGTTCATGAGCGAACCACTTCACGGAACAAGGCTTGAGTGGAACATCCCGAATATTGCGCATACTGCCAATCTTTTTGTTATCTGCGCCAACGAGATGTTTAACCCTAGCTGATGACAAGGGAACAACTCCTACTTGAGTCTTCTCAGCAGAAGGGATCCTTGTCTTCTTCCTCAACGAAGACACATCCTTCGCCAGTGAAGTCGCAGCTTCATTCCTTGAAGACTTGACATCAGCCTTCCTTTTTTAAAGGGATCTGGTAGAACACTCCTCCTACCCAGCCGGTAGATCATTAAAGCCTAGACCATTCTGCTCCCATCTCTCAACATCCTGGACAGGGGGCAGACCACCAACTTTTTCCTGATACTCTCTCAGCAGTTACCAGCAGCCACCGTCACTCCAACCGTCTTCAGCTGCTCCAGCCATCTTCGGCCGCCAGTCATGACAACAACCAGCCTGGTCCTCATTGCGAAAAAGAGAAGACGAAGAAAAAATATATGTGCTCGACTTACCTTGGGATGCACGACAACTCCTCTCTTCGACAAGCAATACAAGTTCTCCAAGATATCTCTCAAGCTAGAAAATAGAGAAGTTAAGTTTGCGATGTGAAGAAGAGTGAAGAGAAGCCCTGCATTTATACAAGTTTGGCATCCTAGGTCAAGAAGGAATCACAAGCCCATTCCTACTAGGAACCCGACTCCAAAAACAGTCAAAAGCCCACTCCAATTTGGAACCCAATCTGCAAAAGGAGTCCAACTCACTGAAGGAAGCCCAGACACAATTGAACAGCCCAACAATCAATCCATATCTCCTACATGCCACCACGTGCCATGCAGAAGCTAGGGGGCATTCGTGGAAACAAATATCTACGGATCCTATGTCAAATAATTAAGCCAATCAATTTGGGAATTATTTGGCCTAATTGGGAGTTATTTGATTTAATTGGCAATTATTCAATTCTTACCCTAATTACATCAATCTCTCTAAATTGGGGAAGAATAATTACATCCTAACCTCCGAGGCTCCTATAAATACATGGCTACACCAAGGGTTGAGGTACATTTAAACTTCTATCTAAAACTCTACAGAAATTCCATCTCACAAACCCTAGCCGTCGTAACTCTTTCTCTCTCTCACATAAGGCTCCGGCCACCACACACTGCTTCAACCACCCGGTTCACACCATACATATATCTCCGTACCCTTTTGATAGCTATTGTTCCTTCAAACACTCGAACTAACTTAGGCATCGGAGGGCCTTTGGCCAACACCCCCCCGGTGTGGTCCTTTACTCCGTATTGTTTTGCAAGGAGAAAAAGAATTGAAAAGGAAGATGGAATCTTATATGAATATTCTCGTGGGATGAAAATCGCTCCCACATACGCAACGAGCTTACTATCAAAATTTATGCAAAATCCAAGTCAAATACATTATGGAGCAGCAAAGAGAATATTAAGATACTTTCAAGGCACAATTGACTATGGCATATGGTATAAGCCTACTACAGATCCAAGACTATTTGGCCATACAGACAGTGATTGGGCTGGATCAATGGATGACATGAAAAGCACATCAGGCTAAGCTTTTACAATTGAATCAGGAATATTTTCATGGTCATCAAAGAAACAAGAGACTATGGCTCAATCATTAGCAGAAGTCGAGTACGTAGTAGCAGCAAGTTCAGCATGCCAAGCTATTTGGCTCAAAAGAATATTTAAAGATATGGGAGAGTGCCAAACAAAAGCTAATTAAATATTTTGCGACAACAAGTCTGCTATAGCAATGGCAAAGAATTCAGTGTTCCACAGTAGGACAAAGCATATTGCCATCAAACATCACTTCTTACGAGAAGTCTTAAAAAATAAAGAAGTTGAGCTCAAGAACTGCAAGACAGAAGAGTAAATCGCAGACATCTTCACTAAGGCACTTCCAAGACCAAAATTCGAACTGCTCTGAAGCATGCTTGAAGTAACACAAGTGTTAAAAAGTAATGCACACTTGTACCTTGAATAATAAAGAAAAATCTACAATAATATAGAAAAATCTAAAAAAATTTATGGATGTTCACAAGTTGAAGTCACTAAAAACATCCTACTAATTATATAATATATTGTAACTAGATAATTCTAGATTTATTGTACAAGTAGTGGCTGAAAATGACTTTGGAAAAGTTAGTTACTGTGCAACCAACTTGTCCAAAGCCAAGTTGCCAACTTAGCATCCCTATATATATAAGCTAGTAGCCCACTTATGTATTAAAGCAAGAAAAGCTGAAAAACTACAGTTGTCCAATTCATGCAGTCATCAAACTCAAGTCTCTAAAGCTTTGTAACTAATTTCATCTATCATTCAAATAAAATAAAATTACCTTGTTACTCTTAGAAAAAGTTTTCCATTCCACATCAAGCTATTGTCCTAAATACTAAAACCAACCATTTCTTAAACCTCTTCTCCCATAAACTAACAGTAAGCTTGTCAAGATATTGAAAATACGAAGGAATTTGAACCAAACTTGTATAGCCAGAAAGATCTATATGTTCAATTTTATGACTATGAGAGAGATCTAGAACTTTAGTCAAATGTTCCGAAAAACTAAGATTAATCTTTTTTAAGTTCCCAAGATTAAATCTATAACAAAAAATAAAAAGAAATAGGAAGCAAGAATTAAAAAGTTAGCCTGAAAAACTTTCCGCATTGCGTTATACATTAGAAGCAAATACGTACCTAACCTTTCTTCCAAAGTTGCTCAACTTGGCTATGCCGCATTCGAAGCTCAACAACATTTTTTAGAGAAAATTTACAGGGCAAAGATTTCAAAGGGTACCCCTGCCAGTCAAGATAACTAAAAGTGATGGGAAGAGACTGAAGACCTTGAGGAAGTATAATTCGTTGTAATTATGGTCAAAGACAGAATAATAAATCTTTAGCAATCTTAGATTATGCATCTTTTTGAAGGATTTACGACTCGATGGTAGCTCTCTCATCTCATTCATGTTAAAGAATATGCCTTCAACTGTTGCAGTTCCCTAACCCTCTGTTTGGATGAGGGAAAATAACTCGGAATTTACCTAAAAGTCAGGAATTTAAGAGAAGAAATTGACAATTCTCATGTTTGGCAACTTATGCGCGGAATTTATTAAATGACACGAGGAAAAAATCATGGAAATTGAGGCATCAAATTCCCGAGTTTAATTTCCACCAAAATAGACGTCATTTCACAATTTCCATAGTGCGGGAATTCATATTTTCTAGTGTGCCAAAACTTACAACAACAAAAACAGCGCCAAACTAAAAACAGCGCCAAAAACCTATGAAACCCTGGACAACAGATTGCCTTGTCGCTTTATAAACAAAAGCTGTGAGCCAGAGAAGTACTGCAAGCCAGAGAAGAAGGAGCATCATAAAAAAGCTGCGAACCAGAGAAGCAAGGAGAAGGAGTTCTTCTTGGGTTACACATCTCTCTGGATCAAGTTTGAAGGTTAGTCTTCAAGCCTTTCTCTCCTTATCTCCTTCAATTTATATTTTTCTAGTTTAGGGTTACCATGGTTTCTAAATGGCTATCAAAATTGGGTATTTCTTACTAAATTTATGAATGTGTTGAATGGGTTTTGTGATCTTTGTGGCACTATGGCTGGGTTTTGGGAAATCTTAACAAAATACTCTATGCCCATGGATATTGGTGTGTGATTTGTGTTTATAGTACAGCTCTGTAGTTGTTTGTTAGTTTTATCACTTTGTGTTATTGCCTTGCTCTATATTTGTTTGTTAGATTTATTAATCAATGGAGCATAAGCAGGAGTCCTGCACTCAATATCTTGCCATTTAGCATTGGGTGTTTACACATTGTTTCGGCCAAAAGAAAAACTAGTTGAACTGTGAATCCTATGAACCAAGTAATACATAATTCTGGCAGATTGTTAAGCCATGATAGTCTAGGTCCACTAATGCAAATAATTGTTCACTGATATGGGAATCTATGCAAGAAAATTCTTGCTTGACATGTATGTAAATAACTTTTATTTATTAAACCAAACTACTAAACAGTTTTAACTATATGAGTGTGTCTGTGGGGTGTGCATTTAAACTTCAATGTATTGACTTTTATTCCCAATGAGCATCAGAGATGCATTAGTTTTTTTTTTGTCGTTGATGCAGACATCTGATTTCCATTGTTTTCACTTCACCCATATCCTACATCAGTCGTAGATGCATCATATTAGTACACAACCAGCATAGCAAAAATATAACCAGTATATACCTCATAGGATAACTTCAACTATAGGCGTAAGTCCTTGATTTCTACCCCCAGAGCCAGTATATACTTCTGTCCTTGATTACTAAGTTTATCAATTTTTATCTTCTCTACTTTCTATATCATTTTCTTGCTCTGTAGTTGTTTAATTCACACATATAAACAGGTATGGCTACTGTTAATGTTGATAACATGTTAACAAGGTTAAGACAGAAGCATGCTATAGTGAAGACAAGGAAAATTATTGTCTGTACAATGATCTCTTTTATGGTTACGATAGTACAATGGTATTATGATAATTTTTGTGTTAAAGAGCCTTCACATGATTGGGATGAAGAAAGGCGATCTTATTTGAACTGTATGTACAATGGAAAAGAAGTTGATTGTATTGATCAATTTCGAATTAGCAAAAGTGCATTCAAAAAGTTATGCAGAATTTTAGAAGAAAATAGTGGGTTGGTTCGAACTAGAAATATTTCAATTGAAGAATCTGTAGCAATATTTTTGAAAATAATTGCTCACAACTTGAAATACGGAGTCATTGGTTTTGACTATTATCGTTCAATCGAAACAATTAGTTGCCAATTTAACAGAGTCTTATATGCCATGATGAGAATTAGTGAAGAATACATAAAGTTCCAGCCAAGTACTGTTGGGAGTTCCGAAAGAAGCAAATGGTAGTGGTTTGAGGTACTTATATAACTAGAAAAAACAAATAAGATTTTTATTTTATTTTTCAACTAGTTATCTTACGTTTCATACTTATACTTTTTTATATTTCATGTTTAGAATTGTCTTGGGGCACTTGATGGAACTTACGTTCCGGTAACAATGTCGGCAGAAGAAAGACCAAGATATCGAAATAGGTAGGGCGATCTCTCCACTAATGTTTTAGGGGTTTGTGCTCCAGATTTAAGATAAATTTATGTATTACTTGGATGGGAGGGCTCTGCATCTGATGCTCATATATTGCAAGATGCTTTACGTAGGAACAATCGATTTCATGTTGCAAGAGGTAATTTTTAATACTAGTTTTAAATTCGATTTATATTCTTTCTTTTTTTTTTTTTTTTTTTTTATTACAAGCTCTTTATATCTAATTTTCTTTTTAAAATTTCTTATTGTAGATAAGTACTATCTTGTGGATGCGGGTTATACTAATGGCGTATAGAGGAACTAAATATCACTTGAGTGAATGGAGTGGGAACAATAGACCTGAAAATTACAAAGAGTTATTTAATCTACGTCAGTCAATTGCAAGGAATGTAGTTGAAAGAGGATTTGGACTATTGAAGAAACGATGGAGTATATTATGTACACCTTCATTTTTCAACATCAAAACGCAAGTTAGAATCATAAATGCATGCTTTGTATTGCATAACTTTATTCGAACTGAGCCAGCTAATGATCCTGTTTTAGAAGTTCAAGATTTGGTTTAGCTCCTATGGATCATGACATATCAAATCATTCGACATTGGAGGGAAATAATGCTCAAGATAGGATTGCAAGTGTTCAAGTTACTGATCAATGGACAAACTTTCGAGACACATTGGCAGTAGAGATGTTCCATAATTATCAAGTGCAATGAGGCATCATTAATTCTTGATTTATTGTTCACACTTGGACCTTTGTTTCTCTTGTTTCATTTTTTGTTTTAATTGATCATTACTTCTTAAGTTATTTGTTTCTATGAGTACTTGACTATTCATTTACATGTTGTCATGCTTACTGATGTCCAAAGTTGGGATTCTCTACCTAATTTCCTTTCTAATTGTATTTTAAACATGCAAAAGTGAACAAGCAAGGGCTAAAGTCATGAATGGATTTGGAGGAAAAAAGGCTTGCAAAGGAAAGTCAAGCAAAAGGAAAGGCAAACAAGGAGTTGAACCTGAAGGAGAAGACAAAAACTATTTTCAGTGGAATATATCTATGGAACGTGAATTAGCTGATATACTTCGCGAGGAGCGCAGCTTAGGTCACAAAGGAGATGGTGGATGGAAGGCAATTGCTTACAATACTAATGTAAATATATTAGCTGCACAATTTAATCTCCAGATAAGTGCTGATAATATTAGAAATCGTGTTAAGTCATGGAAAAAGTTCTATGGAGTAGTGAGTGATATATTAAGTCAAAGTGGATTCAATTGGGATTCAACAAAAAAGATGATAAGTGTAGATGAAGATCATGTTTGGGAAGAATATGTGAAGGTAAATATATATATATATATATTTTAATCATGTGCTTTTTCTTTTTTCTTTCTGTTGTTAAATAGTACTTATAAGATTCTTATTTGACTTTGATTATTTGTTTGGTAGTCTCATGACGATGCTAGAGGTTTTCGATTTAAAGTTATAGAAAATTGGGATGATATAGTAGATTTGTGTGGCAAAGATAGAGCCACTAGAGAGGGCGCTGAAACAGGTGCAGATGCAACTGAGGTTGTGACTGCTACTAATGAAGTTGATCATGTTGATTTGGATGGTGATACACAAGATTTAGAAGATATTCATGTTATTGATTATATTTCACCAACCTCAACAAATGTTCAAAAGAGAAGAAATCGTGCATCAAATTCTTCTGATATTCTTCCTACAAAGAAAAGAGGTGTTGTCAAAGATGTTATTGCTGATTCGATTGCTAGAATGGCTTTATCATTTGAAGAGTTTATTCGTGCTGATACTAAGAACCTTGATCCAACAGAGGTATATGCTGAAGTACAAGCAGTACCAGGTCTTAGTGAAAATGAACAACTCAAAGCATGTGCTTGGCTGATAGAAAATGACAAACAATTTCAGATATTGAAGGCACTCCCAATTGAGAAAAAAAGGAGTATGTTGCTGATGTTTATTGCACGTGGGGAGTGATTTGGTTTGCTATTATGCTTTGTTTGTTTAAGTTGAGTTATTTAGTTCATCAACGATATGTTATTTTATACTTCGATGAATACCTTCTATGTCGATTATTAGTTTTTTTGTTCTTTCGAAATATTTAATTTCTGTCATTTATAATTTACATGAGTTATCCAAACATTGAAATTTTCAATTTATGTCATTTACAAAATTCTACATATATAAATCCAAACACTGAAATCTTCAATTGCCAGAAATTGAAATGACGGAAATCTAACTTCCGTCATTTTAAAATTCCATGTAATTTGCAATTCCTTCATCCAAACGAAGCATAACAGTGAAGAGCAAAGTATAAATGAGCATATTGTATGTGGAAGCAAATATTCGGGCTACCAATCACAAGGCGCCACATGGATAAGAAGAATATCTCCTAAGTCAATTAATTGAGCCCATTTATTTGGCTAATTAATTGACACCAAAAACAGGGATATTATCTTAAATATGATATATTATCTTTATTTGGGAATAAAATCATCAATTAAAAGATAATATCACTAAGTTAGGATAATATCTTATTTTGGGGAATTATCATCAATTAGGAATTTGATCCCAATCAAATCCCTAATTGATTCAATCTCTACATTTTGGGAAGATATTCTTTGAACCCTAGATACCTAAGTTAGTTCAATTGAATCTTTGAGAAGCAATAGCTAAAAAGGGTACGGAGTTTTCTCTCACGAGGAGAGCAGGGCGGGTCGAAGCCATGTGTGGTGGCACTTGGCCGTGTGGGAAAGAGAAGAATGAGATAGGCCAGCGGCTAGGGTGGTTGTCGCATGAACTAAGGAAGCTCAAAGGGTGAAGGATCTACAAATGAATATTCTCCCGTGAGAAATTTGCATAAACATTTGGTGCTTTCATTGAGAGATTCGAGATATGCTCAATGCGATGCTCTCGAATCCAAGTATTGGGAAATCCATTTCCTTTCCATCATCGGTTTCATCCAAAACCCTCAAATCACCATGGTGAGAGGCCCGACCGCCAGCCGACATGAATATCTCGAGGCACCCATAGCCAATTTCTCTCTCTGTCAAACACGCGAAAAAAAAGAAAAAACCATGGCTCAAGCAATCTGCTAAGTCATAAAGGGGTATATGTCCTGAAAAACATTAAGCACACTACGGATCAATACATGTTAAGGTTCGTGGTTGTAAGTGCTTCATGTGTTTTAAGATTGCATCATGTGATTATAGATGGCATGTTTTTAATAAAAGGATAGCAGGGCTTGTCTATAGTTCGTTTTGTCTAATCACTTTTCATTGTAGCTTGAAGGGAATGACTTAACTATTTTAAACTCATGGCCAATAAAGATTATCAAACTTTTGCAACACATAAGCTTAGTTCTCTAGTGCTTGATCTAGTGGGAGAATGTTATATTCATATTTAGATCGGTCACTAAATACTAAGTTATATCAAGTTTGATAAGCGTTTAAATTAGGTTATACATTGAGGACCAAAACCTTGTGAAATAAGGAAAGTTTTGAAGCTAATTAAATGGTCCTATTTATTTCCTTTTGCGTGAATTGTTGCTTGATGGGCTTCGAGTGTTAGTCAAGTCGGCCCTTGGTGATGAGTAGAGACGACTTGACCTAGCCCTATATAAGCTTAAGACCCTGCTCTCGTTAGACACGTTTTCTAACCCTAATCTCGTCATAAAGAGAGAGTTGAAACTTTCTAACCCTAATCTTGTCATAAAGAGAGAGTTGAAACAATTTCCGAGAGAGAGTAAAAGTCTTGAGCCGTTTGTGTCTTTTGCTAAAGTTGCTGCTATTGCGATTGAATGAGTTCAAAGATCATATATACTCAAGGAAGATGGCGCCGGGTACGTCTTCTATGTATTTCAAGTTGTGTAAAAGATCATGGACACTATATATAGAAATCTAACAGAAGAAGCAGCAACCATATTGATAACCTATAAACCTAGTGTAAGTCAAAACATGGCAATGAGCCTGGACTAGCCATATGTAAATTGGGTGTATATATATGCCTACATTTATCATGCATTTGGACATAAATATATGCTATTGTTATCTTGTGCAGATGAATTTTACATTGGAAGTACTAATCAGAACAGTAATCATGGATATTTGAGGCTTCTGTGCCAATGAAAGTCAACTTTCTAATTCAACTTCAACTTCTTTTGGATGAAAGCCAACAATAGTTGTACCCACTATGCATTCTTTAATTATAAACAACCAAGTAGACATTGAAAATCCTAAAATTCATCTGCACAAGATAACAAAAATACCGAGTAGACATTGAAAACCCTAAGACTCACACACCCCAAATCCCTGCTCAGCCCTAGGTGGATCGATACAAAAGCTAGTGAAGGCTATTGTCCCTTTTCAACATTCATGCCACTCATTAAAATGTTATAGCATCTCATTGTTTTCTCCCTTTTAAATGCTTCCCAAACTACTCCATATGCTGGGGTAGGTACTGAAGCAGGTGGAAGATCACCAAAGGTGCTGCATGCAGAGGTGGCTGGGCCAAGCTTGGAGTTGCAATACTCGTCCTTGGCGTGAACGGTTGCCTGCTTCATGAGCTCTGCATATGTGTTCCAAGGGTTGTTGTGGACCATGTACCCGAAGTTGGACTCGCGGAGGCCACTCTTGAAAGCACCGAAGGTAGCGCGATCGTCAGTCTCTGGGCAATGAGAGTACTCGTGGCTGAAGCGGGTTGCATACTCTCGAAGGGGTTCATCCTCACCTTGCCGAAGCATGTACAAGTCATTTGCAGAGTACAGGCGATCAGTCTGGATCATGAAATAGTCTAGGAATGTCTGTTTCAAACTGTCAAATGAGTTGATGGTCGAGGGTTCAGCTTGTAGAACCAATTCAGGGCCGCACCACTGAGGGTGGAAGGGAAGATGAGGCACATGCCTTCGTCACTAAGGCCCGTGAATCTGGAGGCAGACTTGAAGGAGTGGATATAGGTGAGAGGATCCTCCGTGCCAGTGTAGAAGGCGATACAGAGTGGCTTAATATCCTTCTCCTGGTGGTAATTAAGGATACGTTCGGTAAAAGACCCGGGTCGTGGCTTCCCCTAGAGGGGCTAGTGGCTGCGCTGATGCTCATTCTCTAGGCGCCGAACCTTCTCAAAGAGAAGCCTCATGGCTAGGTAGGCATGAGGAAAGGTCTCGGGTGCTGAAGGCCTGGGGTGTGGATGAGCAGGGGTTGGGGAAGTTTCCCACTCTTTGAACGCCTCAGTGTGATAAGACTCCCAGTCTTCTGGATGGTAAGGTTCCCAATTATCCGAGTCCCCTGCACCTTCTCCAGCGGGTTGGTGGGTAGGCTTCCATGGGGAACCTAAGCGTGCCACCCTTGGGTCTTTGAGATTAACAGGAATAGGGATAAGGTCTGGCTGACGATCTAAGACACGGTCCCTGCAATCTCTATAGATCTTGACTGGTTCATGGGGCCGGTCCTTCGGTGGGGAGATGTGAAGGAGCCGCGACTTAGTCGTCTCCGAATGGAGGAGGCTTTTACCCTTGCTGAGCCCAGACTGAACTGGGGCACTATGGCGGGAGTGCACCGGCTGGTTTGGCTAGGTATGCTCAGCATCCTGGGTAAAGTCGTGTTGGGAGCCCTAAGGGTGAGTTCTCTCCCAATTACACTTCAGCGTGCGGTAATCATGCTCCAGCTCAACATTATTTGTATGAAGATGTTCGTACTTCTCTGACATCTTGGCAACACTGGCGCAGAGGAGCTTTACTTCTGCTTGGAGATTGGTATCTGCTGAAGGTTTCCTTCGGGAGGTACCCCCGCGAAGGGTATGGTGCTGAGTATCATGGCTATCCTCGGTCGGCATAGCAGAGTGTGGGGTGAAGAAGAGGCGGCGAGGCCTGACGGGAGAAAGAGCCAGTTGGGCTGGTAGAGAAAAATAAGATTCAAAGGTCGGTTCCCACTGACGGCACCAAACTGTTGATGCTCTTTTTGGGAGGTCAACTTAGAGAGAAGGGAGTAATCTTCAGTAGGGAAGAAGGTGAGGACCTTCGGTAAGAGAAGAGCCTGCAGAAGACAAAGTAAGAAAAGCAGTCGTTAAGCTTCGGACACCGATTTGGTGCTGGCCGAAGGCTCTCCAATGCTTAAGTCAGCTAAGAGTGGTAAATTTGGCAGAGTAACAGTAAAAGTGATAGAGAAGTTACCCTTTTTACTTGGGTACTGTTCCCTATTTATAGGGAAGTGAAAGTTGGTGGTTTGTACAAAGTTTCGATGTGGGACTTTATACAAGTCGCTCTGGTGGTAACACATGTCTTGGAGATTAGGTTCGGCAGTCAAGAACTTCGGCAGTCGGGAGCCTTGGCAGGTGTCTAGCACCTCAGAAGAGTGTCTTCTTTCGGCAGGGGAGAAGGCATGTCTGCCTTGGTGCTAGTCGTTTTGAGGCTGGATATGCTCGGTTGATTATGATGTAAACAAGTAGTATGCGCTTGGAATGCTACTATGGCATAACCAAGTTTGGTTAGAATGTCTCCACTACAAGAAAATTGGCTAATAATCTTTTAAATAATTTTTTGGAAAATGAAAGGTAATTAGAAATTGTTAATTTTTTTTAGGAATATAATACACAAGCTATACACTCACTTATTATACAAATATAAATACGAGAATTAATATATGTCAGTCAAATCAAACAAAATAATAAAATATTATGATTTGACATGATGTTTAGCTCTTAATTGCAGCTATAGAAAGTCAATAATTTGTGTCACCAAACTCTCTCATTCATAACAAAGAGCAAAAGTTACGGACGCATATGTAACGAACGCTCTAATTGTAACTGCATCATGACTGTTGGCTTTTGTCACTTCAAATCGTAATTAATAGGAGCAATAGTCATGCAAAATATAGTAACTATTGCCCCTTTTTTTTTGTAGTGCTCTCTCTCTTATCAAAAGCAATTCTTTTGAAACCTACCCGAGTGGAAAATGGCATTGACTTGCAGACTAGTCTTAGATTCGAACCCCCATAGCACCTTGATAGTGTGTGTGAGAAACACTCCTCCCCCTAAGACTATGGCTTGTACTATAAATATAAAAACAAAACAAATAGACTAACTCTATGATAAAGTAAGTAAAAGAAAAATGAACTTTACCATTTGGTTGGGTTGTGTTGACTTGTTATAACTTTATTAATAAGCTTGAAAGTCTTGGTAACATGTAACGTCAAATTGTAAATATGTCAACTAAGAAATCATAATTTAATCCCTCAATCTTGTAAGTCTTTATGGTAGGCACTAAATTATATCTAGCAAGTTATAATGATCTCCAGCTGACAGAAGTTTTTGGCATGAATCGTTCACATCATGAAGGAGAATGCAAACATCTAGTTGGTTAATACACAATAACGATTCAATTTGCTCAATTTGGCTTTCAATTCCAAAGTGAGAACCAGTGCCTATCAACCACAAAAAGAAATAAGTACAAAATTTCTTGCAAAGCCAAACTGAATTACAAAGAAGCAAGACAAGCCAATGTCGGAAATTCGAAAACTACAAGGACCATTATATCTGAATTACAAAAGTTTTCATAAAACTAAACTGAAGATCAAGCTTGACAAAAATTAAAAAAAACAGCTTTTTGTAAGATAAAGTCAAGACATTCAAGTTTGTGGTTCTCTATTCCTCTCAATACTTTTTCCCAGCAACCAAATAAATCCAAGTGAAAAAGACTTCTACCTTCCAAGGGCGCCAAAAAATTCTTTCGCCCTTTCCTTTTTCCTTTTCAATTGTCTCAGGACATAGTTCACCATGTCATTCTTTCTATCCTTCCACTTCCATTCCCTTACACACAAGTTTGCCCCTTCCTTTTTCCTTTTCAATTGTCTCAGGACGTAGTTCACCATGTCATTCTTTCTATCCTTCCAATTCCATTCCCTTACACACAAGGTGCAGAAAATATCACTCCCACTTGCTCCATACTCATCACGATCTCTCTCAATTTTAGTATCTTCCTCTACTTTTGGTATGCTTGCAGGTAAGCTCCTGATCATGGTTCCACTTAGATCTATATCCTGTAACGAGGTTAAGGAAATGAGGGAATCAGAGATCTCTAATATACCACAGTAACTGAGGTTTAGTTCTTCCAAAGAGCACAAACCAACTGAGAAGGAAGGCAAACTTTTAAGTTTCAAACAGCCACCAAACATGAGAGTTTTAAGACAGTTTAAGTTGTAGATGCTATTTGGGACAAACTTAAGGTTTTTGCACCCATAGAGCTGTAATGTTTGAAGCCCCATTAGATTGTCAATCGATGAGGGTAGCTCTTTAACCGCTGTTTGTGATAAACTAAGAAAGTTTAGATGTTCCATAGGCTCCAAGATTTCTGGGAAGTATTCAAATTTGAAGCAACCAGTGAGATCAAGTCTCTCAAGAGAATTCAACTTACAAAAGCTCGTTGGGAGTCCTGCAAACCTTCCACAATTTTGCAGTACAATTTTCTTGAGACAAGAGAGATTCTCGATTGATGAGGGCAATGCTTTTATTGCTGTCTCAGACAACTCTAACTCCATTATATTGCTGGGAAGCTCCGAAAACTTGCCAAGAGATGAACAGCCCTGGAAACTCAAATTACATAATTTCAGCTTACAACTGCTGCTGGGTAGATTCTTAAGGTCTTTACACCATTGAATATCCAAGCAAGATATTTTTTCATTAGACCACACTGATGAAGGCATTTCTTTTATTGCAGTGCTACTCATATCTAAGTATTCAATATTTCCTGGCATCTCTGGAAGCGATTCAAGATTCGAGCAGCCTCCCAGGTTAAGATAAGTCAGCTTGTCAAGATATTGGCAATAAGAAGGAATTTGAACCAAACTTGTGCAGCCCTCAAGATTTATATACTCAAGTTTAGGACTCTGAGAGAAATCTGGAACTTCAGTAAGATTTCTGGAGTAACTAAGATCAAGTACTTTTAAATTCCCAAGATTCTGTAACAAATTAGAGAGAAATGACAAGAATTAAAAACTTACCCTGAATAACTTTCCACACCGCATTTTCTACAAGAACTAAAATAAACATATAGACCTACCTGGTCTTCATTCCAAAGTAGTTCAACATTGCTGTAGGACAGTCGTAGCTCAACAAGATTTTCTGGAGAAAATTCTGATGGCAAAGATTCCAATTGATATCCCACCCAGCAAAGATAACGAAGAGAATTTGGAAGAGAAACATCTAATTCCCAGTAATTCCCAAAGCTAGAATTATCAACATTAAGCAATCTTAGATTATACATCCTTTTGAAGTATGCACGATTCGAGTGTAGCTGTCCAATCTCAGACATGTTCATGAATATGGCTTGAACCGTTGCAGTTCCCTGACAATCAAGAGCAAAGTACAAATGTCAAAACACTAAACAACAAGAACTTTGTTACATTTGGAGACATCTAACTTATTTATAACAAAATGAGTTTTTTTTCATAGAAAGTTCATGTTTTTTAATTTTTAAGAAAGTGAAGGAATATGGCTCTTACTGTATTGTTTTTCAACACGCGATAGACATCTTCAGCCATGAACAACCTACTGCGTTTTCCGGGCTCTTCAATACATTGTTCACGAACAATATCCCTGCCCATGTCTTGTAGCAAATCATGCATTTCTATGGTCATGTTTTCTGAAATTGATACGAGAGCCTTATCAATAAGAACTCTAATTCCCGCTACACGGAAACCACTAGCATCTAACATTCTTTTGACAATATACAATGTCTGCACTTTATCAAAACATGCTATATCAAGAAATATCTCCTTCTCATTTGCTTCTAATCCATCAAAATTTAGCCTCAACACTTTCAGGATTTTTTTGCTTAGAAATTTTTTCAAATTGACCAATTCATCTAGCCAATCTTCTTTCCTCTCACATTGAATGAATGAGGAACCTAAAATTTGAACAGCTAATGGAATGCCTCCAGCATAACCTACCACCTTTTCGGCCAACTCTGTATAATCTGCTGTAGGAGTGTTATTTTTGAAAGCATTCAAATGAAAAAGCTGAAGAGCTTCATCACGTGTTAATGCCTTAACCTTGTATATCTTATCATCTTCAACAGTTTTCTTAAGTAGGCTCCTATCTCTAGTTGTTATAATGATTCTACTTCCAGGGCCAAAAAGAGCATGATCTCCAGCTAAAAGTTCTATTTGGCTTGAGTCATCCACATCATCAAGAACAATGAGGACCTTTGTACGACCTAGCCTCTTTCTAACAAGATCTGATCCTATAGATGGAGTGTCGATATTTAGATTCTCATCATCTAATATCTTCCGAACAAGTGTATTTCTCAAGTGAATTAGTCCATCTTTTTCTTCTGATTTCACCCTAACATTTGCAAGAAAACAACAAGCTTCAAATTTAGAAGAGATTCGGTGAAATATAGCATCAGCAAGAGTGGTCTTGCCAATACCACCCATGCCCCAAACACCAACACTGCAAACATCTTGTGAATCAATGCATAATAACGATTCGATTTCCTCAATGCGGCTTTCAATTCCAACCAAGCCCTTTAAATAACTTGATGTTTTGCGATTCAATTTGGTCAAAATATCTTTCACCACTGTCTTAACTAAATCAGACTCCAGCCTGAAATATATGATCATATGAAGGACAACCAATGGTTAGTAAGTACTGATGAAGTGATATTCTACTGAATCAAACGGTCACAAATAGGAATTAATACAAGTTACAGAGAGTTAATTACCCAATTTTGTTTGAATCATCAAACCCTGATATTTTGGCTGCTTTCCTCAAAGCAAGCCTCCACTCGTGAACCTTGTCCATATTGTCCTTGAAACGTTCTTCATGTTGAGCAAATGCATCTGCAAAACTACCCAGCTGTTTTCGTACATCTGATGGATTGATGTCGTAAAAAATCGGTATAACAAACTGCCCATCTCTTTCCTTGCATTTTAGTATATGCACAACTTCATCCAGACACCAAGTGGAAGAAGCATAGTTTTTTGAGAAAATAATAACTGAAAGCTTTGATTTCTCGATTGCTTCGAGAAGGGCAGGAGCAATTTTATCTCCTCTCTCGATTCTGTAATCTATGTAGGTCTCAACTTTCTTCCCAAGTAAAGCAGCATGAAGATGGCTGGTAAAAGTATTGCGGGTGTCCTCACCTCTGAAACTAAGAAACACATCATACTTTTCATCCATAACCTGTGCAAACTCACAAGTCAAAAGAACATGCAAATTAGTTGACATCGTGATACGAGAAAATACAACTTAATGATCTTTTTCTACAATAGAAATATAAGAGATTAGGACTATGCATGATTAAGTTAGAGAGACAGTAAGTGTTTGCGATAGAGAATTCTCCAAGGATAAGTAAGTGGGATTACCTCTAGATCAAGAAACAAGTGGCAGAGAGATTAATTGCCTTGATTATGAAATATTTACAAAAAAGATTAAGTTGCACCTCAGTAATCGGGATCGAATTAAGCAAGAGATGTCCGGTAGAAATAAGTTGCAGAGGGACTAATGCTTAATTATTTGGAAGCAACACAAGATTTAACATCGTCAGAGACTATTATTATATATGGTTTTAGCAATTGTAGTTTACTATATATATATATATACACCCATGGTCCTGTCTCTGAAATTATCCCCTCTGCAGTCACTGAGCTTATTACTACATTCTCTGCTCGAGTTAAGCTTCCTGAGCGTGATCTATTTTTTCCTACTCCTTTGTTATTTTTTACACGCTACAAGATTCCCTGGATTATGAAATGGAACTATCATGCAGATTGGGAGAGGAGATTCTTTTCCCGTCATTTTTCTGTTAAATGGTGGGATCGTTTTGAAGTCCACCGTATATCTGAATATTTTTACAGAGATTTCCCTGCACTACCTCCTAAGCCTGAGCCTAAGCCTAAGCCTTCTTCTTCTCAGTCTTCCCAAATTTCTACTGAAGGAAAATCTAGAGTTGAGCTAAGAGATTTAGCCAAACAGTTACTTTTGCAAGCTGAAGAAATGCAAGATGATGATGATGACAATGAATCTGAATCCTCCTCCAGCTGTCAGCCTCGGCCTCAGAGCCCTAGTCCTGATCGCCCTATGAGATGGTCTGACTATCCCCATGGTCAAGACCCTAATGAAGCCTATTCTGCCTATGATCTGAATTCAGACTAAGTGTCCATGTTACGGTCAAAAGTGAAAGCATGAGTTAAAGTGAAGGCATCTAAGTTAAAGTGAAAGCATCTGAGTTAAAGTAAAGCTAAAAGATATTTGTAATTATTGTACTTGACTTTGTTTACCTAGGTTACTTTTCTTTACTAAGGTTAGATTTTCTTTTATAAGGAGGCTTCGGTCTCATTTGTAATCAGAATGTAAAATTTAGTTTTCTAAGTTTCAAATGTTCTCTCAGAAACAATGATCTGAAGAACAGCCGAGTGTGAGCGAAACTAGGAGCTATTTTTTGTAAGCATTCTCACTAAGCCTATGTCTTTATAAAAGTTTGAGTAATTTTAAAATATATCATTATGTTCATACATTCATTATTTTTTATACATTTCATTATTTTTTATACATTCAATATTTGTTTATTCTTTGATTAGATTTGTGCATAAACTGCGATTATTCTTATACGTTTGCTTCCTTACTGTATATGCTAACCCCTCTTGGTTCTAGATATATATATATATATATATATATATATATTAAACGCTGCAGGAAATTACCCCACAACTTCCTGCTAAGAAACACTCGTGCATTCGACCAAACAAGCATGACCGGCACCATTTTATTTTTTATTTTTTTGGTCAACAGAACTTTCATTAGAAAAAAGCCCAACAAATAAACAATAACAACAACAATCCAAAGGATGTTTTTATCATTTTTTATCAGAAACTCAAAAAAAATAATAATAATAATTCAAAGGATGCATTCTGACCAAAAACAACTCAAAGGTGGCCCCAGTAGCAATGGGAGTGTTATCCAAGACCAAATCTGTAGTAGTGTGCAGACTCATGAAGAAGTCTCTTAGTTGTAGTAGTATCTTGTACAAACACCATTGATGCTCTGCACCGCAGGTTTTTGTTCATCTTCTTGTTCCTTATATAAGAGCTAAAGAGATTTTTCGTCCAAAAAAAAAGAGCTAAAGAGATCACTTCCTGTGAACTCATAACCGTCCCTAGTTATTCAATTTACCTACGTGAGAGAGAGACCTATTTTTCTTCATCTTCATCTCTACGGAATGATGACGTTGTTGCCATGCACATAATTCTAATCAGCCATTATGTTGGGCCATGCATTTTAAGCCCTCGATCCAAAAACTTCATATCCATACCACACCGACCTTGTGTGAGTGTGTAGTCCTTGAACTTGACACTGACTTCAGAGATGTGCATCCATATGTGGGCTTCAAGTGAATGTAGGTGTTCAGTCGTCATTTTACAAATAGGCCAAGTCATGGCATCTATCCAACTATCACGAATTAGGCCGGGGTTAAGTTCATTCACCCATTAATGGAAGAGACTGCAGCCACTAGACTTGAGATATTCAAATCAGAAAATTCAAGTGCGTTGTGGACAAGGTTTGGCAGAGCATTAAATGCTATTTAGAGAGCTTCACCAAATTTCGCTCAAATTGATGGGTCTTTTTACTAACTTCCACCATTTCGAAGCCACATTTCCATGCTTAATTTCAGCAAAGATTGATGGATAGGCAAAAGAAGAAATAACCATGCTTGTCGCTCTGATATTGAGTTACACTACATTAGAGTATCCATAACGATGATGTGTAAATTTAGGGGTGTAAAGTCATTATTACATTTTCTTTACACCTTTTGGATGTAAATGTAATTTTTGCTCAAATGGGGAAAATGTAAATCGAAATATGTATATTCGATCTTTTTGTGTTACTCAAATGCAATTAAATCTAGACCATTGATTTTCAAAAAGAAACAATTTGGGCCACTCATTTGGTGATCGTTGGAAGCTATATTCATTCAATTTGCACTTTGTCTTCTGTGAGGCTCGCCACTTTGCTTTCTTCTTTTTCTTTTTTCTTTGTCTAGAGAGTATGCTTCTACTTGTGAGTACAGAGAAAGTGGCATCACCTTTTGAGCTGCTCTTCTCTCTCCTCTCTCCTCATTTCTTGCTTGTGAGGTCCGCAAAAATGGATGTAAATTAGCATCTTCTTATACACATATAGTGGCTAATGTAAATTTACAAGCCTTTACATCCTCTCACTGGCACTGCAGCAACTTCTCAATGACAATAGGTATAAATTTACCATACATCCACCTTTACATACTACAATTATGGATGCTCTTACTAACCCTATATATATTTGAGGAAAATAAAAGAAAATTGTGGCATATGATATTAAATTACCATTGCAATGTTCATTTATGCACCAAAAAGGATTTGAATAAACACTTAGGGCTTGTTTGGTATCCTATTTGGATCCAATTTTATAAACTCAAAAACAGATTTTAAGTCCAAAGCCACAAATCCCGTCTGGTAGATCCATTTTTAAAAACTCAAACTCAAGAAAAACTCAAAAACGCCCCCATTCTTAAAGACAACAAAAAAAGTGAGGTTTTATAGTTTTTTCTCTCCCCCTCCTCTCTCTCTCTCTCTCTCTCTCTCTCTCTCTCTCTCTCCCCTTTTCTTTTGTTAAAATTCAATTTGGGAATCTAGGGTTTTTTATTTTTCTGCTTTTAAATTCAAGTTTTTTAGATCTTAAAAATAATTTGGAGTTCAATACCAAACAAGTTTTTAGATCTTAAAATCACTATTTGAAAACTCATATTTTAAAAAATAATCATAGTTTTTAAATTTACTTTTTTGAGTAGGATACCAAACAAGGCCTTCGAAACTTCCACATTTTTTCTTCTTCTTATTTTCTACAATTTTCACGCAAGTGTTTTTGGCTAGCTTCACTAAAAATAATATTTAATATTGAATTTTAATGGTGGGTTGTGGGCCCTTTTTCAATATTTTTTTTAATTCTCACGCAAAAGTTAACTAATGTTAATTATAGGACATGTATCACCCTTTAAGAGTGGTGGTGAACATACACATTTAATTAATGTAGTGAGTAAAAATACTCTCATTTTTCTTTCCTTTGATGAATTCCCACGTGGCAATCTTTCTCTTATTGGAGCCTTGGACCTCAGCCCACGTGCTCTGAGTATTTTTTTTCTTTCCAAAATCCATACACAAAGGACCAAACTGAATTTTCACATATCAAATGAAAAATGGGACAGCTGACCGGCTTTGGATTTGTTTTCTTCTCTAAAATCCGTGTTATAGTGTTTATTTATAGGATTTTTAACCGAAATGGTCCCTCAACTATTTTTGTTTTTACTAACCGATTAATGCTTGAGCATTCAAGGACTTCTCCCTGCGGTCGAGCCCCAACTTAATTTTATTATGTTAAATGTATATATTAGGTTTGGTAACAAATGTAAGAAAATTTATTACATTTAAGCATCCTCCGTGTCTCCTCCTCCACTACTAATCATTTTTTGTCAAAATTGCATTCAGAAAGAAAACCACAAATTTCAATCTAGTATTCTTATTTGTAATAATTTATCCAATAAAAAATGAATATAATTAAGCATTTTATGTTGGTCCCCCAAATACAACATTCTTCCTCCGCCTTTGGTTCAAGCGCTAACTGTTATTAAGTTAATAGGACTCTGATCACTCATTTGAGTTTACTCTACGATGTCATCCCATGATCCAAGTCGTTCATTTTTTAAGTCATCATTCCAAGATTACCTTTGTAAAAAATTAACAAAATTGGAAAAACATTTATCTATTTAATTATTTTCGTGAATATTCAAGGTTTATAGAAAGTATTGTATTCACCCATTTATTTGATTACCGCCGTTATGTACTTTTGTTTTCAACCGTTGGATGGCTTTTATAGTTTAGATTTAAATATAACTCATTTTATACCCAACTGATTTCTCTCTCTCCCCCTTTCCTTTTTCCTCTTTTTCTTCTTCCACGCAAGTTCACTCATCTTTCTCTGTCCCTGGCAAAAAATGACCAAATTGAAGCCACAACGACCTTAATGATAAAAGTGATAAACCACAGGGACCAAAAGTGATGTTTTGCCTTTTTTTTTCTTTACCTCCGCCATATATTTTTCTTCCTTTTCTCTCTTTTTCTTCGCACCCCAATTCTATATGGTTTAGTAAACAACTTCAATAAGAATCTAGAATCTAATTATATGGTTTAGTAAACAACTTCAATAAGAATCTAGGATCTAATTCTCCTCAATCCAACTCCTAGGGATTAGTAAGATGTCTAAGTTTGGCTTGACTCTTAAAAAGTAATGTACCTTGTGATTTACAATGAAATATTTAAACCTTACATAAAAAGAAAAACAATTTTATAACATTTTTTTTTTCTCAAGCACATCGCATTCAAGCCAACTCATATTTGCCAGAATTGCAGTCACATTCAAAATAATTCCGATTCTAAATAAATATAGTGCTCTGTTTTAATTATGTGATGTAAATAAAAATTCCTTAATAATATAATGGAGTTAATAACATTAACATAAATAAAAATTCCTTAATAATATAATGGAGTTAATAACATTAACATATCATCTGGCAACAGCAACAATCGAGTAAATGAAAGTTTTGAAAGAAATCTAAATCCAAATGAATCACCAAATGGGAAGAACTGCAATAACTAAGCCAGCAAGGAAAGCCATAACAGAGGTGGCAGTCTTTGAAGCGGAAGCAGGGGGTCCTTGAGGTGTAAGCCCTGAACCTATAAATAATAAAATTAGAAGAATGCTGTAACTAAATTCTAATGCTTTTTTTTCTGGGGATATGTATTATTATAGCTTTAATTAAAAGCAAAAACATACCAGGAGAGTTAGCTGGCGTCTCAGAAGCTGTGGGAGCTCCCACTGGAATTCCCAGAACTGTAAAATTCAGCCAAAAAATAATAATAATAATTAAAAAAAAAGGTTAGTATGACCAATTGGAGCAATTTATATGTCAAGTGATTTTTAGCTAACCGCTCAACAAAATATCAAAAGCATTTTTATGTGTGACAGTCAAATATTAAACTACTTTTTTGTAGAACCGCTATTGGTATAAGCACCACTTACATAAGAACTTCTGAAAAAGCATGCTCAAACGAGTTCTTAGTAACAAACCTGTTGTATTCTAAGGCGTCAATGAAAATGTGACAGTGAAACTCGTTAATTTTTAAACTTAGATTTTTCTATGGTCAACTGTAAAACAGATACTGTAAATCACTTTTGGCCACAAATTTGTAAGCAGACTGAAAAAGAAAATATATATTTAAAAATAATTAACCTCTAGGCTGGGCTGTACCCAAAGAAAACAAAAGGATCGTGTTGTTTATTCTGATTTGTGTGGACAGAAGAACAGAGGCCAGGTGAGTGTTGGTTTCTTCCATATGGCGACATGTGATGAGAGAAAATTTTCTGGTAGGAACCATTAAGGAGATTGTTGAGAGCATTGAAATGGGGTAGGTCGGCAGCTGTTTACTCACGCACGTCATGACGTTGATTCTGTTTGGAAGGACATTACTGGAGGAAAATACTTGGCTCATAAAGTTCTTCTTTCTAAACAAATCACAGTCGGATATATATGCGCGTAATTTTGTAGTATAACTCGTCTACTTATAATAATATAAGTGGATATTTATCGATAATATATCCTCAAAGTGGAAAATATCAATCATATCATCTACTTATATTATACAACGTAAATAAATTGCACCATGTAACTGTACTACGATACCATACAATAATCTCCTCGCAAACAAAATATATATAAGGTGACGTGGATCATTTATTTTGACATATTTTCAGGCGAGTAACTAATTCATTATGAAATGTATTAGACGCATCATGCTACTACATTCCAATAAAAAGGGCCACCAACTAACCCAATGGAAAATTTAAAGTCTGAGATAGAGGCTATCTGTCCTTTTCTGTTCATTAAATAAACATTAAGTCATGTACCCAGAAAATAAAATAAGAACAAACTCGGTGCTCTTGCTCTAGATTTGGTGCCTCTGTTTTTTTCCCCCCTAATTATTTTTGGGCACTTTTAGAAAAATATCATCAATATGATTCAGCAAATTCTAAAATTTATTTTTCAAAACAGAAAAGGGGAAAAAAAAATCCAGAAAATAGTATTATTTAAATAAAAAAAAGAAAGAAAAAAGGGAGAAATAGTATTATGAATTTGTAATTTTCAAAGTTCAATTATTAAAAACAAAATTGAATACCTGAATAATACAGGAATAATATTAATACGTGTTATTAATTAAAAAGAGAGTCAAACTTAAATAATGCACATATGCACTAATAAATAAACAAATAATATTTCATAGTTACTGAAAATTAATTCAATTATTTAGCCAAAAATTAAATGTTAATTCAATTAAAAATTAAAGGTAGCTGCGGCATCAATAACCTACAGAGAAAGCCAACTTGGTAGTTGATATGAGGTAGAGTGCACGTTTTCATTGTAAGAAAACTAAGCCTACGTGCAATGCAAAATTATTAAAAATCTAATGAAGATTCAAATCCACTGTGAGTAAAGCAGATTAATTTAGGGTAATTTAAACTATCGCTCGTTTAAAATAAATAAATTAAATTAAGGAATTAAATTAGACGTACGTGCACAGGTGCTAGGAGGGGGCGTCTGAACCTTGCAAACAGTGGGAAGCTTAAGAGCCCTGTTGACATCAATTTCAAGGCCGACGCTGTTGCTGCTGTTGCTGTTGGCCAGCAAAGTGCACAAGCAGATTGGGTTGTCTTTCACGAGCTCCGCCAGCTCAGGGCAGCACGGTTTGTCCGGCTTTGTCAAATTGCTGCCTGGCATCACATACGTCAGGCAATCCGCCATCCCCAGAATGGCCGTTTGGCAATCCGGAGACGCCGGCCCCGGAGCCGGAGCCGGGGCCTCATGAGCCAAATGAGCCAAAACGGCATGTAGCATTGTCGTCGTAATCATCATCATCAACAACATGATGGCTCTGCCCATTTTTCTGTGTCGTTATTTTTTTGCGCTTCTGCTCAAAGTGAGTGGGGTTTGAAGTTAAATATTGGGTTGCTTGAGTGAGAAAGGGATTTGTTTTTGTTCTGAATTTTGGGCTAGCAGAAATTAATAATAAATGTGTGCAACTACCAGCTATAACCAACCATCGGCCATTTAATTTATGGTCAATGTATTAATTTCACCGTCCTCCTGCCTGCCCCTCTCTCTTTTGGGATCTAGTTGTGAACGTAAAGACTCACTCTTGCATTTTCTTTATTCAAATTTGTATGTTTTTATGGAAGGACCACAAACAATTTCATTTCATAAACAGTGTTTTCTATTTTTGCTCACTCTAACGACCTACCATTCAAATCTCGGGTGGTGTTAAACGAACCCTAAAATTCACTTAGTACTCCTTATAATTTAATAATATTTAAATTAAAATGTAAAATTAACTAAGTACACCCTATTTAAGTAACAAAAATACTCTTAGTATACTCTAATACACTTTATCACACAACGCCATACCCATTCGAGAACTTGCTGTGACGAGATCGAATTCTGAACAACCACAGTTCATTACAAGCACGGGAAATCAAAGCTTCTCAAATGCGCCGCTGATTGAGAACACAGATACAGAAGACAACCCCAAATTGTTTTGAAATAAGCATCGAATGAAATGAAAGATTTACTTCTTTGTATATCTTTATAAGAAATTCCATGATCTGTCTTGGAAATTTTTTGTGTGTACTCTTTTGGTAATGGGATTAGCTCAAGCAGAAACAGGATGTTTCGCGTTGCGTATGGAAATGAAGTAAGAATGACAAACATATAGGTGGTTTTCATTGATGCATCACCTTGTAATTGCAGAGGGCTACTGGGGATGTTGGGCTTGCTTCTCCCTAAATTAATTATACCATGAGATTGGATGAAGTTGGATTAAGGTTGAATATAGTGAGTAAGGTTACATTTATTTCACAATTCAATATTGCCTTTTTGGTCATTTTATATTAGGGAAAAAATCTCAAATCCTCCAAATCTTACCCTACACTTTCGTTATCGGGTAGCGAGTGTCCGTTTTCGGTAAATATTACCCTACACTTTCTAAATGATTAGTATTAGGCTATGATAAATATTTCACCATTACCAGCACTGCCATTTACTTTTTTCAAATTTGTATGTTTTCTTGTAAAGACTAGAAATAATTTCATAAAAGTATATTTTTCTCACTCTAACTACTTACCATTGAAATCTCCATTACTACAACACAATCACATAAACGCTCTAATTAATAACAAATGTATGGAACGACCCAAATTTCACTACGGGCTAATTATGTGTGATCCACTGGAAACATCTTGAATGTTGTGGAATTAGTTTTCCAGTCAAATTTTTTCGGGTGTCTTGATAAAATTTTAGTTTCAACTTTTCTTTTCATGGTTTTAAATTCAAAACAAGGTTTCTAACTATCATTACAAACTTCCAGAAATCAAATTTTGGGTTTGGGTTTGAAAGAAATTGAAAAGCTATTGAATTACAGGGTGCTGATTTCAGAATTCATAATGTTCATAAGGTTTGTCGTTGGTCGGAATTCAAGCTCATTGAAGACCCTCTTGGTTATTTGCTTAAGATATTTTCGTTTCATGCAATGGCGGACCCACAGAGGCGCAAGGAGGTGCGGTTGCATCTCCCTTCGCCGGAAAACACTGTGGTGGTGGCACACTCTGCCCCTCTGGTTTGCGCACCAACTGTTTGTGTTTTTGCCCGAGTGAAACTCCTTTCTATTTGATGAGCTGCTGTGTGTTTGTTTTTGTTGCGCTGCTGTGTTGCGCGCACAGCGCATACTCTCTTTTTTTTTTAAGTCCTGGCCCAAAACGACGTCGTTTTGGACTAGGCAAAAAAAACAAAAAAAACAAAAACAAAAAAAACAAAACGTGCACAAGGCCTTAGCCAATACGGAATCAGTATAGCATATTATATATATAAACCCTATTAATAAAGAGCGGAGAGGAGCAATTCAATTCAATTCAAAACTATAAGCTCTGTTTGTTGAAGTCTCTCTTGCGGCAATCAGATTCAGACCCAATCCTTTTGCAAGGTTTGGGATTTTTTTTTGCTTATGTTGTTGTTCTCTTCTATTTTTTCTTTCTTATGTTTTTTTTTCTCTCTTTTTCTTTTTATAATATATTTTTTTCATATATATATATATATATATATTTTTTTCTGATTTGGCTTTCTCTGTATTTGTATAATCATTAGCCAACTCGAGAGAGAAGAAGAGGTTGCGTAGTGCACAGCTCGAGGTATGATCAATTACAATTTGATTATTTAATTAATAAAGTAATATGCATTTTGTAATTTTTTTTTCCATGAATTATTAAAGACATTAGTACTGTTTAAATTTGAAGGATATTTGATTCTCTAAATTTTGTTGTTGTTGAACTTTTAGCCTTTTAAAATTGCCCCTTCTCTGAAAAATTCCTGGATCCGCCACTGGTTTCATGCATGCATTTCATGTTCATAACATACATCTTAGAACCTTGGCTTTTAGGGTAATCTTCTTATGCATTGTGGATGATGAGACAGCTTGTCTAAGGAATGAGTAACAAAAGTGAAAACTAAAACTAAAAACTAAAATTTATTTGAAATTGTTTTACTTTGAAGTTTTTATTTTCACTTTTATTATTCCTCCCTCCCATGCTCTCTCTCAATCTCATCCTCACTCTCATTTTCATTCTCATTATCCTCTATGCTCTAGCACAAAAAATGAAAACTAAAAACTAAAATTGAAATGATTATTAAACGGGCCCTAAACTCTTACCATCTGTTTGGATGAGGGAAAATAATTAGGAATTTAGCTAAAAATTTGGGAATTTAAGAGGAGAAATTGACAATTCTTTTGTTTAGCAACTTAAATGAGAAATTTATTAAATGACGTGCGGAAAAAATCGTGGAAATTGAAGCATCAAATTTCCGAGTTTAATTTCCACCAAAATATGGGTCATTTCACAATTTTTATAGTGTCATTTACAAAATTCAACATATATAAATCTAAACACAGAAATCTTCAATTGCCAGAAATTAAAATGATGAAAATCTAAATTCCGTCATTTTAGAATTCTATGTAATTTTCAATTTCTTCATCCAAACAAAGGATTAGAAATTCATCTCATACCTTGTGTTGTGCGAGCGATTTTTGTCATTTAATTGCTATAAAACTAAATTCATTTTTTACGCGAGGGACTGTATTTGTCTAAACAAGATGACGAAGATGTTATCTATATATAGCTAACTTTTCATCACAGTGACAAACATGCAGTTTCGATATATGGAATTGTTTTGCAGAATAGTTTTAGAAAGAAAGTTGGAATATACCTTAAATCGAATATCCTTGCCAGAGCCAAACTTTAGTTAAATCGCATATAGCACATTAGGATTGAACTCTTTCATGCTGTACGATGTTTTATTTTTGTTCTTTTTCTCTCATCAATCCCCAGAAAATTTAAATAAAATTATAAGGGTCCGTTTGATAATTATTTCAATTTTAATTTTAGTAGTTTTTATTTTTTGTGCTAGAATATAGAAGAAAGAGGAAGAATGGAGGTAATATGAGAGTGAAGATGGGATTGAGAGGGGAGTATGGGAGGGAGGAGTAACAAAAGTGAAAACAAAAACTGAAATCTATTTGAAATTGTTTTCACTTTTGTTACCCCTCCCTCTCATCCTCTCATTCCCTCCTCTCTCTCATTCTCATCATCACTCACATTCTTACTCTCATTGTCCTCTATACTTTAGCACAAAAAATAAAAACGTTTGCAAACGATTCCTAAATTATTAGAATACAAAACGGAAATCATTAATCTATCCGAAAACTTATGCGGCGATGTCACCAACCAAAGCTGAAATGTGGAATTGGCTGTACCGTGGACGAGCTGCAGCATCTCACAATTATTCCAAGTATCTTCCATCAGCTTCGGCATTTCCAACTGTCTGTTTTCGTATATATAGACATGCACGTACACTTTTTTTTTTTAAAACAAGATAGCAGCTAGGTTTTTCTCCTTCACACTAATGCTTTGCTAAGTTTAAGTTCTTGAGTTTGTGGGGATCACCAACGTCTCATTGCTTTTGGCCAGCTTCATATAACATTTGTAAGTATTTATGATTGTGTACAATACATATTTCTTCTTGCAAGCTGTGTCGAATAAATTACTGTTCTTAGACTAACCTCCCCTCGTTTTATAATGGTTATTTTTCAAAATATATTGTATGGATATTTGGAGAAGAGTTTTCTTATAGCAACATGCACGCATTACGTAAGCACTACGTAATATGTTACGTAAGTATTTACATGTTGAATCTCATTAATTGTCAATTAGTTTGGAGTTGAATGCTCCACATCTTAATAATACCATGTTATACACAACATGTCATGACTAATCCACTCATATAATAATCCAAGGTGGGCAACGAGCATATAACATTAATAAATGTACACATATAATAATATATATTCATTACCACATGGTAGTGCACCAAAAAAGGAATTGATCCAAGGATGAGACACTATTTAAATTAAGTAATGCATCTTGTAACGCAGTAAAGAGCATTCATGCACTCAAGTCTAAGAACTTCTTTCTCACCTCATTTTCGTATTAAAGTTCTTTTTTATATTAAATACCAGATACAGAGAAGAGCTTAGCTCCTCCACCAATGGTCATCGTGGACTTTGTTGTCTACCTCAATCCACTTTTCTCTCTTTCTCACTCCCTTAATTGGCCTGAAAGGTCGGCCAAACAGAGAGAGAGAGAGAGAGAGAGAGAGAGAGAGAGAGAAGGGTTGTAGTACTTGTTGTTAGGGGAGGGGCTGGGTGACAGGGAGGATATACGGGGAAGGGGGAGTCACCGGCAATGGGAGGTATAGTGATAAATAGGGTATATTGGACTTTTGAAAGTATAGGATTCGAAGTTAGAATTTCTTTACAAATAGAAGTAAAATTAAATCAAGAACTAGTTTGTGAGTAAATTGAATTTTAAAATTTAAAAACGTACCAATAGAATTTCCTATTGGGCAAAAGAGAAGAAAAAAAAAATTCCTATTACGTAAGCACCTCACATGTCGTAGATTTGAATTTTAATATATATTATTTGAGAAAAGAAATAGATTTGAATTTAAGATATAACATTATGTAATATTTTTCTCTAAAATAAATATAATTTAATAAATGAACTTGAGACGGGTTGGTCCGGCCTATTAGGCCTAATTATCTCATCTCGGCCCATCTAAAGATACGGGCAGTGCCGTGTTAGGCCTTACTTAAGCGGGTAGTGCTTGTTCAATGCTTTAGCCCACTCCAACCCAAGTGTAGATCCGCCCTTGAAAGAGGTTGAATTTGTGAGAAATTAAAAAATTTCTTCAGATAAATAGGGATGAGGGATTCGAAATTAAAATCACTTTCAAAGTCCACTATTAAACCAAAAGTTAGTTTGTCAACAGACCAGCATGTTCATCTTGTATCAATTATCAAGTCATGTTAGTCACTATAATTCAACTCAATGTTGAGGTGGGGGGCAACATAATATAAACTAGCTATAAATTTAGCGACACTTCTTGTCTAAGAGTGGAAGACATACCAAATTAAAATCTCTCATCCTTATTAATAAATCAATGAAAAATAGACATGGGGCCGTGTGGAGAATTACTTAACATGGTTTGTCCTATTATCCCTAATGCGGACTTAACCATATTTTTGTCACTCAGGCTCAAGTTTACAAGCATCAAAGCATAAACTTAAACTTTGATACCATCCTATAATTCATTAATAAAAAATCTTTTCTGATTCGCTTGACTTGGTAACCTGTCCTGTTCCAGATCATGGAGCCTGCTTTAAAGATTGTTTTCTGATGACAGATCAGTTTATTTCTTTTCAAGTTTCAACAGTAAAACTCATGATCAATTAACGTCGTTTCTGTCTACCGTTATCTAACAATAATGATGTTTTTAACAGTTGCACTATTAAATCTTTGACCAAATCGATGTGACTCCAGCAAACTAGAAATTATCATAATTAAAATAAAATAAAATAAAAACACACAAACCACTAGTAAAAATATTTATATATAAATCTTGACCAAACAAAGGTGACACGACGATGTGGACCAATTATTTTGAGTACAGAAGCCGCAGAAAAAAAAGAGTATTTAACCTGTTGAGCTCCCTCAGTTTCAGAAAGAAAACAAGATCATCAGAAAGCAGCACATCCAAGCATTATTGCAACAATGGGAAGCAATGAAGGGTATGGAGCAGAGAGGTATGCGGTGGTTTCAGGAGCCAACAAGGGCATTGGATCTGAGGTGGTGCGGCAACTTGCTGCAAGTCAAGGGGTGGTGGTGGTTTTGACGGCTAGGGATGAGAAAAGGGGAAGAGATGCCACGTCACAGCTCCATCACTTGGGTTTCTCAAATGTGCTCTTCCATCAGCTTGATGTTTTGGACCCTTTTAGCATCCAGTCTTTGGCCAACTTCATAGACAACAGATTTGGCAGGCTTGATATCCTGGTAAGGGAGGGTTTCTACTCTTTTTTTAAAATTAAAAAAAAATTTGTTTTGGGTATTTTTTCTGTTTAATTTCTCATATTTCCATCTTTGGACTTAGTAATTTTCTTTTCTCTTTTCTTTTTAATCCATAATTGTTTTAATATATAGTGGAAAATTTATTAATTTGATCATTCAAAAATTTCACCACCGACCCCTCCTCCTTCCCAAAGGCTCCCTCAACCCCTCAGATCTAAGAGCACTTTCACCAGTTAGCCCCTTGCCATGGCAAGGGGAGCCCTAGGGGGGCTACTATTCACGTGAATAGTGGCTACCCTAGCCCCCCCAGCAAAGTGTGTTTTCAGTAGTTTAGGCTTGCCATGGCAAATACTATTTATTTTTTTGTTTTTTTTCACAGCTTTGTTTACTTAAACATTTTATTTGGATAATATTTTCGGATAAGATTTTTGGGTTCCTACGTGTCAATACTATTCATATCGGATAAGATTTTTGGTTCAAATTTCATATAAATTTCAAAATTCAAAATTCAGATAAATCAATACAACTAATAAAATAAAATACATGAATGACCACTAATTATTAAAACAAAACAAAAAAACACAATGAAATGAAAGGCAAGCAAACTAAGAAATGAAAGGCAAGATTTTATTTTATCAGATAATATTTTTGGATAAGATTTTATTTTATTAGTTGTATTGGTTGGTATTTATAGAAAAAAAAAAGTATAAGGATTTGGTGTTAAAAGTGAAGAGTATTGGTTGGTATTTATAGACACTGGCAGACCCGGAATTTTTTTAGCGGAGGTGCAATATTGACTAAGTATGAAAAATGGTTTTTCGGAAGGAAAATGCTAGGTTTACCACATTTTTCATACCACAATTGTACCACCTCTCTAATAGAGGTGGGCCCCATTGTATTGGTGGGCTCCACCTCTATTAGAGAGGTGGTACAATTGTGGTATGAAAAATGTGGTGAGCCTAGCATTACTCTTTTCGGAATAATCATTTTCTCAAGATAATTTTTGGCGGCTTTTATTCCTTACACATCAAATAAGAAAACTTGATTTTATGGGATTTTAATATGAAGTATATATTGACTTAATGAGCCATCATTTTTAGCCTAAATCGTATTTTGCACTAAAACCGATTTTTCATATTTTGATTTGGTGGGAATTTGATTTTCTAGTATTTTTATTTGAATCCAAATGGGGGGTACTTCCTTATTTACATTGTAAACTTAAGTAAATGAAGTAATATAAAAATAAATAAAAGTAAAAGAACAAAGTAATATAAAAGTAAATGGAGAAATTCTGACTTTTGTCAAAATCCCAAATTTATTTCCCTCATCCAAACACACCGTAAGGGCAGCCAGCAGGGAGCTAGGAGGCAATTGGCTGTGAGAGCTATGTCCAGCTGTCAAGAGGCAATTGCCTGGGGATATTGAGGTGGAAAGCTTATGTTGGCAACCATGTGCCGTGCAAGTTTTTCTCCTAAACTAGAGAGTATGATTGAAGTTCAAATTTTATATAAAGCTCCTAAAATAACTTTTGTGTGTTTTTAGCTAAATTTTAACTAAAAAATAGGGAGCATAATTGTAGATGCTGTAACACACTTGCGTAATATATCAAACCCAAGAAGGTTCATGAGCAAACCAATAGAAAAACATAGGTATCAAAGAACTTTGTCACCAATGAGGTGTTATTTGGATTGGCCTAGGCCTTTGGCGTGCTTCCAAGTGGTCCTAGGTTTAAGTCCCCGTGCTACTCATGTGTGTGAGTTTCCCCCTTCCCCATCCTAACTTTGGCCAAAAAGAAAAAGGATAAAAATAACTTGTTTGTATTGTTCTGTAAAATTTAGTAGGAACTGTTTCCACCTTTGGTGGGTAAAAACGAAGTGATCTGACAGTTTGATTCCTGCAGGTTAATAATGCTGGAGCCAGTGGAGCAGTGGTTGATGAGGAAGCTTTAAAATCCCTAAACATTGATCCCACAACTTGGGTAAGTTGGTTAAGGCTGTTTCTCTCACTTATACGTAGCCACAACCAAAATCCCAGCACCTGAGTAATGGACTAGTTGTGTTTGTGCAGCTTTCAGGCAAAGCGGTCAACAAAATTCAAGGTGCAATAAAATTCACTTATGAGAAGGCTGAAGAATGCTTGAACACAAATTACTATGGTGCTAAAAGACTAACTGAGGCTCTTCTCCCACTCTTGCAACTGTCCCCTCGTGGAGGAAGGATTGTGAATGTCTCCTCTCTAAGGAGTGAACTTAAGGTATAAAAAACCCTAGCCTACCTATATATCGCATGCCATTCATCGTTAATGATCACATCGTCATTACTAATTACATATAACACTTATTGTTAGTAGTAGAATGACCCATTATATGTTGTATTTTATTTTGCCAATTTTCTGACGTGATGTGCTAGCAACCTTACTTTTAAAGGTGATGTCTTCTGCTAGATAAGTCTAGCAAGAGAACATTGCCCAAAACACATGACAAATCGAGATGGTAATTTTCCCTCATATTCCATCCATCACAAGTTGTCGTTCTCTTCTCTCATCTACTTCTCGCTACTCAGAAAATAACCCTCGATATGATCTCTCCTTCCAAGTCCTAGCTGCTCCTGAAAAAAATTGTAAACTGCATAACCAAAGTTATCAATATTCCATGCAGAGGATACCAAGTGAGGAAATAAGAAATGAGCTTGGGGATGTGGAAACCTTGACAGTGGAGAAAGTAGATGCACTTTTGACAAAGTTTCTTGTTGATTTTAAACAAAATGCACTTGAAGCCAATGGATGGACACTGATGCTGCCTGCATACAGCATTTCCAAGGCCACCCTCAATGCCTACACAAGAATCCTTGCCAAAAAGTATCCAAAGATGTATATCAACTGTGTGCATCCAGGCTTTGTTAATACAGATATCAATTGGCATACAGGAACAATGACTCTGGAAGAAGGGGCTGCAGGTCCAGTCAAGTTGGCTCTTCTACCAAATGGAGGCCCTACAGGCTGCTATTTTGATCAAACTGAAGTTGCAGACTTTTAGTTCATATAAATGTTATAAGTTATGCATTTCCACCTGGGTGTTAAGTAATAACTATATCAAGTTATTTTGATAAATTTGAAATATAAAGTGCTTGTGGGAGTTAGAATGGTTCTATTTTCTTTTTGTGGCCATCAAGACTTGCAACAAAGTTGAGAATTCTGACTCATTAGACTTGGATTATATACTAGAAAAGCATATATATATATGTGTGTGTGTGTGTGCTTGTGCAACAGTGCAAACCCACTTAAAAGGATCAAGAAATCCTAAAGAGTTTTCAGAAGACGCAAAGCCTTCTTTTAGATTTTCTTTTTTCTTCGATACTACCTTATCTTTTGTGGTTTAACTATAATGGAGAGAGAGAATAGAACATATGATTTGATGAAAGAGCATGACTATTGGATTTAAGCTATCACTATAGATGAATAAGCAATTTGAAGTAAATTTGTTTTACATTCGTAGGGTTTATTAACCTCATGTACAAGATCCTATTCCTAGGGATGGCTTCGGTCCAACCATTTCTTTTAGCTAGAACTATAGCAATGAAGTTAAACCGCGTACCTTACGTAATAATCTTTAAACAGTATGTGTGAGCCCCTGAAAAGTTTTGTATTTTTAGTAGGAGTGAAATATGAGAAAAAGAAATTTTTTGGAGCTCAAAGTAGTGAAATATGGAATTTTGGTCAATTTCCAGATATTAAATTGAATTTTTGGAGGTTATTTGGATTTATTGGATGTGTTAGAAAAGTATTGGAAAAATATTTTGAAGGATTTTAGAGAAGTGGAGTTTACAAAAAATAGTAGAGGCATTTACGAGTCCGTAAGAATTTTCAGGGAATTTTTTGGAGCTCGTAGGTATGTTTGGTGAATTTTAGAAGTTTTGGAAATTAGAAATTGAATTTTAATTAGGCGTGACACGTGGCGAGATTTTGACCATCCACGTGGTGTTGACGGAGCACATCTAACAAACGAGAGGCGCTAACATTAACTAACGAAGACTGATAGGGGACCACATGGCAACGTCTAATTGGGCAACGCGAAACTGACACGGCTTCCACTAAGAGCAAAGGAAGATGTGTTGACATGTGGTTGTATCTCGACCGTTGATTGCTTGATTGGTAAGCCATATCGACAGGTGAGATTGATTACGTAGAAGGCGGAATGTTAATAACAAATAGTTTTTAAATTTCTTAAATTATTTTTAATTGTTTTTAAATATTTTAATATATGTTAATAACAAATTGATGGAATGTCTATAAATTGTAAACTTTGTAAATCATAGTGACCAAATCGGCTAAATTCTTTTCTTAGTGACCAAATTGAAATTTCATAAAAACCTAATGACCAAAAAAGTTTTTAACCCTACTAATTATCCATTGTAAAAACCACACTTTTCACAAGAAACTAGGGCTTCTGGTTTTGAATTTTCTTAAGGACCTTGATGCCTTTGTGGATGTCTACGAGAAAAAATGATGAGAACCCAATGACTGTTGCTTTCTTCTCATAGCAATCATGCCAGTGCCGCTTGATTCTTTGACATCAGAGATCGATACATGGAACTTGAGCTAGTTATGAAGCATAATGAAGCATATAAGATCAAACTTAAGATTAACAAAAACCAAAGAAATAATCTTCTTGTATCCAATAATCATCAAATCCTAAACTTTTTCAATCCAGGCCGCCCTTCTTCCTCTCCCCTTTCTTATATCGGGGAATGCTAACAACCTTCTCTCTAACCTTTTCCCTTCTTGTCATGACATGTGTCATTTTCTCTACACTTAAAACAATGTCATTAAGCAAAGGACCCACTAGTGTAGTGGTTTGGAGTAATTGATCTCCCAGGAAAGGTCATGCGAGTCTTAGCATCTGTGTAATGTGTGAGTTTAGTATATTATTGACCTTTTCAATAGGAAATGTCCTAAAAAAAATTGTCATTAATGCAAAGGACCCACTGGACAAATTGCTCATTTAGGCAAGGTCCTGGGTTTAAGTTCTTGTATTCGTATAGTGTGTGTGAGTTTTAGGGGTGGGCATTCAAACCGGAAAACCGAGCCGATTTGGGCCCAAAAAAAAACTAGGTTGACCGAAAACCAAACTAGATCTGTTTGGTTAGATTTCGGTTTAGGTTCTTATAGTGAAAAAATTGGACTAGGGCGAACCAGACTAGTTATGTATTTTTTAATTTTTTAATAAAATATTTAAGCTAAATACTAAATTTCTAAGCCCATAACTAATTTTTCCCCAAGTCAAACTCCAAATTACCTATCTTTTCTAGATTATTTGCATGAAATTGGGCTATTTGTGAATTTTTAAGCCCCAAAAATAACATTTTAGTTGTGTTTTGTACCCAAAAAAAAACTTCAAATTTAAAATAAAAAAAATTCTGGTCCAAAACAAAAAAAAACCGAACCGACTTATAGACAAACCGACCAAACCAGTTTTATAATTTTTTTTGGTCGAATTCAGAGCAAACCAGGCAAGATGAATAGTATTGGTTCCACTTCTGATTTGGGGTGAGAACCATTCTCAGTAAAAAATGTTCTAAAAAAAAGTTATAGGGCAATCACTATTTATGTGAATAGTGGCTGCCCTTGCAAAAAACAATGTGTGTTTTCACCCATTGCCATGGCAAATGACAATTACTATTCTTTCTTTTTTTTCACAAATTCTTTTTACCTCAATAATTAATTTGGATAATATTTTCGGGTTCCTACGTGTTAATACTATTCATATCTCATAATCGGATAAAATTTTCAGATAAATTTCAAAATTCAAATTTAAGATACATTTCAAAATTCAAATTTTAGATGAATTTCAACATTCAAATTTAAGATAAATTTCAAATTTCAAATTTTAGATGAATTTCAAATTCCAGATAAGATTTTCACCCTCTAAAATCGCGCCACGTTTCATCTCTATCTGCACCAAAATTTTCTATAAAAACCAGAGGCTCATCTCATACCTCTCACACCACATCTTCTCTATATTTTTATTTCTCAGAGTTTAGAATTCATATGCCATTCTCAATGGATGACATGAGTAAGATCTTGGAGAGGCAAGAGCGAGAAACTAGAGAAAGAAGGCGTAGACGAGCTGAAGGCAAAAGGGTGCAGAGAGAACTAGATCAACAAATTGTCATAGCAGTGGCTTTGCTTGATGAAGAAAATCAGAGTCGTCGTGGTTCAAAAGAAGGACGTGGCCCTAATGTGGACAAACATAGGCATTTTCGGGATAAGAATCTTCTGGAAGATTATTTTATCCCAACTTCTCTGTGCTCTGATGTTGATTTTCGAAGGCGATATAGAATGCAACCCTATTTGTTCAATAAATTCATGCATGATATTTACAATTATGATGAATACTTTGTTCAAAAGTGTGATGCTGCTGGGGTTTTGGGACTTCTTCTCGAGCAAAAGATTACAACTATTATGCGAATGCTAGCATATGGTTCATCTGCTGATCAGGTGGATGAGATTGCCCGGATGGGGAAGTTCACTACTTTGGAGAGCTTGGTAAGATTTTGTGATGCAGTCGAAACTTTGTACACCAGGGACTACCTGCGCAGATCTACGTCCAGGGACCTCCAACGACTTCTACAAAAAGCTGAAGTTCGAGGATTTTCAAAAATGATTGGTAGCATCGACAACATGCACTGGCAAAGGAAGAATTGCCCAATTGCCTAGCAAGGAGATTATGGAAATAGGAAAGAGCAAAAAAGTATCATCCTTGAAGCCGTTCCTGGATTCGATACATGAATTTGGCATGCCTTCTTCGGAGTGGCCGGCTGTCAAAATGACTTGAACGTGCTGGGTCAATCCTTGGTGTTCAACGATGTTTTGAGAGGTGAATCCCCGAATATCATCTATGAAATCAACAATATCGTCTACCATGTATTATATAGTAGACGACATCTACCTGAGGTGGACCACATTTGTGAAATCTATTCCGCATCCCCGATCCGCGAAGAAAAAATTATTTGTTGCCTATCAAAAGGGTTACAAAAAAGATGTGGAGAGGTGTTTTGGTATCCTTCAAGCCCCGCGACTTATTATTAGGGGTGCGACGCGCTTGTTAGATGAGGAGGTGCTCATGAGCATAATGATGACTTGCATCATCCTTCATAATATGATTGTGGATGATAAGTATGATTACGATGCTGCAGAGGTCTATGAACTAGATCCCATGAACACGGCATTGACACGAATTTATGAAAGGCTCATAGGGCCAAGTGGAGAACCATTGGAGCATGAACCGTTGGTTAGGGACGGCCATTTCATGACCCGTATGATTGATCGATATACGGAGATACAATCGTCTTATATTCATGAACGACATCAAGTTGACTTGATGGAGCATTTATGGGCGGTGAATGAAATGAAGTGAAGAAGTTTTATTTTTAGTTATGCTTTGGTTGTGGTTTTTTTTATTTATGCTTTGGTTGTAGTTTTTTTATTTATGCATTGGTTGTGGTTTTTATTTATTTATTTATGCTTGGATTGTGGTGTGTTTTGTTTTTCATGTTTTGTTTCATGTATGGAATGTTTTGAATAAAAAAGAAGTTTTATTGAATGCTTTATTTATTCACTCAAATAAAACCAACACAATTAATTAAGAATTACTGCTAATTAAATGAAATACATGAATTGCAACAATTTTTTTAAACAAAACATTAAAAAAAAAGTTAACTAACTTAATGGTTTTGATTATTTAACCAATCCGTGTTGCTAGGTCCATCGTCTCAAAAAAGTCTTGTTCTCATAACATCCCTTCATTCTAGCTTCCAAAATTGTTTTGTTTCAAGAGACATATGGCTTGTATTCATGGCCATGGTTTCCCGATCATTCTTCTCAATATTTTCTTCGCTTGCATACTCCCTTTCTTGGTATGCATATTCCCTTTCTTTTGCATATTCTACTTGAATTGCCCTCTCGTCTTCTTGGGCTTTCAAGTCTATTTCAATTCTCATGGCGCGTTGCCTTGCAATTTCCTCCAAAAATTTAGATATATTATTGCTAGAATTACTCCCTCTCTTCGCCTTCGCCGCCTTTCTCCCAATAGGCCTCAGCTCCTTTTCGATGGGTGAGTCTTGACACATCGGGGAATCTATAAGGGAATATGATGCCGGTGAATTGTGGAGTGGCGTCTCGGTCAACACAACGGTTGGACCCGTTGGAATAATTTGGAATCTTTGACAATTCTTCACCACCTCCCAACATTGGTCATGGTTGAAAACTTTTTTGCCTTGGCCTATAACACCAAACCACATTTGTACTTGCATAATCTATAAATAAATAAAAAATGAAATGCAAAAAACATTTACAAATTGTTTAGAAATGCAAGAAACATTACAAATTATTGGAATGCAATAAATATTAAGAAAAAATTGGAAATGCAAGAAATATTAACAAAATATTGAAAATGCAAGAAATATTAACAAAATATTGAAAATGCAAGAAACATTAAAAATATATATATATATTAGGACATTAAACTTAATAAAACGAAAATTACAAAATATTTATCTCGTTACTAAGATTTTCCCCGCTTCTATGGTTGTCCCCCGCTTTTGCCAAGGCATCTCTCCATTTTCCCTACTCTGTATTGAGAATTTTCCACCTACTAGACAATGACATTTCCACATGAGTCGACCCCAGAACTCTTTCACAAAATTCGGCATGATTTTTTTTTTCCACAAATGACAAAATTTCATCTCATTGCCTGACACGGGACAATGATTAATTTGGACCCAACACTCACACAACAAAACATCTTCCATGGTGCTCTACGCCTCTCCGGTTTCGATAGAAGAAGCCATAAAGATGATAAATAAAATTACAATTTGAAAGAGAATAAAATGTTGAGTAAAGAGTGAATAATAGTAGAAGTAGAAGAAAATGTATGAGGATTGGTGTTGAAAGTGAAGGGTATTCATAGTTATTTATAGAAAAAAATTTCAGAATTTTTTGGTAATTTTATTGCCAAAAAAAGGCCAGTCGTTGGATTGGAGAAGAGAAGCAGATCAGAGCGCCCAGACGAAGACACGTGTCTTCTAGCCGTTGGAAACGTGCAAGGCTGACATCAGCGCATGCAAGTTCAATTTTTTTTTTTACCGTTGGCGCGTGCAATGCACGCATCAAAGGTAAAAAAATTTGAACCACGCGCTGACGTCATCCTCCCCCGTCGGGTTGCAAGTTGGGCAAGACCTGCCTTCGATCCAACCCGTCTTCGTGGGTCTCGCATCTAGCCCAGGCAAAAGTGGCCCACTGGAATTGGATTTTTTGCTTGGCCTCCCCCCAACCTCGGGCTTGAGCTTCTCGTTGGAGTTGCTCTTATACCTCCCCATTTCTCCCCAAAATACTAAAACACTCAGCCATGACCAGTACCCAAACAAGCATATGAAAGACACCCATTGCCTCTTTGCCCCTCGTTACCTATATGAGAAATAGAGGGACACAAAAAGTCTTGATTTTTTTTTTCAATCACACCCATATATGAGAAAGATAAAAAGTCACTTTTGGTTCTTGTAGTTTGCCACTTTTATCATTTTGGTCAATGTCATTTCAATTTGATCAATTTTGTCATGTGTTTTTAATTTAAGCAATTCAAGAATAAATTCTTATTTCTGTCAAAATAGACTCTCCTGTTAGTTGTTGAGGGGCATTTCAGTCCAAAGTCAGAGGATGGAAAAAAATAAATAATAAAAGGGAGAGAGATTCATCCCCTTTGATCCCAAACCCTAGCCTTAGCTGTATCCCCAGCTGAGAATCCTAATGGGACATCACTGTTGGAGCGCATGTGGCCTCTACAATGGGAAGGAAATCACCAGCCCAACATGAGCTGAATGGTATCTCTAAATTGCTGTTTGGTTTAGGAACTGAAAATGATGATGAGCCAACTGTTGAATTGGGTCGTTGCTTGACACTACCAGTTTTTGTTTTGATTAAAAACCTTGATTCATCAAAACAAAAACCATGCGCTAAGTACTGGTTGAAATGTGAATCAAAAGCCTCGCAGCCCTCGCCGCCTTCCTCTGCGTCGAGACCAATTTCCTCATTGGTGTCTGGGTCTCGCTCCAGTTCATGTAGATTCAAATTGAGAACCCTTCGATCGTTCTAGTGCTCGAACGCCTCCTCTTCGCCTGCCTCCCCCTTCTCTGCCTCTCTCTTCTTCCATATCGTCTAGGTCTCGCGCTTGGATCTCGTTCCAAGGTCACCATCTCCGCCTCCTACCTCAACCAATAGCTTTCCCTGGTTTGGGCTGAACTGAATGCTTCCTTTTCTTCTCTTTTGAATTTTTTTTTCCATCATTTGTCTTTGGACGGAAATGCCCCTCAAGAACTAACGATAGTTACAGTGGTAAAATTGACAGACTACGAGGAGCAAAAGTAACCTTTTTGCCTATGAGAAATAGAGGAGTAACATAGAGAGAGAGAGAGAGAGAGAGAGAGAGAGAGGCAGAGGCAGGGGCTGGGCTGTGTCGTGGGTGGGTGGGTGGGGTTGTTTTTTGGGCGGGGAGGGGGTGGGAAAGGGATAGCTGAAGACTTGAGAAGCCCTCTACGAGGCCAAATAAATATCTTGAATCAGGGTGGCTGTGAAAAAAGCTACAGCCCATCATCCTTACATAATCCATAGGTAGTTGGAGTCTAATTGCAAAGTTGGGAAAGAGAATATTGAGAGAGAGTGAGGAAGAACAGGAAGTAGCTTCAAATATAAATGAAGCAAGTTTCATCAATTACTTTTGGGCCTTGTTATGGGTCTCTCTGTTTCTCAGCTAAACGTCCCACTCTTCTTCGCTTTACCCACTACTTCAAGTTCCATAGTACCAGGTATTACCCTCTCCTCGTCTCCTTCTCACTCATACTTTCATTCAATTCAGAGGTTGTTGCTCTTCTTTTATGGGTTTTCATTCTTTTATTATCTTATGTTTCCAACTGAATGGTGGGTTTGCTTAGCAAATTAATGAACAAGGCCGTGGAAGTTTATTGTTTTAATGGATGGTTTATAACTGCTTTATTTGTTAGTATATTGTTCGAGTAGACTTGATATGAACATATGCACTTGGGTCTGTTTGACTCTTATTGTTTTTGTTTCTGTAAGACAAATAGGTTAGTTTTTAACTTTGTTTTGTGACCTATGTGTATGGTGGAACAGAGTAATGGCATCCCACATTGTTGGTCTTCCCCGCATAGGACCGAAGAGAGAGCTCAAGTTTGCCTTGGAATCTTTCTGGGATGGGAAGAGTAGTGCGGAGGAATTGCAAAACGTGGCTGCAGGTCTTAGGTCATGCATCTGGAAGCAGCTGGCTGATGCTGGTATTAAGTATATCCCAAGCAACACCTTCTCATACTATGATCAGATGTTAGACACCACAGCCATGCTTGGGGCTGTACCCCCTAGATATGGTTGGAAAAGCAGCGAGGTTGGCTTGGAGACCTACTTTTCAATGGCTAGAGGGAATGCACATGTTCCTGCTATGGAAATGACCAAGTGGTTTGACACCAACTAGTAAGTGAAATATGCAGCTCATGTTTCAATTATTTCAATGAGTTTGGTTTGTGTTTGTAAATTGTCTTAATGGAACACCTATGGCACATCCTTTTCTGCAGCCATTACATTGTCCCTGAATTGGGGCCACATATTAGGTTCTCTTATGCCTCTCACAAGGCAGTGGATGAATTCAAGGAGGCCAAAGCTGTAAGTCTTCCTCAATTTTAAGATCTCGTATTTTGTCCAAGTACATGTTTAATATTTAAATAAATTGAAATGGATCCAAGTAAAATTAATGAATCGTAAATGCCATGAATAGTCTGTTTAAGGGCTATTTCACACTTTATGGTCTATAACTTTATCATGTTGCCTTGTGATTTGAGAATAACATCTCATTTTAAGTACTATGAATTCTTATTTCATGTATTTTTATCATATCGCCTTGAAAGGAGATGCCAAAGTTTTTGTAATTTTATTTTAAATAGTTTGTTATGAAAGAATTAGCCCACTTTTCTGCATCTAACTTAATTCCTTTTTAGTTTTCAATTTAATGTCCCATATTTGTATGAATTGTTGATTCATTCATATTTTGATACAATGCAGCTTGGATTGGATACTGTTCCCGTCCTTATAGGACCTGTATCCTACTTGTTGCTATCAAAACCAGCAAGGGGTACTGAACAATCCTTTCCCCCTCTATCCCTACTTCGCTATATTCTTCCAGTTTACAAGTAACTGACTTTCCCTATTTCATAGACATTTATATGTTTTTATATTAGTTGTGTTTGTAATATCTCTAATGATGATCAAAACCATACAGGGAGGTTGTGGCAGAACTTAAGGCAGCTGGTGCAACCTGGATCCAGTTTGATGAGCCCACCCTTGTTTGGGATCTTGATGCTAACCAATTGCAGGCATTTGCTCATGCCTACTCAGAGCTAGAGTCATCTTTATCTGGTTTAAATGTTCTGATTGAGACATACTTTGCTGATCTTACTGCCGAGGCATACAAGACACTTACCTCTTTGAAGGGTGTTACCGGTTATGGGTTTGACCTAATTCGTGGAGAAAAGACCCTTGATTTAATTAACAATGGATTTCCTTCTGGAAAACACCTTTTTGCTGGAGTGGTTGATGGAAGGAATATATGGGCCAACGATCTTGCATCTTCCCTCTGTACCCTGCAAGCTCTTGAGGGCATTGTTGGAAAAGGTTTATTGATAAATGATTAAGTGATGGATGTATTCAGTTTGCTGTAAGTAATTTTATCTAATATAATATGTTTTTTCTGCAGACAAGATCATTGTCTCCACATCCTGCTCTCTTCTACACACTGCAGTTGATATAGTGAATGAGACTGAGTTGGATAAAGAGGTTAAATCATGGCTTGCATTTGCAGCCCAAAAAGTTGTTGAAGTAAATGCCTTGGCTAAGGCATTGTCCGGACACAAGGATGAGGTATTTAATTTTTTAGTCTTTTTTTATTCTTGTTTTTTTTAATTGTAGGCATGAAAAAATATTGTAAATCTAAAACTGCTGCATTTGATAGTGGTTTTTAATTTTTTAAAAATAAAATAAAATAAAATCTTATGTACCTTTTGATTATCATTTAGACAGTCCTGAGATATTTGAGCATTCCATTTAACGATTTTTCATATTGGAGGGATATTATGCATAAAGCATGTAAACAAATGAGTCTTTCAGAGCGCCGAACAGTGCAAAAAATACTGTTTTGATCTTTCGGTACTGAATGTTTCTGATTGCATTGACATAACATAATCATTAACTTTACTTGATCATCTTGATGTCCTCCCTATGCTCTCTCTCTCTCTCTCTCTCTCTCTCTCTCTCTCTCTTCCCCCATTTTTACTTAAGACTATGCTATGCAGTGCTGTGGACATTGTTATTTATAGAAGCAGGTGATTACTGCATATTTAATTGATCTCCTACTAGATGTGTTATTCGGGACTGGAAACTTTCTGTAATTCTTTAAAGCTTTCTTACTTTGAGGATCTTTTCATTTGTAGTACTTTTCAACTTCTCACAACCTAATCATTTCCAGGCATTTTTCTCCACCAATGCCGCAGCTCAAGCTTCAAGAAAATCCTCCCCTAAGGTGACAAATGAGGCTGTCCAGAAGGCTGTAAGTTTTTTGGTTTTTTATGTTTATCTGTTTTAAAGTGACCTGTAAGTGATTATTTTGCACTTATGGGGTTATCATTCTTTCTTGCATAGGCTGCTGCACTGAAGGGCTCTGACCTCCGTCGGGCTACAAATGTGACTGCAAGGTTAGATGCTCAGCAAAAGAAGCTGAACCTTCCTATTCTTCCAACAACCACCATTGGATCTTTCCCTCAAACAATAGATGTAAGAAGAGTACGCCGGGAATTCAAGGATAAGAAGTGAGCATTCTTGTTCTGGAAGTTGTGTTGACCTCAGAATTCTGTTCATTCTTTTTACTGCAAATATTAAACTGCTCTCTTCATCTTCGTAGAATCTCTGAGGAAGATTATGTCAATGCAATGAAGGAGGAAATAAACAAAGTTGTCAAGCTCCAGGAAGAGCTGGACATTGATGTGTTGGTACATGGAGAGCCCGAGGTGAGCTTTCAATAGATAGAATGCTTGCTTGTTCAACTAGGCCATGCTTTTGTTGTACAAAGAGGGTTTTGGATTCCTGATTATATTTGTCAATATATTGCCAACCCAGAGGAATGACATGGTTGAGTACTTTGGGGAGCAATTATCTGGATTTGCCTTCACTTCCAATGGGTGGGTCCAATCTTATGGTTCCCGCTGTGTCAAGCCACCTATCATCTATGGTGATGTGAGCCGCCCCAAGCCCATGACAGTCTTCTGGTCTTCACTAGCTCAAGGGATGACGAAGAGACCTATTAAGGGTATGCTCACTGGACCTGTTACCATTCTGAACTGGTCCTTTGTGAGAAATGACCAGCCCAGGTAAGAATACAAGCATACCAATTTCCTGATCTTTTTTGGTTATTCTTTTCTAGCTTGTAAACAAGGTATCTGCCTGCTTTCAGATTTAAGACCTGCTATCAGATTGCTCTGGCCATCAAGGACGAGGTTGAGGATCTTGAGAAAGCGGGCATTACCGTAATCCAGATTGATGAGCCTGCTCTAAGAGAAGGTTTGCCTTTGAGGAAGGCTGAGCAGGCTCTCTATCTAGGTTGGGCTGTTCACTCCTTCAGGATAACGAACTGCGGTGTTCAGGATACTACCCAGGTTCCTTTTCACTTCTCTACCATTTGGTCCGGTCTATAAGTCAACAGTGTCAGATCATTTTTTGTTTCACTTCAGTGCTAGATCTTTTAAGTACTTTGACTAAAACATGTGTCAATTGACAGTATAAAAAATTCATTTATAAAATGGAATTAACGTGGCTGTCTAACAGATACAAAGAGATGGTTTCCGGAAACTCATATACTGAATACAAATTAATAGTACGAATTGGCCTACTTTATCAAAACGTTAGTATAATGCTTGAATTCTTGTTTTGGACAGATCCACACCCACATGTGCTACTCAAATTTCAATGACATCATTCACTCGATCATTGACATGGATGCGGATGTTATCACCATCGAGAACTCCAAATCAGATGAGAAGCTGCTCTCAGCCCTCCCTGAGGGACTGAAGTTTGGTTCTGGCATTGGTCCTGGTGTCTATGATGTCCACTCACCCAGGATCCCGTCTGATACAGAACTTTGTGTCAAAATTAAGAATATCATTAAGGTCCTTGAGAACAACATGATCTGGGTTAACCCGGACTGTGGTCTCAAGACACGCAAATACTCTGAAGTCCAGCCTGCCCTCAGCAACATGGTTGCTGCTGCCAAATACAATCGCCAGATGTTGAGGCTTTCAGGCTGATGACCAGTGAGCTCAGGACCGATATGGTCTTATCTTGGGGAAAGGAAATTTTTTTGTTGGAATTGCTTTGCTATATATTTTCATTAGGGTAGGTGATAGCCTAGTAGTAGTTTCTGTACATGCTTTTTTGGCTTTAGGCAAAATTGTAGTAATGGTCCCCGGACTAAGACCGAACTATACTTTTTGTTCCTCATATTGTTAAATTGTTACAGTGGTGTTTTAATTAGATCTCATGCTGCATCATTGATCTTTCCGTCAACTTGGTTAAATTTTCTGTCAAAATTAAGGGCAAATTGGGAAAATTTATAATATTTTTTTTCCTCTCTCTCTCTCTCTCTCCCCTCCCCTCTTGTGCGCTCTCCCTCTTCCCTCGACGATTTCTTCTTCCCCCATGACTACCACCTGCAAGCTCCAACCCTCAAACCTATTCCACGGCCACCATCAACCGTAGCTCGCAACCCCAACCCCCATCCTCCACCCCAGATCTGGTCAAAACAGAGAAGCAGAGGGTTGATGGGTATCTAGGTGGGCCACTTGCATTGTCCGTCTCCTTAGTGGGAGGATAGATCGCTTTCAATCACCTTTTGGGTTTTTGGGTGCACTGAAGATCGCTCCTCATACAGGTTTCAATTTCATGTACCTAGCTAAGTCATGCTTGGCTGATGAAGAAATAGAGAGGCCATTCTTTTTTGTCAGCAAAGAAATTTGGGGCTGGGAAGAAATTTGGGTGGGTGAAGAAATTGGTGGGGGGGGGGAGAAGAAATACGGGTGAGAAATATATGACTTATGTTGCCTTGAATGTTTTCATTTTCAGATTGTTGAAGCATTGCTGGACAGATGAAGAGGTTAGAGTTGCAACTGGAGATGCTGAGAGTAATTTAGTTGTGCATCCCCTGAAGCTTAACAGTTCCTATGCCACTAGAAAGCTGGGCAATGCAAATTGCATTGCAGTTAAAGGAAGGAGAAATATAAATTAAGAGAAGAGAAGAATTGGTGTTGTTGGGGTGGGGGGGAATCGGGGCTGGGGAGAGAGAGATTTTGATTTATTTAAAAAAAAAATTGTGTGAAAAGACATTTTTACCCATGCCATGTCATCATTTTTAACAGAAAAGTTGACTGAGATGACGGAAACGACGATTTCTGAAAGTGGAGGCATAATTAAAGTACCACCGTAACAATTTAACGATATGAGAGACAAAAAATAGAGTTTGGTCTTAGTCCAAGAACCTTTGCTACAATTTTGCCTTGGCTTTATTATCTTCAAATCTCCTATCAGCCCTTGTGTATTTTGCTTCTCCTTTATGTTTTAGATTGCAGGAAAAACCTGTAACGTTATGAAGTAAAAGCAATTAGCTCTCTTTTCTGCCCCACTTTTTTGTAATGATCTCGGAGCATGTTGCAGAACAAAAATTCATCTTACAGTAGAGTTATTTAGGTGTTGTGTGGCCTGTCATTTTTTCTTCTTCTTATTTTTGGTGCTAGGCTAGTTTATTTTTCGACATTGCAATATAGTTTATAAGGTGCTTCGAACAGTTAATTTAGGTTATAAGGATTTGTTTGAGGGCTTCAGCTTCGTCATTGCCCTTTCTTCCACTAAGTAACAACCTAACCACAGATTTGCAAATCATTTCACTCCATTTGTGCGATTGGTATCCCAAGACAATCAATTTTAGGGCCCCTAAACTTACCAATGCATCGTGGGAAGCTTTGCCTCTCAACTCAAGAAAATACCTCAATTGAGTTAGGTTCCCTGGTGCCTTGTGCTGCTAGATGTAGGTTGATTTCATGTACATTTTTTTTCTTCCGTCAAGCCAACTGCAGCCCTCACTTTTGAGTAAACCTTCCATGTAACATGTTTTATACCCCTTTCTTATCCGTCATAACCCACGAGATGATAAAAATAGAGATAAAGGTGTAAGAAACATGGCATAGACAAGTTTTTTTTTCCCTAGTCGGTTGCTGACTTTTAGGATGTAAAAACTATATGGCTTAGGATTTAGATTTCCTCTAGGATTTTAGACATTAAAGGTGCTCAATATGGGGAAAATAATTAGATGCCCTTGGAAACAAAAACCAATTGAAAATGATCTCTAATTTCTCCATTTCTATCTCATCTCTCTCCCTAACAAAAATTTATCAAACCCTAAATATACAATAGTTCGATAATTAAATAAATAATATCACATAAACTAATGCTATTCTGTGGTATTACAATACAAATTTCATAGGACAAGAATCAAATGCTCACAATTTTGAGCAATGGACATCATTTCTTTTCATACAAATTTATAAATAAACCCAATCCTAGACATGTATTTATAAAAAAACCCGAGCACTATTTAAACATAGAAACACACCTAAAATCAACAATTGTATATTTTTTGGATGTGTTTATAAATGGGTTTTGAGTGTGTGTAATGATGGGTTTTGGGTGTGTTTATAAAGTGTTTTGGGTGTTGGGTTTTTTTATAATTTCAGCCCCCATTTTGGGTGTTTTAGTGAAACTCCCTTCTTTTAATCTATCATTCCCATCTAACTGGCCACTCAAATAAGAAAAGCAGAAGTGGCAACAAAATGCATAAATAACATGGAAGAAAAGTATTATACTGATGACTGGATCAGTCGATTAGAATTAGTCCACATATTCACTCATATGAAGGAGAAATGCATTCATCAACCATATCCAAAAGGTTTGTGTTTTCCAGTGCCGCTGCCACCCGTTCCTTATCATTCAATTGCTTATTAACTGCACATAGTAGAAAAATAAAATCACAAATGTTAGATCAGAATTTATGAAATTTATACTAAGCTCAGGTCACGTATTTGCTACAACATGTTAAGGTCCCGTAGTCCAATAGATGCTTCAAAACATCCAGTGTTTGTGTACTAGGAGCTATCACCAAGATGAAAGGTAGGACTGACTTCACTGAGCTATCACCAAGATGAAAGGTAGGACTGACTTCACTTTCTCTATTAGCAATAAGTTAAAATAAGTCGGAGAAATGATTTTTAACAGATGTCAGAAACCTTTGCAGGCAAGCTAGATGGTATGCCTGGCTATAAACTATATTGTGAATTGCTGAGAATCATATGAATGAATCATAAGTCGTGTGATTTTCCAAAGCCCCATCCAGATGGCAGAAAACCCCAGAGAGAGAGAGAGAGAGAGAGAGAGAGAGAGGAGAGAGAGAGAGAGAGAGAGAGAGGGAGAGAGAGAGAGAGTACCGGCGGCTTCAGTTGCATGAGATCCTGGTGCCACCCTAATATCCACCTAACCACACAAAAATAAATAAATAAATTCCATGACCATTTTGTTTGCATTGGTTGTTCGCAAAATTAATAATTATTTTTGCATCATGCTTTCAGAAACAGAACTTCTGCATTTGCTTTAGAATAGCTGAGACTTCAACCAGTACATCAGGCAATGCCACCAAAAAATAATAAAGAATTCAACAATCAATTAGATGCACCATAGACAACTAACAAAAAAGATATCTAGAAAAGGAGGGGAGGGGTTGGGACCTGACATTTGCTATGCCGTCTATCATATTTAGCCTTTACAAAGGTGGTACTTGGTGATTCACATGGGATTCCATGTGTCCCATGCTAGTTGGGTTAGAGCTGAGCGGGGGGTGGGTGTGTTACAAGGGAAACTCACATGTTGACTCTAGTTAGGAGAATCCTAATTGCACAAATAGTTCGAATTTTAGCAGTACATCAAGCAAATGTAGTGGAAAACAGAAAGAACTAAGTAACATGAAATCAATAAATGGTCGCGCATCATAGGTGGCAGACAATACAGAGTGAGAAGATTTAAGATGATAGACGTTGCCAATATTTGGAACAAAATGGTTAGCAAAAGAATTCTCTCTGAATGGCATCACAAAAAGCACACCGTGAACTGATCAGAAGATACAGCTGCTACATCTAGCAATTATCACTTCTAACATTCCATGCTTTTTACCAAAGCTATCTCCAAGATGCCATTAATGGATCATTTTCTTAAGCGACTAACTATACGAATAATGCTTTTACAAGATCTTACCAAACTTCACGATGTAAATAAGAAAGACGTAATGGAATTGTTGATGACTCTCCACAAAATTTGAGAACCTATACAGTTCTTCCAACTTCTAGTGATTAATTAAAACATACTTTGCTTCATTGTATCTTGACCTTGAATTCAATCAACCATATCCAGAGTCTCTATCTCCAATATTTTTTCTACCATTGTTATTTATTTGCGCTATATGTAGTAACCTAGGAGGTTTGTTAGCCAGTCTAGCATCAAGACAGAAAAGAGCAAAATAACAGCACAGGCTTTGTTCATCAAAATATTTTACTGTTGTAGACCAGAACATCTTGGAATGTTCCCTGCTTCCACACTAAATTCACACACCTTCAGAAATGGTGCACAACACTTAGCAAGTATGTTCAAACAGTTTATTTCTTATAAAGTCATAACAAAATTCTAGTAATAAATAGTACAAACAGTGTTTATGCAATCACAAAATTCACTCCCAGTTTCACCTATATTAAATGGTACATAAAGAATGTTGTAAGACAAAGACAATCACAAGAAAATAAAGGACATACCTTGTAACGAGAAGGCAGGCTCCTTAAGAGTTTAACGCGTAAGCAAAGACCAATAACCGTTGCCATACTACAATGTTCGACGGTAGGAGTAAATGTGACCCTGAAGAAAACAATTATCATTTATTCAATCAACAGAGTTTAAAACCCAAACTGAATTAGGAAAAACTATTTAAATGAGCACATAAAGATTTGTCTACCTGATGTAACCACGACCATCGTCTACTTCAATTGCATCTTCTGTAATTACTTTGAGCTCCTCCAATGAGTAAGGGTGTTCCGGGTCTTTTATATCTCTAATGTGATGTAACAATTGTTAAGAAAGACCAAATTCTTCTCGGCATACAAGACGAAATACAAAATTACTTTGAAACCAAACTCACAAGATTAAGCTATAGTAATTAAGTTCATCAAGAGTTTAATATGCATTGATAAAAGCATCAGAATATGCACAGATGCTTCATGTACATATAAGATTACAAGCATACATGTAATCATACAGAAAGGATATCAAAAATTTCTTGTTGGTCAATGCGTTCAACAGCATATTCATCTGCGGCAGCAGTTGGGACACTACGAACCCGACGCTCTTTCTTTTCGTAGATGACCGGATTAGCATTTATTAGCTCAGACACCATTTTTCCTTCAGAAAACAGAGAGAACAAATTAAGTAACAAAATTAGAAACAAAAATACACCAACCTGTGAAGAACAAAACTTGGATATGAGACGGCTGAAATATTCAAGAATAAAAAATTCCCAATATGCATATGCAGGTTTATCAGAGATTCAGATTGCGGAGAATTCAATTTATTTATCATATTCTAGACAAAATTGAAAGAAGAAGTTTCACGAAAATAATATGAGAAAGGCAACCCAGAAAGAATTCTGACCTCTTTTTGTGATCTTCTCTTTCTTCAGGCTGTCAAATTGCAGAAGCTAATGGTTTGAACTTTGAAGAGACGTAATCGAGCGGTAATTGATGGGTTCGGTTTTTTAGCAAACCAAATAGAAGGGGTTGTTGGGAGAAAATATCATAGCGTGAGAGGAGAGAGAGAGAGGAGAGGGGTTACCCTAAACCAAAAAGCCTGCACCCACCATGTTCCTCGTCGTGATTTTGACACGCGTTTCCTCATAGGAAGTTAGCTCTGTTAAAGTCCATTTGATTTCTACTAAGGTGTATTCAATTAGGATTTTAAAAGACTATTTTGGGATAAATAAGTCTTGTGGTATTCAATTAAGACTTTTAAATAATCTAAACAAGTCTTGTGGTATTCAATAAGGACTATTAGGATTTTTTAAAGAGGGTGTCCAAATCTAGTGGTATTCAATCAAGACTTTAAACAAGTAACAAAAAGTCTTTTGGTATTCAAAAACTTGCTAATTTCGAAGGATTTTTTTTAAAGAAGGAATTTGTGTGACTTTTTAGTGGGAGGTATAAATACCAAACCCTAAAAAAAATCCCACCATAACCCGTCAGACTTTTCACGTGAGATTTTTTTCTCTCTGCGAGAGAAGATGAACAGTTCTTCGTGAAGATAAACAGCTCTTTGTGAATAAGGTATTGCTTCCTTCTCGTGCTATGTCTTCTTGCGTTTATTGTATGTATCAAATATATGCCATGCTATGTTTTCTTTGCTAGTAAAAAAATTTTGTATTCGTTTTCTATAACCATGTTGGCATCTATTGATATAGTAATTCTTTTTCAATTTCTATAACCATGCTGACATCGTTTTCTATAACCATGTGACCTTATTCTGTAATGGGTACTTTGCTTTTTACATGTTTTTGAAAGGCTCTGTTACTGTTGAGATATCTTCCATATTTTCGTATATGAATATATTCATGCTTCTTGTTGTTGCTTGGCTTTGGGTTTTCTTTCCTTTCTTCCCCCTGTTATTTTTCCAAGCTTTGCTTGTGACGTTTGTTTGGTTGGATTGAGGGTTGAGATGGGGTGTTGTTGATTTGGATGAATCTTTGTTGTAATAATAAAATAGCACTCAAGAATTAAATTAAATAAGCAATTAGTTGAAATCAATATGCTTATTATTGTTGTACCTGGAAGCAATTTGTTTTGGTTTTCTTGTTTGGTATGATATGTATTCTTGTGAAATAACTAATAAATTTCTTACATATATTGTAGTAGTAATTTAATGGGGGATTCACAACAAGGAAATAACAAAGGAAAGGGCAAAGAGAAAGAGAACTATGAATCTTGGACCATGGACGATACCAATGAGTTGTTGCATCTCTTGGTGGATGCTATCAATAGTGGATTGCGAGATGCTAATGGGTCACTTAGCAAGCAAAATGTAGAAAGAGTGATACTTCCTCGTCTTAATGCGAAAATTAGGTTCCCTAAAACTTATAATCATTATTTGAGTCGAATGAAGTGGTTTAAGAAGCAATATAACAAGATGTCGATGTTTATGCGTAACAACTCTGGCTTTGGGTGGGACCCAATTGCAAAGACGTTCACTGCTAGTGAGGAAGTATGGAAAGATTACTTGAAGGTGAGCTTAATTCATAATCTTTTAAATATATTAATAGCTTACTAGTTTAGTACATTATGTTATTTGCAATATATTAACAATGAATAATTTTTTCTTTGCTAGTCCCACCCAAGTCAAAGTAAACTTCGAGAAAAAAGTGTAGTTGATTATGAGGATTTGAAGATTGTCGTTGGGGGTGGAACTGCTACTGGGAATGGTTCCATTGCATTAGGCGCTGATGATACCGATGCAACAACTTATGGGGAAGAAAATAGAGATTTTGGGATGGAAGACTTTTCATATGATCCTAACAATGATGCGTTCATAGCACCAAATCACTATGAACCATCCTACCAGCCTCCATCACCCCGCCAATGCAGTCCACCATCTCATTCCCCTTTAGGTTCGGAGGTTCCCACTGAAAAACCAAGCCGCAATAAGCGAAATAGATCCGAGTATGAAGTGAGTTCTAGCTCAGTTGGGACCAATAATCAAGCCAAAGTTCTAGAAAATCTTTCTATTGGCATTGAGACTATTTCTGCCAATTTTGTTAAAATATCTAACCTAATGGAGAAAAGAGAAAGAGACAGAGACAGAGAGAGGGATATTTGGGATGCTATAAAAGAGATACCAAATTTGGATGACAATACTCGTTACATGGCAGGTGAATTGCTTAGTAATAAAGCAAAGAAGGACTTGTTCTTGAAGATGTCATTGGAAGAGCGCTCATCTTGGATAAAATTCAAGTTAGGATGATTTTAGTATTTTGACCATCTTGGGTTTTGTTGAACTATATTTTAGTTTGTGCTATTTTGCTTCTACTTTGGTTGAACTATTTGAGTTATAATTTGGTTGAACTATTGTTATTGTAATTTGGTTAAACTATTTTGGTACTTTGGTTGAACTATTTGGATTATAACTTGGTTGAACAATTTTGGATTATAATTTGGTTGAACTTTTTTATTCGGTTAAACTATTCTGATAGCAGCTTCACATACATAGTGTTATATTGTCACAATAAATTGCCAGCAGCTTCAAATACAATAAATTGCCTCTATTTGGCTATGGTACAGAGTTTGAACTCTGCCCCACTTCCATTTGTCTTCTAGCTATACCATACTGTCTCTTTCTTTATTCTTCTAACCTATTACCTAATAGGATAGCCTTCCAATGAAACTTGAATACGATATTTTGTTATTCAAAACTAGCATTTGGACCATTAGATGGTTTGAATTAATTATTTGTCATGGCCTTATTGCCTTTGTTGATTTTCGGATCCTTCCTATTTTGATCCCACTTTATTGTGTCATGGTCCCATACATATTGTTTTATCCTTCCTATTTTTATTGTGCTCAGCAGAATTTCCTCCATATACATATTTTTTTGTCCTTCCTAATTTTCAGATTCTTCCTTCTTTGCTTTCACTTTTTTATGCAATTATTATATTGTAATGTGTACTATTTTCTTCTTTTTATTGTTTTGCAGTCTAGTATATTTTTTTATATACACATAATGTCACAACCGAACATATATGAAGGTAATGACATAGAGGAAGAAGAAATTGATTACGAAGATATAGATGATGAAGAAATAGATGAAGAATTTTATGAAGCCATTTACAGTTCAGTGATGGCAATTTATGCAGTAATGCATGTGCTAAATCAATTTCTGAATATAATGCGTGGTGAATATATTGAACGTCCATTAACTCGACGGCGAATTACTAGCAGTGGATATGACTATATACATCAAGCATTGAACGATGATCCTGCAATCTTCCGACAAGTATATAGAATGTATCCAGATGTATTCCGGAAGTTATGCACAATTCTTAGAGAAAAAAACACTTTTGGAGGATACAAGATTTATTTGCGTTGAAGAAATGCTTGCATCATTCCTACAAATCGTCGGCCAAAATACTCGATATTGTGTCATTCGTAATACATTTGGTCGATCACAATTCACTGCAAGTGAAAATTTTCACAAGATTTTGAAGGCCTTGAATTCAATAGCATCTGATTGGATGGCTAAACCAGGACCGGCTGTGCCATCTAAAATAAGGGAAAGCACAAGGTTTTACCCTTATTTCAAGGTATGTGATAATTATCTAATTATAATAATTATCTAATTATAATATATATTTGTCATAATATGGTTATTGTGATGTATGAATAATTTTAGGATTGCATTGGAGCTATTGATGGTACACATATTCCGGCAATGGTGAGGGGACGAGATGTAAGCAGTTATCGTAATCGTCATGGAAAGATATCACAAAATGTATTAGCTGCTTGTAACTTTGATTTGGAATTCATATACGTTCTTAGCGGGTGGGAGGGTTCAGCTCATGATTCAAAGCTACTAAATGATGCTTTATCAAGGAGGAATGGACTTAAAGTGCCCCAAGGTAAGTACTTATTTTAAATGATAAATATATATATTTTTTAACTTTGCATACTAATTTTATATGTATTGTATATATAATTAGGTAAATATTTCCTAGTGGATTGTGGATTTCCTAATCGGCGCCAATTTTTAGCTCCATTTCGAGGTGTGCGATATCATCTCCAAGATTTTGCAGGTCATGGTAATGACCCTCAAAATGAAAATGAATTGTTCAATCTTCGCCATGCGTCATTGAGGAATGTGATCGAGAGGATATTTGGCATTTTTAAATCACGGTTCACAATTTTTAAGTCAGCGCCTCCATTTCCATTTAAGACACAAGCAGAGCTTGTGTTAGCATGTGTAGCACTACACAACTTTCTTCGCAAAGAGTGTCGTTCTGATGAATTTCCAATTGAACCAGTGGACGAATCTTCTTCATCTTCAGTATTACCAGTTAATGAAGAAGAGAATTTGGAACCTATTGTTCAAACCCAAGAGCAGCAACGAGAAAATGCTAATGCATGGAGAGCTACCATAGCTTTAGATATGTGGAGAAATGCTACTTAGGTGGACATGAAGCTACATCAAATTGGCTACTAAAAGATTGGGAAAACTTTATTGAATTTTACTTTTCTTTGTTAAAATTGTGTTTCTTTGTTATCTTTTCATTGACTCTTGTAACTTTGAATGTTTGCTTTTATTTATTGTTCCATTCCATTTGATCCCGTTTATGTTATTGCTGATGCAAGTGCCCACAACTAAGTTGGTTGGTTATCGTACAAATAAAAAATCCATGTGGTCCTTTCAAATCTTATAAATTCTTATGATATAAATCTTTAAAATCCAAACATAAAAAATCCTGAGTATAAAAAATCTTTCAAAAAAATCTTATAAGTCATTACATTCTTAAATAGTCTTTTAAAATCCACTGGACTTATTTATCCATAAATAGTCTTTTAAAATCTCAATTGAATACACCCCCCTAAAATACTAGCCTACGTTGTCACCATATGTAACCAGGTTTTATATGTTGTTATCAACATGTTGATAAATAAGTTGGTACTCGTAACGCTGTTGTTACATTATTCGTTTGGTGTGTTGGATATATAGTTGGATAGGATTCATAATCATGGTCAAATGTTTGGTGGGCCTAAAAATAACATAAATTGGATAATTCTACAAAACCAATATGTTAGGATTAAGTTGGTTTGGATTATGTCTAATCCTACTAAGACGTGTAATTGCACATTTCATTAAATCTGACCCTTTAATCTCGTGTAATACCAAACAGATCATTGGATTAGTATTATCATTTCCAATCCAATCCAATGTAATCCAATCCAATCCAATCCAATTCTACCTTATAATTCAATTCAATCCAAGTCACCAAACATGGTATAACTTCAGTGTGAATATTTTTCGTAATTGCATTTGTCAATAAACTTCACTATATCAACAACAAATTATATTATCATATTAGATACATACAATCGAACTAATCATATTATCTCTGCCTTAAAACGTATCATACATTAGATAATGCAGATTATTCCCTCATGCTTTTTTTGGTTACTAATCCCCTCATGCTTTTAACATGCGGAAATTATGATCATTTGCCTTAGTTTTGCTGCCTCCACACCAAATGAATGCACCTAATTGGAAAATCTTCCTCCAAAAATTCACGCGGGAAGCATTGCATGTTGCCTTCAGAAAACAAACCACAAAGATGAGTTTCCTTCCTCAAGCCAACACTACTAATTCTTCAGCTCTTCCCCTTGAGAGTTCATCGTCTTGGATCAGTTTTGTTTTAGAGAAAGAGGAAGAAATTAGTTAGAATTAATATGATGTACAAGAGTAAGCTGCAGGAGCTGTGCCATGGGAAGAAGTGGGGTTTGCCAAGATACACGGCCATGAAGGATGGACCGGATCACAACCCTGCCTTCAAGGCCTCTGTATCTGTAAATGGCTTCTCCTTTGACTCGCCCGTTGCTTGCAAATCTTCCAAACAAGCGCAGAACCAAGCCGCCATGCTCGCTTTCCTCCACTTCACCTCTCCACCTTCTTCTTTTCCTTCTGGTATGTTTTGTTATATTTCTCATCTGGCTTCCATTTGATCTCTTTCCTAGTTTCTTTTCTTCCAATCTAGTACTGTTCTTGTATGCTTCACGGCACTTGTACTAGCCCGACCGATTATATTTTAAAATAGGATGCATATATGTGATCCATTCTACTGATGAACAAACTAATTGCCTTAAAAGAATGAATATTTTTTCCCTACAGATTATTAAGTGAGAAAAATGTTGCTCTGCATCTATTTGAAAACTCTTAACTTGCATGAGGCTAGTGTTGTCATGTTGTCATATCACTCACTTCACTATCACAAAAAGGGAAAGATTTAAATCAGATATAGTTATATGAAGTACATAGGAATGAAGCACATTTCAACTTGGCAAACTTAATCTATAGTTTAAATGGATTGAATATTTCATAGGCCTTTCCGATATACAACTGATTTTCTTTATCATCAATGACCGCCTCTTGTAGTTGAGCCTACTGTTACAGCTGATGAGCATGCTATTGAGAGCCCAGAGTTCTTCAACACTTTGAAGGGGCCAGAGCATGCTGCTGCGAACGCTGTTTCAATGTCATCGTCACAAGACGGTGCCCAAACCAGTGCAAGTTCCCTTAACTAGTTCTTGTTATTTTGCTCTCACTTTTTGGTGGTTGCAAAAATGAACAATATCTTATGGTGATGAGTGTGTTCATTTTACGCGACATCCTAGATATGAATTTATTCATTTAATAGAGTACAGAGTTAATTTCTTTATGTCCTTGTACAGGTTGAATCTGGTCATTACAAGAATCTCTTACAGGAGTTAGCTCAGAGAGAAGGCTTTTACATGCCAGCATATAAAACTGCGAGATCCGGTGCATCTCACTTGCCAACATTCTCCTCCACTGTGGAAGTTGAAGGAGAGGAATACTGTGGGAAAGCAGGGACATCCAAGAAACAGGCAGAGCTGAATGCTGCAGAAGTTGCCTACATTGCTTTAAAAGAGCGTAAGTTAGTTAGTATTCTTCCTCTTCTGACATGGTTTAAGTTTTTTGCTGAAGGAGGCTTCTTTTGCATATCATTTAATCTGAGCATGAGTAATAAATTAGAACAGATTTTGTATGTTCTTCTGCTACATATGAAGTTTTGTCTTTCAAAATTTTTATTAGGCCATGATAGACAGTAGGCACATATATAAATGATTTCATTAGGTAGCTGAATAATTGCGGATAGGTTTCTGTTCATTGCTTACCCAGAGAAATCTTTATAGTTAATTGACAAGCCATTTTTTGCGTTACGTTTGGTAATCTTTATTCTGCTGCACATTGTTGCAATGCCAATATTTGTATCCTCGTTGAGTTATGTGCTGCTTGTGCACATTTCCGTGGAAGAAAGCCAATGAATGTGCATTGACAAGGTTAATTTCTGTTTAGGTGGATTGAGCCGGGCTACTGAGATCACTTCCTGCCATCTGAGAGAAGGTGCTCTCAAGACCACTCAAAGCTCTGACTTGAGAATGACTGTTGATTCAGTCAAGAATCTCATTCATGAAGAACAATTGGTTTCATCTCCAGCTATCAAGTATGAGGAATGTACTAAACAAATCAAAGGTGACATCTTCATCTGATACCTAGGAGGAATGTTAAAAACCTTGTTGTTTTGTCCAAAAAACCTTTATGTTCTTCGTTCTTACATTTATGAGCATTTATGAAACAGGCACATTACACGATTTATCAGCCAACGCCAATCTCGAAGCTGAGGTCTCTGATTCATTTCATGCAGTACCGGAAATGGATAACATGAAAGAAACCGGAAATCCTTCTTCATGCTCTGAATCGATGCTCCCTTCAACTGAAGAAAGCCCTTCCTCTCCAGCATTTATACAACCCAATCTTCCTGCTGTCACAAATGTAGGGAAAGGTACAGGGGTGAGGAGTTACTTGCTGTGCAACAGGGTTAGAGTTTACACACAATTTCCTAATATTGCATTCCCTAATCGCATAACGGTGCTGCCCATTAGTGATGACAAGTGGGTGGCTTTCAGCTTGGAGTTCCCAAATGAAGAAAGCAATTAAGTTGCTGGTGTGTTACCAGAATATTGTCTTTGATAAGACCTAGTTTTACCATGATATCCAACTGGACTTTCAGTTATGTTTAACCTAAACTTATGGCATGTCTCTGCTTCTCATGCCGGATGCTGATCCCATTTGCACTAGGTCTTATGAACTTATAAGATATGATTGAAACAATTTAGTATAAAATTACTTTTGGGAAAATTATCAAACATGAAATAACATTTAGAACATAATAATAATTTTTAACTGGTAAATCAAATTTTACAATGAAAATGTAAGTAAATGAATTAGGGATAACCTTCCAATGGTCAAGCCCTCTTATTCAATTCATGCATTTTTCATATGCATGCATGAGCAGTCATTACAGATTTACAGCTCTTGGCGTTTAATTTCCTGAATTGATTTGATTGTATGCTTGACATAGAACCAAAGTACCAGAACAAATAAAAATGCTAAACCAAATTTCACCACTTTCCCTGGCTGCTGCTTCATCTCCATAACCAGCCCATCCACCACCTGCTTATAGTTACAGCTAAAAGAGCACTTCTCAACACCAGCATTGTCCTCAGGATGCCCAAATATGGCTCTTCTAAGCTCCTCCTTTGTCGAATCCTCAACTTTTTTCCCGCGATCTTCATCAAGTTTTTTGGTGTTTTTAGCAGCAGTCTTGTCCAACCCATCACCACTCTTGTCCTTGTGCATTGTTTTCTGAGCAGCATTGCTAGCCTCAGCTTCCACTTGGTTGCTACTCTTACTCACCCTACTTGGTTCCTTTTCCGTAGTCTGCGGAGGCGCGTAATTACTATTTTTCCCCTGTGAAGTTGCTTCGTTGCTTTTCTTGATCTGCTCTTGGTTATTAGCACCAGTCATTTGAGGCTGCGGCCCACCGGTGCTCATGGGTTTAGGAAGCTTTGGAGCTTCCGTGGCGGGTGGCTTTGGTGCTTCTTGGGTGGGTGGCTTCGGAGCTTCTTGGGTGGGTGGCTTTGGAGCTTCTTTGGTGGGTGGCTTTGGAGCTTCTTTGGTGGGTGGCTTTGGGGCTTCTGTGGTGGGGGGTTTTGGTACGTTTGTATTAACTGCTGCTGGAGCTATCATTTTGGGGAGCTTGACAGAAAGAACGCCGTTCTCAAATTTGGCAGAAATGTCATTGGGATCACAGTTTGAGGGAATTGGGAATTCCTTGCGGAAGCGCTCCCATTTGTTGCCATCAAGTGGGCGTTCACCAAGCACCCTTATGTATCGAGCTGAGGTTACTTGGATCTTCAGATTCTCCTTTTTATATCCTGTCACAATAAATCAACGCCAATCCAATATTCTTCCATCAATTCCAAAACATAGAGAACAAGAAAATCAACTCAAAACTTCACACACAGGTCATCTTTTGTTACGTTATTCTTTGGCTAGAATTTGGTTAAGATTTTCTGTTTTTTTTTGTTTTTTTTCAATAATAAAAAAATGTTTAAGATTTAGGTTTCAATCATGAGTGGAATCGCAAAAGTGACCACTTTGTTACATCACTTTTTTTTTATACAAAGCGATATTCTACACGGAATCGAAATTGGGTGCTAAATGGGTTCGGACACGCCTTAGTCAACTAACCTAACTCACATTTCACATTTTTTAGATCCAACAATATTCACCTTGAAATACAATAATGTCAAATTCTTGGTCCAATCCAAATCTTTAACCAAATAAAAAGAACATTTTCACCTATCAAATTCAAGATTTTTGGCCTTGATTGCAACCAAATGTAAATTTATTACACGAATATGATTGCTTGTTTTAAAAATGCATATGGACCAAATTGAAAACCCTACCAAAGCATATGGACTTGACCCTATTACTTTCCCCCCATTTTCTGTCGAACTGCTAACATGTGAATCTAGCTCCATACAAAACTAAATAATTTGCTATAAGTGGAGACTCCAAGATGTTAGAAAACAATGGAGGATTCTACATTGCCCAACATCTTGGTTTTGAAAAAATATCAATATGACAAAGTGAAATTCATAAGCAACAAACCCGACAGATGGACGAGGAAAGCGTCAGATGCTTGCTCTCGTACCCATTCTTCTGGTGGCTCAATGTCTTGGAAAACACGAGCAAATGGCTTTCCCTCCATCTAAATTGGCCTTATTAATTTGCAGTGGTCTCTCTGTTTTCTGTGTATGATTAGATTTCTGTTTGAAACCTTGTGAGCGATATGATGGAAGCTCTAGGGTTGGTTGGATTTATAGCACACACATTGGCATGAAGAGATTGGAAACTGAGAGGTCCTTCTGGCCCTGTGTTTTCTTTGGATTTAGTTATTCCTTTTTCTGGTTGCTAGCTTTTCTTTGTTTAAGATGTTCACTTATGCTTTGATTGGTTACGCATCATAAATTGGTGGCTTCATGCATTGGCAAAGTGAAGGTTCCTTGTCTCTTTCATATACTCTTCACGAATACTTTCTTGCTAGAATTTCAGCATCTTCCTTGGACAGAGACTTGGATTTTGAATTTACGGCTTTCCTACCTCCTTGTGAATGTTCATGGTTGGTGAAAAAATTGAATGGGGATTTCCCAAAGACGGGTTCACATTGGATGTAAAAATTCTGACCACGCTCTAGGGTTTAAAAAGAAAAAAATGTAATTTCATGTTCAATTGTGTGTTAGATTATTTGGGATGGGAGAATTAATCTAATTTCTATTTTTTATTTATCGTGTTTCCGTGCTACGTCACAAAAACTTCACATTTACATGAATGAATGTAGAGTTATTTGAGTTAAGAGAGTTTTACAAATGTGAGTGTGACCTCTACCTTTATTCAATGATAATTTGTTGAGTATCAAAATGATTGAGGAGGTTTTCCATAAATAAATAAGAACTCATTTATATAAAGATAGAAAGAATAAAGTCACAAAAGAAAAGAACATGTTTTCTATATTTTAGTTACCCAAGCATATGAACGTAGCACGTCATCACTAATCCCTGCAAATGATTTGCTCTTTTGGATGGTGTTATAGATGATTGGGGCTTTATGGATTGTTGCTTCTTTGATTTTCATGCATATGGCCTATGCAAATTATTACTTCTCCGGAGGAATGAGCCTCTAGGAATTGTACAAATTATTCGGCTTTTGAGATTTGTTATTTCATATAACGAATAATTTGCTGTTAATACTTACAAAATTGTTGTTTTCTCGTTTGATTTAAAAAAAAAAATTTTACTCTAAAATTGTGAAATTATGTATGCTGAGACTTAACAATAGTCTAACTCTGATTGAAAATTAAAAGGAAGTTTTTTCACTATTATTCTGAATATAGAGGCCTAAATTATTAATAAAATAAAATAAAACTTATATGAAATTGACTTTAGAAACACACCCGAAGCTCATTTACAACATAATTAAGAAGTTTTGAACTCATATAATTTACAAAACTGCAATTAGTTTTCTTAAAACAAGTCTAATCTCAAAACCTTACAAAAAAAAACCCAAAACATTCAAAATAAAAGGGTAAAACTAAAAATTAGTATATTAAGTAAACTCAAATATAGGACAGCTGTAGCAATTTTTTTTTTTTTTTTTTTTTTTTTTTTTTTGTTTTTTTTTTTTTTTTTTTTTTTTAAATGGTATAGTGTTTATCTATAACATTAGTGTTAAGAATGAGGTATATAACTAAATATCTCAAATTAAAATATGATATGCATTCATTTAGAGAAAAATGTATAGCATACGCACAAATTATGTGGATGTTGGACTAAATGAGTCATAATTTCTATTGTGGAAAGTTAAAATGAAATAACTAAGTAGGTATACTAAATGAATATGATATTTAAACTATGCTACACTATATACAATAAGGAAAAAAAAGAAAGTATTGGGCGAACCACATTTCCAACATTTTATTATACGTGCAAAGAGTAATGTTAGTGAGACCACATTATGTATTATATCTCTTTTTTGAGTTACAACGATATTGTATTTTAAAGGGAGGGATAGAGTTTTGAACCCGAGCCAACTGGTGATAAGAGCATCTCCAGCGCAAAAGGCTAGCCCAGGCAGGAGGGGGCCCTAGGTCCAGGGAGCAGCTCCAACGCGCAACATCCAGCTAGGGCAAGGCTGGGGATCCACGAGCCCGGGCAAGCCCAATGGGAGATCTGGATCGTCACCGTGCCTTCGGGGTGCTAACGTTAGTGCTGACCCACAGATATTAGAAATCGACGACTACAAGCCACGTGGCTTCTCCTTGAGCCTTCGATCCAAAAATCTTGTAAAATCGAATGTCTGTCCATTTTTTGGCTAAAAATATTTTAAAAAAATGGAAATTTTTTCTATAAATACCTATCAATATTATTCACTTTCCACACCAAATCTTCATACAAATTCATCTCCTTCCAAAAAATTTCACTTTCTACACAAAATTTTCTCTACTAAATTCCAATTGTGTAAAAATACAAATGGCCTTTCAATCAAAGCCGGAGGCATGTGGACAACCGTAAAAGATATTTTGTTATGTGAGTGTTAGGTCAAAGTTGGTCATCGCCCTATCACGGGCAATGAGTTGAAGTCCTCTCATATGTGGAGAAAAATTCATGGAGAATTTTGTGAAATATCAGGTTCGGCTCGTATGGAAATGGCATTGGCTAGTAGATGGAAATTTTTTAAAAAAAGAGTTAGGGAAATGGAGAGATGCATTGGCAAAAGCGAGTAAATGCCGTTTTATTCAATTTAATGTCACATTTTTCTTTTAATAAATATTTTCTTGCATTTCCATTTTTTTAATAGAATATTCAAGCACAAATGTTGTTTGGTGTCATTGGCCACAGCAAAAAAAGTTTCATCAATCACCAATGTTGGGACGTTGTGAAGAATTGTTCGAGATTCAAAATTATTTCCACTGGTCCGACGGTTGTGTTGAATGAGACGCCGCTCCACGATTCACTGGCAACTGATTCGCCGTTGGACTCCCCAATGGATCAAGACTCACCAATCCAACATGAGTTGATGCCTATTGGGAGAAATGTGGCAAAGGCCGAGAGAGGGAGCACTTCAAACACTGAATGTGCAAAAAATTTGAAGCAAATTGCTAAGAACGGCACACTGAGAATTGAGAGGGACTTGAAAAGAGAAGAAGCTAACAAGGCACGATATGAAGCATATGCAATTGAAAGGCAGCAAGCACAAGAACAAGACATGGAGGATAGATAGATGAAAATCATGGCAATGGATACGAGCCATATGTCTCCTGAAACAAAGTCCTATTGGAAGCTAAAACGAAGGGATGTTATGAGAAGAAAGCTTTTCCATGACGATGGACCTAGCAACACGGATTGGTTAAATGATCAAAACCATTAGGTTGTATTGAAAGAGTTGCCATATGTATTAATTTGTTGTATTGTTTCTATTTTATTGAATAAAGAAAGTATTAAATAATATAGCTATTTATTAAAAACATTTCATACATCAAATCAAACCTTAATTCATTACAAACCACACACAAAACAAAGCATAATTAAAAACAAACCTTAATTAATTACAAACCACATACAAAACAAAGCATTAAACTTGACTTCATCCACTGTGATTGCCTTTCATCTCCAATAAGTACTCGATCAAGTTAACTTGACGTATCTCGTGAACATATAAAAATTGTATTTCCTGATAACGGTCAATCATAGGGTTGTTGTATCGACCATCCCTAATCAACGGTTCATGCTCCAGTGGTTGTCCATTTGCTCTCACATGCTGTTCATAAATTCTTGTCAATGCCGTGTTCATGGGATTGTGTTCAAACATCTCTGGGGCATCATAATCATACTCATCCTCCACAATCATGTTATGGAGGATGATTCAAGTCATCATAATGGTCCGAAGCACCTCTTCATCAAACATACGAGTAGCACCCCTAATAATTGCCCAACAAGCTTGCAAAATATCAAAACACATTTCCACATCTTTCCTATAACCCTCTTGAAAGGCAGCAAATCTTTTTTCCTTCTCCAATTGGGGATTCAGAATTGTTTTGACAAATGTCGTCAACCTCGGATAAATTCCGTCTACTAGGAAGTACACACCCGAGTATTCAGTATTGTTGATTTGATACGTGATTTAGGGGGAATGACCTCTCAAGACATCGTTGAATACCAGGGATTGACCAAGCACATTGGGGTCTTTTTGAGATCCGGAAACTCCGAAAAAGGCATGCTAAACCCAATTATCGAATGATGCAACGACCTCCAGAATTATACTTTTTTGGCCTTTCCTATTACCATAATCTCTTTGCCAAGCAGTTGGGCAATTCTTCCACTACCAGTGCATGCAGTCGATTCTTTTAATCACGCTTGGGAAATAGAGGTGTCAAACGGGAGGTGTCGGGCCAGCCCAACCCATTTAAACTCGTGCCTTTAATGTATTCGTGTCTAGCAAGGCAGGCCATTTAATTTATCGGGCCGTGTTTTGCTGGCCTATTTAGTAAAATCAATGATCCCAACCTGGCCCAAAGCCCAAGTCCACATTGAAACGAGCCGTGCCGGGCTTGGGCCGGGCCCGTGCTCATGTTCGGGCCATACTCGGGTCCAAGAACAAGCCCATTTAATTTGATTTCTTTTTACTTGATTTTTTTCCCACTAGATAATTCAAATTATAAACATAAAAAATATAATTAGAAGTAAGAAATTATGAACTATTTGAAAACATTAATCAATCAAACATCCAAACAATATGAAAGGATGGAGGGCAAAAATGTGGCATCGTTAAAACCTTGCCTTAAAAAACCCTCAAAGGAGGAAAATCCGGTCAAGGAAAAAGAGTACCACTGCCTTCCCAAATTACAAAAAATAAAAATAAAAAAAAATAAAATTAATCTAGGACACCGGGTAAAATATCATGAGCATTTGTCATCTCATTTTCCTAAGAGTGAGATCTTAGATTCCTCAAAAGTTGAAGCATATTAAACCTCATCAACTGCCATAGGAAACCATCTGCAAAGCCTGAATTTGGAGTGTCTGCGTGCACGCACACTCCTACACAAAAAAGGCTCCTAAATATAGAAAGAATCATTGAGTTAGTTATGCATAGGCTGAAGAATACCGGAGAATATAAGAGATTATGTACAATATCTTGTATTAATATCAATCTCTACAGTAGAATATGCAGTCAATCAAATATTCCACTATACTAGCATACACCAACAAAGAAAATCTCATTAAACATTTTGATTGTTACTGTTTGCTGATTTGACCAAAAAAGAATGACGACATTCCCATCAATTATTTTATAAAATTTCAACAATGAAATGAAGTTGAAAGCTCAAATTTCTATAAGAAAAAACGAGTGAAGAATACAAGTTTAAAGACATACCAATGCAAGTATGAAAGTATAGAAACCTGAGGATTAAGATATTACAATGCAGTTAATTTTATGAACATTAATAACAAAATTACAACATGATGGTTGTTCTGCCAGCAAACAAACATACCCCACTGATCAATTGTTGGTGTTTAGCTTTTACTTCACGTTCCTGCATCAGTCAATCGAAAAAAAACAATTATTTTTTGGGGTAAAAGAGATACTTAGACCATCATACAATATCTTCTAGGTAGGTGTTTTGTTTGCTTAATAGGTTTGTGTATCAACATACCAACAAAAACAACGTACCAACCTCAACCAACTTTCTTCATTAAGGGAACTTGTGCTGTCATCTTCAAAATATAAGAGATCTTCATCTACAAAATTTTGAGTTCGAAAATCAGCATCTTCTCAATCCTTAAAACACATAAGTGCCTCGCATATTTGAGGAGTAAGCCTCGTCCTCTTTTCGTCCAGCACATGACCACCTGCACTAAAAGCAGACTCTGAAGCTACTGTGGACACCGGAGTTGCTAGTCCATCACGTGCCATAATGGAAAGCACAGGAAAGTTTTTTTTTCATGTGCTTTCCATCAATCCAAAATATTGAAATTATTTGTTTCTTCCTTAGTCATAAAGCCAATAAATATAGTATCCAAATGCTTAAAAACTTCAGTACGAGAACTTATTACACTCCTCTGTTTTCCGTTGCTAGCAAGCATACCAAAAACAGCTGCACTGCAAAATGAAGATGAACCAAATAAATGAACAGTTGGAGCAGTTTGTGTAGCTATTGTACCAACACTATTTTTTCCTGTTGAGGCCCAAAAAATCCAAGGCTAGACCCAAATATATTCCCAGCCTAATGCTATACCTTACCGAGAAGAAACACAATTTGGGCATGCAAAAGTTCGTCATACACGCTAGCACGAGTCACAATCCACGTGCCACGCCAAGCAAATATGTAACCTATCACGCTAAGAGTTGTAGCAAACCTATAAAATGCATTGGCTCTATGAACCCATGCTAATTATCCCTCCAAGCGCCGTTTTGACTCGACCATAAACCTTTACAATACGATGAAATTCGAGCACAAGCACGAGCACGCCAATTGACATGTCATGCCAAGCGAAAAACACTTTATTTTACACTTAGCCACTCTACAAGCTTAAGTGGGGCCAATCCACGCAAATGCTCGGGGCTTACTGAGTGGGTTGTGGTATGGATGGTAACGAGCATTCATGAGGCCCATTGATGAGCTAAGAAATGGAAGTTTTGGGCTGCTTGGGAGCTCTAAAACTCGAGCCCATTTCTTGAGCCTAAATATGTGGGTAAGCATAAAAGAGAGAAAAAGGTAGCCCATTATTTTAGAAAATTGGCCCATCACCTTAATAAAAATTGTCCATCACTTTAGGAAGTTGGCCCATTCCCTTAGTAGACCAACCCATCACTCTAGGAAGGCCCAAATAACCAAGAAAATATCTAAAAGTCTCTAGCACATGGCTGAAGACAAAAACCACGACAAAGGCCAAGGGTTGCCCATATATGTAGATTGCTGGGATACTCCATCATATAGACAAAGCAACCTCAAGGTAGATCATTCAAAAAACCAAAGGATATTAGCGCGCGCAGGTTGTTAGTGGAAAAAACACCCTTCATACCAATGCCCCTACCCATTTTCTTTCTTCCACTAGCTCTTACCATGAAATAGGAGAGGAAAGAAGGTGAGGTAGTAGCCAAAGATAAGAGATGGACACTGGAACAACTGGGGGAAGGCTCCAGAGCTCCCAAAAATCTTGTCTCTATGTGTTTGGACTGAGAAAGATTTCACAAAAATGAGGATGAATTGAAGGAAGAGAAGAGAAAGGGAAGAGAAGAATTGGCAAATTAGGGAGAAACCAACTAGGGTTTCTTGGGAAGAAGGAGCTTCCAACTCTTATAAAAAGGGTCATCTCCTACCCATAATCACACCCACATCCAGAGAGAGCAAGCATCACCTCTCATCCCTAGAACCCTTCAATTTCAAGCCATATTCCTACATCTCTTCCCATCTTATCTTTTGGCAAGCCGTTCTAGAGCCTGACGAAGCTTTCGTCAAGCTGCCAGAAAATTGCTCAAACCACCCACTTCTCCTCCCTAATCTCTCTCTCTCTCTCTCTCTCTCTCTCTCCCCAACAAATTCTCTCGAAATTCCTTCTCCTTTTAGCAAGGTGTTTCCTAGGGCTCCACAACCCTTTCAAAGCATTCTTGGGGTATGATTCTTAAACTCAGACACAGGGGTAACTTTACCCATTTACTCTTTACAGCAGCCCAGGGCCATCTGTAGTTGCCGGAATGAAAAAGCCCATGCATTTCCATTTGCTCACAAATCTCTGTAAAATTACATGTAGTATCAAATCTGTATTTAACAAAGGTAGCACTACCAGAGTAAAGCATACATTCCACTCTTCGTCCCATAACAAATTGTCATTCGTTTTATTACTGTAATAAAAATTAATGACATTGGTGTAACCTTTACAAATTTTAAGCATGTGATAAGTTGGGTTTCAACGAATATGCACGTCTTTTTCAATTTTATAAGTTTCAAGCCATGAAACATACAAAGGTGAGCAAAGTCTTGCTGCCTAGAGCTACTAGAAGAAATATAACCAATGACATCCCTAATCCATTGAAGCTGGATTTTAATAACTTTTAATCCATCTTGCACCATTAGATTAATTATGTGACACACACACCTTATATGAAAAAAATTTCATCCGTAAGAAGGATGCAAAACATGTTTAAGCTGCTTAATAGCAGAAGAATAATTGGAAGCATTGTCAAAAGTAATAGAAAATATTTTATGAGTAATGTTATACTCCTTCAACACATTCATCATAGCATGAAAAAAAGAACTACCAGTATGTGGAAATTTAAGAAGACGAAACACAATAATTCTTTTCTGCAACAACCAATTTTCATTAATATAATAGGCAGTAACACAAATAAAAGGCAAATTATTACCACCATCCCGCATGTCAGAAGTCACAGCAATAGAACCCTTCAAATTAAAGAAAACATTTATCTATTTTTTCTTTTCCTCATCATAAAGTTTCACAACATCACCCCTATTAGTATTGCGAGAAACTTTCTTAAATTATGGTTGCAAAGCCACTAGAAAAAATCTTTCAAAACAACTATTTTTAGCAAAATGAAAAGGCAATTCAGCACATGCAATAAATCTAACTAACTCAACTCTCACTTTAGCTTGAGAGTACTTAAATGAAGAGATTCCAGTATTTACAGATAGTTGAGACTGCCTAGCATGATTTGACCAGTTTTTTAAGACATGCATTAAAATGCCTATGAAGATGCCCAATACCGTTTGTAGTTTTACAAGTCAAAGCATGCTTGCAATAAATACACACAGCCTTCGGAAGAATAGTCCCATCATCAAGTTTATGGTCACAAACTTTAAAATGTTTCCAAAATTCAGAAGTTTTTTATTTTTATTTTTATTTTATTTTTAACCTCAGTTTGATCAATGTTTTCTTCTTGAGTGTTTGATTCAAGAGGCATATCAGCATGCATAGGTCATTAGATATATGCCATAGAAGCCAATATAAAATGGATAATTCTAAGGAAATATTATATAATAATCAAAGGGGGAAGAACGTTGCTTTAGATACATAACGTACACAAAGTAACAAGTCCATGGATTAAGATATAAATGGAAAGTGGTCTAAAGAAGTTAGATGCACGAGACCTTTCCATACATATAAATATTGTATCCTAAAATGTTCATAGGATCACCAATTGGACAATGGTGACCTGCAAAGACAGGTACACATTATGTTTGCTCAATTGGGAGGATGACTAGTCTCAAATCATTCGTGTACAGACACTGAGACAGATGTGTAGGTGCTCTATAGAAGATGGAGTCCACTGAACACGATCAACTCTAGAATTCTTGTATGGAAGTCTTACTCACAAGTGCCAAACAAATAATTCTAAGTTGTGATAATGCAAATTAATCCTTAGACCTGAGACATCACGGTTGTCTTGTGCATATGTTGTTTCTCTTTGAGAGCACTAAACGGTTGTATCAAAATGATGTGACTTAAAGGTGTTCCTTAGGATTCTCAGCGTGTACGTAGAGACAGGTGAATGTACGACAAAGAATCTCTACTCTTACTAAGAAGAGAGAATACTCTAAAGATATGATTCGTGAATCTTTGGCCAAAGTATTGGATGGAAATTGGAACAAGAACATTTGCAATTTCATCAAATTTCATCATATAATCTAGAGATGTCATATTAGGGATTTTGACACAAGTTTCCCATATCCCGAGAATATGACATAAAGTATTGAATTAGAGAAGGATCAAATTGCATTGTAATCACAAACTGACTAGATTCTCTAAATGAATTCTTTTTAGCTTGGGTAGGCATGACATATTGCTAGGTGTCACTCATGGCTTGTGGAAACTCTGTAAGGACTAATTATAATTAGCCTTCGACAATAGGGAAAATTGTATAGAGGGATACAATTCACACTTGATTTAGAGTGAATCATTCATACCCACTGTCTTGCTAATTAGAACCTATAAGATTGCACACCGAAAAGGAATCGACTGGGAAATTATGAATTGAATGAATGATTTTGTGGTTTGGTTAAAGTCAATGTGAAAGTCAAAGGTCAAATGGTTGACCCGACACTTGACACGGTCAACTAAGGATGACTGGGACAAACACTCGTTAGACAAGTGAGTGATTGAATTAGTCAAGTCACTAGAGTAATTAAATTGATTAGATTAATTTAATTATTCAATTAAAATTATGAAACTTTAATTAAAGATCCCATATGACTTGGAAATTCAAACGGGATTTGACCATATGAACTTACGCACATATGTGACACATTATAGGATTAATGTGTTGGACCAAGATAACAAAAGATAACACACAAGAGGGGGGAGGTGGGGTGGGTGTGTGGCTCACTAAGGTTTGGAGGCTTTTTTGTCCCTCTTGTAGACATTTTTGATCTTGTAAGTGTGTAGCTATGGAATCCTATCATCCTAGGGTTTTCAAGTTGGTGAAATTGGAAGAGAGAAAACATCAAGCTTTCTCTCCCTAACCTGTTCAATCTATCACATCAAGTGATGGTGCTAGCACCACTCTTCACTTGTCTTCTACGCATTCTCTCATCCCATTCAATCCTTGGTAAAGAGCTTTGGGGAAGTGCATATATTTGTACCTATTTGAAGAGCTACAAGGTAGAGAATCAACATCAAAGGGAGAGAAAACAACAAATGGACCACTCCCTCTACTTGAACACCATTCTTGGTTTCAAGATTCGCTCCAAGGGTATGAATATCTTATCTTTCTCTCAAATAGGATTTAGAGAATCTTTGATGCACACTTTCATAGACTTATAAAGATTGTGACCAAATGAGACTTGCATGAATCCCTAGTTTATTTAATGCTTATGCTCTTACTTTGATTTCATATTAGATATGGCTTGCTAGGTGATTTATACTCTCAAAGTTTGGTTGTAGAGTTTTTAGAAATCTCTATACAACACCACTCCCACAATATTCCATTCATAGGTAAAATTTTAGAGGTTAAGTTATTCTCATGATTAGGCATGTCATCAAGATTAAGATGTTCAAAATTATAATCATAATGCTCACCAAAATCAATATAATCTTGAGGATCCATTAATAGATATTTTTTTTTTTTGTGATTACAGAATCTCCAATAGAATTTCACGCCCTCAAGTACTTGTTAAAAATGCACACCTCAGAATGTTGGCTGCATTAAAAATACGCATCAACAAAACAAAAACAATATGTTATGGTTCAAGATTTATGTGGAAATCCATGATAACATCCCACAAAACAATCTCTTATGATTCAAGCTTGTTAACATCTAAATCCTTTAAGAGTAGCAACATTCATAAACAATTGGAACACATAAAGGAAAACGGAAACGCACAAGTCCTACTGAACTTCGATCTGTATACCAATTTGAGCTTTTTGGGGTTAATGTATATGAGGACCAATTTGCATGTGTTGAGCTTTTTATACAGAGTTTGTTAATTATATTGAACTTTTATATAAGTCCTACTCAACTTCTATCTATAGTACCAATTTGAGCTTCTTCTATCTTACAGATTCCACTTAACAGACTTGGTATATTGAGCTTTTTGGGGCTAATGTATATAAGAACTCTCTCAAAAAGACTAAACTTAGTCTTTGTTTTTTATTGTAAAACTACACCATTCTAATGTATTTCAAAAGAATTTTTATTTATTTATAAAATTCAAACTGAATGCTTACCCAAAGAGCATCTGGAAACCAAGACAACAACAAAAGAGCCTCTATGAGGCACGCATTAGTTGCGCAACACAGCAAAACAAAAGAGCCTCTATGAGGCATTTTGAAAATCCAAAATGTTTGAAAACATGCATAAGAAAAGAATGTTTGAAAATCCAAACCAGATACTTACCATTCAATTGGACTATATCTTCCTTCTTGTCTCCCAATTTGAACCCATAAGGTAGAATCTACAAAACCCACACTAAAAAACCAAAAAATTTAGACTATTGTCTTTGATAAATAATTAAAACTAAAAATAAAAACAAGCTCAGACCCTACAATCAATGTTTCTCACAAAGTTTGAGTAACCAAACATAGAAACTATACGGTTAAAGCTCTTACCTTGCAACTCCAATTTTGTAGAATCAGAGAAAGCTCGTGAGCCGCCAAATACAAGTCTCGCAACAGTACCAGCGCAAAAGAATTGGTCCTTGCTGATTGTTCACGAGTTATTTAGATGGCTCTAACACAGGTTTTGGGTTTTTATGATGCTACATGGATCTTCCAGCACAGATTTGGGGTATTTCCTAAAGATTTATGATATGTTGGAAGAGGAAGAGGAGATGCAGAAATCGAGAGGACAAGGAGGAGACGATGCTTTGTTTTCATCGCTTCTTCACGCACGGCTCCTCACGCTTCGACATTTAACACCTCTAGGCTCTATTTGATGCTTTGAGTTTGAGTCCAACTCTCCAACTCCAAGTCTGTTTGTTAAGTCATTAAGGCTGGGGTGTTCAACGAGATTACTCCAAGTCTGTTTGTCAAGTCTTTTTGTTAAGTCACTTAAGTCTGTTTGGTAAGTTATTGGTCATTGCATCACTTTGTATTTTATTTTATTTTATTTTCATTACCCAAGTTTTTAATTGCTGTACCAACTTGGTAGTGAAAAAAATGGAGTAGATGCTTGAAGCAGGCTCGAGTTTGGGTCGTGCTTGAAGCGGGCTTGGGCTCGTGCCACGCTTAAAGCGAGCACAGGCCAAGCTAGGCCCATTTTGGGCCACAAGCCGGCCCGATCCATTGGACCTTTTTTTTTATCCCTGCCCGGTCCAAGCTTTCATGCCATGCCAAGCAAGGCCCACTAATATTCGTGCTCGTGCAGTGCCACACCTCATTTAAATGGGCTAGACTCATACCGTGCTGGGCCAGCTCGTCCTGTTTGACACATCTATTAGGAAACCTCAAGCCTCGACTTTTCGTAGAAGCCTTTGGAGGTCCCTAGGCGTAGGTTTACTGAGATAATCCCTCGTGTATAGAGTTTTTATTGCATCACAGAATCTAACCAAGCACTCTAGGATAGTTGATTTCCCCATCCTAGCAATCTCATCCACCTGGTTTGCAGATGCCCCATATGCAAGCATCCGTAATGTAGCTGTAAGTTTTTGCTCTCAAAGAAGACGTAAAACCCCAAGAACATCCTACTTCTGAACGAAGTATGTGTCATAATTGCAAGCATCATGCAAATTTTTTTGGAACAAATGAGGTTGCATTCTATATCTCCCTCGAAAATAATAAATAAGATATAATGAATTTAGGACAAAGTAATATTCCAAGAAATTCTTACCCTAAGAGTGCCTATGTTTGTCCACATTCGGGGCATGACCATGGTGGTGTTGCCTTGATTGATTGAGCATACCCACCTCTAAAACAATTTCTTCCTCCTCTTCATTCAACTCACGATCTTCTTTAGCACGTCTGCTCCTAATTTCTTCATCTTCTCGTTGTTGCCTCTCCAACACCCTCTTCAGGTTAGACTTTGATAGTACAATGTGTTTTCTAAAATCTAATAAATGAAAGAATAGAGAAGATATGATGTGAGAGGTTTGAGTTGAGGGTGTAGTTTTATAAAGGGATTTAGAAGATAGAGATTACACATGGCGCAATTTTAGAGGGTGAAAATCTTATCTGATATATGAGATTAGAATTTTATAATAAATATTAACATGTGACAACCGAGAATCTTATCCGAAAATCTTATCTGAAGTTTGAGATTTGAATGTTATAACAAAATATGGACATGTGGCAGCCATAAATCTTATCAGAAAATTTTATCTAAAATTTTAGGTGAGAATTTTATAATAAATAGTGACACGTAGCAACCCAAAATCTTCTCAAAATTAATGGTTTAAGTATAAAAAATAGAAAATAAATTAAAGTAAATAGTAATTGCCCTTACCCTTTCTCTTGCCATTTGGGGTGGAAACAAAAAAGGCAAGGGCTGCCACTATTCAGGTGAATAGTGACAAGCCTAGCCTTACCTTTGCTTTGCCCTTACCCTTTGGGCCCCGTTTGGTTCATGGGAAAGGAGGTTTGGGGATGGAAAATCAATTGCTTTATCATGTTTGGTAAGTCCAGACATTGGAAATCGTTGCCTTGCACATGAGAAAGTAGGGGGAAAGTGAAGTCCTCCTCCCCTCTTCGGTTTTGTTTTCCTCCTCATAGGAAAATTTGGGAAAATGAGCCCAACATTAAATACACATTTTTCATGACCATATTGTCCCCATTAACAATTTAGAATTACAATATAGCATTAAATGCATTCTTTTTTTATTTGATTTTATATGGGTATAATTGGAAAATTAAACAAACTTTTTTTTTATATTTCTACACAAACCAAACATGTGAAAGGAAATAAAGTGGTATTTCTTAATTACTTTCCCAAAATTATCAAACATATGAAAGGAATCTCCATTTCCCATCCCTTGGGAAATGACATGGAAAGTGATTTCCCCTCAAGTTCGTTCTGTGAACCAAACAAGGCCTTGGGGTGGAAGTGCTATAAGTGCATCTCCACCCCAAAGGACTAAGGCTAAAGCAAGGGCAAGGGCAAGGCAAGGGATGCTACTATTCATGTGAATAGTGGCAGCCCTGCCATTTGTGGTTCCACCTCAAAAGGCTAAGGCTAAGGAAATTACTATTCATTGTACTTTACTTCCTATTTTTTTTTATACTTTAAACCATTAATTTTGATAATCTTTTGTAATTAAATTTTCGGATAAGATTTTTGGTTGCAACATGTCCATCATTTTTTAGAAAAGATTTTCGGATGAGAATCTCGGTTGCCACATGTCTTATTCCAAATAAAATTTTCGGATATTCATTAAAAAAAATTATAATTTTAGATTTTTGATAAGATTTTCACCCTCTAAAATTGTGCCGCGTGTCCCATGTCAGATAAGATTTTCAGATATTTAAAAAAAATTATAATCTCATATTTCATATAAGATTTTCACCCTCTGAAATTGTGCCACGTGTCATGTCTATCTTCTGAATCCCTCTATAAAACTACACCATCAACTCATACCTCTCACACTATCTCTTATTTATTCCTTCATTTCTTAGATTTTACAAAACACATTCTACTCTCAATGTCAAACTTGAGGAGGGTGTTGGAGATGCAACAAAAAGAAGAGGAAGAAATTCGGCGCAGACGTGCTAATGAAGATCGGGAGGCCGATGACGAAGAGGAAGAAATGCTTGCAGCAGCGGTGTGTATGCTTAATCAATCAAGGCAACACCGCTGTCGTCATGCCCCGAATGTGGACAGACGTAAGGAGTCTCGAGGTAAAAATCTCTTGGAAGATTACTTTATCCCAAATTCGTTATATCTTGTTTCTAAGTTTCGAGAGAGATATAGCATGCAGCCACATTTGTTCCAAAAAATCATGCATGATATTTGTAATTACGACACATACTTCATTCAAAAGTATGATGCTATTGGAGTTTTGGGTCTTCTCCTGGAGCAAAAACTTACAGCTGCTTTACGGATGCTTGCTTATGGGGCATCTGCAGAGCAGGTGGATGAGATTGCAAGGATGGGAAAATCAAGTATCCTAGAGTGCTTGGTGAGATTCTGTGATGCAGTGGAAAATTTGTACATGAGGGAGTACCTTCGCAAACCCACACCGAGGGACCTGCAAAGGCTTCTACAAAAAGCTGAGACTCGAGGTTTCCCAAGAATGATTGGAAGCATCGATTGCATGCACTAACAGTGGAAGAATTGTCCTACTGCTTGGCAAGGAGACTATGGGAATCAGAAGGGCCAAAAAAGTATAATTTTGGAGGCCGCAGCTTCATTCGACTGTTGGGTTTGGCATGCCTTCTTTAGGGTTGCCGGATCTCAGAATGACCTCAATGTCCTTGGTCAATCCCCGGTGTTTGACGAGGTATTGCGAGGTTATTCCCCTTAGATCACATACCAAATCAACAATACCGTATACTCTGGTGCATACTACCTTGTCGCAGAATTTATCCTAGGTGGACGATATTCGTGAAAACAATTCCGAATCCCTAATACGAGAAGGAAACAGGCTTTGCTGCCTTTTAAGAAGGTTACAGGAAAGACGTGGAAAGGTGTTTCGGTATCTTGCAAGCTCGTTGGGTAATTATTAGGAGTGTTGCTCGGATGCTAGATGAGGAGGTGTTGCGGAGCATTATGATGACTTGCATCATCCTCCACAACATGATTGTGAAGGATGAGTATGATTATGGTGTTCTAGAGGTGTTTGAACCTGATCCCATGAACACGACGTTGACAAGAATATATGAAAGGCCGATGGGACCAAATGGACAACCAATGGAGCCCGAACCGTTAATTCGGGATGGTCGATACAACAACCTCATGATTGATCGTTATCAAGAAATGCAATCTTCATATGTTCACGAGATACGTCAAGTTGACTTGATCGAGCACTTGTGGGAGATGAAAGGCAATCACAGTGGATGAAGTCAAGATTAGTGCTTTGTTTGGAATTATGCTTTATTTTGTGTGTGGTGTTTTTTGGAATTATGCTTTTTTATTTATTTATTATGCTTTTAAGTATGGTTTGTTTTGTGTGTTGTTTGCAATAAATTAAGGTTTGTTTTTAATTAATCTTTGTTTTGATGCGCAAATGTTTTTAATTAATAGTCATATTATTTAATGCTTTCTTTATTGAATAAAAATGAAACAATACATCAAATTAATACATATGGCAAATCTTTCAATACAACCTAATGGTTTTGATCATTTAACCAATTCGTATTGCTAGGTCCATCGTCATGGAAAAATTTTCTTCTCATCACATCCCTTCGTCTTAGCTTCCAATAGGCCTTTGTTTTAGGAGACATATGGCTTGTATCCATGGCCATGATTTTCATCTCTCTATCCTCCATGTCTTTTTCTTATGCATGCTGTTGTTGAATTGCAAATGCTTCTTGTCGTGACATGTCCGCTTCTTCTCTTTTCAAGTCTCTCTCAATTCTTAGTGCAGTGTTCTTAGCTATTTGCTCCAAAAATTATACACATTCATTGTTCGAAGTGCTCCCTCTCTTGGCCTTTGCCGCCTTTCTCCCAATAGGTCTCGGCGGACGTGGGAGTGGTGACTCCATTTCCATTGGGGAGTCCAATGGCGAATTAGTTGATGGCGAATCATGAAGTGGCGTCTCATTCAACACAACCGCCGGACCTGTGGGAATAATTTTGAATCTCGAACAATCCTTCACAACTTCCCAACATTCGTGATGCAAGAAACTTTTTTTGCCTTGGCCCATGGCACCGAACCAAACTTGTGCTTGTATGATCTATTAAAAATAAACAATTTTGAAATGCAAGAAAAAATTTTATTATGCAAGAAAATATAGACAAATTGGAAAAACAAAAAAAAAAAAAAGAAAAAGAAAGAATATGCAATAAAAAAAAAGATACAAAATTAAAAAAATGGAAATTATAAATATTTTACCTCATTGGATAGATTTTGACCGCTTCGAATGTTCTCCCTTGTTTTTGTCAACGGATTTCTCCATTTCCCGAACTCTCTATTCATAATTTTCATCTATTAGACAACGCCATTTCGGTCCGAATGAGACCCGATTTTTGACAAAATTCTCCATGAATTTTGCTCCAGATATGAGAGAACTTCATCTCATTGCCTGTGACAGGGCAATGACTAACGTTCACCCAAGACTGATACAATGCAATATCTTCCTGAGTTGTCCACGCGCCTCCAGCTTCGATAGAAGATGCCATTTGTTTTTTATACAAATGGAAAGTAGTAGAAAAATGTGAGTGGAAAGTAAAAAATATTGGAAGGAGAAGAGTTTGTATGAAAATTTGGTGTGGAAAGTGAATAATGTGAGTGGAAAGCAAAAAATATTGGAAGGAGAAGAAATTGCATGAAGATTTGGTGTGGAAAGTGAATAAAATTGTTAGGTATTTATAGGGAAAAAATCCATAATTTTTTGGTATTTTAAAAAAAAAATCAGAATTTTTTAGAAATTGTCGGATTTCTGGAAAAAAAACGATCGGAGCGTTCGGGTTGCGACACGTGGCGTTTTCCCGTTGGATTATGTCAGGGATGACGTAGAGTTGACGTCCTCAAGCATAAGTCAAATTTTTTTTTCAAATTTTGCTGGCTAACATCAGCGTGATGTCACTGCCTTCGGGCTGAAGCCCAGGCAAGATCTGCCCTTGAGCTTGCCCGGGCTGCTGCTTCTGTGCTGGAGCTCCAAAACCGAGCAAAGGGGCCTCTTGCCTTGGCAAAAGGCTCTGCGCTGGAGGTGGCCTAAGGGGGAGAGGAAACCACTAGAGTACTCCACATCCTTTGTGTAGCACATCTCTCTAATAATATTTGCCCACTTATACTAGAAATGTGCTACATAATCAAGTCGTCTCCCTAGAATTTTCTTGTGCAAAAAAGAACAAGAAAAAAAAGAAAAAAAAAGAAACTAGTTCTAACGAAATAAAAGAAAGGAGAAAACTAATTTATTTTAAATTTAAAACTCCTCTTGCATATATATAGCTTAGGCGGGGTAACTGAGTCTCTGGAGAGAATTCTACTTCTACTCTCCAGTTCACTCATACGCATGCATTAAGGAAGAAGACGAATGAGATTATGGCGATGGACACCAATTTCGCATCCTCATTGTTTGAGAATCTAAACCTGGAAGATCCATGGCTTCCTCCAACTACCTGGGAATCGATCCCATCCGAAAGCGGAAATTTCCATCTTCGAAACCCCAAGTCCTCTTCCTCTCACTCCCTCTACCATGCCTCCACCGTCTCCGTAAGTCCCGCTTTCTCTCAATTTAGGGTTTCATTCCTAAATTCCTTCCATTTTCCAAGTTTTCTGTTTGTTTCCATGGAAAATTGAATTTTGAAGGAAAATCTTTTTGTATTTAATTTAAGAAAAATGTGAACATTTGGGAACAGGAGGCAAGTTTGGTGCGGTTGGCGATGAATGCACTGCAAGGAGTTGAATCGGCCCTTGTTAGCATCCAGAAGCTTTCTGCTGCATTTTGCTCTGACCCGGCTGATAGGACTTTCCATCAGATTCCAAGTCTGTGGAATAGGTCTTCAAGCACTCATGCTCTGGGAAACATTCTCCAGCCCATTGGCTGCTCAGGTTTGCTTGTCTTTCTTCTGCGAAAATTTGTGGACTACTTTTCGAATTTGAATGTGGAAAGTGAAGATCATGTTGATGGTGAAGCTCAAGTGAAACAGTGCCCTCCATATAGTCTTGTTAACCATGCTTTCGCTGTTTCGGTGGGAAAGGTTGTGGAAGGTTACATGTGTGCACTGGATACCTTGTATGCATCAGTGGGTTTGAGGCGCTCTTCGTGTTCGTCTTCTGTGGTGGGATGTCTGAACAGTGTAGTGTATTCTGAACTTACTTTGTTGGAGTTCTATTTGCACACAAAGGAATTGAGGGCTCAGATTGAAGCCCTTACGAACTTATGCAACTTATATCAGTTCTCTAGTTGTTTCTCAGTATCCTCTCTTGAAGAATTGATTACAAAAGCAAATTTGGAATTTTGTAATTTCTACAGAGGAGGGGATTTACTCTCATATCTGTATACTCAATTACAGGTTAGATTACTTTGCTTTTCCCAACATGAAACTTCGTAATTTTAGCATGAAATGCCTTTTTTTATTTTATTTTATTTTATAAAGTTTGTTGTTATGGCATTCTCTCACATGGCTGTAATTGTCTTAATGGTAATGGACACTGCAGTGACATAAAAAATTCTAGTAACATAAATGTTTTAAAAGGTTAAATTCTGCTAATGGACACTCATTGACATATTTATTTATTCTTTGTTTAGGTTGCTGATCCTGCTCATCGTCCTTTACTCAAATTTCTTTTTCTTCGTACATGTGAACCATATTGTGGCTTTATTAGATCATGGATATTCAAAGCTGAGATTAGTGACCCTTACAAGGAGTTTGTTGTAGAATATGCTGACAGTCTATCTCCAAATCAACATGGTAAAGCCGACATCTCTATTGACTTCCCATTGGCAACTATTAGGGTAATGCTGTTACCTTTAATATTGGAAAATTGGAATTAAATTCTGTTTTCGTTGAATACATGATTCTCCTCTTCGTATCAGTTCTCATGGTTACCATTTGTGCCTCAGGAACAAGATGGAGTTTCTGTTCCTTGTTTTTTGAAGGACGTCTTGATTCCACTTGTCAGAGCTGGTCAGCAGCTGCAAGTTCTAGTGAAATTGCTTGAATTGTGTACTTTTGTTGCCACCAACAACCATACTTACGAGGGTTTTCTTCCCTGCTGGACTGGATTTTCTGGCAATTGTCCATATTATTCGCCTCCATTGACATTTATAAAAGGAAATGTAGAGGCCACATTACTTTCAAGGGACAGATATTACAGAAGAATGCAGGAAAAACTCGAGAATCTTTCAGCAAAATTAGAGTTCAGATATCAACAGGTCATCCACTCTGATAATTTAGTTTCTTTATATAGAAACTTTGTTATTATGCAAAAAAATTATACAAATTTATAAATAAACCCAATCCTAGACATGTATTTATAAAAAAACCCAAGCACTATTTAAACATAGAAACACACCCAAAATCAACCCCAAAGTCAACTTTTTGGGTGTGTTTATAAATGGGTTTTGAGTGTGTGTAATGATGGGTTTTGGGTGTGTTTATATGTTTAAATAGTGCTTGGGTTTTTTTATAATTTCAACCCCCATTTTGGGTGTTTTAGTGAAACTCCCAAAAAATAATGCCATTATAACTCTAATTAGTTTTATATATTTTTGTCTTTGTTTCTTAGTTGCAGCATGCAACGCAAATAGCATTTTCTTCAGTTTCCAGTCAATGTAGAGATATGATGTCTTTGCATTCCTAGGCATAATTATAGTCTGTCTGTATTTAATTTACAATTAGCCTTGATGGTTTATTACATTCAAATTCCTCTCTCTTAATAGCTCATGCCACTACAGTCCTAGGTTGAACTAATTCTTTTCAGATGCAGATACCAGACTGTCGCTCTGATTTATTATTATAATTTTTCAAAGGTATGCTGCTGGTTTGCAGTAACCTATAATGCTGTGAAGTTGAAACTCTGCTTATGATGAGCAAATTGGTTTTATGCAGTGCATATATACCCCCCTCCCCCTCCCTTTTTTTATAACTAAGATGCAAAGCAGAACAAGATACTAATAAACTGATTTAAGTTTGATACTTTTTATAATTAGATGCTCCATAAGCGACAAGGTTAGTGCTGATAGAAGTAGACATTACTCAGTTTGTTTTTATGACTTGCCACTTTTGACATGCCATTGTTGCCTTCAGGTAGGCTGTTGGTACAAAAAAAAAGGGTTTGGAATTTCAGTGTTATAGATTTTTCAATTTAAACTATGTCCTGGCTTATAGATGCCTCTCTTTCATTCATCTACAACTCTGCTCTTTACAAGGAGGATTCAGGGTTGTGAATGAGAGAAACATATGTTTCATGTCTACCTGCTTTCCTACAGTTTTGCTGCAATGCTAGTTTCTGTTGTTATCTGGTTTCTAATAATTTGATTGTTTTTATTTATGCAGGTAGTTCGATCAGGTACACTGCCTGTTCTCTTGGATAATGGGGGTAGGAGTTCAACCAACCCAGGTTTATTTGCTTTGGATGACAATTTTATTCCTTCTCCAACAAATGATAAAAGGGAGTCAAATGGGTAATCTCTCTCGCTCTCCTCCACCCCACCCCACCCCCCACCCCCATCTGTGTGGATAGATGTATGTATGCGTATGCTGTCTACATGACGGTTGCGCTTCTGCATGCATGGTTCTTCATACCATGTGTTGATGAATACATATGTTCCTTTATCCTGTTTCTTGTTCTTTCCTTCCAAATGTTGTTGCAGCTTCATGAATGATTAGATTTCTCTAATTCCCAGTCTCTAATTCTCAGGGTTCATGATTTGGATTCTGGTGAGTTAAGTGCAAGGGATGGTCTATCTGACCTCACGGATTCGTACGAGTCATCTGAATGTTCATTTGATAGTACTTCTGCAGAGCAAAATGTGTCTGAGCAGATGGTTGAGCTTCCCAATCATATTGTTGGGCTGGAACAAAAATATTTATCTGCCTTAAGCTTTTCAATGAGTATGCCCGTTGATAATTTGCAAAAGCCTCATGTACGTGAAGAGTCATGCCATATAGTAAGTGACCAGAGTAGACTTTGTGAAAGAAGAGATGCCCTAGCACATTCTCATCATAAAGGTGTGTTTACAAGTCAAATATCTGTGCCCATAAAACCAAAAGAATCGAACTTGTCAGCTATGTCTGATATTCAGTTTGCAGATTGTCTATCTGATAAGGACTGGCCAGAAGGTGGTCTTTTTGAGAGTTATTCTGCCATTGATGAAGAGTACAAAGATGGTCGAAGGTCACATCCAATGGATTCTCCCTCAAAGGTGAATGAAAGAATACTAGAGGCCTTAAAGGAGGGCACATCATATTTCAGAAAAGGAGTTGGGACTAATAGTGCTTTAATTGAAGAAGCCTATGGCAAGGATCAACCTCAAAATGTGACATATCCTTCTTCAGATTTATTTACATTACAACAGTGGAAAGTTAACTCCCATAACAATTTTCTCAGCATGAATCCAATGTTGACAAAGAATAACTTACTTCACCTGATAACCAAGCCTGGAGAGAGATATGGAAGGGAATTTGGACATTCTTTGCCTTGCTTTGAATTTTCTTTGATAAAAGACCCTTTTAAGGTGGATCTGGAAAAGCTACCTGCAGGGCTCATGGACTCCAATGCCTCTGTTACCAGTGTTAAGAGTGATTGCTTTCGGAAACAAGATTTTGGTGGGGATACTGTCTCGATTGATAAAACCAAATTATCTGATTCTCTTCCATTTTCAGACTCAAAGGACCACGACCAAGAAAATGCTAATTTAACAAATGTTTCTGGTGGTAGTTGTTGGGAGAGTTTGCTTGGTAGATTCAGTGACACTGTCGTTAATAGAGTTGAAGATCACAGACAAAGCTTGTCAGAAATTTTTGAGATACCACTTGATTTTATTATCGACAAATGCCTTCTGCAGGAAATCATGCTTCAGTATCCTTATTTCTGTGCATTAAGTAGAAGGAAGATTCATCTGGTTCTGTTTATGGTTATTTTTTCTTGCTCGTCTATGCTTGGTTGGGCACAGCCTTAATAGAATATTTTATGACTATCAGTTTGTGTGCTTTGTTTTGGTGCTTGATTGCTTGTTAACAATTTTAAGGTTATGTGTCTGTTTCATGTCGTTGCCATTGGAAGAGAGATGTTATCCTTAAAAATGCTAGATATAAGTATGTCAGCAAGTTAACTATTAAGTTGCTTGAAGAAGGATTTGATTTGCAAGAACATTTACTGGCTCTGCGGCGATACCACTTTATGGAACTAGCGGACTGGGCAGATTTGTTTATTATGTCCCTTTGGCATCATGTAATAATCATTTCATGTCATTATTCAATACTACTATCTGATTCGTCATAGTACCATCTGACTCGATTTCTTTTTCTTGTTCTTCTGGAAATTATAGAAATGGTGTGTTACAGAGGCAGATCATAGACTTTCAGAAATTCAAGGTTTCCTTGAGTCATCAGTTCAGAGGTCATCATGTGAACGTGACCCTCATAAGGACAGGTTATTTGTGTACATGAAAGGACATGATGCAATGCCTCTTTCAGCATCTGTTATTGGTACATTATTATACTGTTGTTCCCAATGTTTCATCATCTATTGGCACATCAATTGATTGTTGTTCAAATAAGTTTAATAATGTCGAATAAAAGCATTTAGTGCATCCCCTCTTTTTGTTCATTTCAGATTTGGTTATGCTTGGAATTTTGAAACACATTTTTAAATTCATTTGGCATTTCTTCTGTCATCTCTCTCTCTCTCTCTCTCTCTCTCTCTCTCCACCCTCTAATATTTTACCTGTCAATGATGCAGGAGTCCATTCCTTCAATTTTCTTGGTTTGGGTTATAGAGTAGACTGGCCAATCAGTATTATTTTGAGTCCTAGTGCATTGAAAATGTATGCTGAGATATTCAGCTTTCTGATACAAGTGAAGCTTGCTATTTTCTCATTGACTGATGTATGGCGCCAATTAAAGGTATGGATTTTTTGACTGATTAAAAGCTTAAGGCCCGTTCAGTAACGTTTTTGGAGAATGTTTTATGAGAATGAAAACGAGAAAACAAGAAAATGAATTTGCAGTTTCAGGATTTGAAAATGCCTTTGGTAGATTAATTGGAAAACAGGTTCAGAAAATAAAAATAGTGAAAATGTATCTGGTAGGACAATTTGAGAATAATAATTTGTGAGTTATTTTTCAAGTATATTTTTGGCTAATTTCTGTCCAACAAAATATATTTTTGAAAAATTCTGAAATTATTACAAACAATGAAAAATGTATACTTTGAGAATAATAATGTATAATTAAAATAAATAAATAAATCTTATTTTAGAAAAACCTAGCTAATAAAATAATATTATCATTAGTTTAAAATAAGTATTTAAACATAAACATGAAATTGAATAATATATGATGGTTTTATCATAAAATTAATATACACTGGTGTAGCAAAATAAAATAATGAAGTGGAACGAAAAAACTAAAAATTAAAATTTTTTTTAAAAAAAAGACAAATTTAAAAAATTTAAAAAATGAAAAGCAGAAAAGAAAAATCAGACCAACCAAAAAAAATTTGAAAAAAGAAAAGAAAAGAAAAAGAAAGCAATCAGACCAATACACTAGGTAGAAAATGAAAACGATAATTTGGTGTTTTCAGTATTTGTACATGAGTTTGAATTTGTTTTCAGAAAACAATTCCAGTGAAAATGAAAACGACATACTGAATGCGTTTTTGGTAGAAAATGAAAACAGAAAATGAAAACGGGACCTTGAAAACATTACCGAACAGCCCCTTAGTGTAGGCGTTTATTAATCTCCCCCCATCCTAAAACTTCTCTTGCCCAGCTAGAGCTCTGAAGCTTCAACTTCTGGAAAGGGGTGAGATATCATTTAGCGATAGAGGCTGGGTCATATAGCATTCATTTTTTTGTACCCTTCTGTGCTTTGTGTTTGTGATTTGACGTTTCTTTTTCAAATGTGGTTGCACTTTTACCAGCTGATAATTCTTCTGAATCTTAAGCAGTACAACAGTAAAAAAATTTCACTGGCAAGAGAACTAACTACTGTTGGTTTGCAATAGGGCATTCTTTGAAGTTGATTTAACTTCTCATTTCGGAACTAAATTCAGGATTGCCGAGACATAAGTCTTCTGTAATATAGTTCAAAATAATGATGTTTTGCTACATGATTTTCCTTTAACTGCCCCTTTTCTTTTTCCCAGTTTCAGACTGCATAAATGCTTGTTTTAATGCCTTAACATAAGTAATTTTCTGTTTTTTCTTCTTCTTGAACTCTCTGTTGACTTTGAAATGTCAACAAGAAAATTTGTTAAATTGTTACCATACTGTTTCCATTTCTTTCGGGGAAAGGCTTTATTTCATCTATTTTTTTTATATTTTTTTTTGATATATTAGTGTTTGATGAAGTGGGTGAAGTTTTTTGAAGTTTAAATCTGATTTTTTTTTTGAAGTTTAAATCTGAAAAATAAAGGGTTTGGGTTATGTACAAACTTACTTGGATTTGCATTTGGCTCATGGAAGTGCATGGTAATTCATGTGATCCTTTTGTTTTTGTTGCACAAAGGATGTTAAAATTTACTTTATATGTGCAGGATTTGGTGCACTCAATTAGTCAGAATAACGACTCTGAACAAAATGAAAGGGAAGTGAGTCATTTCAATGCATTAGTGAAGATGAGGTACATTGAGCAATTGGTCCTTTTTAAATTTAATTTTGGTGAATTAGGAGCTATTGCTCTCAGTGTATCTGCCTTTGGGATTATTTACTGTAATCCTAATTATATCTGTTAATTAGTTTCCTACATCTGGATTCAGAGATTTATATTTTCCAACACTTGTTTTCTGCTGACGTTTCCTTTCTCGTTGTACTTTTATTTCTTTGGCATGATAAGTTTGAACTTTCATCCCACCTCATCCTTTCAGATGTTTTGCCTTCATTTTTTTGATGCATCTACTTTGTTTTTATTGAGTAATGGTAAAGTTTAGAGAAAAAAGATATTATGATTATAAAATAACCTCAAGTTTATAATATGTTTCTAATGAATTTCTTTTTGGTTCACAAATGCGTAAGTTGACATCAGAATAGGAGTTGCTAACATTCTTATTCAAGATTATCATTTTCCCCCTTTGACTCTTCTATTAAAATCAATCATTTACCCAGAAAACAAAAATCAATGGCTGTTTTAGTTGTGGAAAGAAGTATATAATTCCTGCCAGTTCATTTAGTTAGGTCTCTTGTCATCTTAGAAGGGGCCTGGGAATGAATGCTGCATTCACCAAGGCTGTGGGATTTGTAGGATAGGTGAGGACTAACTCTTGCAGGCCTATTGGGCCTCCAATATGTGGCAAAAAAGGGGGAAATAACAGGGGAAAAAGGGAGAAAGAAATAGGGCAGAGCAGCAAGACAGTTGCAGGGTTCATTTCTGACTAATTAAAGATGTGTTTTGTGAGATGTGTTGGAAACAAATTTTCTAATTGTTGTGGAAAATGAGAACAGATTCATTTGAAATGTCCTCTTCGCCATATGTCTTGAGATGTGTTTCAACGGATTTCTGTTCTCTTTGGCAAGATTAGAGAAGTTTGAGCTAATGATTTTCTTTTCATGAGATGTTGGGGTGGAGCTCTGGGAACAATAGGGATACTGGTTATTTGATCTAAGAATAGTCTTTTTGTCTGTATATCAGGTAGTCTTAGTTCTGCCAGGTTTAACTTTAACCTAGAATGAAAGTTAAAGGGAGAGACATTTGGTGACTATCTGCTCTGACAATCTAACTTCCTCACAGGAATTTTAATTTTGATCAAATACTAGAATTACGATTTCTAATTGAAAATTATGTTTGTTATTTGACTCTCTGATCTATGCATAGGCACCAGGTCAATCATTTTGTATCTACATTACAGCAATATGTGGAGTCACAGCTATCACATGTATCATGGTGCAGGTTTCTATACTCACTTAAGCATAAGGTTTGAAGCCTGCTATTTTGATCTATAAAGTCTTCATACAATTAAGCCTGAAAGTTGAGTTGAAATGATTACATAATTCATTGTACATCAACTTTGTAGTTGAAATTCCATGTTTTTTGGCATGTTTATGTTCCATAGAATGCTCATGTAATGGCTGAAGTACCTTGCATTTGATGGTGATGAGAGATCTGTTTAAAATAAATGCTATTTGAAATTTTTGCCACATGACAGGAACATTGAAATTTTTAAAGCCAATTTTGAATACTCAAAAGATTAATTCCAGTGCTGCAAGTAGTTTGATGAAAATCATCCAAAGCCTGCCCTGCGCAATGAATAACAATGTCTCCTACATTTATTTTCCCCACCAGTAAACGAAATTCAAAACTGTTTGTTTTATCATCGCCAAGGCCTTTGAAATTTGTTTGTTTGCTGCTAGGTCAAACTAGAAGGGAGGTTATAAATTCTATAAATCTGCGGGTATATGGATTATTGCTAGCACAGACCAATTCTAGATTTGACGTGCTGGAGATCTTTTGATATGAAGGTGGTATCTGTTTCTGATGCAATATTCTGATAAAAATAAAAACTTCTTTGAAAAGAAGAGAGAAGAAAATCTCGATTCCAATTTACATAAAAGATTGATTAGATTGCTCTATCTTAAGATTGTATTAATATTGTTGAGTAAATCTGGAAAGTTATTTAATTAAAGTGGTGTCTCACAGATGAAATGCCAGATAGACTTTTATGAATCATATCATGTCTCTATATACTCTAAATACTTCTGGTATGCCTTTTGTTCTAGAACTTTGATGAGATATATGATTACATGTTTATAATGAATCATTTTTGTTTTCTTGATCTTAAATTGGCATTTGGTTACTGTAGGTCAAAGATATGATGGATCTTCAGTCTGTACATCTGGCATATTTAATAGATTCGCTTGACATGTAAGTTCAGTGGGTCATTCTATAAACTTTCTTACCATTGTTATATGCATGTCACATGTTTCTTAATTTCTCTGTTTTCTAACTCTATTAATAAAAGAATTCTTATTCACTTACAGTAAATAAGTGAGTAAAAGAAAAGGATTCTTATTCACTTATAGTAAATAAATGAGTGAAAGATTGGCACCAAGTGTGTGCTGTGTGTGAGCGCGTTCTATTTTACATCCTTTTGAGTTGTAATATCTTGTTTGTACTTGTTCTTTCCCAGATTGTGGTTTGACATTATATTGTTACCTTGGGTTTTCTGTTAACCATGAATCTAACCTTTGCAGATGTTTCCTCTCTGATGAAACACGACCTATAGCTCGGATCATTGAGAGCATTCTGCAGTGTGCTCTTGACTTCCGGTCGTGTCTTACCGGGGAAATGTGGGATGCGGGAACAAGTCAAGGGAATTTAATGGCAAGACTTTCTGGAATCAATATATCTCAGGTGATGCTCACATCTTTAACTTTGTAAAGAACTGTGTTCAGGAAATATAGGTTTAACTAGGAATGCCATTTATAGTAAAGATGGAAGCAACAACGACAGTGAGGTGAAAGGGCAAGAGTGTCGCTAGGTTGGATATTGTGACACCTTTGTTTCTTGTGCAGTTAGAAATCTAAATATACCTTCTTCTTTTTTCCTGAAAATAAGAAATCTAAATCAAAAGCAGACATATTTTTCATACTTCTATGATGTGACCCTGTGTTTGTGTTGAATAAACATTGTGGGAATGGGATTCTTATTCCGTGTATCTCATAAGTGAATCCCATTTTCCTACTTTGTTTTTGTGTGCTGATTAGGGAATGTGACTGGCTGCTGGCCTGCTGTCACCATAAAGCACTACCATTATGGGTTGTGATCCAACTGCATCACAGCCATCGCCACCTATTTCTTTTCCGAAAACCCAAATAGCTACAGATCCAAATCAAGGTCAAAATGTGAAGTACACATCTGTGTTGGTAAAAAACTAACCAAGTCCAGAATTTAAGCTAACAAGAGCCCTAATGATATGTTTGATTTGTGGGCTTGTGTCACAATAAGAAGTGATTGAGAGAACTGCTAAACTTGATCTATGGGGCAGAAGATGTAAAAAGTGTTCTGGCTGTGGCATTGATAGAGGGGTTGTGGTTGCAATACTATTGGTAAAGGGGGTTGTCATAAGGGGCATTGCTTAATGCACGTCATATAGTCTATGGAGTGGCTCAGAGGCAATACTATAGGGATTATAGTGATTAAATGCATTGCTGAATGGCAATCCCATATGCAATTTCCATTCTTATGTTGTGTTTTTAAAAAATAAAAATCTGACCTCAGAAAAGTCATTTCCTTGTGGGTGGTGTTCTCATCGGTTTGCAGAAACCGATATCTACATGGTCCCCAATATGGTATATAATATTGCAGCGTTTTTCTTTTGACATGGAAACCTTAATTTGTTCGGAAGTTTTGTATCTTTGTGTGCCTACAATGCAAAGCATAATATATGTTTGCAAGAACACCCAAGTCATCAAGGGAAGGGTTGTGTTGTGTGTATTTTCATCTACATGCATTCATGTGTCATGGCAGCCTAAGCAGCTCGCTGTTACTTGAGCTGCCTAAGTAAGCATGCTGGGGTGGTGTGCATCTGGATTCCAAAATGACATTATGGTGGACGTGTGCTGTTTGATTCTAAAATTAGTATTGTAGAGCATTAAAATGAACAATTGTACTCTTGCTCTTAAATAACAGTTTTAAAATAAGAACCAACCTGTCGATAACATGCATGTGCATCTGTTTTGCAGGTGGTCGTAATAAAACAAACGTTTGACAAGAATATGAAAGAACTGCACCTCTGTTACCTCAAGTCACCTAAACATGGGAAATTTGGACTTTCTCATTTTTGGGAATACCTCAACTACAACAAGTATTACTCGGATGTTGGTAATGAAATGGCCTATTATGCCTTCTCAGTCTAAAGCTCTGTGATATGATCGTTGCAGCAAGTGAGAAATGGGGATTCATATCGTGCTTGAAGCAGCTTCATTGATTACGATGGTTGAGGAGGGTAACTTCTCGAAGAATCACAGTGGATGATATGCCCGACCGATGTGCGTAAAATATGTAAGGATTCCTCAGCCCTTGGTAGCTCCATTAGACACATTGCATATCATGCTTCTCAGTTTGGTCTTGTTCCTTGAGGTAGGAAATTCCTACACTGACCTTTGTTTGGCCTTTTGATAATCTAAATCACGACGCGGACATATTTTTTTCCCCCGTTTTGTTTTGTAAGAGTGAAGGATAGTTACTACTTGTTGTCGGACACTAGTGACTTGAGTGTTGAGAGCTGTGTATATGGAGGAGAAATGATTTTATCCGTTTTGTATTATAGACAATTTTGGTAATGGCATTCGTTGTTTCTCTATTTCTCTTGATCCTGCCAATTCTCTACACTAAACCAATTTTCAAGAGGAATGGGAACTGGATGATTTGGTCGTTTTGTTATGCAAATCCAGAAATACTATTTGTGACATTTGGCCATAAATAAATAAATAATTTCCAACGTTGCGGATAAAATTGATAGACATTTAGCCATATAAAATTGGCAGTAAAAGTAAAAATGAAGGCTACATGGTAAAATTTCGGAGGCCATTTTTACACTCCATTTTTATCCTCTACTTCCACTTTGATGTTTCCTAAATCTTTTTATTTCTTGTAACCCTTTATGGCTGTAAATAATTTAATTTATGGTCAATCACTTTGGTTGTCTTTTATAAGGAGGATTAGAGAATGATGCGAGCCCACCTTCTAGTACTCAATCACTTTGGTTAACATGGCTACTTGTATGCTCAATGTCGTTACTTTGAGTTGTTAATGCAAGGATTGGGGGAACGCATGTTTTCAAAAAAGAATCTCCCTATAGCACTAGAGATGTCCACTTATGCAACTTTGATTTCGAATCTAGCGCTAGTCCACTAGAAATTTATTATCAAGTTGTCACATGTAATCAAAGTGGAAACTAGGGGTGGGCATCAAAACAAGAATACCGAAATCATCCGGAAACCGTGTTAAATCGTGCCAATCTCGTGCCGTTTCGTTTGGTGTTGACGTGTAAACAGGATGATACTGTGTCATCCCGTTACTGTTTAGCACGACATCGGTTCTAGATTTGTGATCTCGTTTGCTGCCATATTATATCGAACAGTGCATGTAAATAATAATCCTAATTTAATTTCAGTTCTTCCTCCTCTCTCTCCACAGACATTTAGACTTAGCTTTGTTTCTCCTCAATATGTTTTCCTAAGCAATAGCTCCCTTATTAGTTTTCCTAAGCCTAAAGGGATCTCCCTGTCTATCCTGTTTCTTTCTTCCTTCTTCTTCTTCTCCTTTTTCTCTTTTTTTATTTATTTTTTATTTTGCTTTCTCTCTCACCTAGTGTGTGTATTTTTTAGAAAATATGGAATTTATTCCATCATTCAATAATAACAATCCATAAAATTAAAGAGGGGTATTGACGTTTTAGACAAAATATCTACTAACAAATAGTTAGGGATAAATTGATATGTATATTCTTCTCTTTAGAAGAGATATATAAAATTGTAAAGTTAGAGGGATCGAAGTAGAAAATACAAGTACATAAAACACCTAAGTATTCAATAATTACATGTTTAAGCTAAATATTTCTAATTGAGTTATGTCTAATTTGTTTTAGAGGAAATTTTAACTTAAATTATAAGTTGTTTATTACAAATTTATATTATAGAGGAGGGATAAAAATCTGGGAGGGCCAGGGCCACTCCAGGCCTAGGAGTGGCTCCGCCACTGCTTATATACAGAGAGGAAACAAATGGAAAATATAATTTTCACTTGTTTTATCCCTTAAACTATGACACTTGTTGAAATTAACTTCCCGGATTAAAAAAATCAGCCAATTTAGTCCTTGAAGAAAAACAAATAGCCAATTTCAACATTGCCGTTAGATTTTATTACATTTCATCCACCTTTCTGTCTAAAAAGTCACATGTCATTCATGCGACTTACTATTTAAATTTATTAATATTATTAATATTAAAAACTAAAATATTTAAAACACAATAATAATAGGCTTAATTATGTACATGCCCCTTGTGCTTTCAAACTTATCTCAGATTACCATATGTGTTTGCAAACGTCTCAAAGTACCCCCCCAATCTTTTAAAAACCGTCTCACGTTACCCGTTCTGTCAGTTTTTTTTTACGTTCCGTTAAGTATTTGTTACTGTTCGAGAATAGCAGCCCCTCCCCATTTGAGAACAAAAACCCTCCCCTTTGTTACTATTCATCCGAACAGTTTTTGGGCTGCCATCTCCTCCTCCAGCCACCCCAAGCGACGACATGAGTATCAAAAGAACAAGCACGTTGTCCTCTACAAGCCTCACATCTCAGCCGCTGCCAACCGTCGTCTGGATCGCCGGAACAAGCAAGAAATTGGCCGGTTTCTACCCAAAATCTCCATCGCTCGTTCGGGCGATTCCGAGCACCATTTGCTTCGATCTAGGTATGGTTTTTCAACCTCTCGAGCTGTTCTTGCTGCTAGTTATATTGGTTAGGAGAAATTTCTGAGTTTTGGAGGGTAAATAAGCTATTGAAAATCTGCCGGTTGGGGAGGGGCTGCTATTCTCGAATGGGGGGGGGAGGGGGAAGGAGGAAGAAAAAAGGAAGTGGGGCCCAACGTTCATAATGAAATGTCAAAAAAACTGACGGAACGGTAACGTGAGATGGTTTTTAAAAGGTTGGGGGGTACTTTGAGACGTTCGCAAACACTAGTGGTAATCTGAGATAAGTTTGAAAGCACAGGGGGCATGTACATAATTAAGCCATAATAATAACATAAATCTGAAAATTATAAAATGAAAAATCCCAAGCCATCACCCACCTTAGACCCTAGCCGCCACCCACACCTACTCCTTTCTCTCTCTCCTTCCCATCCCGTTGGCCCAATCTCTCCAAGGTCTTCCCTCACCCTCTCACAAAAATTGCATTAGCACCAGTGTGATGCAAACATCTCTTTCAAGAACCCAACCATATGCTCCAACCAAAAGCTTCCTACTGGCCTAGATCCATGGCGAAATCTCTCAATTCATTGAAATGGCCAATCCCATCACTCATCTCTCACCCCCTGAATCTCTCTTATGGCTCCATCGTGTTCCTCCCATGGATCATTTCTTTAAATCTTAAGATAATTAGAAAATTAAACAAAAATTAAACAAAAAAAACAGAAAAACAGAAAAATCCCAACCCACTCTCAACTATGAAACCACCTGCAGCACTGAAATCCCAATTGTGGAGGGAGATTGGGAAGACGTTAGACATCTTGCCAGCGAGTGAAAACTTGTGCCTCAATGTCCTTTCCCTAACTTTTATCTCTTGGATTGGATCTATAGAGAATACAACATGGGTGGAAAATTTGGGTTAATTTTCTTAAAAGGTGCGGGGGCTTTTTTATTCTGGCAGCTACAAATGGGCTGGGCTACCGTAAGGAGCAAATGGGTGAAATTACCCCTGTGTATGAGTTCAAAAATCAGACCCCAAGAATGCTTCGAAATGGTAGTGAAGCCTTAGGAAGCACCTTGGTTATCTTCTCCAACAAAAACAATAGTCGCTTACAGATAGATTCTTAGCTTGCCATGATAAGCTTGTGGCTTGGAAGCAAAGTAGTCATGAGTTTAGCATTAAAGAGAGAGAGGGTTGTGAGTTCCTATGAGAAACAGGGGTTTCAAAGTAGATGAGAAGGAATTTTAAGAGGGTTTGTTAAAGAGAGAGAGGTAGGGAAGAACAATGGTGTGTTGAGTAATTTCCAACAGCTTGACGAAAGCTCTGTCAAGCTCTGGAATGACTTATCAGAAGAGAAAATGGGAGGAGATGGAGGAGGTATGGCTTGAAATTGCAGGTTTTCAGGGATGAGAGATGATGCTTGCTCTCTGGATGTGTGTGTTTTTTATGGATAGGGGATGGCCCTTTTATAGCCGCTGTAAGCTCCTCTTTTCTAAGAAACCCTAATGGTTTCTCTCCAATTTTGCCAAGTCTCCCCTTTCATTTCTCTTCTCTCCCTTTGCCTCGTCCTTTTTTGTGAAATCTTCCTCTGTCCAAACACACAAAGTCAAGATTTTTGGGATCTCTCAGGCTTTCCGGGATCTCTCAGGCTTTCCCATAACTACTTCAGTGATGAACTCCCATTTTTGGCTACTACCTCACCTTATTTCCTTCCCTCTTCCATGGAAAGATCTGGTGGGAGAAAGAAATAGGTAAGGGCGCTGGTTTGAAAGGTGCCTCTTCTCCTGCACGCGCTAATACCCTTTGGTTCTTTGAATATTCTACCTTGAGGTTTGTTTTGCCCACGTGCTGGAGCCTCCCAACAGCTTACATACATGGACATTTTTGGTTTTTATTGTGGCCCTTGTTTCCAACTAAGTGCTGGAGGCTGCAGGTATTTTAATTGGTTGCTTAGGCCTTCCTAAGGTGATGGGTTATTCCATTAAGGGAATGGGCTAATTTCCTAAAGTGATGGGCTAATTTTTCTAGAGTATTGGGGTCCCTTTTTTCTCTCCTTTATGCTTACCCATGTATTTGGGCTCAAGAAATGGGCTTGAGTTTTGGGGCTCCCAAGCAACCAAAAACTTCCATTTCTCAGCTCATCAATGGGCCTCATAAAAACTCGTTACCATCCATACCACAACCCGCTCAGCAAGCATCGGGCATTTTGTTTGGGCCAAAATCTTGGGCACCCATCCCAACGCTACAGAGCCCAAAATAACAAAGACAAAACACAGGGCTCGAGAAGTCTGGACTCTGAAAATAAACAGGAATCAAAGGCCCAAAATCCAAGAAGACCCAGCCTGGGATCTATCAAGACATAACAATAAAACATGGGCCTCGAAAGAATAGAAAGAGAAATCAGCCCATGGCCCCGGAAATTTAGAAGGGGCCCGGTATGATTAAAAAGAATACAAATTTATAAATAAACCCAATCCTAGACATGTATTTATAAAAAAACCCAAGCACTATTTAAACATATAAACACACCCAAAATCAACCCCAAAATCAACAATTGTATATTTTTGGGTGTGTTTATAAATGGGTTTTGAGTGTGTAATGATGGGTTTTGGGTGTGTTTATAAATTGTTTTGGGTGTTTGGTTTTTTTATAATTTCAGCCCCCATTTTGGGTGTTTTAGTGAAACTCCCTAAAAAAAAACCCATAAAACAAAGGAAGACCCATGTGACTGTCTGAAAAACTTTGAAAAATTCAATATTCTCAACTGGGTTGATAAAAGTTAACAAAGGCAGGCAACAAAGAGGGGACATCTCTGAATCTCTGCCACTAGAAGATCAAATCCCTTATATATATTTAGAGATAATGTTTCTACTCCAAAGAAGACACCATCTTTCAAGGGATACACAGGATATGTTCTCAAAAAGAGATAAGTAGGAAAATAGGGAGTTGTTCAAACTGGAAAATCAAACTAACCATCACGGTTTGAGCTCTCACAAGGGGCAGTTGGAATTAAAGAGGGGTTAGGTTCCCTTTCAAAAAATAGAGAAATGATTGTCTTAAGAACTGACTATTGAGAGCTTATCCACCAGAATTGATAAAATCCCTTTTTCTTTGCATTTAAAAATGAGAGATCTTTTGAGAATTTTTGCTGCCCATTATTAAAAGAATTACCCTACTCCAAAAAAAAAAAATATTCTTATAAATATAAGAGAGGGTGAACAGAGCAAAGGACAATCAATCAAACAATCAAAATCAACCAAAGGCAAAAACTCAAAATGATCACTTGATCACTGAGAACCTTCAAAACAAACTGGAACAACCAAAAGCTCATTTGAGCCACAAAAGAAGCCAGCTATAGATTAGAACTTCCAAGTTCAGACTTAGAGAAATAAGTCATTCAAAATGAAACTTCTCTCGTTACAAATTTGGTTCAGCAAAAGCCAGAAGAAGCAGAGTTTGAGTTTTCACAAATATGAAAACCTCAACAAATTTATGGAGAGCCCTAATCAAGCAGAACAGGTACTACAGTGCAGTTCCAGCTCAGTAAGTCCTCAAGTCCAGCCATTTCTGCCCTTTTCAGACTAAAGAGGCCGCAATTCTGCCCGTTTAAAAGCCTCCCAAAGCTTGAAGTAGATTAAAGCTCTGCCAAAATTGAACTTTGGTATCGATTTACAACTGAAGCTAAGCAGTTGAAGTTGGGGATAGTCCAGTCCAGCACAGATATACCCAGTCCAAACCGGATCAGAAGCTTCTATCTAGGCATAAATGGAAATTCCAGCCATCTTTACCCTTCCATCACAGGAGCAAACACAAAATAGGTGAACACATTTGCGTGGCTTGGCCTCACTTAAGCTTGTAGCTTGGCTATGTGCAAAATAAGAGTTTTTCTGCTTGGCATTGCATGTCAATTGTCGTGCTTGAATTTTATCGCTTTGAAGAGAGATATGACGCTTGACGGGATAATTAGCTTGGACTCGTAGAGCCAATGCTTATTTCAACTCTTAGCGTGACAGATTGCATATTTATTTGGCATGGTATGTGGATCATGACTTGTGTGAGCTTGAATGACGAACTTTCGCATGCTCCAAATCGGGTATTTTCTTAATAAGGCATTGCATATTTATTTGGAGGAACTTCAGTTGCAAAGAGCTAAAGTAAAAAAGATTAGGTTCTCGTTTGGCAGTTGCTTGATTGTGATGATAATTTTGGGCCTTTCTGTGTTATCGAAACCAAATTACAAGGATGGAAAACAACTGAAATTGGAATTAATGCGATGAAAGGGTTTGAGGGCATGTATTTTGTGGTTTTAGGTAACATGTGTTAGTGTTGTTGTTGGGTTTTTATATCTGTTATTTGACGCCATTTCCAATAAAAAAATTTGGTTAGCTCTGAATGAAGTGGTGCAATTTGAAACAATTTGATGTACTCATAACAGTTGGGCATGAATATATCTGACCATTTGGATATCACACTTTCAATACAAAACTTCACCATATTGGTGCAATTGGAAAGACAGTATAAATAGGTCTTAAAGAAACAAAACCTTTTGGTTATTTGAAAAGAAGTATTGAGTTTGCATTTAACACTTCGAAGTACAAAAGTGCATACCATATCATTGGTGCTTAACCATAGCACAAATACAAAAGACTTGCTAAATATCACAAGTGCAGAACATTACAAAGGACTCATTAAAAACCACAAGTGCAGAGCGTTACATAAGACTTACCATAACAAACAAGTTCACAATTACAAAAGTCTTGCCAAAATAAACAAGTTCACAATTACAAGGCAGTTGCATTATCAAACAGTTTCACCATTACAAGGTCACTGTCATGGCCTCCAAGGCTTTGCCATCTTTGCAAGTGATTTGAACTTTGGGGATTGACAGATAACCACTGACTCAACCTGTGTTCCACTTGCAAACACAAAAACTATAGGTTGGGTTGCACTTGGTTGGCAGTTTGTCCCTCCCATTTGTACACTTGGAACTAAGCTTCTCTTACCCATTCCTACAGTTGGAGCAGTGTCTCTCCCTCCCAATCCTACATTTGGAGCAAGTGCCTCTCCCTCCCATTCCTGCAGTTGAAGTGCCTCTGCCTCGACATGCCTTATCCCCATTCACCAACATCAAATAATACCAAGCATAAAACCATAAAGTAAAGCCAAAATCAATACCAAGCATCATAAAATAATATCAAACAACATCAAATAATACCAAACATAAAATCAAACAATACCAAGCAACATCATACCCTTAGTTTTGCCCTTCTCATTGGTCTGGAGTGGGGAGTTTGGGTAGCAGCAGTTTGGGTTCTTTCAGGTTCAGTAGGTGCATCTTGCCTATTTGTAGCTTGCCTTGGTCTTTTACCTCGCCTATTTGCAACTTGCCTTGGCCTTTGTGAATTGCTAGTTTGCCATTCTCCATCGTTTCTACCACAATTAATTGCATTATGCCGTTCTTGACCACTTCTGTTGCAGTGTATTACGATATCTTTCCTCCTCAAATTTGTGGCACCTTTTGGAATCTCATATGTCCCTCACACCCTAGATTTCTTTGGCCTTCTAGCTTACTTGTGGTACACAGGAGATTTGATAGGTGGATTGCTTGTTTTCACCCGTAAGTCTTGACTAGGCATTTGAGATATGAAATTCCCTATGCTCTATCATATACATCTATAAAATAAGTAGGATTCACATATTGCATGGGACTCCTCTGTTGCCTTGAGATTGCAGCCAGTGCATGGAAACAAGAAAGACCACAGAGATCCCATTTCCTGCATAAGAATTTATGCTTATTCAGATCCACAACATATTACCCCCCCAATATGTGCATAACTTGATACCTTCCTCCTCCAACATGCTGAGTAAGGCATGACGGTTTTATTTATTTATTATCTTTACAATCCTTGGTCCAACTTTTTGAGTCCATTGCATTTCGCTTTGCCTTGCCATTCTCAACATTAAATAACTTCACATTAAATAACTTCTTAATCTCTCTAGCATTGTCAATATTGGTTTGTCTCTAGCTTCTTAAATAGTAGAATTAAAACACTCACATAAATTATTGAGCAACAAATCACACTTTGGCCCAATTTTGAAATATGATTTGCTACAATGGCTTGTAGGCCTATCTTCCAACCATTTGTAAGCTTCTCCAGACAAATCCCTTATCTTCTCCATCTCTGCTTCCCACCATGGAACTGTAGTGGCTCTACCTGCAGCCCATAATCTCTGTTTGAAAGCCAGACTACCGTGACCAGCTATCCTGAAGTTTGCATGGAGATGCCTGACACAATGTATGTGCTCAATAGCTGGCACTAAGTCTTTTATTGCTTTTCCTAGGTCTTTTTGCTTGTCTTAATGATCACCCGCCCATTTCCATATGTGATACCTACATATCTAAAGAAGATTTCTAAGAACCAAGTCCAACATTCTTTGCTCTCAATCTCCACTACACCAAATGCTATTGGGAACATACCATTGTTGGCATCGATCCCAAAAACAGTGAGTAGTTGACCTGGATGAGCTCCCTTGATGAAGTAACCATCAAATCCCACTATTGTCTTACAACCTTCTAAGAATCCTCTCTTACAAGCATCAAAGCATACATACATCCTTTGAAAAACTGGATCTTTACCTCTCCAAGTTGTCTTCATAAGGATTGTGCTACCTGATTTTGTCTCTTAATATCCTCACAATAGTCCCATAGCTTTGCGTATTGTTCTTCAATGGACCCTTGAATTTTCTCTTAAGCCATTTTCCTTGCTTTATAGATTTGATCCTTAGTAACATCAATGAAATAACGCTTCCTTACCAATGCCATGAAATCTCTCACTGAAATATGAGGATTTATCCTAAGCTCCTCATCAAATCTTGCAGCTAACCAACTAGAAGTGGCAAATCTGCTTCTTTCCTTCTCTCCCACATGTGTGCTTTCCTACAAAAGTCTTCACTCTAACAATCGGGCCTTTCCCAACATGAGATGCATATAGTACCCAAGGACAAGGACCCTTCTATGATTTACCATTGCATTTAATTCTGAGCCTACCAGGCTCATTTTTCACAAACTTCAGTAACCTGACACAACTATTAGCATAGTATTGAACAACTTCTCTGGACTTTGTTCTGGTTGGGAATTCAAGCCCCAAACTAAATTTGGGAAATCTCAAGTCATGATCTCTATAATACTGCTTAAATTTAGGGGCTATTCCTCTGGTCTTCCCTCTCATTGCAATATTTTCCTCATCCTCATAATCATGAACACTTCTCAAATCATCAGTGTCATACTCATCAGTATCTGCCTCACTTGGTTCTTTCTCATAGTCTTCTTCATCTTCATTTACTACAAATCTACCATAAACTCTCTCATCTTCTTCATCACTTTGCTCAAACTCAGTTTCTCTATACACATAATCTTTTACACTAGGTTATTCCTCATCTTCATCTTGATCTTTTACTTGCACATCAACATCTACAAACTCATCCACATTAACTGACTCACCATATCTGTTCAAATCATCATCAAAGACATCATTTTCAAAACCTTCACCAAACTAGCATCTACAAAACTTTCATCAAATTAATCATCTACAAAACCTTCACCAAACTGGTCATCATTGACAAACTTATCATCACCCCCATAACCATCAACATTTCCATCATCATCTGTCTCTAAATCCTCATCTCCATCTACAAAACCCTCACCACCCACATCAACATGTTCAACGGCAGGTTGTTTACCTTTGTTGCCTTGTGTTGCACCACTTAGAACAGAAGCTTAACTCTCTAATGTATGCCCTTGTTGTGAGATGTTAGTAATATATATCACAACTAGTTGTTTTGAGGATTGGTGCTTCAAAAACTCAAGAGAATCTTTGTCTGTGATAATTGGAACCCAACCCACTTTTTTTTTTCTTGTAAAATAACCTACTTGTCTATTCTGTGTACCCAAGCTTCATTGCCAACTCATACAAATCCAACATGGACACATTATTTTTGCAATGGTTGTCACTCTAGTGCATATTGCCACCCAAATAGAACCCATCAGTCTATAGTGTGTTTTTTTATTTTTTTTATTTATTTTTTATAACCACCATAGTGATCATACTTCAAATTTTCCTTTTCTGCAGGAGTCAGGCAACGAGTCGGAGTGACAGATGATCCAGATCCTAAAGACCGACAAACCATAGCAGGATTTTTGAAAGTAAACACAATAGAAGGTTCCCCAATCTTGGTTCCAAATCCAAGCATAGTAATCTAGCGTTGAGCCTGTCTATGGACCATAAAAAACACATTCTTAATATTCGAAACTTTATCACTCCCTAGAATATTAATGCGAACCTTATCTTAAGTTTCATCAAGCCAACCAAAAAAATACAAACGATCAACCATAACAACCACCTGAAAATTATTCGTGTCATCAGCACACTTCATCTGAAAATGACATCTTTTGGCCAATTCATGCCAGATTGCCTTAAGTTCGGCAAAATAGGGGGAGACATGATGACTCCCTTAGACGGGTAGCCTTACTCTATAGTTCATAGAGCTGGTATATGTCAGAGCCATCATAAACATCTGATTAACTACATCCTAAATATCCTTGGTAGTAGGTAGGGTATGAAACATATTCAACATACTAGGTTCCATCGTTCACAACATCTAACTTTTCACAGTAGCATCATCAAATTTCACTTTCCAAATTGTGGATCTTTAGAATCCAGGGCAGCAGTGTTTCCATTCAGGTAACCCAATTTTTCTTGTAAACTAGCATGCATTTCGATCATCGAAAGCCTAGATCTCATAGTTGGATCCATTCAATTTGAATCCCAAAAGTAGGCTGGTGGACGATTCAGTATGAATCGTCACGATATGAGTGGGAGTAGTAGGTGAAGTAGAAGTAGAAGTAGGTGAAAGGATGAAGATGTTGACGTTCGGTAGGGGTAGGCATGGTTCGGGTTGGACCGATTTTTGCCCCAAATTAGAACCAATTCGATACTATTCATCCTATTTGGTTTGGTTCGATTTTAATTAAAAAAAATTTCAAAAACTATCCGGTTCGGGTTGAACCAATTCCAGTCTGGTTTGGGTTGAACCAGTTTCGGTCCGGTTCCGAGCCGATACGGTTTTGAATTGGATTATAAAAATTAATTTTTAATACAATTCTCACCTGAAATATTATTATTATTATTACTTGAAAATAAAAAAATTATTCAATTTAATATAAAAATAAATATTAAAGTTAGAAAAGAGAGATATTTTGAAATTGAACTTGGAAATATTATTTTTTTTTTTTTTTTTTTTTTTTTTTTTTTTTTTTTTTAAATTACTATAGCATTAAATATAAATATATATTGAAATTATATATTTTTCAATTTGACCTGTTCAGTTTGGCCCAGTTCGGTTTTTGAAGATATGGAACTGGATCCAAAACCGGTCCGATTCAGTTTTTGACCGGTTGTTCACTTTTTGGTCAACTCGGTTTTTTTTCCGGTTTGGTTTGATGCGGTTCGGCTTGAATATCCGGTTCACCGGTTTAAGTGCCCACCCCTAACGTTCAGCATGGTGATAGGAAATGGCAGTAGAGGGAGGTGCGGTGGTGAAGGCCAAACTTGTAGTGCAGCGGAAATAGGTAGTTTTAGGGTTAGGGTTTTTTTATTTATTTATTTTTTAATGTTTAATTTTTATGTTTTAGAGACGGATCGTAACCTGCTCTGATACCAACTCAAAAGTAATTAGGGATAAACTGAAATGTTTATTCTTCTCTCCATGAGGGATATATATACTCACATACAAAGAGGATACAAATAGGAAATATATACAATCTCCAACTTCTGCTCAAATTAGGTAATTACAAGAAAATAAATAATTACAAAATCTATACCTAATAGGAATAGTTCACTCATGCCAACATCACATATGTTTACTTCCTTTATATTAATAATCAATATAACTTAATAGGTTTGATTATGAAAGATGTCTAATAATCTTGGTCTCAACTAAGAAATTAAGAAAATAATCCTGAATCCTGCTAAGAGGGGACATCTAAGGTTTGCCCTTACCGCACCTATATATGTTGTTTTGTTTCCTTATTTTCTATACTAACTGGCTTGCTTGGATCCCAAGAAAGATTTATCCTGATATTAAGAGGAAAGATTTAGGGTTTCCTATCACTAACAAAAATTACGTGATTGACAAGATAGGTTCTATTGTAAATATAGACCTGTCACCACCTAGGCTTAACAAAATGCAACCGGTCCTAACCCTGTTGTATCGTGACATTGTTTTTAACTTGTGTTGACAAGAGTGGTACACAATCCCACATTGCTTGGGTGAAGAAATGTGAAGTGATATGTGTAGTAATCTAGGTCTCTTAGTAAGAGGCATTTTGGGCACAATGTGTGAAGACTTGTATTTTAGAAAATATATTATTATTATTATTATTATTTTAAAACATATTGTCATTTATATTTGCTTCTACAAACTTGGTTTTATCCTATGTTGATTATAGTACTTTATTAAGTTTTTATTATTTTTATTAGTTGGCCTCCTTTGGGACGAATAGGAATAAGTTTTATGTAGAGGACCAAGACTTAGAAGAATTCTTACTCACCGTGCAAACTCATGCGAACTTCTTTATCATAGACATAACACTTTTGTTTCCAATCCAATGTATTGATTAGAATGAAGTATGAGTGCTTACTAAGCATTCTACTTGGAAATATATTAAGGACTATTTAAGTTTTGATATGGTTTAGCTATTTCGTTGGAGGTGGCAGTTCCTAATTGTGAAATAGTTGGTGCACTCTCATCCATTTGGCCAGCTCCACCTAAGCCACACCCATTATCTTTATCCAATGAGAGGATGTGTCTTGATATTAATAGATCTATTACCTAGCAAGTTTTACGTGGAGTTTGTGGCAGGACGTGTAGCTTATACATGTTGAGTTGCAAACTTAGTTCTTATCTGTAAACTTTAGTCACCAACCCATGTGTCACTCCATTATGATCATACATATGTTATTAGACAGCTCCTCTTATGTGATATTTTATTATGTTTTGATATTATCTTCATTTTCTTCCAATAAGGGGTTATTATAGGTGACTTCTTCTAGTATAAATAAGGCCTTCCACAATAATTGCAAATCATAATAAGAAATGAGAAGTGAGAATAAAAGAAGGAAGAAAGAGAGAGAGATAGAGAGAGAGAGAGAAGAAGAAAAGAATATGGGGCATTCAGAATCACAGTGGTAAAATGCATGGTATTGTAAGTTCTGAATAAGTTATAAAACTAAATACACTTACCTTGTTCAACCATGGAGTCGAATGAAACAGTCAAAAAATAGTGAGATCTTCTCCTAGAAACCAATGCCTTATGTTCTTATTATGGATGGGGTGAAATTCTGTATAAGCTTGTGTGTAATTGGTTTTGGAGGGAGCCCTCTATATATAAGCATCTATCTCAAGGAATTTTGCCCATCAAGGAACTCCAAGAGATGTCCTTAATGCAATAGATAATTGAGTCCCAATCCTAATAGAGTTAGTTAAGCCTTTATATTTCACTTAAAATACATATACTAAGGCTGTTGGTCAAGATGAACATTGAATTCTTGATAATAAAAAAAATGAGTCCTTGTAATCCCACAATGATTAGAAGATCACCTTAGTGAGTTTAAGACATTTAACAATCTTACATTCTCCCACTTGATCAATAATCATTTGAGACTCAAAGTTTATCACTTAATGGCCATGTAGAACTCAACATTTCTCTATTCCTTAAATCAAGCCACTGTCATTATCAAAATTTCACATGGAACTATCGAAGTACATTGGATATATAACATCCAAGACTTTTACAATCACACACATGAACTTTTGAAAACACACTTCCAACTAGATTGAGATCGAAAAACTATTATGATTGAACTGTAAGTATGTTAGAAAATCATAACTGTCTTAGCTCACCTTACAAGACTGCCAAGGTCTTTATTAAACAAAACTTGAATAACTCATTCATGGATGCAAACTGCGAAAACGAAAAGCTAGCACTTTGCAGTCTGTACTTAAGCCATTTGTCAAAAAAACTATAATGATAATGCAGAATAAAAGAAAATCCAAAATATATTATCAAAATAAACTGTCTTACTTGTTAAAGTAAAATAAAATGAACTGTAAACTAAAGCTCTAGCTTCCACTAACTCCCACTGACTTTAGGCATCAAAATTTATTAGCAGACCCATGCTATTAACATGCCTATGAAACACATGATTAGGTAGGCTTTATTCAAAGGATCTGGAATCATTGAATTTGTACCAATGTGATTCAAGACTGTTTGACCATCTCGGATTTTCTCATTTGCTGATAAAAACTTTAATTGCAAATGCCTCATTCCAGATGAACTTTTGTTGCCTTTTAAAAAATACACTGCTGCACTGTTATTGTTCCACAATTGTATAGGCCTTTGTATAGAATCTATAACTTTTAACATAGACATGAAGTTCTTGAGCCACATAGCCATAGAAGTAGCTTCATAAATTGCCAAAAATTCTGCCTGCATGGTTGAGGTTAACACATATTGCTTAATGCTTCTCCAAGCTACTGCTCCTGTTGCAAATATAAACGCAACACCTGATGTGCTCTTTTTGGTATCCGAACAACCAGCAAAATCACCATCTGCATGTCCTTCCAGCTGCATATCCTCAACTCTCCTATAAACCAACTTCTATTCCTTAGTTCTCTGCAAATATCTCATAACTTTCTTACCTGCAACCCAATGAGCTTCTCCTGGATTCGATCGAAATCATCTAAGGACACTAATGCAGAAAGCAAGGTCAGGTCTTAGAAACACTTGTGCATACATTAAACTTCCCACTAATGATGCATAAAGTTTATCCTGCATCTCATACTTCTCTTGCTCAATTTTGGGAGATTGATCATTGCTTAGTTTGTCACCCTTTGACATGGGCACATCAAAACCTATGCAATCATCCATGTTGAATCTCTTGAATATCTTTTCAACGTAGCCTTTTTGAGATAAACCAAGCAATCTCCTTTCTCTGTCTCTTTTAATTTCGCTTCCCAAAACATAATTGGCTTCTCCCAGATCACTCATGTCAAAGTGACTAGATAACATCCTCTTAATGTCATGAAGTAGAGACAAGTTATTGCTTGCCAAAAGGATGTCATCTACATATAAGAGCATGAACAAAAAATTTGTTCCATTAAACTTCGTATAAATGCATTCATCCAGCTGATTTTCAATGAAACCTTGTGATTTCACAACTTCATCAAATTTTAAATACCACTGCCTCGAGGCTTGTTTTAAACCATAGATGGATTTTTGTAGTCTGCACACTAGATCCTCTCCCCCTTTTAAGACAAAACCATCCGACTGCTTCATGTAGATCTCTTGATCCAAATTTCCATTTAAAAATCTTAACGTCCATTTGATGAAGGTGTAGTTGAAAGTGTATTACCAAAGCCATTATGTCCCTAAATGAATCCTTGGTAGAAACAGGAGAAAAGGTTTCATTGTAATCTACCCATTCCTGTTGAGTGTAACCTTTTCCCACTAGCCTAGCCTTGTATCTATCGATTTTTCCTTGTGGATTTCTCTTTGTTTTGTAAACCCACTTGCAGCCTATAGGTTTGCTATTTTGTGGCAGTTTAACAAGTCTCCAAACTCCATTCTTGCTCAATGACTCAAGTTCAGATTCCATAGATGCCATCAAATGTTCATTTTTGTCACTTTCCATAGCATGTTTGAAAGTCACAGGATCCTCCATACTGTTGATGTCTTGTTCAGTTTCTTGCAAATAAACATGGTAGTCACTCGACAAGGCTGGTCTTTTAGGTCTTAGAGATCTTCTTAGTTTTTGGTTCTAAGGCTGTACTACTTGTATCTCAGTTCCTATATTTTGTGGAACTTCCACCATTGTTTCCTGATCATGGTTTTGTTCTTCATGAATTAGTGTAGCTTGTTTATTGTTTAAGCCACTGATGAGCACAAAATTAATACAAGTTTTATCCTTAAATTTATATTCGTTAGTATTTTCTTTTGTTTTATTTAAATCTATTAGAGTATTTATATTGGTTATTTCCAATCTTTGTTTTTGTATTTAATGAGTGGTTGTTTGAAGATATTAAGTGTCTTCCACCAATAGCATGATGAGGAGGAATAAGCAATGTGTTGCAAGAAGAAAGTAAAGGATGAGAAGAAAATATGTGCAGCCAAAGTCAAGGAAATCTGCTCAAGACAAAGGAAAAGCATGGAGAGCAACCCGTCTGAAGTATATTCAAAGCCAAAACCAAAGAGGAAGAAGTGTGTGCAGCAGCAAAGGCAAATGAAGATAAGATTAAAAAAAAAATGGAAAGAAGAAGAAATCAATTGCATTAATAAGCTCCAACATGCATGGAAGCTGCCATATTGAAGAAATAAAGAGAGAATGCATAAACAAAGAAAAAGAAGTTCAACTTGACTACTTGCAACCAATGAATGCAAAGATGATGATGCTTGAGTTGTTATCTAGCTATAAATAGAGGAAGCTTGCTGCAGTTTTATGAGGAGACACACGAAATGGAGCAAGTGGAGCAAATGATAAGAAGACAAAAATAACGATATTTGTGAAGCCAAAGTCAAGGAAGTAGGCCAAAATTAAGGAGGATATTTGAAAATGATGGGCTACTTATTTGAAATGGTGAGCTACTTGATTATTATATAATTCAAGGCTCCCTTTCTAAGAAAGAAAGAGAACAAGGATGGAAAGGAAAGAACCGAGAGCTAATAACTCTCTTAAAATTGTTCTTCACCTTTTTTAGTTCTCATTTAATTCGTGTATTTTAGTTTCTTTGTTTTGTTTTAAATATTTCTTGTGTCTAGCTAAAATACTTAACTAAGGTTGGATGAAACACCATTATTAAATAAAGTTCTAGTTTTTATTTCCAATTCTCAAATATTGTGGTGTTCAATGATTATAATTTTCACTTCACATGATTAATAGATTAATTTTCTTTTCATCACTTCTATAATGTATTTGTGGTAGTTAAGACTTTGGATTAATCTATTAATTCATCCTTGGTTTATATTTCTAGTTGTTTACAAATTTCTTTGATCTTTTGTTATTCAAATAAACTTTTTCACATAGGATGCTTAGTAAACTTTGATCCTTTGAAGTTAAATAATTTTGTTTATATTTGATGCTTAGAATTTGTACTTATGAAGGGAAGGAAAATTTACTTATGATCTAAATTACAAGTTTAATTGATAAATCTTGAGAAAGCAATTGATTGATTTCTAGATTGCTACTCCATGGGAATTGAAAGATAAATAATTAGGATCTTATGAAATAATGGTGTGGATTCTAATACCTTAGTTATTTTTCTCATAAATTTAATCTTAATTTTAGTTTATTGTCATTTCCATATTTGTTTTATGCTTTATTTAATTTTCTTTATCAACAAACAACTCACTAGTTGAATCAACTAGGTTGGCAATGAAATTAACTTGGGTTTAATTGGTTTTCTATATTTTCACGCAATCCCTTGGGTACGACCTCACTCTTACATGCTTATGCTATATTCAATTCGTGCACTTGCGAGTTTATAAATTTTAAAAACACCTCTTTTGGTGACAACACCAACAAATGGTATAACTGTAATCTCCTTTACTTGATTTTCTTTTCTTGCATATTCCTTGTGCTCTAAGATTTCATCAAACTCAAAATTGACATTTTCAGATTCTGTATTCTCTTCTTGAATGAAAACTACCCTTTGTGTTTCTACAAACCTTGTGTTGTATTTTGGGCAGCAAAACCTATAGCCTTTTGTCCTATCTGGATACCCCATAAAATAACAACTAATTGTCTTCAAGTCAAGTTTCTTTTGCATTGGATTATATAGTTTTGCTTCTGCTCTACATCTCCAAGTTCGCAAGTGAATCAAAATAGGTTTTCTATTGCACCAAATTTCATAGGGAATTCTATCCACACTTTTAGTAGGTGTCTTTGAGGCTTCTCCTTGTAGAAAAATTGGTAGTGATGTGCAACACATAATACTTATCACCATTTCAATCAAGGTTATGTTCCTTCTTTCTGAAACACCATTTTGTTGTGGTGTTCTAGGATTAGTGTACTAAGCCACAATACCTTCTTGTTGCAAGTAAATGGCAAAAGGTCCTGGATTTCTTCCCTTCTCAATGAACTTTCCATATAACTCTCTTCCGCTATCAAATCTTACCACCTTTATCTTCAAATACAATTGATTTTCTACCTAAGCTTTGTAAATTTTAAACATGTCTAAAGCTTTTGATTTTTTTGTTATCAAATACACATATCCATATCTTGAAAAATCATGTGTGAAAGTTAAAAAATATTTATAACCATCATGTGTATCGGCTGGAAAAGGTCAACATATATTAGTGTGAATAATTTACAGTAATTTTTCACTCCTTATTGCTCCTTTATTTCACAAGTTTGTCATCTTTCGTTTTGTATATTCAATACAGACTTTATCTTTATGATGGTGGTTAAGTGGTGGCAGCATAGATTCTTTGCTTAAGAGGTACATTCTTTCTTTCGAGATATGTCCAAGTCTCTTATGCCAAAGTATATATGATTCTTCTTTTCTCAACTGTTTTGTGCATATCACATTTAAACATGCAATGCTTTGATTTGAAGTTTTGCAATTTAGATGATATATTCCCTCAACAATCATGCCATTACCAATAAAACATTTAGTTCTGAAAATGGAGAATCCAAATTCATCAAACTCAAACTATAAGTTTGATGTAACAAGCTTACTGACTGATAAAAGGTTCCTTGTCATAGAAGGGACATAAACTACATCTACTAAATCCAAAACAAGACTAGCTAAACCAATAAATTCTACTTTGACTCTTTCTCCATTTCCCATGAAAACGTTCAAGTCATCTTTACTTGATACCCTATTGCTTTTGAACCTCTGCAAAGAATTAGCCACATGAACTGTTGCACCACTGTCTAACCACTATGAATTAGGTGAAATTTCAAATGTGTTAGATTCATAAACTACCGAAACCAAATCTTTATTACCTTTAGCCTTCTGCTTCTCCAACCAATGCTTATACCTCCTGCAGTCTCTCTTCATATGACCAAACTTTTGCTAAAGATGCACTTGAGACCTATGGGATTCAGTCCTTTTAACTCTTCTTCTTTCTTGTTTTTCTTTCCTGCAATTATATTCTTAACAGTTTCCTTGGTTTTTGGTTTGGAATCATGCACGAAATTGACATGTTCCTCATTTTTCTCCTTTCTTATATTTTGTTCTTCATGCACACAGATGCTTATGAGGTCTGTTATCGTCCAAATTCCTTTTTCAACTACATGTGTACTTTTGAGATGTCTAAAAACATTCGACAGAGAATTAATACCAAAGTATACATCATTGTCTCATCTAGATTGACATTGAGTGCCTTTAGTTTATTCCCAATTTCGAGCATATTCAATATGTAAGTCCTAACACAACCTTCTCCATTGTACTTAACATCAGTGAGTTGCCCCATAAATGTGCCTATTTAAACCTTTTTTGATTCCAAGAAAAATTCCCCAATTGACTTAAGGAGCTCTTTTGCTTTCTCAGATGTTGTTATGCTTCCTTTAACATATGGTGAAATTGACCTCTTCATAATTAGGATAGCCATTTTATTTGCCTTGGTCCATTTTGCATACTTACTCTTGGTTTCAGCAGATGCATTAGCAGCAGGTACCATAGGAGCATCTTATTCCAAAACCATTTCATAGTCGAGCAAACCCAATGCAATCTCTAAGTCATCTCTCCATTTCTTATAGTTGGAGCTAATGAGAGTCTCAATCAAGTTGTGGTTAACTGGAAAAACATATAAACATGCATACATAAAACCATAGCCCCAAGATCTTTAATTAAACATATTTATCAAACACTGGGGTATAAAGACATACATACTTCTTTTGAACAAAAAACCCTTTATATTTGGATAAAGGAATTTTCATACTAGTTTTTATGCTTCATATCCTCATGTTGTTCTACTACATGCAATTGCATGATGGATTACTCACATCTTTGGACAGAGAGTTATTTCATCATGTATTTGCGTGCAACACTATTTTGATCATGAGCTTTTGAGCGCATAGATCTTGTAATGTATTGAGTTTCTTTGGCTTACTTAATATATTGCAAGAGATTTGCAAACAATGATCAATAACCTTTCTTTCCATGACAAAGTTATAGCCTTATACTATTATCGTGCCAAGTTATTCTGCAAACTATTTTTAAACTTTTCGGCTTTATAGAACTTGTTATCGCCTTCACAAAATTGGTTAGATAAGAGATAATATAACTTAAGCTCTGATACCACATGTAATTTCTTAATAAGTTATAAAACCAAATACACTAACCTTGTTCAGCCATGGAGTCGAATGAAACAGTCACAAGATAGAGAGATCTTCTCCTAGAAACCAATGCCTTATGCTCTTATTCTAGATAGGGTGAATTTCTATATAAGCTTGTGTGTAATTGGTTCTAGAGGGAGCCCTCTATATATAATCTCATTTGAAAAACAAAACCATCTTTGACCATTTTTCAAATATTACAAACAGAAAGATTTACTTTGGGAATTTGGGTTTGAGAATTTATTTTCATCTAATATTTGGGAGTGCAATATTTTGACAATTGAGTGTTGTGTTCTCATGGCCCACAAGTTTCGTGCCACGTATCTTGAGGAATTTGGGAGAAATAGCCAAAGATGGTTTTGTTTTTCAAACCCAAATTCCCACAAGTTTCATGCCTACGTATATTGGGAGGAAATGGGAGTGCAATAGTTGTTTTTTTTTTTTTTTTTTTTTTTTTTTTTTTTTTTTTTTCAAAGATAAATTCATTAAACCCAAAACGGGAAACAATGGAATCCTGAAAGAAACAAACATGGTGTTGAGACTGCAGACACTACCCAAACACAGCTTAGTGCATGAGCAGTCTCAACAGAGATAAAAGATTACATTACAAGTGGGCATGGAAGCCCATCAAAACTTAAAACATGAACGAGGGACGGTGGTGGCTGGTTAAGCCAGGTTTCCCTATGCACTGCTCCAATTCCAATCGATGCCCCCATATGAGCAGCACGATTTTGTATCGAAGGATCCAACACCACTTGACAGAATCAAAAAGGCCTTCTGTTCTTCGGATTTCTAAGAGAATCGGGAGGATAGACCAAGCTCGATTACCATAGTTCCCAGAGATCCCAGACTTCACAACTAGAGAATTAGTTTCCATCATGACCTTGTGATGACGCAAAGACAGAGCCAGATTTAGGCCATAGAGAACAGTGTCAGCTTCAGCCGCAAGGGCAGACTGACACATCTTACCCTCTGCTAAACCTCCACAGAAAGCACCCTCAGAGTTTCTTATAATCACCCTCAGCCCTGCAGCTTTGTTTGACTTCCATGCACCGTCAGAGTTAACTTTAGTCCAGCCAAGACTATGTGGAGTCCAATGGGACTGAGTAGGGAGGACCTCCCTTTTAGTTATTCCAATAGAGTTCAAGGGAAGACATGCCTCAAGGAAGTCTCTATTCGCTGAGTTAGCCATCTGAAGGACTCGAATAGGCTCAGGTTTGCAGCCATCAAAGATAAACTGACAACGTGCTTTCCATATAGACCACATGAGGAAGCTGATGTTGGTTAAGAATTTACGTTTATCAAGAGAAGAAGGAAACTTCATTTGAATTAGACTTTCAAACCATTGATCAAAGGTAGTAAAGCTTTGGGGATTGACCCGGTAGTTGAAGGTTGAACAAAACCAAACCATTTTGACCCAGGGACAGAGAAAGAACATGTGTTCTTTTGATTCAACCTGGTCTTCGCACAGCGGACAAATAGGATTCACATTCATTTTCTGCTTGCAAAGATTCAATCTAGTAGAAAGAGCCTTGGAGATAATTCTCCAGCAAAAGAGTTTGATTTTTGGCAAGGTGTGAATCTTCCAAATCTCTTTCCAGACTAGCGGGTTTACGCAATGAGAGGACTGACCTCCATTACTCAGGGAGACATTTCTCAGGGCATGGATAAGATGGTATCCAAATTTAGCTGAGTAAAGCCCATTTGCACACCATGGCCACACAATATGATCAGGATTGCTCACATTGCCAATAGTTAAACACAAGATTGTGTTAATAGAGTCTTGATCCAAGAGATGCATAATTCTTTGGAGATTCCATTGATGCAGATCCTTGTCCAAAATTTTAGCAACAAACTACGGAGCATCATGGGGGACAAGTTGAATAGGATTGATGGTTCCTTCGTGGGGAGGAGGAAGTTATCTATCTGTCCAAATACGAATATTATCATCACTTAAAATCTGAACCCTAGCATGCTTAAGAACCTTATCTCTACTTGCAATGAGGCTTGCCCATAACCAAGAAGATCGGTGACCCACTTCTACATTCCAAAAATCGACCTCGGGGAATTACCTGGCTTTAAGAGGTTTTGCCCATAGAGAATTAGGATTGTGAATAAGGTGCTAGCATTGCTTACCCAAGAGGGCAAGGTTGAAATCCATCAGGTCTCGGAAACCTAGACCTCCCTCATTCTTATTTCTGCTTAAAGAATTCCAAGATTTCCAGTGCATTCCGTGATCTTTGTCTTGATTAGCCCACCAAAATTTAGCAATGTCACTATTGATCTCCTGACATAAACCAGCAAGGAACTTGAATCACATCATTGGATAAGCAGGGATTTCCATAGCTACAGCTTTAATCAAAGTTTCTTTTCCTACTAAAGATAGAGAAGAAGATTTCCACCCTTCCAAACAATTTTTGATGTGTTCTCTGATGAAACCAAGGGTTGACTTCTTTGATCTTCCCCAAATTGAAGGCAGCCTCAGATAAATTCAAGGATTATCAAAATCAGTAATTCCCAATGAAGAACAGATACTTGCTTGACGATGAGGAGCGGTGTTTTGGCTGAAATAAATACAGGACTTCTGGAAATTGATTTCTTGACTTGAGGCAAGACAATACTCATGGAGAATCCTCTTAAGACAAGCATAGTTAGAGTCCTCATCCTTAAAAAAGAACAAAGAGTCATCTGCAAAGAAAATATGAGAAAGAACTGGAGCTCCTCTCGCCACTTTAACTCCTGCAAGTTCACCCTCGTTAACAAGTGTCGAAATATTAAGGGACAAAACTTCAGAGATAATGAGGAATAGATATGGGGACAGAGGGTCTCCTTGTCTGAGACCTTGAGAAGGGAAGAAGGAAGCTCCAGGCTTTCCGTTTAGGAGGATAGAGAAAGAGACTGTCGAAATACAAGTTATTACAAGGTGGATCCAAAAATTATCAAACCTCATTTTAGCCATAGCTGCGGCAAGGAAATCCCATTCTACCCTATCATAAGCCTTGCTCATATCCACCTTGAGGCCAGCTTCATAGTTTTTACCTTTTTTCTTGAGGCGAAGATAGTGGAAAGCTTTGTGGGCAACAACAATATTATCCTGAATCAGCCTTCCTGGAACAAAAGCAGTTTGGGAGTCATAGATAACGTCAAGCAGGATTTGTTTAAGTCTGTTGGCAAGGATTTTTTATAGGATTTTATAAGAAGTGTTGCAGAGGCTAATTAGTCTGAACTAGCACGTTGATTCGGGGGCAGCAACTTTCTCCAAGTTGAGCATGACCGTTATACCAGTCCATAGTAGGATGGTTAACAAAATCCTTTGCCTCATTCCAAAACTTATGGTAGAACATACTAGGGAAACCATTTGGCCCAGGGGATTAAAGAGCTCCAAGTTTATGGGCAACCATAGAGATTTCCTCCTCTGTGAAAGGAGCCACCAGTCTCGCATTCATTTCACTCAAGATACAAGCAGGGATTACAATTTAGACCCCCCCCCCCCCCCCTCCTCCTAGTTAGAGCACTTTCAGCAGTTGGAATCTTGCCATGGCAAGGGGGGGCTAGGGGGGACACTATTCACAGGAATAGTGTCTGCCCTTGCAAAAAGTAAGTTCCACTTCCAGCAGTTGCCATGGCAAGGGGGGGTACTATTCAATTTTTTTTTTTTTCACAAATTTGTTTACCTAAACAATTAATTTGGACAATATATTCGGATGAGATTTTCTGATAAAATATTTGGATAAGATTTTCATATAAGATTTTCGGTTTCAAATTTCAGATAAATTTTTTTTTCAAATTTCAGATTTTCAAATTTAATGCTTTGGTTGTGGTTAGTTTTTTTTATAAATTGAATTTTTTGAATAAAAAGGAATTTTATTTAATAGTTTCTTTGGTAACTCAAAGAAAACTAATACTACTAATACAATAAAATACATGACTTCCAACTAATTTTTAAAACAAATCATTAAAATACAATGAAATGAAAAGGCAAGCAAACTAACTTAAGGGTTTTCATCATTTAACCAATCCGTATTGCTAGGTCCATCATCACGAAAAAGTTTTCGTCTCATAATAGCCTTTCGTTCTAGCTTCCAATATTGTTTTGTTTCAGGAGACATGTGGCTTGTATCCATGGCCATGGTTTCCCGATCCTTCCTTTCTTCATTTTCTTTGCGTCGATACTCCCTTTCTTTGCGTACATACTCCCTTTCTTTAGCAAATTCTATTGCCATTGCCCTATCATCTTCTTGGACTTTCTTGTCTATTTCAATTCTCAAGGCGCTTTGCCTTGCAATTTCCTCTAAAAATTTAGAGGTATTACTCGTAGAATTAACTCCTCTCTTTGCCTTTGCCGCCTTCCTCCCCATAGGCCTCGGCTCCTTTTGAATGGGTAAGTCTTCACTCATAGGGGATTCCATAGGCGAATCCGAAGCTTGTGAATCATGAAGTGGCGTCTCGTTTAACACCACCGTTGGAGCCGTTGGAATAATGCTAAATCTTTTACAATGCTTCACCACCTCCCAACATTGGGTATGGGTGAAACTTTTTTTCCCTACTCCAGTAGCACCATAGAACATTTGAGCTTGCACAATCTATATAAAAAAAAATTGAATAAGCAAGGAACTTAAAAAAAAAATTGGTAATGCAAAAAAGATAAACATATGAATGAAAATCCAAGAAATATTAACAACATATAAAGAATGCAAGAAACATTCAAATAAATATTAGAAATACAAGAAATATAAAAAAATATATATAAAAATTGCAAGAAACATTCAAATAAATATGGAAATACAAGAAATATTAAAAACATATAGAGAATGCAACAACCATTTATATAAATATTAGAAATACAAGAAATATAAACAAAATATAAAGAATGCAAGAAACATTTAAATACATATGGAAATACAAGAAATATTAACAAAATATACCAATTGCAAGAAACATTAAAATTAAAATTAATAGGACATTAAAATTAATAAAATGAAAATTACAAGTAATTACCTCATCGCTTAGATTTTCCCCGCTTGCATGGTTATTCATCGCTTTTGTGAGGGCATCTCTCCATTTCCCCAACTCTTTGTTGAGAAGTTTCCACCGACTTGACAATGCGCTTTCCGTACGGGTGGAACCCGATCTTTCAACAAATTCGTGAAGAATTTTTTTCCACATTTGACTGAATTTCATCTCATTACCCGATATGGGATCATGACTAATTTGGATCCAACACTCACACAACAAGACATCTTCCATGACGCTCCATGCCCCTCCGGTTTCTTGAGAAAAAGCCATAATGATAGAGAAAAATTATACTTAAAAATGAAAACAATTTAGAGTAAAAAGTGAAGAAAATATTAAATAGAAAGTGAAAAATAGTTGGAGAAGGAGAAGATGTATGAGAATTTGTTGTTAAAACTGAAGAGTAGGTGTTGGTATTTATAGAAAAAAAGTCAGTATTTTTTGGGATTTTTTTTAAAATTTTTACGATTTTTTTTCATCATTTTTTGCCTGGAAAAATTCCAGGCCGTCGGATTGGCTGACAAGGCGAAATCGGAAGGACAAGAGGCTGCCACGTCGCACGTTACCGTTGGGCGCAAAAGCTGACGCGCGATTTTGAATTTTTTTTAACGTTGGCGCGTGCATTGCACGCGCCAACGGTAAAAAAAATTTACAACCGCGTGCTGACGTCACGCTGGCATAAGCGATGACGTCAGCTCGCACTCGGGCTCTCGCTCGGGCTGCCTTTGCCTTGGGGCCAGCCCAGGCAAGTGGACCCCACACTGCCCGGGCCAGCACTTGTTGCTGGAAGCTGCTTTTGGGCTCTCCCCCCCCCGAGCCCGAGTGGGCTGCTGGAAATGCCCTTATAAGGACCAACCAAAGTGAAGAGCTGAGAATAGTAGTTTCAAAATTTTGATTCCAAAGCTTTTTCTCCAAATAGCCAGGTCCCCTTATTATTCTTTAGGCGCAGGATGTGATTATGCTATCTTTGTTGAATGGTAGATAGATGAAAGAATCAGGTATTTTTGTCCCCTGCTTTCAACCAGTTAACGCGGGATCTCTAACACCAATACAATTCCTCTACTTTCCACAAAGAGTCAAGGTCCTTTTTTAGTCTATCTTTCTTGTTCTGATTAAGCAGAGATCCATCATTCTTCTGGATCATCTCAAGATCAAATAACAGCTTTTTAATTTGAAGCCTACTATTGTCACCAAGTTTCTGATCCGCTGAAGCAATTTTTTTGCATAAGTCACTAACTTTCTATTCCGGTTCATGATGCCAGAGCCAGTTATTTCCCCTCCCCAACAAGACTAAATGATATCCTTTCAGGCAGGATCCTCTGCCCACTTAGCCTCAAAGCGAAACAGTTTCTTTGCTTTGCAGACGGTTGGATTATTGTCAATAATTAAAGGGCAGTGCTCTGAGCCCAATCTCAGACCATGCGAAACCTACGTATTTGGCCAACGAACAACCCAGTCAGCATTTTCGAGAACTCGATTGAGTCTTTCCCTGACGATCATGTTATCTCCACAATTTTTCTCCCATGTAAAGCACTGGCCACTGAAACCCAAGTCCACCAAAGAATTCGATTCCATAAAGTCAATAAAGAACCTCCGTTTTCTGGGATTCCAAGGGGCACCACATTCTTTCTCATGACTCTATGCAACTTCATTCATATCACCACAAACAACCCAAGGAATCTGGTCTTTGCGTTCCCAATCATCAATAGCTTCCCAAAATTCGATCTTTTCAGCACTATACGGAGTACCATAAATCCATGAAAAACGCCCACAAATATGCTCCGACTCAGACCTGATGCTAGTATCAATCCAATATTCATCCAAGGTTCCCACCATAAGCTTAAGCCACCTGCTAACCCAATTGGGTCAACAGAAAAACCTTTGCAAAAGCCACATTGACGTCTAATTTTATTCAATCTATAGCTATTCATTTTAGTTTCTATCAAGAATAGTACATAGGAATTTTTGGAGCGAATTAACTCCTTCAAATACATAACTGTCCTAGGATTCCCCAAACCTTGACAGTTCCAGACAATTTGCCTCATTTATACCTTGTGGCTGTTGAAGGCCAGCCACCACAGCCTTGGAGTTTCTTTCGCTCCACAGGGTTCATCTTGTTTAGATGCCTTTCCACTTCCTCCATTTCCTTCGACGGGCTAACCACCACATCACACAGCCCAGAGACAGATGCAACTAGCTCAGGTCGAGCTGTTTCATTCCTAGCTTTGATTTTGGATTTTCCTCCTTTACTCTTTGCCTGACCTCCACTCCTTCCTCTATTCAAAAAGCGAAGTGAAACACCAAGGCTAGGGCAGAAGCTAGCTTTAGTCTTTTTAAAGTTATGAGCAGGCCTACCTTCAGCCATTAGCTTCCTTTTGCCTTTCATAACTAGAGCCTTATAGACTTGCTCGTCCTTTGTTGGGCCTGAGTTCCCTAGGTCACACATTTCTTCAATAATGGGCACTGAGCCCATATGCTGGGGTTCAAGTTGGGCTTGTGATCTGCTGCCTTCAGGGGCCTTCGTTATAAAATCATTTAAGGTCCGGGAACAAGCCTAAGGGGGGTATGGTTTGTGGGTCACACCAAGTGTGGTTTAGTGACAACCTGTTAATAGCTAATCTTAGAGAACCATTTCTAAAATGGGTACCAAAGCTCTCCACATACTGACATATTTTGGGGCTGTCGCATGATTCTGAGATGTGACAACAATATCAGTAGTAGGAGCCTCATGTGAGGCATGGGACAAAACAAGGGCTTGAGGCGCGACAGTCTATAGAAAATAAGTAGGGGCAGTTGTCGCATTAGCTGTCTTGTCGAACACACAAGACCCTTGGGTTTCACGATTGCCCATCTCCCCGGAGGAACCATAGATCCCACCGTCTTCCTTTTCCAGCTAGTGTCGCCAATGGCTATGATCCATACCACCAATTATGGACTTCTTCACTCTTGGTTGGAAGAGAAAGGTGGATTGTTTAGAGGTCGTTGTAGCATGCATGCCTTCATCATATTTCCAGCCATCGAGTTCCAACTTGGGGTTTGGTACCAACATAGAGCCACGTGAATGGCCTAGCCGACCACACTGCATACAAAACTCCTTTAGACCTTCGTAGCGGAGACGGATTTTCCTTCAGCCCGTGACTTGACAAGGCATGGAAAAACCAGGGGGAAGGGGTTTGGATGCATCAAGATCAATTCGCATTCTAAGGAAGCCTTTGAAACCCACTTCATCAACATCCTCAATTTCCATAACAGAACCAATCCTCGCCCCTAGCTTCCTTGCATTACCAGGAGAACACATGTTTCTAGGGAAGCCATGAGCCTGTACCCAAAATATTGCCCGATCTGGAATAATATCATCAAGCGAGTGGTATAGGGGACAATATTTGACAGTAAAGGTGAAACCCTTAATGAACCATGGATTACCGTCCATCAATCTTCTCACCATTGCTTCATCCCCAACACTGATGGAGTACACATTCTCTTTTGCCCACAAGACTTTGATAGTACCCATATTACTCCATAGAGCACACAACACATCTTTGACCACCGACTTGTGAGACAAGGGATATTTGGTTTTTGATTCTCTCCTCTACATCACAGCTTCTGTCGAAATGATCAGACATTTCATCTATAAGAAGATCATCCCACTCCTCATCTTGAGTCATCATGACTGGGGATACACAGTAACTCACCAAAAAACCTTAGGAAAAGGTAAAAGAAGTGATGCAACACGAGGACTTCTCAGGAGGTCACCCATCCTAGTACTACTCTCGCCCAAACTCGCTTAACTTCGGAGTTCTGATGGAATCCGGTGCATGTAAGTTGATATGATCGCATCCATAATCAATAGTTTGATAATTGACTATTGAGTGTTGTATTCTCATGGGCCACAAGTTTCATGCCACTATCACATGTTCGGAATTTTGGTTCCTTCGTTAAATTCCCATGAAAATAAAAACTAAAACTAGGCTTTCATAAATAATAAACAAATCAAAATTATGTTTTTGAAAATTGTTCTTCAGAGCTTGAATTAGGTTGAGAGGTAATCTAGCCAAATATAAAAGGGCCACGGTTGGACAAGTCAATGATGATGCGGTTTGAGATAAGATCGGAGAAACTTGAAAGATCGACAGGTGAAAATTTCGAACATGTGATAGTGGCACGAAACTTGAAAGATTCAACTTGAAATGTTGGATTAATAAATTCCAAAAGAGACGATTCTTATCAAGAAAAAAGGAATGCTCCAAAAACAGTGACTTAGCGGTTGACTTTCTGTGATTGTGACATCATTCTGTGCCTTCGATAGATTTGGAGTGATGGGTGGTTTATATTCTGTAGTTTGTTGCTCTGCCTCTGAATCGTTCTGGTTCTCCGACTCTAACAAATGGCCCAAAGAGAAGGTTGTCTGGTTTTTGCAGTTAACGGGGAGAGGTTTGAGCTCCCAAGTGTTGACCCTTCAACTACATTGCTTGAGTTCTTGCGTACTCAGACTCGTTTCAAAAGTGTCAAGCTTGGTTGCGGTGAAGGTCTGCTCTCTCTCTCTCTCTCTCAGTTTTCTTGAACACTTTTTCCTTTCATGGTGACCAATTGATGTTTAAAGAGCCTTCTTTCATGCTGATGATTCTATAATTTCAGTTGTTCAGTAATAATCATATTAGATCAGGTTGTAATTTGGGTAACAGACTTTCAAAAGTTTTTATGTATGTTGGATTTTGCATCTGCATAAAATTGGATTAGTTATATGATATATACTTAAAAAATGGTTGCAGGTGGTTGTGGTGCCTGTGTTGTGCTACTGTCCAAGTATGACCCTGTTGTTGACGAAGTGAAAGATTTTAATGTAAGTTCATGTCTCACTCTACTTTGCAGTATAAATGGATGTTCAATTACAACATCCGAAGGACTTGGAAATAGCAAAGATGGGTTCCATCCTATTCACCAAAGGTTTGCTGGTTTCCATGCTTCTCAATGTGGTTTTTGTACTCCTGGCATGTGTGTTTCACTCTTTGCAGCTCTTGTCAAAGCTGAAAAGACCAATCGACTGGAGCCACCTCCTGGGTTCTCCAAACTCACTGTTTCTGAAGTTGAAAAGTCTATTGCAGGAAACCTCTGTAGATGTACTGGGTATCGATCCATTGCTGATGCCTGTAAGAGTTTTGCAGCAGATGTTGATATGGAGGATTTGGGGTTCAACTCTTTTTGGAGAAAGGAAGACAGTAAGGAAGTAAAGATAGATAGTTTGCCTCCATATAATCATAATGCTGAGAACTGTACATTTCCCGAGTTCTTAAGAAACGAAATCAGGTCTTCCATGTTTTTGGATTCAAAGAGATATGGTTGGTACAGTCCTGTTAGTGTTGAGGAGCTTCAAAACTTATTGAAAGCTAATGATTTTAGTAATGAAAATGAGATGAAATTAGTTGTTGGTAACACTGGGATGGGGTATTACAAGGAGCTAAAACGCTCTGACAGATACGTTGATCTCAGATATGTTCCTGAGTTGTCAATGATTAAGGTGGATCTGACAGGGGTTGAGATTGGAGCAATTCTAACAATCTCTGAAGTTATTGAAATGTTGAGGAAGAAAGACAAAGGTGAATTTCCATCAAGAGGTGAGATTGTGTTAAATAAAATTGCCAATCATATGGAGAAAATTGGTTCAGGTTTTCTCAGAAATACAGCTAGTATAGGAGGGAATTTGGTGATGGCACAAAGAAAATGCTTTCCTTCAGATATTGCTACGATACTTCTTGCTGTGGATTCAGAGGTAGGTATAATGAATGGTTCTAGATCTGAAATGATTAAGTTGGAGGATTTTCTGACTAGACCTCCACTGGATCCAAAAAGTGTACTTTTAAGTGTTAAAATCCCACATCAGGAAGCAGTCAGACAAGTTTCTCCAGAAACAAACACAACGTTGCTGTTTGAAACCTATCGAGCTGCACCCAGACCCCTAGGAAACACATTGCCTTATTTACAAGCTGCCTTCTTAGCTGAAGTTTCTTCTTGTAAAATTTCTAATGGAATTATGGTAGATCACTGTTGTCTGGCTTTTGGTGCTTATGGAACTAAACATGCAATTAGAGCAAGAAAGGTTGAGGAATTTTTAACTGGAAAAACTCTGACTGCTGGTGTTTTGTATGAAGCTATTAAGTTAGTTAGAGCTACTGTGGTTCCTGAAGAAGGTACCATGAGTCCTGCTTACAGGTCAAGCTTGGCTACTGGTTTTCTTTTCGAGTTCTTTAGCCCGTTAATTGACAGTGAATCTGAAATTTCCAGTGGTTTCTTGGAAAGTCGTTTTTCGGCGGATGCTTCTATGTTAAAAAAGAACCAAAGATGTAAGATTCCAACTGTTGTCACATCTGCTAAACAGGTGCTTGGATTGAGTACAGAGTATTATCCAGTTGGTGAGCCAATTACAAAATCTGGAGCTCTCTTGCAAGCTTCAGGTTTGTTCCTTCACATGATTATGAGGATGTCTAGTTACTAGCGTTCTTTTTATGGTCTCTCTGATGGTAACGGTGAAATCTGTAAAGAAACTTAATCTTGACTACTCACTTTAAGCCCTGATAATATAGAAAAATCTGGATTTTCTGTCTCTGGAGTGAAGTTATATTAAGGCTTGATAATCTCTCAAACTGTGTGCATCTATCTTTCATCGGTACACCAGGACGCACTACGTATTATTCATGAAAATACCATTGCTTATATATTTTGCTCTCTTCTTTCCTCTTGGTCAGTCATGTTAGAGAGCTAAAAGTATTTAGAAATTGAATTATAAATTTACAAGTGCTTATATAAATGTCTCATTTTAAAATGATTCTGTCTGTGGCTTATGGCACCGAGTTTGTTTGACCCTTTTATTTTCCCGGCTTGCAATAGTTATTGAATTTTTTTTACCAACCAGGACAACAGTGAGTTTGCTAGGACTTTAGTGGTTACATTATTCTCTTAAAACCATTTCATGATCTGTTTTGATTCCATTGACTCCATATCTTTTCCAGTTTTTTTTTAATTATATGTTTTCTTGGGTGCTTCTAACTCTTGACAACTAAAGTACTTATCTCATTCATGACAATCAAATTCTAGGGGAGGCAGTCTATGTAGACGACATTCCATCTCCTACAAATTGCTTATATGGAGCATTCATTTATAGTACAAAGCCTTTGGCCAGAGTGAAGGGAATAAAATTCAAGCCTAAACCACATCCAGATGGAGTTTCTGCACTGATATCTTTTAAAGATATCCCCAACAGTGGGGAGAATGTGGGGTCCAAGACTATGTTTGGTACCGAACCCCTGTTTGCTGATGATCTTACTCAATGTGCTGGTCAGCCAATTGCTTTTGTGGTAATTGCATGATTCTGTTATTGTCTGTATTAAGCTTAGTGCTGGAATGAATGTAAAGTGTTACCCATAATGTAACTATAGACAAATGCGTTTTCTTCTTTGTTGGGATTGTGTGCTGAGTTTACTCATCAAAATAAATTTTATAGGTTGCAGATACACAGAAACATGCAGATTTGGCTGCAAACTTTGTGGTGGTTGATTATGAAATGGAAGGCATAGAGCCACCTATTCTATCTGTCGAAGAGGCTGTTAAGAAATCCAGTTATTTTGAGGTCCCTCCTTTCATCTATCCAAAACAGGTTGGTGACATATCAAATGGAATGGCCGCAGCTGATCACAAGATTCTTTCTGCTGAGGTACTTGACATCTATATGACATTCTTCTTTGTTTCCTGGTTCCCTTTCCATCCCAATACTCCTGGGTTTGCACTCTCCCCTGCTACAAGTAATTTGGATACTGGATATTCAACTTTTCTCCTTGGTTTTATTTGTATATACAAGAACAGATTATATGAAATGGGGAAAGAATATGAGTATAGCAGAGAATGTTGGCTTGGTTTTCAACAGCTTTGTAGAATCATCCACTAACTTACAAATCCATGCATACCTGTCTTTCAGATCAAACTTGGTTCGCAATACTATTTCTACATGGAGACTCAAACTGCCCTTGCTGTACCAGATGAAGACAGCTGCATGGTGGTTTACAGTTCAATTCAGTGCCCTGAGTTTGCACACTCTGTCATTGCAAAATGTCTTGGTATTCCTGAAAATAATGTTCGCGTAATTACAAGAAGGGTTGGAGGTGGCTTTGGTGGAAAGGCCATAAAAGCCATGCCTGTGAGTATTTACTTTCAGGAGTTTTTATATTCCATCTCTATGACAGATTATTTAAATTATAACCGAGGTTTGCCGAGTTTTAGTTTAGATTAAGTACTTGTTAGTACTGTGTGACGAATATGATATTTTTGTTAGATGACTGACTAAAAGAACTGTTATAGAATGGGCCAACAATGTGTATTAAGCTAACGTCCTCTGCATGTACAACTTCCTATCTTGCATCTGGAGAGGTACAAATAGAGAGAAACAGACAGGTGCAGTCCCACCATGTACGTTACAAATTTAGAAACAAGTTGGGGTTGAGGAACAGATATTTCCAATCTTACCTACAACCAAGCTTTGATACCATGTTGGACAACTGTTGGACCCAAACTGTTAGGGACTAAGGCAAACAATATATGTTAAGCCAACAATTTTAGCAGAATTGATTATTGGACTTGAAAATAAGATTTCAATTGTTTTTAAGTTTTGACATCTCACTAGAGAATTAGCTTATGTATTATCAACTAGCTGAAATTTGTTGATGCAATATATATATATATATATATATGTTGTAGGAGCATTTAGACATATAATGTTAAGTATGTTGTAGGCGTATTTAGACATATATGTTCTAATTCATTAGATAAGAACCCAAAATTAAAATGATAAAAGCTTAGATTATGTACGTAAATGGTATGTTTCTTTTTAACACACATAATAGTACATCATCTGTCTATGTTTATTGCTTTTTCTTTTTTTTCATGAGTTGATTTACTAAATAGAGGATAAAGGTCTCTTTTGCAATTCTGGTATTTTAGGTCGCAACTGCATGTGCACTTGCAGCACAGAAATTACACCAACCTGTAAGGATGTATCTCAATCGCCAGGTTGATATGATAATGGCAGGAGGAAGGCATCCCATGAAGATAATTTACAGTGTGGGATTCAAGTCTAATGGGAAGATTACAGCTTTACAACTTGATATATTGATCAATGCTGGCACGTCCCCAGATATAAGTCCAATAATGCCACGCAATATAGTGTGTGCACTTAAGAAGTATGACTGGGGTGCTCTGTCTTTTGATATAAAGGTATGCAAAACAAACACTCCAAGTAGGTCTGCTATGCGGGCCCCTGGGGAGGTGCAGGGGTCATTTATTGCTGAAGCTGTAATTGAACATGTAGCATCTACTCTTTCTATGGAAGTGGATTCTGTGAGGAATGTAAATCTTCACACAAAGTACAGCCTCGATTTATTTTATGAGCACAGCGCTGGTGAACCTCTAGAGTATACTATACCTTTGATATGGGACAAGTTGGCTGTGTCTTCAAGCTTCAACCCAAGGACTGAGATGATAAAAGAATTTAATAGGTGTAATAAATGGAAGAAAAGAGGAATTTCTAGGGTACCTATAGTGCATGAAGTGTCATTGAGGCCAACTCCAGGAAAAGTAAGCATTTTAAGTGATGGGTCTGTTGCTGTTGAAGTTGGAGGAATTGAACTGGGTCAAGGGCTTTGGACGAAGGTAAAACAGATGGCTGCTTTTGCTCTTGGTTCGATTCAATGTGATGGTAGTGGAGATCTTTTGGATAAAATACGGGTGGTACAATCTGATACACTGAGCTTAATTCAAGGGGGATTTACTGCTGGGAGCACTACATCTGAGTCAAGCTGCGAGGCAGTTAGACTGTGCTGTAATATCTTGGTTGAGAGGCTAGCTACTCTCAAGGAAAGATTGCAGGAGAAAATGGGCTCTATTAAATGGGAGACACTTATACAACAGGTATTCTGTTTTGATTTGGGGGAGGCCTTCTTTGCACTTCTGCACTGCTTTGTGGGAGGGCAAATAACACAACGATAATACCAGAGTTATTTGCAGTCCCCTAGAGAAGTGCATGCGATATTTGGGAGTGTAAATAGCAATCCTTTTGTATTTGTTGTTTCTTCAATTTGTTTTCTTTTTAACACTTAATTAATTTCTTGTTTTTGAAGTTACTAAAATCCTGCCATGGGACTCCAACAAAAGTTCACACACTAACTCTGGAAGTACCCAAGAAACTCCAAAAGAAAAGAAAGATAACACAAAACACTACTTCTAATCCCCCAGACAGAATAACTGACGACGAACCAAAAGTTTTTAATGAGAGTACAAATAAAAACTATAAATCACTCATTGAGTCATCAGGTTAGCTATCATTATAATTCTTCATGGCGAGCTGTCCAACAAAAACGGGCACCGTAAGTGGCGACAATACACCCTACAATTTCTTCATAGGTAGGGTGCTGCTGCTAAATCTCCATTCATACTCCTCTTTGTAGGGTGCTATGAAGAGTAAGAGGGAGATTTTGAAAACTTCTGTGGTCTTATGTATTTAATGAAATTTATCATAGTTTCAAGTTTGCCCAACTAAAAACACTCTAAACTTTCTACAACTACTATTTTGTTTATGGGTTTTGAAGGCCACAGAAATAACTCTCTATCTTGCATTTTCCTTTATTCCCAAATTGATATATACCATCATTGCAGTCTGTATCATTCTTCTTTCAAAATGCAGGCATCCTTGCAAGCTGTGAACTTATCAGCAAGTTCTTATTTTGTCCCCAATTTTGCTTCCATGGAATACCTTAACTATGGCGCCGCTGTGAGTGAGGCAAGTTTGTCTTTAACAGTCTTACTGCTTCCTCATATTCTTGTATATTGTAGTTCTTTTGCGCCTTTTGAATTCAGCAGGGTATGTTTACATACTGCAGGGCAAGTCATACTGCAATATCATACTATCAGGATGAATACCAATTTACTATCATTTAAAATTATAGAGATAACAATGAACTATCTGTCACAGGTGGAGGTAAATCTTCTGACGGGAGAAACCACAATTCTGAGATCAGATATGATCTATGATTGTGGTCAGAGTCTCAACCCTGCTGTAGATTTAGGACAGGTAAGCATGACCAAACTTATGTGCTACTCAAAAATAAAGTTCTAATGTTTGCATCACTCCAAATTTTCTTTGAATTAAGCTCTAGAGTCTACTAGCTATATGCTGCAGTCAAAGGTATAAGATCCTGTATGAGGAATGTTCAGGGGCAGAACTGTCAGTAAATGTTTGTCCCGTATACTCGGTGCATATTCATAATGTCAGTAGCTTCTACCTATAAGAATTTTTCATTTGCATAATTTCAGTAGATTATGCCTCAGTCCCCTTCTATTGAGGGATCCCTTGCATAATCTTATTTGAGTGACACCTTGTGGGGCCCACTAAAAATTATATTTCAACGATCCGAAACTTCTTGCAAGTCTTCATTCATAATAATTCATATTGCATAATGTCATTTCACTAGTGTGTTGTCTATATGGTTTAATAAAATTTAGGATTATGTGTTTATTGCAGATAGAAGGTGCTTTTGTTCAAGGAATTGGGTTTTTCATGCTTGAAGAATACTTGTCAAACTCTGAGGGATTGGTGGTTTCGAAGGGTACATGGACGTATAAGATTCCTTCAATGGACAACATACCCAAACAGTTCAATGTTGAAATACTGAACAGTGGGCATCACAGAAAACGTGTTCTCTCTTCGAAAGGTATGCCATTTAAAAGTTGCTGAAACCTTTTACGTTAGTTACACTCTGTGCCTGGCAGACTTGTACTTAGATACAACTGATAGTACCAGAAAAGTTTTCTCTGTGAATAAAAGTACGCAAATTTGAAAAAACTGGAAATTAAAAAGAATAAAATAAAATTTTGCATGCCGTACTACTTTTTAATTTCTTCATTTTTTAAGTTATTTTGGAATTTAAAAAGTGGAATGCTATGTATATTAAAAGTTAAACAAATCCCAGAATAAAAATCCTAGCAGAGGATTCAGATTTTTGGTATAGTTGTAGCTTTTTTTTTAAATTATTGATTGTGTTTTCCAGTTCATTTAGTTTCAGAAGTCAAATTGGACTGAAATTGGAACTGTCAAAGGAATGAGACCGGTCCTAATAGAAAAATATAGCTAAGGAATGGCTTTTAAAACCCCCTTTTTATATTTCATTTTATGAATTAACATATGTCATCCCTTTTGACTTTCCTCTATGTTTTCCTTCTTTACGTTTAACTGAAAACCTAAACGAAAATGTTAGTGAAGGGGCTCTAGTTTTTCTAGATTGTTATAGCTCAGTTTGTGTCAGAGAAAAAGAGTCAGAAAAAAGAATGTTTGAGGGAGAGAAATATTGGATCACAATATTTTTCTTCTCTCTTTCTCTTTTCCTCTTAAATTGGCCCGACACCAAACTCCAAAACAAATTAAATTTCAAAGAATTTTTTTATATTTTGGGTTCCAGAGTCTATTTTCTGTTACAATCATATCATATATTAGGAGGAGCCCTTCCTTAATGGTTCCTTTGTGTAAAAGAAATTGGTACCTTTGTTGGAGTAGGATTGCTCTTCAAACATGCAGGGAAGAGATTTTGAAAGGAAAACATTAAAAACATTGTACATTTATTTTTGAATCTCTCTTTTGAATTTCTAGTTAGATTCTCAAGTTGCTTAACATTCAAAAATCCCAGCTTGTAAAATACACTCATGAAAGAGAGCCGTTAGCAATTCAAATTGAAATGTTTTTTTGTGCAGCTTCTGGTGAGCCACCATTACTGCTTGCGGTTTCAGTTCACTGTGCTACAAGGGCGGCAATTAAAGAATCAAGAAAACAGCTTCTTCAGTGGGGTGGCTTAGATGGATCAGCATCAATTTTCCAGTTGGATGTTCCTGCTACCATGCCTGTTGTGAAGGAGCTATGTGGGCTGGAAGCTGTGGAGAGGTACTTGGAATGGGTAGGCAGACAGAAAATGTCATTATCTGTGCACACAGAAGGATCGTGCTAGTTAATCCCATGTCAGTCAAAGAACCTAGCGGTGAGACAACCGCAGTCACTTGATCTCAATAATGGTATGAATAGGGTTTGATATTCAATTTTGAACATTGTTTGAGTCTTTTGCAAAAATAAAAAGGAAGGAGAAATGGAGAAGACAATCTCTAGATTTTGGCCGGTATGGTTGATAAGCCTAATGACAAGAACTACCAATGCATGTCCTGGTTGTTTACGTAGGCAATCAACAACTGGTATTAATACTTCTTAAGTTTTTCTGGTGTTGGCATTTGGAAATTCTTGAGTTTGGCATAATTTCGCTCTTTTTGGCTTTCAAGGGAATTAGACTTTGGATTTACTCTTACTCAACCGCATCTCATGTTACCTATGTTGGGATTCATTGTCCACTTTTGAACATTACTGTTGCATGTTGATCTTATCTATAAGACAGCTGAATTTGGACAATCTTATTACGCCATTCATGTATAAAATGGACTCTCAGACGGCTGGAAACCTCGGTGGTTTGAGTGTCCTAGTTGTGAAATTGGGGGTCTTTTCTACTTGTATTTAGAATTTGGGAAATTCTATTGCTACTTCTATGCCCTACTAATAATTTTTTTCCCCATAAAGTTCCCATTTCACCACCTTGTCATCATCCTTTTCTTCTCTCCTGCGGCACCATCTGACCCATTACCGCCCCCCTTATCTTCTCTCTTTTTCTCTTCTGGCTCCGGGGAGGGCAAGGTTGCTGGCCCGAGATCCGGCACAAGGAAGAGAGAGAGAGGGAGAGGGAGAGAGTGGGACAAATGCACAGGCAAGAAGAAGTGGACGCCTATTTTTGAAAGAATGGGTCTATAATTCAATGCACTTGATTTTGTTTGTTGTTTGCTATTGTTACATGCAAATCAACCAACCTTGCGATTGAGATACATTCGTACGGGTTGGTGTAATTTCCACAGCTTAGGCCTGATAGACCCACTTTTGGGTTGCGCAGGGCCAGGGCCAAGGATCTGGAACCCTGTCCCAGTCCACGGCACATAGTACATACCATTTAAGCCCGATTAGGTCCAGTCCAACTCAGCCCAACTAGGCTTGCCTAAAAGCCTGCTCAAAAGCCCATCCAAGTTATGTTAATCTATATATATAAAGCAAAAAGTAGAGAATGGTAAAATATTCAAAACACCAAAAAATGGCATTAGTTAATGCAAACATTAAGAATTGAAATTATTAATTAAATGAGGATAATATAGTAAATTCACACTATTTCATATTAAAAAAATTAAAATTAAAAGAAAAATCAGATAATAAATCCTACTTTTATGGAACACAACTATCCATTATTTTTTTTAAATCTAAAATAAATTTAGTGTGTAATTAAATTTAATACCACACACTCACAGTTGATTAATATAAAGAAGAATGATCATGAATTAATCAACGACAACACAAAAGTCGGAAAAACAAAAGAAATATTAAAATGAGAAACGTATGAAGGTATTTAAAGAGTCTTCTTTCCTTGTATTTTATTTTTCCCTTTTTCTTTTCATGAGGCCAACGTGTCCCATATCACAGGTAGTTTATGAAGGTTTCCATAGAAATAGTAGATGTTACATGTTCAATTACAAACCTACTCCAAGTGTTTGTTTTGCATACCTTTATGTGGAAAGACAGAGCACCCTGTCATACTTCTTAAGTGCACACAGAATATTGTGTGGCATTATTGGACTTATATCTGGGGACATCCATGGATTGATCAATATATCAAATTGTAAGGGTCTGTTTGGTATTTACTTAGATTTAATTGGCTTATTATCACAAAACGTTCCTAAGGTTTACGAAACTATTAGATTGCATCCTTAATGTTTTTTTTTGTCATTCGTGATCCTCAAGGTTAGTATGCATGATCACAAATGGTCCCTACCGTTAGGTTCCATCAAAAAACTCCGTTAGTTTGCTGATATATATATGTATATCACAAAACATCATTGAGGTTCACACACCTATCACAAATGGTCCTTACAAAATTTTTTAATTTTTTAAATTTAAAATTCATAAAATTTTTGTAATCTTTTAAAATTTTATGAATTATAATCATTTTAAAATATATATTAAATTTTAAATACATGTGACACTATATTATTGTAGTTGTGAGCTCCATATATATGCCACGTCAGCAAACTAATGAAGTTTTTAAAAAATAATTTAAAATTCATAAAATTTTAAAATGAAAAAAAACTAAAGGTTTAGGGTTCATAAATGGTCCTTAAGATTAAAATCCTTCTATAAATGGTTTTTTCATTCATAAATAATTTTAAAAAGAAAACCAAAATTTTATGAATTTTAAATTATAAAAAATTAAAAAAAAAATTCGTAGGGACCATTTGTGATAAGTGTGTAAACCTCATGGATGTTTTGTGATATATATGTATGCCACATCAGCAAACTAACAGAGTTTTTGACATACAAGAGAAAGATGAAGACATACAGTAAACATAATAGAATCAAGGAACTAGTAACATCAGCAAAAGATGAGTCTCTTTATCTGCCAAAGAAGCATGCTCTTACCCTCTATTTTGGATGAAGAAATTGAAAATTGCATAGAATTCTTAAGGCAAAAGGGCACTTGTAGTCCATGTGGTTTCCAACTTTTACAACTAAGGTCCATATGGTTTGAATTTCGTCAATTTTGCCACTGTGGTTTAGGATTCCAAGCAATTCGAGGACACTTCTCAATTTCTGTTAGGACTTCAGCATGTGCCCCTCACATGGAAGGACATTACGGTCAAATTGAGCCATCTTATCAACCTTAAACACTAGCTCAGCCTTACCCATTCGAATTAGGCTCTTTTGCCAAAGTGTCAATTTTGTAATGGCAAAATGATGTTGAACTCTAGCCAACCATTTCAATCATTCTCATCCCTCACCTAACATCCTCTAGAAAATTCCTTATGTCTTTTAAAACTTTTTTGAATTCTATTTGTGATTTTCTTTGCATTTGCATGTTAATTGATGATGAATTATAGTTTAAAAAATTATTTTATGTTACTACTTTGTGGTTAAAATTTCTTTTTTAATATTTTAATGTTAGATCACATAAGAGCATCAATTTAAATTTCACACCCGCTCTCAAAATCTCAAAGTTAGCCCTGCTAGTTACAATATTTAACACCTTTTATTAACATTTCTTTAAATTTTTTCTTTTTTTCTTTTTTTTTTTTTTTATCTTTTTAATTTTTAGATGCGACACTAGAAAATGTTTAGTTTATTCCCAAAGGATATTTGAAATAATATAATAGAAAATTGGCATGCCTTAGTGTTAGCTTTTTCTACACATAAAAGAAAATTGAGCTTCCAATGGGTTGCATATATCTATATATATAAAGCAAAAGGCAGAGAATGGTGAAACATTCAAAATACGAGAAAATGCCCTTGGTTAATGCAAATATTAAGAATTAAAATTATTAATTAAATGAGGATAATATGGTAAATTCACACTTTTTCATATTAAAAATAAAATTAAAAGAAAAATCAGATAATGGATTCTATTTTTATGGAACACAACTACCCATTATCTTTTTTAATTCTAAAATAAATTTAAATTTTTTTAAAAAAATCCTCTCACAGGTGCGGAAGCGTGTGCAAAGAGACTAGTATATATAAAGCGAAAGGCAGAGAATGGTGAAACATTCAAAATACCAGAAAATGCCCTTGGTTAATTCAAATATTAAGAATTGAAATTATTAATTAAATGAGAATAATATGGTAAATTCACATTTTTTTCATATTAAAAAAATTAAAATTAAAAACAAAATAAGATAATAGGTCTTACTTTTATGGAACATAACTACCCATGTTATCTTTTCTTAATTCTAAAAATAAAATTAAAATTAAAAAATGAAACCAATTGGCACATGCGCTAATATTGATAAAACAAAATTAGGCTACCAATTAAGTTGCTTTTCTTTTGTCATATTCTTTTAGAAGTAGACTCCCTAGCAAATGAAAAAAAATTGAGAACTAATCCAAACTATTTGAACATATAGTAGCATAAAAATTACCAAAAAAAACTAGTGAATAAATAATTTTGGGTTCCCTTTTTCTTCATTATTTTCCTAAAAATTGTGAAGAATTGATGGAATAGAAAATGGTAAAAAAGATGTAGGCTTAAGAACTCGGGCTGATCATGGGTCAAAAGGCAGGACGAAAATGCTTCCAAACTCATATCAAAGGAACTTCATATATTTCAATACCACAAGGGGACGTCAACTTTTGTTGTCCATCCATATGAAATTTCCTAGATCTATATATTTTTATTGTAACTCATAGGAGTCAAATATTTTAATAAAGGTTTGATACAAGGAAACAACCTTGCAGGAGTTAGCATGAACTCTCCTAGGGATCAAATTGGGCATGGAATAACTGTCGCATCCATATATAGCTGCTGGGAATTACATAGACAAGGTTTCTTATTTTGGGTATGCTAACGGAACCTCTAGACGTCGCGCCCGAGCTAGGATAGCAGTATATAAGGTTGACTGGGAAGAAGGATGCAATGAATTGGATTTTCTTTCCGGAATAGAAAATGCCATTGCTGATGGTGTTGATGTTATTATCAACATCTCCTTAGGAATGGAAGAGTCCACCATGCTTACAATTGTTATATTAATAGGAACATTTGCTGCCATGGAGAAAGGTATCATAGTTTCGTGCGCAGCTGGTAATGAAGGTCCAAGTTCCACTGTGTATAATGGCAGGCACCACAGATCGATTGCTTGCCGCGTACTTATTTCTTGGAAATGGAATGAAAATCGTAGGACGATCCAAATTTGTTGGAATACGTCATTGCTAAATGTTCCACTGGTGCACACAAAGTTACAATCACCATGCAATAATTCCCACAAGTTGACAGATCTAGCATGTCATGGCGTCGTGGTTTGTGATGATGGATATAATACAATTAAGAAGATTGAAGAAATAAGCTCTTTAGAAGTGTTGGGAGCCATTTTGATTTCTAACAGTGAAGTTGAATACGTTTCCTGCGCCTGCACATTTATTTCAGTACAAGACGGAAATGTTTTGATGAATTACGTAGAAAGCACGAACATGCCTTTGGTTAACATGAACTTCCGAGAAACAATTACAAGGGCGAATATTCGTGCTCCAAGTTTGCCGTATTATGCGTCACGTGGTCCTTCACATGTTTATGTAGGCACTGTGAAGCCAGACGTAATGGCACCCGGGTCACAGATTTTGGGTGCTCGGGTTCCAAATAAACCAGCAGGCTATGTGCAATGGTTGGAGTTTCCTTCCTTGGCTTCTCCCCATGTTACTGGCTTGGCTGCACTTCTAAAAAGCGCACATCCAAAATGGAGCCCGGCTGCTATCCGATCTACCATATTAACTGCTAATCCATTTGATAATAGAGAAACTCCGATTCAAGATGCGGGCAACAATTTTCCATTTGCTTCACCTCTAGCCATGGGGTCGGGCATGATTTTAGCACGAACATTTGGAGCTTATCAAATACAGCACGTGGAATCAAGGAGTAAGAAGAATTAATAGAAAAATAACCATAGTAAGGGTAACTCATCAGACACATTTTGATGATATTCGCGCTATGCCAAACAAAACTCTAAGGCTCCATTTGTTTCACGGAACGAATTTGAGGGGAAATTACTTCCTATGTCATTTCGCAAGTCATTTCCCATGTTTGGTAATGCTGGGAAAGTAACCGGGAGATATCACTTTATTTTCTTTCCCATGTATGTTTTGAGTTGGAATGGAAAACAAAATTTGTATAATTTTTCAATTATACCCATATTAAATCAAATAAAAAATGCATTGAATGATATATATATTGTAATTCTAAATTGTTAATGGGGACAAAATAGTCATGAAAAATGTGCATTTAATGTTTGTTCATTTTCCAAAACTTTCTCATGAGGAGGGAAAACAAAACCCAAAAGGGGAGAAGGGTTTCACTTTCCCCCCTACTTTCTCATGTGCTAGGCAACCATTTCTCATGCTTGACTTACCAAATATGGAAAAAAAATTAATTTTCCATCCCCAAGCCTCCTTTCTCATTAACCAAAAGGGCCCTAATTTGGCACTTGGAATGAACACACCAAATCTATGCAATCTACTCATTTCACTTCCATGAGGAATAACACGATGAGTAATATTATACCGACAATCCACCCTAAGCAACAAACAAAGTCGTATGATGCCCATTGTTAGGTGTTCGAATACAAATTTCAACTCAAATGTTGGGTATTGTTGGTTTTTGAAAGGCATTGCAAATATATTTGAGTTGAAATTAGTCATACATTGAAAAACTATAGTTCCTCGAAGGTCTTTATAAGACCTACTCTTAGAAATAGAATAGTTAGAATTGGGCTATGCAAGTGGCCCAATTGAGTGGTTTGTTGGATCTGGCCTTTGAGTCAATGCCTAATTAGTTGGGTCAATGATTAATTAATATATATTTAATTAGTCAAAAGATGGGCCATGGGCCTCTTGGGCTCTGTGATTTAAAATTAAACCCAATTAATTAATTTAATTTTGAGTTAATTATTTAATCAATTATTTAAATTATTTTTTAAAATTCAAATATCAAATAAGTTGGTTTGATTGGGTTTGACCGTTATATGATACTTGTTCCAACAGGTATTAGCCCTCTATATAAATAGGAGCCCTGTGGTTCTGTTTAAGATACATCAAAAAAGCATATTTCATTCTAAGTCATATTTTTGTAGCCTGAGAGATAAACATATAGAATTCGCCAGAAATCAAAGCCCTAGTGCTAAGACTTTGTTTTAAGATAGTTATATCTTGGTGGAGCAGACGCCTGCATAACTACAAGCACTAAGTAGGGGCGAAATTCTGTTTCAAGTTGCAATCTGCAAGCCTCTATCTGAAAAACCAGTCAATTTTATTTTACTGTCTTATTTAATTTCGTGATTTTGTTTACTGTTTAATTTAATTGTTGAATTACATTATTAGTGTAATACTGATTGTTGTTTCAGCTAATTCTTTTTAAAGCACAGCAAAAGTGCGTTCAATGACACTCCTAAAGAAAGAGTGTACATGATTAAACACTTCTCTAAAACCTATTGGTTGAGTACCCCTACGGAAATCTGGAAAATGATACCTTTCACCTTTATATGGTCCCAAATACCCACTCATTTGTGGGTAACCCGCATCCACAAGATAATAATGAGTGGGTAACCCGCATCCACAAGATAATATTTTCTTGTAACCAATAAGATATGTTTAATTATAATATAATTTGAAAGTGCAAAAATTCGAAGTTTAATGATATGCACATATTTGAAACATTACCATTTGGTGGTTTGGGAAAATTTAAAGCATTATTTCGTAACGCTGATAAAAATACTCTTGCATTGTGTGCAGTGCCTTCCCAACTGGCACATGCAAATATGAATTGCATGTCAAAATTACATGCAACCATTATGTTTTGAGTCGGTATTCCTTTCCTGCCAATATATGGTACTTGATCTTCAGGAGGTATTGAAGCTTTAACATGTACGCCATCTATAGTACCAATGCAATCCTGCAAACAATAAGAGAAACATTTCAATAAATATTACTTTGTTCGTAAAAAAAATGATAAATTGTTGTATCTAATTTTTATCTTAAAATGGGGCATATATCTTGAATCTTTCAATATCTCTTCCGGGACTCCCTTAGACTCAAGATCCAACGGTTTTATGATATCAACGGCGATAAGGCATACAATATCAAGTAATTTACCAAAGTATCTACTCACAGTTTCACCAGAATGTTGAAATCATTCTTGTACTAGCCTATTCCCTATACCATGTCCTAGAATGTGCACAAACATTCCCAACATCTTAGCAATGCACATTCTCCTAGAACCTATCAACCCATAATTATTTTCCAAGTCAGTGCATAATTGCAAAAATACACATTTATCCATTCTAAACATTCTATAACAACGTTTTTCATTCCCTCGTAACATTTCCTTCACCCACTTATTTCCTGTTTGAAAAGAATCCATACAAGGACTTTTATGAATATATGTCTCATAATAATATTCCATAGTACGAATACAGACACATACAATTTGGTTGAACTCCCTTTCATCTTCTGAAATTTCCATTTCTTGAAATAAACCAGCAATGTTATAGACATTCTCATCATCATAATCAACTGAAATTCACATATGCATTGATATAAATAAAAGTCATATGAATTTTCACTAAAAACAGCCATCCAAATAACAGTCATATATAATTAACCATCCAAATAACAAATTCAAATACGAAACCTAAAAAATAAATCCATAATAAAAGTGTAGTTAGCTTATTTTTCAGAAAGCTCATAGTTTAGCCATTGAAGCTTGATGTTAGGATCTTCCATAGTTGTGAATATTTCTTTTTTCTCTTGATTTAGAAATAACTAAGTTGCAAACAACCACAAATGGCTCCCAGGCCCTGCACCAGGTAAAGACGAAACTGCTTTCATCACTTTAGCAATGTTGCTACCTTGGGACCATCACTGAAGTTGTACTCCTATTCTCCACTACATCAACCATCCGCTCAATTTGTTGTGACAATTTAACAGCACCTCTTACCATCCCCACTTTTGTAGCAACTCTATTTCTGTTCTTCTCTTTCTTAACCTGTGTATCAAGTTGTTGATTTGTTCTCTTTTTCCCCTTCCCACAAGATTTTTCAGTAACTTGAATTGTTTCATCTAGTACGTATACGAGATCATCAGAATCATCACCACTGTCGAGTAAAATACCATCACATTCGGATGAATCATGAGTTGGAAGTACACTAGATGAAGGTGCCCAAGCATGATCACTAGTGGCGGTGGTGTTCATGAACATTATATCAAACTTCTCTTCCATATCAGGACTAATACCCTTTCTAATTTTGCATATTTGGGATTTATCTGCAAATCAAAGAGAACAACATTAAAAACTATTACAGATGTTTCATTGAATTATAATAAACAAACAACATTAAAAAATATTAATAACATACCTCAATTTTGTCATGCCACCATTCATCAGAAGCATCAATAGTCCCAAGTTTGGAATTCCACCCAAGACCAGTTTCCTTTCCAATTAGTTTTTTTTTCCATATTTTCCATTGTTCTTTAAGTGCATCCCATTTATTTTTCAATTGTGATTTATCATACTCGGCTCATGTCTCTTTACTCAAGCCAATCCTCACATTTTCCCATCCTTCTTTCTTAAAGTGAGTACCAGGACGATTACTTGCCTCCACCTCCTTGATACACATGTCACAAAATATAGTTGTATTTTGATTATTCCATACTGCCGGAACTCGTGATCCACTAGCCACACTATTATTCTTCACCATCTGTGCATGTCCTTATATAAATATGTATGTATTAAGAGATGAACATGTTATAGCAAATAATGTTTTTACTAAAAACATGCATAGTGCCTAAGTAATTACCTATAGGAAAACTTGGGCAAAACTAAATCCATCAAAAGCAATACAGCAAGTTGTACAAGATGACAAGGATTCAAACACACTCCCATATATTTTTCCCTTATTTTTGGGTATGCAGTTTTAATATTTATTCACAAAACAGAAGCTTTACAAAAGATTAATGGAAGTCAAAGAAAAACTATACATATATCACTTATGGAAAATAAAAATAAATAGCAAACTTTTATTTCTTTTATAATCAAGCTCTCTATAAAATTAAAATAGCATATCAAATGGGTTTTCAATGGTGGCTAGATTTAGCGACCCCAGCACAGGTTTTGGGATGGCATGGACACCGTTCATGCTTGAAGAAACCATGGATTTGATTTGGCCAAGAAGTTTTCGTGTGGACAAATTTCCAACACAAGAATCAGATGTACATAATAAGCAGCAAAGCACATATATAAAGAATCTTCAGCTATGATTCTAAAATTTGATCCTAGTGTTTTACAGCAAAGCACAACCAATAAAAAAATAAAAATAAAAACAAAAGTAGCACGTATATAAAAAGTTTGAGAGATTGAAGAGACTGAATAATCTACCTTGTGAAAGAGATTGAGAGAGATTGAGCGAATGGTTGTCTCCAAACTTGGGAGGCTAAGTGAAGATGAACTTCGGTGTCTGCAGATTTGAGAGAAATACATAAGGATAGATATCTAACCTAATAAGGGTATTTGTGGAATTGCGAAAATTTCATTAAAGAGCGCTCTGCTTCAAAGCAACTTTAAAAAGCAATCCCAAGGTTGCTTTTTAAAGATGCTGTCAAAATACCATTGCTTTTAAAATAAACATGATATTTTATTTTTACCAAACACCTTAAACTATTTAACTTTAAAGTTAAACAGGTTTTTGGCAACAAAAAGCAATCTCAAACGGAGCCCTACTCTTGGAAGTAGAATAGTTAGGATTGGGCTATGCAAGTGGCCTAATTGAGTGACTTGTTGGGTCCGGTGTTTGGGTCAATGGTTCATTAATATATATTTAATTAATCAAAAAATGGGTCTTAGGCCTTGGGGCTCTTAGGTTCTATGATTTAAAATTAAACCCAATTAATTAAATTAATTTAGTTAATTATTTAATTAATTATTTAATTAATTATTTTTATTATTTTTTAAAATTCAAATATCAGATAAGTTTTTCTAATTGGGTTTGACCGTTAGATGATACTTGTTCCAACATGTATTAGCCCTCTATATCAATAGTAGCCTAGTTCTGTTTAAGATACATCAAAAGCGCAGATTTCATTCTAAGTCATATTCCTGTACCCTGAGAGATAAACATACATAATTCGCCAGAAATCAAAGCCCTAGTGCTAGGACTTTGTTTTAAGATAGTTGTATCATGGTGGAACAGACGCTTGCAGAACTACAAGCACTGACTAGGGACGAAATTCTGTTTCAAGGACATTGCAATATGTAACCCTTTATCTGAAAAACTAGTCAGTTTTATTTTACTATTTTATTTAATTTTGTGATTTTGTTTACTGTTTAATTTAATTGTTGAATTATATTATTAGTGTAATATTGATTGTTGTTTCACCAACACCTATGTCCTTCAAGGCCACTCTTTCAACAAGCATAACTACTTACAAGCTTTAGGACCCTGCTACATTGCTTAAGCATGGTGAACATGTGGTGCATGCATCCATACCAAGGAACTTCCCTTTATGCCAAACCAGTCTATAAGCTCAAATGGACCTAACCCACACAAATTTATAGGGCTTATTGTGTGGGTTGTGGCGTGGATGAATACAAAGATTTACAAGGCCCATTGGACACACTAAAGGTTATGGAGGATTTAGGTTGCTTGGAAGGCACCAAAATCCAAGGGATTGGGTTCAGTCACATGGGTAGGCATGAAAGATAAAGCCATGCTCACCCTTCCTTTTGACAGTTGGTTACAAACAAACCATCTTTGGCACCACCCCTTGACAGCTCGTTTCAAACTAACCAAATCCAAACAAGAAAGCCATACAGATAACCTAGCATAAGCTTTTAATGATTTGCTTAGCTCAAACCTCACTATTTTACAGCCTTGAGAAGAGGAATGGAGGAAAATAGAATGGACCTTTGTCAAGGGGGGAAGCTCCTGCAACGGATAGCTACATGGAGATGTTGGACAACCATCTCTTTTGTCCATCACTAATAAGGCTGAATGGGGGAAAGTGATGATTGCACCACCATATCTCTTGAAGTGATCATTTGATTTTCCTTGCAAGCATCTAAGATATTTTAAATAAATGTCCAGTAAAATATGTGAAATAATTATCTTAATTATTATTTTTAATACAAGGGATAGTCTAAACTAAAAGGGCAGGGGGTCTAGCCTAGTGAAAAATGGCCTTAAATAGCAGACTAATGGTCTTAGGTTCGAACCTTCATGACACTTTTGTTAGTGTGTGTGTGTTTAGTGGCAGAGCCATAATTTCACATTAGAGGGCCCTTCACAAAATTTAAAAAAATAATTTGAATAGGAGCATTAGAGCGCTAACCGCTTAATAAGTTAATTCGACACTAACTTTTTGGCCCACTTCATAATATCATTTGATATAAATTTATAATATATATACATTCATTACAATCATATTTGTAATGAATTTATTTATTTATTTTTAGAAACATGAATTTCATATTTTAAATTCATCTACATTATTAAAGACTGAACTTAATAGTTTCTATTCCAACATAGAGAAGAAAAAAAAAGTTCATAAATCCCAACACTAAGGTACCCAACACAATGAACTCATACATGAAAAAAGGATGGAAATAAAAAAAATTCACAATGCTAAAGTTAAACAAAAGATAAAAAGAAAGAAATGTATCATCCCGTCCCAATTTATTTTTTTATTTCAATTTATTTATTTTTGAATTTACAATTTTGCCCTTGGAGGTAGGGTCATTTTAGTCACTTTTTGATCCGGAAAGATTTTGGGGAAATGAGTGGCACCATTGCATAGAGCTCGCTCTCACGAGTTCGTAGAAACATAGTGGGCTCAAATCGGAGTTTTAACGAAGAAGTTGTGGCCTACGGAAGTGCAGTGGCACAACCGTAATGTTTCCAAAGTTGGGTTTTAAAACAAGCAATCGGTTCTCTCTATCTCTCCTCAGTTACGACCACGGTTGCTGCGCCATTCGGCTACTCTAGGCCTTGCCACCTGTCGGAAAAGAATGACAATTGACCAGCGACCACGACCAGTCCCATTTCCAGTAGAACCCAGTGACGTACGGCGCCGGCGAAGCTCTGAAAGACCCGCAATTTTTTAAACTTCCAATCGCCATTTCTGGTGATTCTGGCAGTGGTCCGTCGATCCATGTATGAATCTTCATCCTCTCCATGTGCTCTAGCTTTTGGTATAGGTATTGTGGATTGATTTTGAGTTTTGAGAAATCGATTCTTAACCCTCAATTTGGGCGGCAATTTGATCGTGTTTTCAGCTAGTTCCAGCCAATTTTTGGTCGTGGTCCAAGAACAAAAAAGTGTTCCCCCAATTAGTCTATATCTATTGGTATAGGTATTGTAAAGTATTTCAAGAAATTTCCGGAAATTGCCACTCTCTACCAAATAAATCTTTTCAAATAACCAATATGGTATACGAAATTGTAGAGTGTGAATCTCATGTAAACCTTCACACAAAAATTTAAATGATTTTGGGCATCTTCATTTATCATTAATTAATTAAGTGAAATGCTTACATATTTAAATATGATATTAGATGAGGTTAGGGATGGCAACGGGCTGGGTAGGGGTCAGGTATGACAATACCATCCCAGTCCCCGCTCTCCATCCTTGCCCTCGTCCCCGAACCCATCCATGTTTAATAGGTTTCGAAGAATCCACGTCCCCATCCCCTTCGAGGAACTATCCCCCATACCTACCCCAAATTCCCAAATTTTTTGGAATAAAAAATATTTATAATACATTTCAACATTAAGTTTCATATTAAATTATTATTCAACACATCCAAATTAACTATAAAGTTTAACTCAACTATTCAAAATCACATCAATATGAAATTCCATAGAAGATTAGGAAGAATTAGAAGAGGGAGATTAGCTTAGGATTAAACATAAATATTATAATTATATATATATTTATTTAAATATAAACATATATATTTTTGGGTCCGGTTCGGGGATGGGGAAGCCAATACCATCCCCTCCCCATATCCGTTGGGGATTTTTCAAGTTCAGGGATCCCAGTACCTGATACCCGTTTGGTCCCGAAATCTCCCCTATTAGGGTCAGGGACCCGCCCGCCAGGGATTTTTGCCATCCCTAGATGAGGTTATTCATCTACTTGGTTTTCTAAAGGAAAAAATTTACTAGTTTCAGCCTTTGTTTTGTTTTATTTTTTTATGCGTTTCATTAATGGGAAAAGAGGCTTGGGAATGAGAAATTAAGATTTCCCATGTTTTGTAAGTCCAGGCATAGGAAATGATTTCCTGTCACATGAGAAAAGATGGGGAAAATGAAACCCTCCACCCTTTTTTTTTTTTTTTTTTTTTTTTTTGTGTGTGGAGAAAATGTGGTATTTCATTAAACCAAAAGGAACATTACATGTTAAGAACTAGAACATTAATGGTGGCTTCATTAAAACCTTCTTAGAGAAACAAAATCTTGTGGTAGAAAAGAGTACCACCCATGTTATTGACTAAACATAAGAGTCAAACAACTTATACGAAACAAACCAACCTAAAACACAATCACAAAACCTTTCAAACAACATCCCATCACTACGTAGGTACTGTCAAAGAAGTCTTCTTATGATATAGAAAAAGCATCATAGTTCTTCGTACAGAGTAAAAAACGTACTATGGGTATCATAATAGATCCAGCCAATCACCCAAGTGCAAAACCATTGAAACACATCCCATCACTACGTAGATATTGTCAAAGAAAGCTTCCTATGATCTAAAGAAAGCATCATAATTCTTTGTACATAGTCAAAAACGTATTGTGAGCATCATAATAGATATAGCCAAACACCAACTACCCCCTCCAATTTTCTTGATCTAGAACCTCAGCTGACAAGCAAGGGAGACCAAGATTGGCCTCTTAGCCTGAAGAAAATTCCAAAGAAAGATCTTCATAGTAGGAACGTTCATCGGTTGACAAGCCCAAAAACGTTCCATAGGAGAATTATTAAGGAGATCTTGGAGACCCCTCGAGGTTGGTCTCCTCTGCCTTGTCAACAAAATCCTCGATATAAAAACTATGCTTTCCAGAAAAATCTATGTCACTAACGATCAGATGCCCAACACCAGTTTTCACACGCTTTTGATTCTCTCTTGGTGCAGTATACTTGTCATCCCCTTGAGCAAAAGAGGCGATGACCATCTCTATAGCGTTAAGATGGAGACCCCTCACTAGCGACTGGCTCCTTGGGAACCCAAAAAGGAAGCCAACACAGCCACCCCACGGAGAGCAAAAGAGCAAAAAAAAACGTCATACGCAATTCACCAAGAAGAGCCCAAAGAAACAATCAGAGAAGACTGAGAGAGACGGCGCAGAGAATAAGTAAAAAAAACTGAAGAAACCCTGACTTTAGCCATCAAAGCTCTCCTCGCGTGAACGAGAGAGCGGCCCATACCCATTTCTCATCATTCCAAAAAAGACATGAGAAATAATTTCGTTCAAATGTTTTACATGAACCAAACAGGCCTAAGTGCTGTTGTTGTGATTGTAGGTAGCGGGATTTGGGCTTAAGCCGTGGGGTAAATTTCTTCTTCAACGGTACAATTCTCGTTTTTGATAATTCAAACTTGGCAGGTTGACTAATGATGACACGTACTCTTATCTCTTGTCTGTTGGGGCATTTTGTCACGCGTGTCCCTTTCTCTGTCAGTCAAATGGGAAATTTGTCTCCACACAATCCAATCCACCACTCCTTTCATTCCATTGGCATTGGATTGCCCAATTGCCAAAGAATCTTCATTCGATATCAATCTCCTCTTTTTCTGCAAAATAATGGTTGAATATTAGAAATTCAAATTGTTATAAAACAATTCATAGTTGTTTGCATGTCCTACCGAAATAATAATAATAATAATTTTTTTTTTTAAAGGTCCGTTACATGTTTCATTGCCAATCACACATGGTTTTCAAATTTATTATACGGAAGTTGAATTTTTTATTTTTTATTTTTACACGTGGTGTTGTAGTAAATGTTTTGAAAGTTGCAGAAATTATAATTTCACGTTTTACAAAAAAAAGTAGAATCAAATTGATTTGTTTGGTAGCCCTAAATGTTTTTATTTGATTTGTTTGGTAAAACGTCACAAGTGGATTATTAAGAAAGCAGTAAGAAGGTCAAAAGTTTGGTGCATATGAAAACTGGAAAAGTTGGGTTATTTGGATCTAGACCAATCGACGACTGTCTCATTCTTATTATTTCTTTTTGACAAATAATAAGATCATTATGAGATACTTTTATAACAAGTCAAGATATCCAGAAAAATTTACAACGGATCAATATATTTACGATAAGATTAAACCACCACTAATTAGATATCAAACTAATTACAAATATATAATTATTCTCATAATTATGTGAGTTGAATCACAAACTTCCTCTAACCAATGGAGACAAATACCACTAGGTCAAATGCTGGTTGGTCCTAATATTATTTTATTTGTCATTTGGTTATGACTAAAAACTTATTAAGCAGGCAATTAAACACTCATTCTCATCTAAAATTTATTCACCTAAAAACCAAAAATTCAAATAAGTATTAAAAAAATTAATGATTCATAAATTTAAGGCAATATGCTTGTTCCTTATAATCGAGTTCGAATCTGTACCCACATATTAAAGTAATTTAGAATACGCTTTGTAAAATAGAATAGTTTTAAGTTTTAAGTACATGAAGCATTTGCCTCGTTGTGAATAAAATGGCATAGTGGAAATTTGAGTTGTCGTGTAGCTAATGTTGTCTTTGTTTCATATGGAAAGCAAAATCAAAGCTTTGAATAATGATGGCTAAAAACTAGGATACATCCATCAGATCAACGATGAAAATGACGTGCTGCGCTCTGCCACTTATGGATACTTTTGGCCAATTGAAAAATTCAAACTTAAAACAAACAAAACTTGATCAATTCAATCGAATACAAAATCTACTTTATGTAATGAACTGGGATTTTCAATACAATATTTCCAATCTGATTATGAACTGTTAAAATAAGTTGTAATTGAATACTCTTTCTTCTTCTTTTTTCTTTTTAATATTCAACAATAGTTGTCTTTTTTTTTCTTTTTTTTTGTTGTTGTTGCAAATAAAAGGTATCTAAACATTGACCTAAACATTGAATTATTCTAGTCCTAATCTTATTTAATTCCCACTCACCCCTCACCACTTGGGTTTATTTCAAATGACTTAACAACGTTGTCTTTAAATGCGAATCTCCTTCGACAAAGTGGAGACTTATGCAACGGGACGAAATGACTATAAACAAATAACTTCTTAAATTCACCATTGTGCAATATTTATAGTATATATAATGATAGGCATACCACATTGCGTATCACCTCTCTAATAGAGACGGAGCCCACCAGTACAATGAGGTTCACCTATATTAAAAATGTGATACACAATGTGGTATATAAATGTGATATGCCTAGCATTTTCCTTATGGTATTTTATTTGCTTCTAAGATCTTATGAAATGAATTAATAAGGCAATGCAGCAGACTTAGCTTTTTTCTTTTTCCTACAAAAATCCAGATGAGCCAGCTTTTATTCTATCTTTTTATTTGTTTTTTCCTTTTGGCCGGAGGATCAGTTTATATGTTTGAAATTGTATAATTACAGGGACAGCTTGCCCCAAGACGCGGCTTCCTTTTTTTTTCTTTTTTTTTATATTATATATATTTTTATTAGCTTTCATACCTACCCATCAGTCTTAGCAGTGACCCCATTGCTAAAGCTCGTGGGTTAAAGTCTTAAAGAGATAGGAGGCAACTTCAGACAGAAATGGATAAATGATAAAACAACTTTCTACGAATTTCTATAAGTAGCTCCCCTGGTCTCCTCCTCCACTTTCAGATCTCTCTCTCTCTCTCTCTCTCTCTCAGTGGAGTATCTTCTGCTCAGTTGAGCATGTAAGTTGAAAAAGCTCTCCACTTTTTGAATACTTGTTCTTGTAGCACAGCATTGTGCATTTCTTTCTCTGCTTGTGAAGCTCAAGTCTTTGTGTGTGTGTCTGTTTCTTCTGTTCTTCAACAGAGAAACTTTTCTTTGTTTGTGTTACATTGTTTGCTTAAAAGGAACTCGGGTTGAATCTAACTGTGCTTGCTCTGTCTCCAGATTTTAACCCAGAAACTCCACTTGAGGGTCTAAAATGGCAAGGTTTTCAATACCCATGATGGGTTTTCTGCTCTTATGCATTATATTGTTAGCTCCAACAGAAGCTGCGTACCTGAAATACAAAGACCCAAAACAGCCATTGAACGTTAGAATCCGGGACCTCATGAAGCGGATGACTCTGGAAGAAAAGATTGGCCAAATGGTGCAGATCGAGCGCAGTGTTGCAACCCCCGATGCCATGAACAAGTATTTCATTGGTATCCAACCAAACCATCTTCAAATTCAAACCATAATCTTCTGTTTATTGCACCCATTTGCATTTGTTCAACATACCCATATAACATATTGGTTTGTTTCTGAATGTTGGGTTTAGCAGCAAGTGATTGTAGAGTGTATTGTAAATGGGTTCTCTGGGTTTTTGCAGGAAGTGTACTGAGTGGTGGTGGGAGTGTTCCAGCCCCAAAAGCTTCTGCTGAGGCATGGGTCAATCTGGTCAATGGCATCCAAAAGGGATCCCTTTCGACCCGCCTCGGGATTCCGATGATTTATGGGATTGATGCGGTTCATGGCAACAACAATGTCTACAATGCTACTATTTTCCCCCATAACGTTGGGCTGGGAGCCACCAGGCAATTACATTCACTCTCAACCAAATAATTCTTCGTCTTCTGATTTGTTTTGCGGAGTAATGAGTTAAGAACTTGATTTTCCACACTCTGGTTTTAGTTCTTAGGTTTAAGTAGAATGTTCTAGCATTACCAAAACTCTCTAACAGTTTGGCCAAATTCAGTAGTGTGATGTTCTACTTATGCTTGATTTTATGTGTTCCTCAGTCTGGTTTTAGTTCTGATGTTTAAGTGGAATTCATTAGGCTTCAAGCATATCAAGACTTCACTATATCTTGGCCAAACTAAATAGTTGGATCTTCTACTTATGCTTGATTTCATGTATTTCAGAGATCCTAAACTTGTCAAGAAAATTGGGGAAGCAACTGCCCTTGAAGTCAGGGCCACAGGGATTCCTTATGTTTTTGCCCCATGTATTGCGGTAATTGAGCAGTATTATACAGTTCATTTTTAGAAATTTTACAACTTTACTGAGCACTCCACTAAAACTATGTACTACTTGTTCTTGCAGGTTTGCAGAGATCCGAGATGGGGGAGATGCTATGAAAGCTATAGCGAAGACCATAAGATTGTTCAAGCAATGACTGAGCTAATATCTGGTTTGCAGGGAGATATGCCTCCCAGTGCTCAAAAGGGTTCTCCTTTTGTTTCTACTGCAAAGTAAGATTTTTTTCCTTTCTTTTTTTGGAATTTCCAAATTGCTACTGGTTCAGACAGGTAGCTCTAATGTTCACATGGACTACTCACATTGTAGGCCTTGTTTGAATTATACTGGACAATATTTAATTGATTAACAACAATTGAGTCCCACAAGTTTTTAATATTTTAATGTATTAAATATTATTTCTGCTTTTGTGGTGCCGACATGTATAGAGGACCTTAGAGAGGTGGCCCAGTTGGTCGATGGATCTAAAACATATGAAAATGAAAGTTGCAAACCTCTTCCCACATTCATCTTCACTAGTTGATTTGCCTTGGCTGCTCTAAAAGTATCCTTCTTTAATTATGCGTCAAAAGCAGGGCGTTGATTCACCAAAAGTACATAGTTCAGACTTTTTTACGTGTGGCAAAATCAATTATAAAATATAACCTATCTGTTATGCATGATAATTTTTTGAAATATTTGGACATAACAATAACTTGGCATAACTCTTCTCCCTTACCACTTCACCAGGGGAAAGGTTGCGGCCTGTGCTAAGCACTATGTAGGAGATGGTGGCACAACAAAGGGCATCAATGAGAACAACACTGTGATTGATTTGAATGGATTGCTTAGCATTCACATGCCTGCATACTTTGATTCCATCCTCAAGGGTGTTGCAACAGTTATGGTGTCTTACTCGAGTTGGAACGGGAAGAAAATGCATGCTAACCAAGAACTTGTAACTGGATTCCTCAAGAACAAGCTACGGTTCAGGGTAAGGAAAATAATTTGAAATAACTTGTCGAGTGTGGTTATTTGATTGTTCTTGGGAAATGAATTACTACTGGTTCTGTGCATAACATGTTTCTTTTGCTCTTGCTGTCAGGGTTTTGTCATATCAGATTGGGAGGGTATTGACAGGCTTACATCTCCTCCCAAAGCTAACTATTCATATTCAGTTCAAGCAGGAGTTAGTGCTGGAATAGATATGGTTAGTCAAAATTCTGCATGCTCTACTATTTGTAATTCAAAGTGTCACGTTTGGCCATTTTAATAAAGTTATGGTCCTCAAGCTGAGACATGTAAGGTTTTTATTTTATGTTCATTTACTAACCTATATCTGGGAATGTTACAGATCATGGTTCCCTACAACTTCACAGAGTTCATTGATGATCTAACCTATCAAGTTAAGAACAACATCATCCCCATGGGCAGGATTGATGATGCTGTGAAGAGAATTTTGAGGGTTAAGTTTGTCATGGGCCTTTTTGAGGAACCCTTGGCGGATCTCAGCCTAGTCAACGAGCTGGGGAAAAAGGTCTTTACCAATTTCTTAATGTAAAATAACTTTGTTGTCTTCATCTGCCATGTTCAAATCCTTCTTAACCGAATGCTGGCTTTACACAGGAGCATAGAGAATTAGCAAGGGAAGCTGTAAGAAAATCACTTGTTCTTCTAAAGAATGGAAAATCTGTTGATAAGCCGTCGCTTCCTCTTCCCAAGAAAGCAGGAAAGATACTCGTTGCAGGGAGCCATGCAGACAACTTGGGCAATCAATGTGGAGGCTGGACAATCACATGGCAGGGCCTTGGTGGCAATGATCTTACAGTTGGTATGCTTTAAGCCTCCATTTGTCTTTTGAGTGATCTAACTATCTTGCCGTTGGAATTAAATTAAAAATATGGAGAAAAGTTTCTGTTTCTTTTAACTCCCTTGAACGCACTTTCTCAGTATGTTGCAGTGGATTGCATATAGTTAACTAATCAATGTTGCAACAGGTACCACAATCCTCAATGCTGTGAAAAGTGCAGTTGATCCTACAACTCAAGTTGTCTACAACCAGGACCCCGATGCGAACTTTGTGAAGTCCAACAAATTCGACTATGCTGTTGTCGTTGTGGGCGAACCCCCGTACGCTGAAACATTCGGCGATAGCTTGAATCTGACCATCTCAGAACCTGGACCGAGCACCATTGCCAATGTCTGCGGAGCTGTGAAATGTGTTGTTGTCGTCATTTCTGGCCGCCCCGTGGTGATTCAGCCCTATCTTGCTAAAGTTGATGCACTTGTGGCAGCTTGGCTTCCTGGAACTGAAGGACAAGGTGTTACTGACGTTTTATTTGGTGATTATGGATTCACTGGAAAACTTGCACATACATGGTTTAAGACAGTAGATCAGCTCCCAATGAATGTTGGTGATCAACATTATGACCCTCTATTTCCCTTTGGATTTGGTCTCACTACTAAGCCAACCAAGAGTTACTAATAAACGGGATTGCTTGCATCCTCCATTCATGAAATTTTCTTAGCTTTTTCATGGTTGACATTTTGTAGATCAACATTTCTTTCCCATGAGAGCTAAACAAAATGTTGTTTCATTAGTTTCATCAACTTTTCTGGAAACCACAGAGCGACTGCTCTGTACACCAGTTATTTGTAGAACAACTAAAGTTTAAGTTATTATTTATTCCAAAAATCATCTATGAGCTACGCTTTTTTGCAACTTTTTGATGACTAAAGAGTTCCTTTATTTTTTATTTTTTATTATTTTGGGTGCACGGATTGTTGGAGTTTAAATAGAAAACTAAGGCTTTCCTTAGTCCTGCATTGGTTGAGCACAAGAACTTAACACACGAGTTTTAGTCCCTTTCTATTACTAAAATGGGTTGGGCTTGGGTTGGTTGCAATTAGGCTCATGGCTTGGGCTTATTGCTCAAAAAGTGTTCAATGACAGGAAGATTGAGGAGCACTTTGATAGAAGAATTTGGGTTTCTGTTTCTCAAAATTTTAGTGAAGATCAAATCATTACAAGTATGTTAAGAAACTTGGGAGATGCGAGCGTAGGAGACGATAAGGGTGAATTACTAAAGAAAATAAATGAATATCTTTTAGGCAAGAGGTTTTTGATTGTGATGGACGATGTGTGGAGCTTGGATGTAACTTGGTGGCTCAGAATTTGTGAAGCGTTGCCAAAGGGAAATGGAAGCAGCAAATGGGAGTGAGGAAAGCAAGATCACATTGGCCCAAATGCCTCAACAAGGATGATAGTTGGCTGCTATTTCAGAAGATTGCATTTGCCGTTGATGGAGGCGATTGTATGCATCCAGAACTGGAAAATGTTGGAAAGGAGATTGTTGAGTAGTGTAAGGGCCTTCTATTAGCAATCAAGGCAGATGGAGGAATAATGCTCTGCAAACCATCACGCTATCATGAGTGGAGGCGAATTACTATTCATTTGCGTGACGAATAAACCATCACGCTATAATGGTTTATAACGAATTGTTATAAATCATAAATGGTTTTAAATAAGTGAGATTTTAGTCCATTCATTTTTATGGCTTAAAATAATTTACTATTTTAGTTTAGTTAATTTTAGCAACCAAACCTTGTATAAATACGTAAGTTATTCATTGAAATGAATCAAGCAATTCTGAAAGCATAACTCAAAGCAGTTCCTTAGCTTCTTCCTTTTGTTTCTCTAATTGTATTAGAATAATATATTGTAATTGATATGTAATTACTATAATATGTTAATTATAGCCATAAATAGAGTAGTTTACTTGATATAGGCAGACAAATCCAAATCAATCCCTAGGATTGCGGATCACAGCTACGATGACTTTGTAATACTAGTAGTATATATTTTGTTGTACCCTACTATTGTCAATACAACAAAACCCTTCAACCAAACGTTCTCTACAAATTGTCTTAAAATTCATCTCGTTCCCTTTTTCCTATAAACTAGGAATTCATAGTTCTATCTATTAGAAGTTTTGGATCAATAAATGTGACAACCATCAAGCCCCTGTCAAAGTGACAACTTTAGCAAGCCCCTAAACATCCGAATGAACAAAAGAAAAAGGAACCAAACTTTTATTTGAACTTAATGTAAAAAGAACACGATGGTTTTGGCAGTTCACAAATGTCACACTTAGAACTGAAAATATCTAAACTGAAGAATAATGACGGAAATAACTTCAGTAAATAACCAAACGAAGCATGTCAAAGACGCCTATGCCATAACCACACTTCGTCTTTTCGTTTCTCAATACTAGCTCCCACCCATATTGAAAGCCTGACCGACTTTGGCTTCACGATCAGGTGCCAAGTCCAAGTAGTAGAGTTTGTCCCTCTTAGTACCACAACCAATCGTCTTGCTACCGAGGATGTCTTGAAAAACACAATGAGTTGGCCAAAAAGTTACAATACTCCAAAGCCATAGTAATTTGGGCAATATACAATATATTATGGTTCAAGGATGGAACAATTAACACATAATTCAAATTGAGGGAGTCAGAGAGATATAATGAACCCTCCCTAATCACGGGGGAGGGGTACCATTAGCATTAGACACCACCGATTGAGGAGATGATGTATGAGAGGTAATTTTTCTAGGATCAAATGTCATATGGTCAGTCGCTCCTGAGTCAATAATCCATGTGTTTTTTATGGATGACGTGTTTAAAACACAACCTTTGTTACCTGTCGTGGTTATAGAGGCAGATGCATGAGCCGGTGTAGCTGGAACAACAGGACTTACAAGATTTGTTGAGTGATTTGCTCCTATTCCTGCGTGGAGCTTTAAAGTGGTCCCACCAATCAAGGTACCTAATCAACTCGAAATAGCCAACATGAGTATGTTTGTCTCCTCCCAATGGGTGTACTTTTTCTCTTGGTGAGATTCCGAGGCCTTATTTTGAGAAGAGCCACCTGTAGAAGTCTGCGACCCCTTTTGACGTTGAGCCACCATGACAGAAGCTTCCTAAGCACCAGTCATGGTCATTCTTTGTTGAGAGTCTATACGAACATAAGCAAAAGTTTGATCAAGGTCTAACTTAGGATCTTTGCGTAGGATTTCCCCTCGAACTTGATCAAACTCAAGGTCAAGGCCTGCAAGAAAAAGGTGAGCGCGAAGACGATCAAGTTCTGTCTGGCGCTCAGTAAGGTCGACGGCGCTGTGCAAGCGGATTGAACTCAGATGATCAATTTCTTGAAAGATGCCCTGTAACTGGCTGTAGTATTTATGAAAGATGCACCATTTTGTCTGATAGTGAACGCATGTTTGTTCAAATAAAAAAAATATAAGATTCATCGCTACCATCATAGTAGGTCTTCTTAACGACAACCCAGATTTCTTTGATGGTACTTAAAAGGATGAAACGACTCATTAAGTAGGGAGACATGGAGTCGATTAACCACCCCTTGACCCGAAAATTCTCAGTACACCATTTGTTATAGGTGGGAGAGATCTTAGGGGATTTCAAAGTGTCACTGGTTAGGTATCTCAATTTTCGCGTGCAGAATTCACATATCCATGACCTGAGACCATAAGGCATAGTTCTCAATCAATGTGATGTTGATAGGGAGCGGGGAGTTGTCACTCTGAATGGTGATGATTTGAAGGGTGGAGGTGGAAGATCCTCTGGTAAGCGGAAGTGGTACATCACCCATTATAGCGGAACGATATGAGATTTAGATAAGAGTATGTGTTTATGGATTTTGATTAAAGGATTTGATTTGAGAGTTAAGGAATTTGATTTAGAGTTTGTGTTTGAATTTGAGAATATGATTTGAGGGCTTAGAGATGACCTAAGATCAGCCGCTCTGATATCATGCTAAAATATGAATATGGTTTGAATATTTTAAGTTAATTGTATTCTTCTCCGTAATGAGGAATATATAGGAGTTTACAAGTGTGCTTTACAAGAAAATAGATATAGTAATAAATTAAGAGAATATCCACTAATTGTACAAGGATTGTCAACTGTATGAAATAAAGGAAATAAATTACATAATTAACTTAGAAAATAAATTTTCTTGATTTGTTAGGTTAACTTACGTAAACAAAGCAGAGAAGTTAACTGCAAATTTCATGCGCTATTATAGCAAATGCTTTCAGTTATTCTTGTTGTGAATAAGCATAAGGGCATGTAATATATGTGCATGCTACAAGTTGCATGAACGTCCTTGTTGTTTGGTTTCTATTAATCTACATAGATTTTCATTATGCATTTTGCCACTTGTGCGTATTGCAGCTTGTGACGTGCAAGCTTGCAATACCATATTCAAGGTCCAAATCCTTGTTTGTAATAGCATGTATTTGTGAGTAGTGGTTGCCTACGCATTTTTTATTTTTTCTTTCAAAGTCTTTGTAAAATTTTGTTTTTTATAAATAAAAATAAAAATTGAAAACTGGGTATGAAAGTTATGAGTAATTGGGTGCTGTCATCAAATTGTGTGGGGTGACTAGCAAAGCCCAAGTTAGAAAATTGCACGGTTGGGCCTAGGCCCAGGTATCCAAACACTCGCTTGTTCGAACGATACTCAATGGTGGTTCGCGGTTGAATTGAACCCTCGGATTTGGAAGCTGGGAACGCAGTGGTTGCTTTCTATTTTCTTCTCCAGATCTGTAATTCTCCATTGGTTATTGAAGAACAGTATAATTAACCGTCAGAGCTGAAGAATTTTTGTTTCCCAGGAAACATGGATCCAGATTCAGTGAAATCCACTCTCCAAAATCTAGCCTTTGGAAATGTAATGGCCGCCGCGGCTCGCAATTACCAGAAGGAATTGCTTGCCAATGAAAAGGCACCGGCCACGAGCTCTGTCAACCAAGAAGTCGACCTTGACGAGTTGATGGATGTAAGTTCTGAGTTCAATTCAATTCTCTGCCTCTTTCATGCACTTTTCAATTTTCAAAGCAATGATTTTTATGTGCATTTGGTGGTGGGTAGGATCCTGAGCTTGAAAAATTGCACGCGGATCGGATTGCTGCTCTAAAGGTTCGATTTTTTTTCATGTTTTGTTCATGTGGGTATGTGGAATTTTTCATGGTTTTGTGCTTATGTTTAGAGGGTTTGGTTTGGAATTTGAATAGAAAGAAGCTGAGAAGAGAGAAGCTTTAAAGAGGAAAGGGCATGGAGAATACAGGGAGATAACTGAAGGGGATTTTTTAGGTGAAGTTACTGGGACTGAGAAAGCCATCTGCCACTTCTATCACCAGGAGTTCTATAGATGCAAGTAAGCCTCTTACTCTAGAATCTTTAATACTCATAAACATGGATGAGGGATTATGTTTCAAAATGAATACCTGGTTCTTTTTGAATGGAAATTAGTAAGAGTATTGGTCCATGGTGTCCTTTGCTGATTTCTGAAAAGGTATCAATGCATCTGTTTATCCAAGGGAATTTTTCAGGTTTTTCTAGTCCATCCTGTGATTTTATCTTTGCGTATGCTTTTGTTTTTTAACACCATATTGCATAATTATTTATAAATTTCTGTGTGATTAAATATAGCAATTAGACCAAATTTTTCCTTCACTTTTTAGGATAATGGATAAGCATTTGAAGACCCTTGCTTCAAAGCATGTTGATACCAAGTTCATCAAGCTGGATGCAGAGGTCAGTATAAACTTCAATATGGTCTTCTGTTCTTATAATTGGTGCAGCTTTTCGTGTTTGCTTGGGTTGATCCCACTTGTTCCAACCTTCCATTTCTGTCATTTAGTTGGAAAACTTTAGAATGGCGAATTGACCATTTGAAAATGAAATGCAGAATGCGCCCTTCTTCATCACCAAGTTAGGAGTCAAAACTTTGCCTTGTGTCATAATCTTCAGGTCAGGCCATCTCCATCATAACTATTATATCTATATGCATCCCCATTTCCAGCATTTAAGATGCATATCAGCATTTGGTGGTTCTTAAACAAAAAGCCAGGAGAGAAAAGAAAGCTGAAAAACTGTACTAAGATCACAATCATTTGAACATTCACATTTGACAACGTGTGTATTAACATGCCTCAAGAGCATGTGGTGATGATGTCCATGCTGCTTTCAGCTTACGTTGAGATCTTGCATTAAAAATTCATATTAACGAATTTGAAAGGTTTGCCTTTTCAGAAAAGGAGTTGCTGTGGATAGGTTGGTTGGATTTCAAGATATGGGAGGAAAAGATGATTTCAGCACAAGGGCACTCGAGGTTGTACTAATCAAGAAAGGTAAATGCTTTATCAAGAGTGTTTTGCAGTTTGTAGTTTGTTGTAGAGTTGCTAAACTGCTATTTTAACAGGTATAATTAGTGAGAAGAAAGATGAGGATGATGAAGATGATGGATATCATGAAGGTAGTCGCAGGACAGTGAGATCCTCTGTGAATCTTGATGATTCTGATTCAGACTGAAAAAAGAACAGAAAAAAAGAAGAAAACGATACCTGAGTTTTTCAAATGCTTTCTGGTTGCATGCTTGTATACTTCTTGTCACATCTAACGTATGTTACCTTCTGAGTGGATCTTTTTGGTTTGTTTCTTTTTTAGGAACAAAATTGCATTGGAAATATATTCTTCCAGTCCTTCATATTGACTAGAAAGTACTTTCTGGTTTTTCTTTATTTTTTAATGTTACTCAGAAATTTTATCTGTTGCTAATGCACATCGTTTATGTTATGTGGTTCTCACCAAAATTTGATTTTGAGTGCTAGTTTGGCATTGCTTATTTGGGGTAATAAGTGATTTTTAAAAAATTTTGAGAAGCCCAACCCGTTTGGTAAACTGTGAGAAAATCACTTATTGTTAAAAATTGCTGTGAGAGAAAGCTATAAGGGAAAGCAGCTAATGAGGTGCTTTCATTTTCTGATTATGCAAGAATCAGTTTTGAAGAGGCGTTGGGTTTAATGATTATGCGGCAATCATTTTTTGATTATGCGTAAAATCAATACCAACAACACTTTTAATAAAAATTTTACAAAATGCCAAACTGCTTTCTCTCACAGTTGATTTCTCCCATAGCAAATCTGACAGCGATTATTTTCACAGCACAGCAATGCCAAACTGGCCCTAAAAGAACAAAAAAGATTATTGGAATTGGATTTCTCTCTCTCTCTCTCTCTCTCTCAGAGACAATGACTGCAATGAAATGGGATTATATCGCAAGAACCCCCCAGTTTAAAAAAAAAAAAAAAAAAAAAAAAAAAAAAAAACGCCGTGAGTCAACCCAAGCTCACCTTGTTTGAGTCAAATTTTTTCACGTTCAACCAACATGCAATTTAGGCTTTTTGGTTTAGGAAATTTTTGGTAAATGTATCCAAAGAAGTTCCACAGAACAAGGAAATAATCAAGCCAAGAAGACCAGAAAAGGTTGCAAATCCATGGTGTGGAATTCAGGAGAATTAAGAAAAATATCTGATTCTTTTATTGCTGAATAATCAAGAAGAATAACGTTGTAAATTTGATAAACGAATTAAAAGAATACAAAATTAGTGAAACACCCAATCCTAGACATGAAGTTATAAATATACCCAACACTATTTAAAACATAGGAACACACTCAAAATAAACCCAAAAATCAACAATTGTATATTTTTTGGGTGTGTTTATAAATCGGTTTTGAGTGTGTTTAATAAATGGGTTTTGGGTGAGTTTATAAAGTGTTTTTCATGTGAGGTTTTTTTTTATAATTTCAGCCCATATTTTGGGTGTATTACTTAAAATAAATAATTTGAATATTTCTATTAAAAAAAAATTAGCAATAAGTTTAGAAGAGTTAGTGAAAAAAATAACTATAATAAGAACACGAAAGTAACTAAAGTGAACCACAAGGTGTGGTGTTGTTGGCAAACTGCCATCTCCAACTGGAGAACTGTCTGGTGCCTAACTAGCATGGGTTCGAAACCAATTGGGAGTAGTTTGTGGCCAGGAGCAAGCTATACCATAAGCAGGGATTAGTCATACCTTTCAAATGTGGGACACCTCGTGGTATTTACCCAAAAAAAAAAGAAGAAGTAACTAAAGTGGTTGCAACATCAACAAATTTCGTAATTGGCAATGATTATTTATACATATAATTAATCAAATAATTAATTTAATCAAGAGTTGGGCTTGTTCTTGGGCTCTGTTGATTAAATTCAAATTTCCTTTTTGAAATAAGGAAATCTTTAAATACCCAATCCAAATACAGAAGTAGACACTGAATTAATCACCCACAAAATCACTCACTGTTAGAGAGAGGAAGAACAAATACATCACCAGTCTAATACTCCAAGCCCAATCCTAACTAGTTCAGTCCGACCCACCAAATGAGATGTAATAGTTTGTTTATGCAACCAGATTTCAATGATAATTTGAAAAAAAGCTGAAAACCATATATAATATAAGAAAAGAACATATCATATGTACTGTAAGCTGAACGAAAAAAAGTAAGAACAAGTCATAACATAATAAGGAAGTCATTGCAGGAAAGAAGACGTTTATGTTCTCAATACAATGCTACCTAAAGTACCAATAGAATTATAGCAATTCCAAAGCATGAAGGATTTAGATTTCTGGTAATAAAAATTAAAAATCCCTAATTTTATTTTTATTTTTGTGTGTGTGGATAACGAAGATATTAAATTTTAGATGATTTGAATCACACTGCGAGTTGGCTCCAACATCACGTCCCCTTTATTTTCCTAAAAAGGATTCGTTATTAACACAATTATTGTCTGATAATATAGTTGATAATGAACACGTGGAAGTATTGTTTTCAGCATTGTCTATGTATTTGCACAATTATTTTCCGCAACATATCCTAATGAGTAAAACTCTGTATGGATAGATCTTCTTAAACCAAATTCGATTGAAAGATGGATGATTATTACTATTATAGTTTGGTATGATTTCCTAAAACTGCAAGACAAACTTAGAAACTAATATTTTTCCACAGAATCTCTATACAAATCAGATTAGATAAGACTTTAGTTTTTGCTTCTTCTTATCCTATGATATCTCTAATTCTATCCGGATATTCAAGTAAAACCCAATTTAAATACTCACCTACATTATAAATACACACTCAATTCTTCAGCCAGTCTTACATTGGTATCTCCTTCTCTATTGATCAAGGTCTGCATTCTCGGAATTCGCCTCGTTTTTGTGTTTTTTTTTCCTCTTGTTTAGGGTTTTTATTTTGACTATAGCATGAGCAATGTAGCTAATATTATGATTTTTGGTGCAGGTTTGACTAGATTTCAATGATGGTAAGACCAAGTTCATCAGGCCTCTTAGTAGGACTTCTGTGGTTATGCTGCTGGGGAGCCATGGCACAAACAGGAGCAGAATACATGGCATACAAGGACCCTAAGCAGCCACTAAATAGGCGAATTAAGGACTTGATGGGTCGAATGACGCTGGAAGAAAAGATCGGGCAGATGACGCAGCTGGACCGTGCCAATGTCACAGCTGAGATCATGAGGGACTTCTCATTAGGCAGTGTTTTGAGTGGCGGAGGGAGTGTGCCGCGTGAGCAGGCTAGTCCACAGGATTGGATCAACATGTTCAATGAGTTTCAAAAGGGTGCACTTTCGAGCCGGCTTGGGATCCCTATGATTTATGGCATTGATGCTGTTCATGGGCACAACAATGTTTATAAGGCCACTATTTTCCCACATAATGTTGGTCTTGGAGCCACCAGGTAATAAGTGATTCTCTTCTCTGAAAGATATGGCTAAACTGGATTAAAAACAGAGAATTCATGAGTAGATATAACTGAAGTTGTTATAAATTAGGATTAAAAACACAGAATTCTATCTTTATATCTATATTAATGTTGTTTAATTTGTATGAAAATTTTCCAATATCTTCCAGGGATCCGGAGCTTGTGAAGAAGATTGGTGCTGCAACTGCACTTGAAGTTAGAGCTACTGGCATTAATTATGCGTTTGCACCATGCATTGCGGTATGCTATATATCCAATAATTGAACAGTTTTTGCGTGTGACATATATTCTTTTAATACTGATCACTGATTAATAATCTTAAACCTTAATGTACAATAGGTCTGCAGAGATCCGAGATGGGGTAGGTGCTACGAGAGCTACAGCGAAGATCCTGCAGTCGTAATACAAATGACTGATGTCATACTTGGATTGCAAGGCGAAATTCCAGCTGGTTCCCGGAAGGGCGTTCCTTATGTGGGTGGAAAGTAAGTGCTCAGAAAAATAACGTTGTGATGATTTCGAAGATGTTTTTAGTCATCGTGTTCGATTACAAAAAAATTCAACTGATCCTAGTACTTCCAGTTTCTCTTTTCTTATCTCAAAAACCTTTTATTTGTGATATAGGGATAAGGTAGCAGCCTGTGCAAAGCACTTTGTTGGAGATGGTGGCACAACCAGGGGTATAAATGAGAACAACACCGTGATTGATAGGCATGGATTGTTGAGCATTCACATGCCTGCTTACTACCATTCTATCATCAAGGGTGTGTCCACTATCATGGTCTCCTACTCAAGTTTGAATGGAAAGAAGATGCATGCTCACCATGAGCTCGTCACCAAATTTCTCAAGGACACCCTTAAGTTCAGGGTAAAACAATCAAACTGTAAATTAGTTGGTTCAAAATTCAAATTATTCGATACCCGGACATGAATGAGTTAGCAGGACTAACCTTGTCATTGTTCAAATTTCAGGGCTTTGTCATCTCCGACTGGCAGGGTATCGACAAAATTAACTATCCGCTCCATTCGAATTACCCAGAAGCGGTTCTTGCTGGTGTTCAAGCTGGCATTGACATGGTAATTAGTTGCTGTCTTGGTTATATGATAGATGTTATCAGCGCAGAATATTAGTATTAATATTTAAAGGGGTTCATTTTTCTGATATTGAAACTGCTTGTTGGTGTTGTTTAGGTCATGGTTCCCTTCAATCATACCGAGTTCATTGGCATTGTAACCGACCATGTCAACAACAAACGTATCCCCATGAGCCGTATTGACGACGCAGTTAGGAGAATTCTGAGAGTCAAGTTCGTGATGGGTCTGTTTGAGAACCCTTTGGCAGATGAGAGCTTTGTTGACAAGCTTGGAAGCCAGGTCACTAATTTGATCTCTTATACTAAATCTTCTAAAATATGAGTAATTAAAGCAATTCATAAAATATCTTATATATATGTATGTTATATATAACATGCAGGCTCATAGAGATTTGGCAAGAGAAGCAGTGAGGAAGTCACTTGTCCTGTTGAAGAATGGAGAAAATGCAGATACACCAGTCCTACCACTCCCTAAGAAGACAAAAAGGATACTAGTCGCTGGAACCCATGCCAACAACTTGGGCTATCAATGTGGTGGTTGGAGTCTCACTTGGCAAGGAGCTAGTGGCAACAACTACACTGCTGGTTGGTATCTTCTTAATGTCTTTTTTTTCTTTCTTGATACAATCGAGATTCGAGAACCACTTGAGCTACAATTCCGTTGCATATATTCTTGATTGTTGTGAATTTGTGCTTAATTTAACTCAACCACAATTTCTCTCAATTAACTTAATTACTGTACTTTGTGTTCAGGAACCACTATCCTCAGTGCCATCACAGCTGCAGTTGATCCCAGCACAGAAATTGTGTTCAGTGAAAACCCTGATGCCGACTTTCTCAAGTCCAACAACTTCTCCTACGCCATTGTTGTCGTTGGAGAGCAACCCTACGCCGAGACCAAGGGGGATAGTTTGAACTTGACAATTGCAGAGCCAGGTCCACAGACCATCACCAATGTCTGCGGCGAAGTGAAGTGCGTTGTTGTCGTCATCTCTGGCCGTCCGGTTGTCATTGAGCCTTACGTTTCGTCAATGGATGCTCTTGTGGCTGCATGGCTACCTGGAACGGAAGGACAAGGAGTTAGCGATGTTTTGTTTGGTGATTATGGATTCAGTGGGAAGCTGCCTAGAACTTGGTTCAAGACAGTGGATCAGCTCCCTATGAATGTTGGCGATGCTCATTATGATCCCCTATTTCCCTTTGATTTTGGACTTACAACTGATCCTGTTGAGCAGTTGTTGTCAATTTAGTATACTTCTAGTCTCTCTCATTTCATAGTCTTTTAGGGAGTTAGTTTGCATTTTGATAACTCTATAATTTATGTTTTTTGAGATACTTTATAAATTAGATTCTGTATATTTAAAATCCTTGATTTCTGTTCCCTTTATAAATTAGTCTTCACTCATTTGCCAGTTATTATAAAAATCGTTGGTTGAAATCGCACAAGCAGGCAGCTAAAATGAACATACATTGTCGAGTACTGATCAAAATAAAACTTGTTTATTGGATTTTTTGTTGTTGAGAAATTCTAGGAATACATTTATAATTCAGCCAAGTTATTGGTCACAAAGGGCCAATACAAATTAGCCATAAAGAGCCATTACAATAACAAAGCAATCTAACATCAAAATTAAGACAATCTGGTGAGCTTCCCTTAACGATCACTCATGATTGAAGAAACACTAGTATAAACATCCCAACTAAAATTGCAAGAATAATAAAAAAAGATAAAATTTGAAAAAACTAAGTTATAACAATATAGATAAAGAGTGTTGCTAATCTTCAGAATTTTACAGACTAATTTACCTTTTTATAAAATGACTTCTAAGGACTTCGTCTCCTCCACCAAAAAACAAGTGTTAACTTTTTAAATAAAATTTTAAAAAATAACTAAAAATAATTATTTTAAAAACAAAAAACAAAAGGGTAAATTGCCGAAAACCCCCTTGGACTATATCGACTATCGAAATGTCCCCCCTAGATTATTTTTTCAGCCAATTTAGCCTTCGAATTAAAAGAAATCGCCAATTTCACTCATGCTGTTAGTTTTTCCCCAATTCCATCCAAATGCTCTTAAAAAACACCACGTGAAAGGCACGTGAGCCGTCTGATGAGGGTAATATCGCCATTTTATACCCTCAGCCCTCAGCCCCCTTTGATTGAATCGTTCGAAGGTGAATTCCCAAATCAGTGTTAGGGATTTCGAAAAAGGGTGAGAGTGAAACAGAGAAAGAAACTAAAAGATTTGAAAAAGGGTGAGAAAGATAGACTGCGACTGAGAGATTCAATTTTGGGAGATATTTTGTGACTTGAAGATTCCAAACGAAGGTGCAACGGTAAAGGCAAAATGAAAATAAGAGATGGTGGGGAAGCTCCCATATACAGTAAGTAGCGTACTTTAGTTTATTTGTTTGATGCAATTGTTTGGGTTTTACTGTTGGATTTCATTGCTGGATTTCATGAAAAAGCATAATAAAAGGAAGAAAGTGGTCCCTATGGTTGTTGTTTGTTGACTGAGGCTTAGGTTGGGTTGTGAATGTGGTCCCTATGCATGTTGTTTGTTTATTGTTTGTCGGGTTCTTTGTCTAAGTTTGTATTGTATAGGGTAAATAGTAATGTACTGAATATGGTATTGTATAGGGTAGATAGTAAATGTATATTGTACTGCATAGGGTAGATGGTAAATTAATGAGAAAATTTATTGTTATGCAGCTAATCCTGACATGTTCACACTTGAAGTAAACCATGGGGGCTACTTTGTTGATGGTTTATATATGGGAGGTATTGTACAATGTGTTGATGGGCAAGATGCAGATGATGTTTCAATGCTTGAGTTATTTGAATTGGTTAAACACATTGGTTATGATGAGCAGAACATTCAATACTATTACAAGCACAGGACAAATGGCTGGATTGAAATTAGGACAGATAAGGATTATTTTGGAGCATTGAAGTTGGTGAAACTGAGCCAGTTGTTTGTGTTATACATAACTGACAATCGAGCACTTAGGCCTCTAAATGTTCAATCCCCAGTATTCTCTGCACATGGTGAAAATGCTGAACATTATGAAGACGAAGACACTGCTCATGGATATGATGGTGATGAATAAAATGGGCAATATGAATATGGGCAATATGAAGAAAATGTTCAATCCCCAATATTCCTTTGGGAGATTTATTGTCTCTGCCACGAGTATGGGATAGCTTTGGATGTGCCTCATCTTGCGAGGTTGCTCTTGGAGGTGTTATTGTTTGGTCATTGTATACATGTTCATTGGTACATTGTTGCGGAGGAAGATTACCAACAATTATTATTTTTTCATTTTGTCGGTGTTGTTTTAGTTTTTTTGTCTTGGTCTAGTTTGTTCAATAAAGTCCAAAATCTCAATGAGTTTTTTGTGTTGTTCTCTCATAATTCCAGAAACTTGGGTGTTCCTACTCTATTTAAGAGATGCATGCCGGTTAGCGGCCGATATTATCCTTGATGTAATTGGACTAGATTCGAGGGAACTATGACAGTAGAAAGAGGTTATAGCAAAGTTATTTTCAAGAATGATTCTCTACATATCATTTTAGCTCTTTGGTTGGATCAGGTCACTTGGGAAGTTTTTGCCCATGTCCACCATACTGCTAATGGGATGGCTCCCTCTACAGTCTTTGTACTCTTTTTTCACGTTGATCTAGTAAATTTTCTATTGCATTTTTATAAATAAAAAACATGTTTCATTGATAACGAAATTAATTGACGCATATTTTAGACACGTCATTAAAACTATGGATCATCATTTGGCTCACGGGCTGAAGTGGGTAGCCCGAAGTTTGATGGGCCAAAGCCTGGCCCCACTCGATGGTCAAGCCTACTCTAAGGTTGGGTAAGGCTTAGGCTTAGGATTTGAAACCTTGGCCCGGCCTAGCGTAAGCCTGCCCAAGTCTCGCTTACATATATCCTTCTTTTTTTAAGATTTAACCTCATTTTATACTTAATCAAAATAATGTAAAATGTATGATAAACTAATAAACTTCTTATTTTGTTTACACATGTTATAAATTAAGTTAATTTTTTTCAATGTTGTTTAAAATTTTATAACAAACAAGCAATATCTTTTGGTGCCCCTCTTTTGTCAAGTTCAAGTTTAATGGTTCAAAAAAAATAAAATAATTGAAAGCTTATTTTGATTCTATTAATTCTAATGGCACAGATTGCTTTAGTTCTTACGATGTCAATCCTATTTTGGGATAGAAGTAACATATTTTCATAAGATTCATTTTTAGTAAAAGAGTGTGGCTATTATATTTTTGTTTTCTTAAGTTATGTAGTAATCTGTACTACTGTTTAAGAGAAGTCTCTTTATCCATCACTTTTGACAAAAAAATGTGTAACAGAAAGATTTAAAAGAGTTTTTTTAAAAAGAGCCCAGCCCATTTAGGCCCATGGTGGCCCATCTCGGCTCAATGGACAGACCAGAGTCAAGTCCTTTGAAACCTCGGTCTGGCCCGATAACGAACCCTAATCAAAACTGTGTCATCAAAAGACATTTTTGTTTATATTGTAATATAATAAAGTTTCAATTTAACATATGGCGTGAAGTGTAAAACTTTGTAAGATATCAAACAACCACATAAGCCATCAAGTTTAAATTTCATGTTTGCTCTTACATAATTTTGGACTCTGATATTCCGTCTATTCGTGATTGTTTCTGACTAAAGTGAGTCTTGTCACGGCAATGTTTGTCATGAACTCATTAGATCATTCCATTAACACACTGCTTGGAACAAGTCAAAATTGAAACAGAAAAGTCAGCTTCTAGGATATACACAATGATTTTTCTCGACAACATGACTTCCAAATATAGTAGGTTCAAACTAACCTGGACATATCTTCTTCAACCAAAATCATTGAAGCCATTAATCTGGTAAGATATACTACTGTAAGAAAAATTTATACTAACAATATAAACAGTATTTAGTTTTAATTCCTATCCAAAAATCTCAAGTTCTATCCAAGTAATCCGTAGCATGAGTATTTATACGTATTGGTCCTTCCTGCATTCGTATAAATATACACCTTATTACCAGTCTGCAGACATTCTTATTTTTCTCAGAGTCAAGTTCTGTGTTAAAAGGTCTGTGCATCCTATGAATATTGATTTGTTGGATATTTTTACATTCATCCTTATATTTTAGATTTCCATGGATATTTCCATGCATCTCAGTGACTGCATGGAATGGAAGTGTCTGGTTTTTCTAATATCTAGAAATTCTCAACTATGTCTTTTCTTTTTAATATTCTCTTTCTTCTGTTTTTCTTAAATAAAATTTTTCCTTTTTTGGCCTACAGGTTTGAATATATATTCCAATGATGCCAAGGACAAGTTCATCAGTCCTCTTAGTGGGACTTTTGTGCCTATGCTGCTGGGAAGCTATGATCACAAAAGTAGAAGCAGAATACATGGCATACAAGGACCCTAACAAGCCCATAAATATTCGAATAAAGGACCTTATGGACCGAATGACACTAGCCGAAAAGATTGGCCAGATGACACAGCTAGACCGTCAGAACGTGACGGCTGAGATCATGAGGGACTACTCAATAGGCAGCTTATTGAGTGGTGGAGGAAGTGTGCCGCGACTGAGAGCTAATCCACAGGATTGGATCAACATGGTCAATGATTTTCAAAATGGTTCGCTGTCAAGCCGGCTTGGAATCCCTATGATTTATGGCATTGATGCGGTTCATGGCCACAATAATGTTTATAAGGCCACAATTTTCCCACATAATGTTGGACTTGGTGCTACCAGGTAAGTGATTCTCTTAAAGATACAGAAAAAGAACAAAAAATATGACAAGTAATGATAGCAGTTTTTGAGAAAGCTAAAGATAGTAGTTTTTGACAAACCTAATGTTTGAATCTGATGTTTGCATCTTGCAGGGATTCAGAACTTGTGAAGAAGATTGGTGCTGCAACTGCTCTTGAACTTAGAGCTACTGGTATTACCTATGCATTTGCACCATGCATTGCGGTATGCTTCAGGTCCATTCATTTAACAGTTTTGACGTTTCCCAAAAGAAAAGAAAAAAACAGTTTTGACAAGTTGCCACTTTTCTTTTTCTATTATTAATAGGATAAAAACTTAATTTATATCACCTTAATGTACAACAAATAGGTCTGCAGAGATCCAAGATGGGGAAGGTGCTACGAGAGTTATAGCGAGGATCCTGAAATCGTAAAACAGATGACTGATATCATACTTGGGCTGCAAGGCGATATTCCAGCTGGTTCAAGGAAGGGAGTTCCTTATGTTGGTGGAAAGTAAGCTGAAAAAATATTATTATGCTCAGCAAAAATCATTTTATCTGTGCTGTGGTACCATTTTCGTTTTACATGCAACTTTTCCTTTGTGACAGGGATAAGGTGGTAGCCTGCGCAAAACACTTTGTGGGAGACGGAGGCACCATCAAGGGCATCAATGAAAACAACACTCTGATTGATATGCATGGATTAATGAGCATTCACATGCCTGCTTACTACCATTCTATCATCAAGGGTGTGTCCACTATCATGGTGTCCTACTCCAGTTGGAATGGAAAGAAGATGCACGCTAACCACGAGCTCGTCACTAGATTTCTAAAGGATACCCTTAAGTTCAAGGTACAATATGACACACTAATTAAATTCTATATAGTTCTATAAATTGAAAAGGATATTTGGACATAAAAAATTAGCAGTACTAAATCTCATGCTATTTTTGTTCAAATTTCAGGGCTTTGTCATCTCTGACTGGCAGGGTATTGACAAAATTTCCTATCCACTCCATTCGGATTACCCAAACTCAGTTCTTGCTGGTATTCAAGCTGGCATTGACATGGTTAGTTGCTATCTTCTGTATGACAGGTCGATGGTAAATATGAAAGTTGGTATTGAAACTGCTTCCTGGTCTTGTTCAGGTCATGGTTCCATACAACTATACCGAGTTCATTGGTATAGTAACCGACCACGTCAACAACAAACGTATCCCCATGAGCCGTATTGATGATGCAGTTAGGAGAATTCTGAGAGTCAAATTCATGATGGGTCTTTTTGAGAACCCCTTGGCTGATCAGAGCTTCGTTGACCAGCTTGGAAGCCAGGTTTTAATCTCTGTGTACTGAAAATAAGTAACGTATATATATATTTGATCGCCATCAACTCATGAAAACTAATATCCGTATTACATAAAATAATGCAGGCTCACAGAGATTTGGCGAGGGAAGCAGTGAGGAAGTCACTTGTGCTTCTGAAGAATGGAGAAAATTCAGATACACCAGTCCTCCCACTCCCAAAAAAGGCCTCCAGGATCCTAGTTGCTGGAACTCATGCCAACAACTTGGGCTATCAATGTGGAGGCTGGAGTCTCACTTGGCAAGGAGTTAGTGGCAACAACTACACTGCTGGTTGGTATCTGCTTCATATATGTTGTCCTTAATTTCTTTGCTTAATTTAATCCCACCTGAATCAAAATCCATCTCATACTTAATTAACTTCTAAATCCTGATGTGCATCCATTAATGTCCATTGTACCTGCAGGAACCACTATACTCGGTGCCATTGCTAGTGCAGTTAACGAGACCACGGACATTGTCTTCAGCATAAATCCTGATCCTAATTTTGTCAAGGCAAGCAACTTCGATTACGCGGTTGTTGCTGTTGGTGAGGTCCCTTACGCAGAGACAAGGGGAGATAGTTTAAATTTGACAATTCCAGAACCAGGTCCGAGCATTATCACCAATGTGTGCGGCGCAGTCAAGTGTGTTGTTATCGTTGTCTCTGGGCGTACTGTTGTGATTGAGCCCTACCTTTCGTCGATCGATGCTCTTGTGGCTGCATGGCTTCCTGGAACCGAAGGCCAAGGAATTAGCGATGTTTTGTTTGGTGATTATGGATTCAGTGGGAAGCTGCCTAGGACTTGGTTCAAGACAGCAGATCAACTCCCTATGAATGTTGGTGATAGACATTATGATCCCCTCTTTCCTTTTGGTTTTGGACTTACAACTGATCCGCTTGATCAGTGAAGCCAGGAATTAATATCTTGCCTTCAAACAAGTATTATACACTATTGTTGATGTACAGTGCCTTTGAAGACCCGTATATGTATATTATGTGTATTTGTATATCATAGTGACATAAAAATGCCACTATACTTCATTTGTGTATACAGTCCTCTCCTATTGAGGGCTTATTTGAGGGATACACTGTGGTGTCTATGAATTCCTTCCAAAAAATAAGAAAATTGAAAACAGACATGTTGTTTGGACCAACAAAATAGGCGAACACTAAATATATACTAAAATGAAAACATTCAATTGAGTTGTTAAATGGTTTTGGATTCTAGTTTCTTGTTGTTTTGTTTTGTTTTTTTTTCGCAGACCTAATCTTTGAGGTCATAGATAAAAAATAGACTATTCAGATAATTGAAATACAATATAGAGTGAGTTCTCCAAGTATGTCCATCAAATAAAATTATTTAAGAAATCCCTCAATTGATGCTTACTATATATATAAACCGCGACTTATGTATTTTGGGATATGTTTATTGCAACTTGATCTAGTCTTTGAATCTCATGTCGCCCCATTCCATATGCTAATAAACTATATGACTAATACTTAATGGATCACAAGTAACGTACATGTGTGAAAAAAAGAAAAAAAAGTTTGGTAAGGATAAGAGTAAGATACATTTAACTAAATAAATGACCAAGTAGTCGTAATTAAATAAGTAAAGTGGAGACTCTGCATATTGTTAATGGGAAGGCAAATATGAAATATGTTTATTGCAATTGGCTGATCTCTAGTCTTTTGCCTCTTTGCCTCTTAGCTTATGTCACTCACATTTGTCATGAGCATCAAGTAAATTCCATATGGGCAGATGTGGGTTACGCCAGTTGGCCAGAGCAGCGAGTCTGTCCCATTGTACCCAAGTTCGAATCTCCCTCCCCTTATTAGAGTAGGGTTTTTTTTTACCAAAGATAAACTTCATTCGATAAACTTCAAAGTACAATTAAAGACATCAACATAATATCTAAAATACTAATTCCAAGAGGCCAACAAACTAAAATATTAAAAATAAAACTAAAGCGGATAAAAGCCGCACTAAAACTACTAGCCCACATCACCATAATTAACCATAACCCCAAACAAAGCCCACACACCAAACATAATTGAAACCCTAAAGCAACCCATGAGCCTAAACGAACACTACCACCACCACTTAAAGAAGCGATGTCGCGGCCACACCCACCACCACTTGAAGAAGCGATGTTGCGGCCACACCCACCACCACCACATCCGTAGTAGATCTATGTAGCAAAATTCAACTTCCAACTTCCTCATTTGAGGCTGCTTATGGGAGAATTTGAGCTTTGGTAAAGTTTATAAATACTTAACAACTTGTCCCAGAAACTTTTGACATCTAATATGCCAAGCTGCGCCGTCAGCTATCATATGCCTTCTTCCCCCTTCATATTGATGGTGATACACATACAAACTAGTAATAAAAACTTCTTGGTTTTGCTGTAGTTTACAACGTGATCTTGAATATCATTAAAAACCTTTGACAGATGGGTTAAAATAAACATTGGGGTTCATAACTAACAATCCATTCAAAATGCCATGATAAAAGATTCACAATTTGTACAGAGATAGGATCAAGATCAAATCGGCTACTCATTCTCACGCAACAAGAGGTTCACATCAACATCAGTAAAACTACACACATATGAGACTTACAAATTAGAAGCAAAATGACCTCAGTAAAATTAATTTCTAATGTTCTGAACTTCTGATTTGCCGGATACAGTTATACTATCATCAGTAGTCATTGAGTCTGCTGCCGGCAACTTTTTCCCAAGAGGCTTAGGTATGTCCAGCTGGTCTTGTGGGCAACGCTGCTGAGGGTGGGATAGCAGCATACACATGTAACGGAAGAGAATTCGAGCTAAAAGTTGACCGGTCTCCAAGGTGTAGCCCTCATATTCGCTAACATGTTCCACAGCATCCACAAGTGAATTGTAGACCTCTTGAGGGCAGTTGTCAGGTCCAGGCTTGTCGTGAAGGTAAACTACATCCAGAGTGAAGAGTTTCTGGTTCACAGGCCATTGATGATGTGGTCTTATAGATGATCTACAGTAAATAAGAATCTAAGGGCAAGCACGTCAGGCTTTAGCTATCAACAAAAGAAATCGCAGAAGGGACAAAATGGAATATCAGAATTGCATGAATATAATAATTAACCAATGTAATAGCAAGAAAGGTGAGGCCAACCACTGCTTACCACCCTTAAAAGTCTGTTTTGAGCACGAGATTTTTTAGCTTCATGAGCAGCTACTCGAAATAGACTGGTAAGATCTGCATTACTAGAAGATGAAGTAGCTGAGAGTACTCGAAATGCAGCAAAAGCAGACTCGACTTCACTGCTAAACTCTTTCCGAAGCTTCATAAAAACGAAAAAACAAAAGGTTCCCAAGCAATTACAGAAACATAAATCAAACAAACAGACACAAAGGATAAATTGACTGTTTTGAACAAAACCTGCAGAAGGTTTGGTTTCACTGCATAAACAATTATTACTAATGGGGCATTTAACACAACCCTACAACAATTGATGTGAACGATTCTTGGTGCTGCAGTCCATAATATAAAGTCTAGGACCAAAAATGATCAAGATATGTGGATGATTCTAAGAAGTTACACTTTGTAACTTTGATTATGATACGAAATCTCCTTAACAGTTAGTAAGGGAATTGATTTTTCAGCCACATTCAGTAAAAGTGACCAATGCTTAATCAAAGGCAAAACAACGTTTTTGACCTGGTGAGTCTCTGTATATTTGGCTACTTGAAAATAGTGATTTAAACTAATTTTCCTTCATTGATCCAGAAACCAAAAATTCATGTCATAAAATTGCTTACTTTTCCTAAAAATGTGATACTATACTCTAAACCCATATATCACCTTAAATAACAACAAAAAACACAAAACTAAAAACATCCAGAGCCATAATCATGGTTTCCAGGAGTTCAGTTCCTCAAAAACGCATAAGACGCATATATTTATCTGCCCTTGATCGCACATTTTCTCGGAAACCAAACAGAAACCAAGCAATGAAGAGAGAAAAACAGAGACAACCTACCCAAGACGCGGACTTTCCGAGACTGGCAAAGGCAAATCGGTTCTCTGGGTTGATGGTGAGCTTGGCGTTGATGAAGACAAGTATGGCTTGCTTGATCGAGTCCAGGCGGGTTGAAGGTCGCCGATTTGGGCTCATCGCTACTTTGTGCTCCACCATAGACTCTGGGCCAACATCTATACAGAACAGTATGTCCTCGTTGCTTAGCCTCGTTGGTCTCAGCGTGTATCTGCCCGCACCCGATCCGTCCCCTTCTACTATTCCCTCCATCTCTCACACAGAGCTCAGAGCTCAGAGCTCAACTTCCCAAATGAAACCAAAGAAGAAAGCTTTGCGAAAACAGCCTCATCGTGTCATTTGCATTTCACAGTAAAAGGACACATACGTACAGGTAAACGGTGCGTTTTATGTCACCGGTTTATACAACCGAGTGAGCGATATTATTATAAAATTTGAGGGTAGATCAGTCTTTCAAATAAACACGTGGGGATTTATTATTTATATATTTAGAGTTGAGCTATGTACTAGAAGGAAATATAATACAAAAGTTGATATAGATTTAAAATTTCATTGAGGAATTAGGTTTAATCCTCGAATTTAGTGACTTTGATCCAAGTCCTTTGATTTTTGTGACACATAAGATTACATTTTTTTTTTAATATTTATTAATGTAATCTTTTTTTTTAAGAATCATTTTTAGTTCCAATGTTGCTCCCTTATGACTTGAATCAGATAATAGTTATTTATGTTATAATAATTAGCTATTTTTTGTAGGTAACATACAATTTTATTTGTCTATTTTTATATCTGACTTATAGGTAGTCTTCTAATTTATGTTCCTAACTCATAGGTAACACGATTTGTCACTAAATTTTTTTCGTTGCTAATAATAACACTATTTTACCTGGATGTCAGGTACATAATTTCATGTGGGTGCTTGTCCGATCAATTGATATATTATGTGGGTCTTTACTTTTCATTGATTAAATTATATTTTATCCATATATTAGGAATATTATCAAGAAAAGAATTCAAAATTTAAATTCTGAAATTCATTTACAAGGAAATAATGGATTAAATTTAGATTTTCAATATATTTTCCTTATTTACCTCTAAGGGTAAAATTGACACCACAAAAAACTAATAAATGTCAAAGGATCTACATCTAAAACTAAAAACGTGTGGCCTAAACCCAATAACAGCTAATCATTTTGAACCTAGATCTAAGAAGCCCGAAATATAATCATAAACTGAAGAGAATGCAATAATAATACTAATTCAATTGGCTGCGAAGAAGCTCAGCTGAGATTAGTGGTTGACCGGACGAAAAGGGGAGGAAGCTTTAGTGAAATGAGTGAGTCGAGAAAGAAGTTTTAGGTAACTTATCCACACTACAGAAGATACTCATGAAGATGCCAAAGAATATCACACTACAAAATGCTTGGAAGAGGACATCAATGCTATCGAGAATTTATCAAAAATAGCCAAAACTTGACCCATAATTTCAAAAATGTTAGTTTTTGTAAAATATTTCAAATATAACAAAAAACTCACATAAATAGACACAAATGCCCTCAAATTTAAAATCCACATAAACCTACAAAAAAAAACCATATTAGATTGGGAATCTTTATACATATGTTTGCATACGTATTTCTGCCTTAGTCAAACGGTGAGTGCAGTTCTTCCTTGATTCTTCGTTCAATTTCTTCTTCGTTTAATCTTCATACTAAATTATATTACATATAAGGCATCCAAAAACCATTGAAAAACAACATTTTTTGTCAGTTGTGTAATGGGCCACAAACATTTTATATATAATTATATAAATGAAGTTATTATGGATTGCAATTGGAAAGCCATTAGAATGATTATATGGTTTGCATTGTTAAATATATGAACAAAAACCCAGGCTTTACTGTGTTAAGAACAAATTGTGGAGGGACCAGGGCCACCTCAGGCCCTAGAGTACCTATGCCCCTAGTTGGATTGATACTTTTAGTTTACTTAGGTTACTTTTGATGCGAGTGTGTTCTCTTGTACACATTGTCCGAAATCTATTGCATCACCCTTTGAAAACAAATTTATTCATTTATCAATAAATAGGATGATATAAATCAACTTATATTCTTCTATACAAACATGGGTTAAAAATATTCCAAAGTTTTATTTAATAAAGTTTCTTTTTCAAGTTTATGTGGGTTTTAAATTTAAGGGTATTTGTGTCTATTTAGGTGAGTTTTTGGCTATATTTGAAATGTTTTACAAAAACTGACATTTTTGAAATTAGGAGTCAAGTTTTGGCTATTTTTGATAAATTCTCGATGCTATCTATGGTTTGGATCAAGTGGTTCGTCAATGCTACACTGAAAAGATTGAGTACGAAGAAGATGAGCTTGCAGAAATACTCTTTTCCAGGTCATTGTCTATATGAAACAAGATAACTACAATTCTGATCCAGTATTAACAAGTGCTTGGACGATTGCAACCCTTCAGCACGATCTGGCATTACTTGTGTTTACCCCGAAAAGGACCCGCCAGCCATTCACATTGGCATTTGGCTGTGGAGTTTGTTTGTTACGATTGCGAAGGCGTGCCACTGTTGGCAGTGAAAAACTCCAACAGACTGAAAATGATAAGACTAGAAAATGCGCACCGATATTGACTTTAATCAATTGATTGTGGATTGGGTGGGGAATTGACCCAATACAAGGTTCTTTTCTATGCCTCAATTAAGTGGACTTCAATATTCATCTAGTGAAAAAATGGTAACTGACATAAGCTAAAATTGAACGACAATGGAAATGACAGAAGTTTATCGGAATATTTATTTATTCAGAAAACTTGAAAGAAAAAGGAAGTACATAAACAACACAGCCTGAAGATTTCTTTCTTCAGACCTTGTACATAAAATTAAAATGGAGATTGAAGATTTCTCTATTCAATCTTGTACAAGGAAATATCATACCAAGAGTTGGCAGAGCAAGATAAAGAAAATTCATCAGGAGTTGTCAACTGGGAAATTCAAAGAATGAAAAAGGAAGGCTGTTTCAAGCTTTTGAGCTGGGTTTATAGACGTTGAGTCTGGTTTTTTGTTGGTTGAGTTGTGTGTCATTTGCTGATGATTTCTCCTTCAATTTGTAGAGAATGGAGGTCGTTGAGTGGACCAGCAGTTAATTTGAAGTACCCACTTGCCATTGGTTTTGGTGAGTGGGTTGCTGAAAATATAAGTTAACCCAAAAAAGTTGCTAAAAGGCTTTGATGTGATTTGACAGAAGCTATCACTATTAGACTTAAAGAAATCCAAAGTATTAGTCCATTTGTCATTGATTGGTGAGTGACAGCCAAAAGTAGCTGGCTAAAAGATAAAAAGAAATGGAGATAATGACCACCATCTCTACTTCTTTCTTTATTCATTCTTTAAGCCCACTTGAATATTATTTTATTTCTTTCAATCTTTGTGTAGACTTTTCACGTGTTGAACTTTGGCTTTGTTTTAATATTTTTCACATAGAATATTAAATTGTTTCCATCTACCACATCGTCATTTTATTCTTTGAATCAACTCACTTGTGATGAAGTCCCTCCATTGATAAAGTGAAACTTGATTTGCAGCCACTGAGTTTCTCCTCCGAACATGCCTTGATGAATAATGAACTGGGAATGCTAGATTGATCCAATTGCTGCAAATTTCGGATATGTTGTTCTCCACATAAGTAGGAACAACATTCATGAACAACTTAATTCCATTTGAGTAATGGAAAATCTAGCATGGTTGCAACTGACTGGTCGTCATACACTGCTCTCACGAACAGAGATCATGATTAGTATTCTGAAGATTCAATACTTGTGCAAATGACGCCAAATTCGGATATATTGTAGTAGACATCCAAATGAACAACTTTCATGAAGAACAAATATTCATTTGAGGACTGGAAGCTGGCCCGAATTGGGCCATAATTAGGCCCGAATTGCCACTGTTATCAGCTTTCGCTGTTGCTGGTATGCTTCTGATGTTTGATGTCGTGAGGATTCCACATTTATCCAAATGATCCCAACTTTGGATATGTTTCAGTAGACATTCTAATGAAAAACTTTCAAGAAGAAAGAAAATTCATTAGAGCATTGGAATTAGGCCCGAATTGGGCCCGAATTGCTGCTATAAGCTTTTTACTGGCGTTGTGCATCTGGTATTTTCAGCTCTTAGGATTCAAAATTTGTCCGAATAAACCCAAATTTGAATATGTTGCAGTAGACATAGAGATGAACAACTTTCATGAAGAACGAAACTTGACTTGAGCGCTGGAAGTTGAATTTTGGGCTCACTCCATCCGACTGCAGCAATGTATGTCTAGCCTTATTTTGGCCATTTTGATGTTCATAGAAAACTATCTACCATTTTAGGCAAAAATACAATTTTTGGTACAAACAACTTGAAAACCAAATCCCCTTCTTTGTTCTCCAACTTCTATTTGATACCATGAAGCCTCATATCACCAAGTGTAAACTACCACAGTCGGTCACTGGCCTTGCTCTTAACTTCTTTCAGGCTGTGAGCCGGAAGGAAATAAAACAAGAGCCTGCTGCCGGTGCCACAGAGTTCAAGCGTTTGCTACATCTCTTGCACATATTTTTCTTCTGCATGGAAAGTCATATCACTCATGGCTGGAGTTTTCCTTCTCCTTCTCACTTCATTGCGGACATGCTATACAATTCATCCTATCGCCACCGAGTTTCGGACTACTTCTTCCAACATTCAAAGAGAAATACCACTTGGTGCTACGAGCTACTTGGTACACTTGTTCAATTCTTGCTTGTTTATTTTTATTTTACATTTTCTATAGTGAGATGGGGTTCCTTTGCTGTTGGGGATGGACCATCATTTGAGTTTAATAAGCGATTGTTTCTTTTAAAATGGGGTTCTGTTCTTGTCAACCAAAAAAATAAATAAAATGCGGTTTTGTTTATGGTTGGGGTGTTTGATTTTTATAATATATAAAATTAAATTAAAAAACTTTATTTATTTCGTTTCAGTTTCCTCATGTAAAAATAGTATGTAACCTTTCATGTATGGGCAATTGCAAATGCATGGAACTAATCTTCTATTCTATATCTGCCCCCAATTTCGAAGTCCAATGATGAATTCACTTCATGCTCTGATCTAAAATACCAGTGGATGAACATGATAAGATATCATCATCATCATGTGCTACTAGCCTGCTAGGGCTGGGCGTTGAGACCGGGAGACTGAGAAAACTAGACGAATGACAGGCCAGTCCGATTTGTTGTGATTGTTTTCTTTATTTTCTTGACTATTCGTTTGAAAATTGAACCGAACCAATCTGCACCGATTTGGCACTAGTTTGAAATTTTAAAACCCACAGTTGCCTTTTTGTTGTTGTTACAAAAACCTAGGGATAGCTACAAACTTAGTGCAGGAAACAAACGATGAACATTACAAGAAAGCTAGCTATGCCAAGGCTAGGCGCCTAAGGATGACATTGTAAGCTGTGGGGCAGTCGACGATAAGGAAGGGAGTAGTGACTATCGCCCGTTGGGGTGCTGAACCAATAGAGATAGAGAGATGGATGATGCCAATAGGCTGGACAACATCACCAAAGAAGCTCACAATGGGTGTGATGCTTCGGTCTAGCAAGTGAGCAGGGACTTGGAGCTCGTTGAAAGCATAAGCAAACATCACATTGACCAAGCTGCCAGTGTCCACCAGAATACGTCCAACATCAAAGTTAGAAATGTCTGCGCGGATAATAAGTGAGTTGTCATGCAGGAGAATGACACCACGTTCTCCTTCCTCACAGAAGGTGATGAGGGCCCAACTTGATTTTTGCGTCTTAGGCAGGCGTCCGTGCTCAATGCTAAAGACCTAGTGCACATAGGAAGAACGGACATAGTGTTTGATGGAGTTGTTGGAGGTTCCAGTCATGGTAGGACCACCACTGATTGTGGAGATCATGTTGATCTGCCTTTGGTGAGGGTTAGGTGGGGGTGGGAGGTTGTGCACATATTTATCCAACTTCCCTTCATGAATAAGTTCTTCAATGATGTTGCGCAAGGCAACACAAGATTCGGTATCATGGCCACTGAACTGATGAAAATGGCAGAAGACACCTGTGTTTGGCATAGGCTTGTTGGACGGTCTCTGGGGGGAAGCTTGGGTATGATAGGTGCCTCATGCACCAGGACATTCTCATAGGTAGTGTTCAGGGTGGTGAAGACCTCAAACCTAGGCTTGGGTGTGAAGGGGAGTGGGGCACGATCACTTGTCCTGGGAGGGTTGCTTCCGCTGGGCTGGTGGTGGTTGCCATGTTTGCTTCACTTGTTACTGCTGAAGGTAGGCTGGTAGCTATCCTTCCTTTTGGGGTGTTGGGCACCCTGAGTACATGGTGTCTAGGCAGAATGTTGAGGTGGGGCTGGAGTAGGTACCGAAGCAGGTGGAGGATCACCAAAGGTGCTGCGTGTAGAGGTGGCTGAAACACATTTGGAATTGAAGTACTCAGCCTTGGCGTGAATTGTTGCCTGCTTCATTAGCTTAGCATATGTGTTCCAAGGGTTGCTATGGACCAGGTATCGGAAGTTGGACTCACAGAGGTCACTCTTGAAAGCACCGAAGGCAGCGCGATCGTCAGTCTCTGGGCAACGAGAGTAGTCGTGGCTGAAACGGGTTGCATACTCACTATGGGGTTCATCATCACCCTGCCGAAGCATGTACAAGTCGTCTGCGGAGTACAGGCGATCAGTCTGAATCATGAAATGGTTCGGGAAGGTCTGCTTTAGACTGTCAAATGAGTTAATGGTGCAGGGGTTCAGCTTGTAGAACCAATTCAAGGCCGCAGTGCTGAGAGTGGAAGGGAAGATGAGGCACATGCCTTCGTCACTAAGGCCCTTGCATCCAAGGGCAGACTAGAAGGAGTGGATATGGGTGAGAGGATCCTCCGTGCCAGTGTAGAAGGCGATATGAAGTGGCTTAATTTCCTTCTTCTGGTGGTAATTGAGGATACATTCGGTAAAAGGCCCAGGTCGTGGCTTCTCCCAAAGGGGCTGAAAGCTGCGGTGCTGCTCACTCTCCAGACACCGAACCTTCTCGAAGAGAAGCTTCTTCATGGGCGGGTCGGCATGAGGGAGGGTCTCAGGTGCTGAAGGCCTGGGGTGTGGATTGGCAGGGGCTGAGTAAGGTTCCCAATCTTCTAACGCTTCGGTGTGATAATTTTCCCAGTCTTATGAATGATAATTTTCTTAGTCGTGTGAGTCCCCTGCACCTTCTCTAGTGGGTAGGTGGGTAGGCTTTGGTGGGGGGCCTAGGTGTGTCACCCTTGGGTCTTGGAAATTAACGGGGATAGGAATAGGGTCTTCCTGACGTCTAAGAGACGGTCTCTGCAATCTCTGTAGACCTTCATTGGTTCATAGGGCTGGTCCTTTGGAAGGGAGATGTGAAGGAGCCGCGACTTGGTAGTTTCCGGATGGAGAGGGCCTTTACCCTTGCTGAGCCTAGACTGGACTAGGGCACTATGGCGGGAGTGCACCGGCTGGTTTGGTTGGATATGCTCAGCATCCTGGGTAAAGTCACGTTTTGAGCCCTAGGCCTGAGTCCTCTCCCAGATACGCTTCAGCGTGTGGTAGTCATGCTCTAGCTCGACATTTTTGGTATGGAGATGTTCATATTTCTCAGACATCTTGGCGATGTTGGTGCGGAGGAGCTTTACTTCTGCCTGGAGATTGACATCTGCTGAAGGTTTCCTTCGGGAGGTACCCCCGCTAGGGGTATGGTGCTGATTATCGTTGCTATTTTCAGTCTATATAGCAGAGTGTGGGGGTGTAGAAAAGGTGACGGGGCCTAATGGGAGAAGGAGCCAGCTGGGCTAGTAGAGAAAAATTGGATTCAATAGTCGATTCCCACAGACGGCGCCAAACTGTTGATGCTCTTTTTGAGAGGTCAACTTAGAGAAAAGGGGGTTGTCTTCAACAGTGGGGAAGGTGAGGACCTTCGATAAGGGAAGAGCCTGCAGAAGACAAAGTAGGAGAAGCAATCGTTAAGCTTCAGACACCGATGTGGTGCCGGCCGAAGGCTCTCTAATAATTAAGTCAACTAAGGGTGGTAAAATTGGCAGAGTAACAGTAAAAGTGAGAGAGAAGTTACCCTTTTTACTTGGGTACTGTTCCCTATTTAGAGGAAAGTGAAAGTGGTAGGTTTGCACAAAGTTTCGATGTGGGACTTTGTGCAAGTCGCATTGGTAGTGACACGTGTCTTAGAGATTAGGTTCAGCAGTCAAGAGTTTCGGTAGTTGGGAGCTTCGGCGTGTATCTAGCACCTTGGAAGAGTGTCTTCCTTCGGCAGGGGAGAAGGCGTGTCTGCCTTGGTGCTAGTTGTTTTGAGGCTGGATATGCTCGGTTGATTATGGTGTAAACAATTGCAACACCACCAAATAGACCATCATATCATTGGACGTATCAACTTGGGAAGAAAGCCCCAACAAGTCACTGATATATCAGAAATTTGTGATAGTGGTGTTGAAACGGCCAACATTATTCAACTTGAAATTAGAATTAAGAATCAGGCAGCGTTCAAACTTGGTTCCTGCGTCAAGGGGAGAGTCACAAGAATTTACAAGAATCAAGCTTTGAATTGAAGGATTACAGTAGTGTACTAAATTAAAAAATTTGATGCAAATCCAAAATCTGAAAAGAGGACACGAATTCATGTAAAAAGAGAAACCTCGTTTAGAATTAGGGTGTACCATGTGTATTTTTGGTAGTTAAATAAGGTGTACTTAGTTAATTTTACATTTTGATTAAAATATTAGGGTGTACTTTGTTAATTTTAGAGTTCGTTTAGCAGCACTAAAAAATAAAAGGTTCAAATCATGAGATAAATTGTAAAATGAGATAAAATAAGTCATCAACGCATATTAACTACTAAATAGTAAGTGCTTAAACGTTACTATATATCCATACACATAAATATTTGTGGGATCTCAATTGAATCATAGTTGGAGATGTATGTACTCTGATGGGAAGAATCGGGAGGTGATGATGAAGGGGATGTTGTATGAGAACGTGGAATCCCAAATGAGGGTCCGTTTCTTTAAGAATCAGGCGATGGAGCTCTACTTAATCCTAAACGAGGAAGGGAGGTAGGTTTTTTCCTGAACGGGTTGTCCGTACGCTTAGCACTCATGTTCACCTTGTCCTCCTCCGCCTCTACCGCCTCAAGTTAAAACTCATATTGTGAAGCCCGCCATATTTATTAGTATTGGCGCTAATTAAGCAATGAGATTGAGAGCAGTTACTTGTTGGAAGAAACCCGCATACCATATATATACACGACCGCTCATCAATTCTTCGAAAAAAAGAGTTGAATACTACAAACAATTAGGTGAGGTGAGGTGAGGTGCTTACTACGAAGGTTCTATAAAGTCAATGCTACTATTATCCTTTCTATTGAGGGATTCCTCAAATGATTTCTTTCCGGGACACCCTTTAAGGTTCTCAAAGATTTTCAAGCAAATTGAAAATTATGAAGGCATTTAATTGGGACTAACAAAATAGACGAACACGGTGCTTCAAGAAATTGCTATAATAACAACCATCTATATATACAGATATATATATATATATATATATAGCATTTTCTTGAATATGAGAACATGACATTGATAAGGACGGTATATATATACATGATCTGAGTGTACAAGAGAGCTGATCATACTGTTTTAATAAGAGCAAAGGTTCTTCATCACCCTCTTCCACAAGTTCAGAGAAAACTTATCGAAAGTTCCTAGAAGTTAACACCTTCTATTCATTCATGCTTCCCTTGATCCTTAACTCATGAGCTGCATCTAGTTCAGGTTGCGTTTTTTCAGTCGGTTATTTAGTATAATATTGACATATTGGTCGTCAACTGCTTTCTTGTTGACAGAGTTTCTTCTATTATTTAGTTAACGTTCTTTTCGTTGCCCTTTATTTATTTTAAACAACCTCTAATTCTATGAAAATAATTATGTAAGTAGAAATAGAATGTACTTGCCCACTCCTACGGGGACTGAGGAATGTATGGGAGGACCGCAAGTAGCTCCTTCTTATATGTAAAGCCTTAAATATTAATATCTTTGCTATTTTGGGTCATTCCACCTATAAATTCTTATAAATATACCACCTCATTAGCCAGTGTTACATTTTGTGTAGTTCACGTACTGTTTTACATTAGCTCATCTATTCTGTGAATTCCTTTCTCTAGGCTGATGCTCCCGTGATCAATCGTTTTTTTCGTAAGTTCTATTATTTTCAAATAAAAAGGAATGTTGTTATTTACTATAAATTTCTTTTAGAGTTCTGTCAATGCATGAGAAGAAATTGAAGTTGATCTGTTTGAGTGTGTCCAGAACAGCTTTGTTCATCTTGTATCGGTGTTCGCATGGAGATATTTTACATAGGTTCCTCCATTTGGCCTTAAGTTAGTGAATGGAATTCTCACTGGCAATATTTGATTTAAAGGGAGGATGTGTTTTTCTCCATTTAATAAAACCAGAAATACCTTTCTTCTCCTTCTGTGGTATACCTTGATAACTTTTTTGTTTACATCAAGAAATTCAGCATGTTTACTTCTACAGGTTTAAATAGAGAGATTCCAAGATGATGAGAAATTCATTAGTCCTCTTAGTGGGACTTGTGTGCCTTTGCTGCTGTGCAGAAGGGACAAAAGTTAAAATAAAAGCACAGCACATGAAATACAAGAACCCTAAAGAGAAAATCAATGTTCGCGTAGAGGACCTTCTAGCCCGGATGACACTAAAAGAAAAGCTTGGCCAGATGGCGCAAGTAGACCGTGGAAATATCACAGCCAAGGTCATGAAGGAGTACAATATAGGCAGTGTACTGAGTGGTGGAGAGAGTGTGCCGCGAACGCAGGCTACTGCGCGGGATTGGATAGACATGATTAACAAGTTTCAGAACTGGTCACTTGCAAGCCGGCTTGGAATCCCTATGATTTATGGCATTGATGCAGTTCATGGCCACAATAACGTTTACAAGGCCACAATGTTCCCGCATAATGTTGGACTTGGAGCTACCAGGCAAGTGATTCTTTGATGCATCCACACCCAAAACCAATAGAAGGAAAATTAAAAACATTGATGACAAGTATAATCAAAATGGCTTTGAGAATTGAATCCTTACCTATGTAAATCCTAGCTCATTTTCCCATCCTCCCTCAGCGCTTGTGCTAGTAATGATGTTTCAAATTGTATATGACAATTTCAGGGATCCAGAACTTGTGAAGAGAATTGGTGCTGCAACTGCTCTTGAAGTTAGAGCTACTGGCATTCAGTATTCATTTGCACCATGTGTTTCAGTATGATTTCCATTCTTTGAACAACTAATTTAGAGTGAAGTTGCAATGGTTTTCTAGTAATTGAAGCATGGAATGGTGGTCTTTATCCCATTCCCAGACTACTTGAAAGAAAAAAAAATCTTGGAGCTTATATGATGTATACAATGAATAGGTCTGCAGAGATCCGAGATGGGGTAGATGTTATGAGAGTTTTAGCGAGGATCCGAATATCGTTAAACAAATGACTGATTTCGTAATCGGATTGCAAGGTGAAATTCCAGCTGGTTCACCAAAGGGCGTTCCTTACGTCGGTGGAACGTAAGTAAAACTGATATGTGTGTTTAGATGATGAACTTTTTAATGTCACAAATGTTTTACTCATTCTTACCTTTCTCCTCTCCGTAAAGTTTTTCTTTATGAAATATATGTAGGGATAAGGTAGCGGGCTCTGCAAAACACTATGTGGGTGACGGCGGCACTACCAAGGGCATCAATGAGAATGACACTATCATTGATTGGCAAGGATTGTTGAACATTCACATGCCTGGTTATCCCGAAGCCATAGCCAAGGGTGTAGCCACTGTCATGGTGTCCTACTCCAGCTGGAACGGAGTGAAGATGCACGCTAACTATGACCTCGTCACCAAATATCTCAAGGACACCCTTAAGTTTAAGGTACAGAGCAACGGTAAAGTTCATTAAAATTCGAAGAGAACATGGTTAACAAATTTATGCATCGAATTTTGATCACCAAAATGATGTGGCAAAGTTTCATTTATCTAAACTTGTCAAGAACACTTTTCAGTTCAAATTGTTGTGAGACTACTATAGAATGAGATTCGATAAATTGACACGAATGAAGCACTAACTACCATGCTGTTGTTCTTAATTTTCAGGGCATTGTCATCTCTGACTGGCTGGGTGTGGACAAAATAAGCAATCCCCCCTTTACAAATTATTCTAACTCAGTCCTTCTTAGTATTCAAGCTGGTCTAGACATGGTCAGTTGCTATCTTATCAATGCAAAGAAAAAACCTAATAAAAAAGAGAGCACTCTTCTGATACTGGAACTGCATTGTAATGTTTTACAGATCATGCTTCCCTACAATTATATAGACTTCGTCAAGTTTCTAACTGAACATGTGAACAACAAACGTATTCCCATGAGTCGTATCGATGATGCAGTTAGGAGAATTCTGTCAGTCAAGTTCATGATGGGTCTGTTTGAAAAACCCATGTCTAGTTATGAATATATTCCCCGGCTTGGATGCCAGGTTTTGATCACTCACGCTGGAGCTTCTAAAAAGAATTTTGTGCTTGAGTTAAAAAAATGAAACCAATAACATAATTTTATTGAGGTCCTAAAATGAATGTTGTTCATGATCAAATCCAGGAGCACAGAGATTTGGGAAGGGAAGCTGTAAGGAAATCACTTGTCCTGTTGAAGAATGGCAAAAGACCAACTGCACCATTGCTGCCACTCCCTAAAAAGGCCAACAGGATTTTAGTTGCTGGAACTCATGCCAACAATTTGGGCTATCAATGTGGTGGTTGGAGTCTTACTTGGCAGGGAGTTAGTGGCAACAACCACACTGTTGGTATATATATATATATATACACACATCTATATATATCTGCTCTGTGTCTCTAAATTCTGTTCATGGTTCACTCTCTCATTTGTGTGATACAGAAAGATTGCACGGTGACTTTTTCGGAGTGTGAATAAAGTTTTCAAATACTTTAAAAAAAAACTCATGATCCTGTTTTTGAAACAGGAACCACCATCCTAGGTGCCATAGCAAGTGCAGTGAACGAGACCACAGAAATTGTCTTCAGTTTAAATCCTGACCCAAATTTTGTCAAGGCAAACAAGTTTGATTACGCCGTAGTTGCTGTTGGTGAGCTTCCTTACGCTGAGACAAAAGGGGACAGCGTAAATTTGACAATTGCAGAACCAGGTCCAAGCATTATCACCAACGTATGTGGCGCGGTCAAGTGTGTTGTTATTGTAGTATCCGGCCGTCCAGTTGTGATTGAGCCCTACCTTTCGTCGATGGATGCTCTTGTGGCTGCATGGTTGCCTGGAACTGAAGGCCAAGGAGTGGCTGATGTTCTGTATGGTGATTATGGATTCACTGGAAAGCTTCCTAGGACTTGGTTCAGGAGAGTAGATCAGCTCCCTATGAATTTTGGTGAAAAAAAATTATGATCCCCTCTTTCCCTTTGGTTTTGGACTTACAACGCAGCCGGTTAATAATGGCGTTAAGCCAAGTCGGGCGAATTAGTAGTGTTATTATATCCTCTCTCTTTCTTGTCTTCTCATTTCATGCCAATAAGCTGGTGGTGATTGGCAGAATGGCTCAGCCATACAATTTTGGAAATTCCTTTCGTTTTGTATTTTTGGTATTACTTTGTTATTGCTTATTTGCATATCTGAAGTTTTTGCACTCAGGTCTTTCAACTCCCATGACTCCAATGTGTCTTGGTTTTTGTTTTTTTTTTTGTTTTTTTTATCCAAAGGAAAGAACTTCATTCAACAGAAAATGAATACAAGTAGTAATGAAAAGGATGCAAAAATGTGGCCTCGTTAAAATTTTGCCTTTAAAAAAAACCCCAACGGAGGAAAGTCAAGGAAAGAGAGTTAGAAATAATTTAAAAGAAAGAATCAGAATCAGACATTTCCATCAAATTGCTCATACAAACCATCTGGAATCAAAATGAGAATCATGATGGTTCCCAATGAATTAAAGCTTACTCAAGTCACTAACGTCTAGGGAATTAGATTGAGAGGGAGATGGGTTAATTTGCTTTTATTGCTGGGTGTGGCTATGGGCCCAACGGTAACTTCGGTTTGCAGTGGTAGAGGGTTTGGCCATATATTGGCCTTGTGATCAACTAAATGAGTTTTTAGCACTTGACTCAAGCAGTAGGGTGGCACTAGCTACTAACTAGGGCACCTCATAGAGCTCTCTACTACAAACTAGATACTAGATTTTAATGGAGCTTGCCATCTTCCCGGAAGAATGCCGGGGGCTGGTTGGAGCTAGCGGTACATTTCGTCATGAGCATGGAGGTTTTAGGGTAGTGCTATGGCTTATCCCTTACCTAGTGATCACTATATATCCTCCCTGTCTCATCTGTATGGCCTTTGCTTTGCTTTACTCGGACTCTGAATGCAGGTTTTGCCAAGTTGGCGACAGAAGTATTTCTCATGAAGTTATTAGGGGACGAACTGAGCTTCAATAAGCCACATCTCATTGTGGAGGAACACTCATAAGCTGCAAAGATTACATACACACCCTTCATTTTCCCCCTCTGCTAACTCTAACCCTCTTTTCCCTCCTTTAGGAATCGATTGGAGTAGAATGATGAATCTATTTCTTCACCTCGTTGTCAAATCTTTTATCAGAGATTCAAACTTTTTGTTTCACTTGATCATTTACCAACTAGGTCAAACTTAATCAGAGAACAATTTTTATTAATCGTCATTCACTTATATATATACATACATATATATGCTTGCACAAACGTGCTCAAATGAATTTGCATGATTTATTTTGTGCAGCAACGTACATCTGTAATTCAACGTTTCATATGAGTTGGTTGTGCTAGAATCAGGGACAAAAATAAATAGTGTCCAAACACATTTTACCAACTAGGGTTGTTGAAACATCTTGTAAAGCTTTCCAAGGAGAATGCAAACGAAATCAGAAACATCATGTAAACCTGAATTTCCTTTAGATTATATAATTACAAAATTAGTGAAACACCCAATTCTAGACATGAAACTATAATAAAACCCTAGACTATTTAAAACATATAAACACACCCAAAATAAACCCAAAAACCAACAGCTGTCAATTTTTGGATTTATTTTCTATGTTAGATTACGGTTTTGACCTTTTGGTCTGAATTCTTTGAAACAGGCCCAAAATTCGCCAGCTAGGATAGGAATATTTGAAAATTTACGTTGGTGACCTCATAACAGAAACCTGTTTGGCAGCCTCAGCAGATCGAATATTCCAAACGAGCTTCGTTCAGTTCTTCGAACGAAGCGAGCTTCGTTCACCTCTTCGAACGAAGCTCAGAATGATGTGGTTTCAGATCTTCTTTTTGGATTCTTCTGAGCTCAGTATGGTGTAGATTGGAGTTCTATTGCTTCAATTTTTTGTTCTTTGCTGTTTGATTTGGTAATTTTTGGATTGATATTGCGCTGCAAGAGACTCGATTGGAGCTTGGTGCGATCTGTGATCTTCGATTTTGAGGTATTTCGATTTTTTCTTGTGAATTCATATTCGTTTTTTGAGGATTCGATTATATTGTAGTCTGATTTTTGGTGATTTCATGTTCGATTAATTAAGTTGCTGATTAGGTTTTCGTTTCTTTTTGTTTATAATTTGGATTGATTTCAGATTCGTTTTGATTGTGGATTTGCTCTTGTGTTTTGATTTGAGGTGTGGTGAAAACTTTTGTGATATTCGATTTGGTTTTCATATTAATTGAGGTTTTTTTCAGTTGAATCTGAGTATATTCGTGTTTTTTCTGTTTATGCACTATTGGTTTTTGAGTCGACTATAATTCACTGTTAATACCCGGCATCCACTGTTATTGCTAGTAGTCATTTTTGTTTTGTTTGTTGTTTTTTTGTATAGATATGGATGATTCGAGAGTGGCAAAGTGCACCTATGGTGGTGGAACTTTAATGCTTATTTTGTCTTCAACTACTACTTTTGATTGGCTGTCCAACGAGTTGTGTAGTAGGTTCAAGCTGAAGTTAGGTCATTTTGAGTTGAGGTACTCTTATACGGATTGCTCCAATTGTTTATTGGAATTGGATGATGATTTGAAAATCATGTTTATGGTATGTGGACTGACGAAGGATCAATTAATTCACATTGCTGTTAGGGATAAGGCTGTAGTGAATTATGTTCAAACTGTTAATACGAACATAATTGCTTCTCCTTTTTTGTTGGAGGCTGTTCCTAACAATTACAGTTTTGCACAAGATGAGGATACATGTAAATATTCAATTCAAACTGGTAGTATTGTTGATTCAAGTGCAGCTTCTTCTTCTTCTTTGAGTATGGATTTTGATGGTATTAGCAGTGAGTATGGAAATGAATATTTAGGCAAATATGGTAGTTGTGGAGGTCGTAAGTATTTGTCTACTGATTGGGAGGGTTATATTACTCATGAGGGTCAGAAGTTTGAGGGTGGAGTTTGTGAATTCCGTGATAAGTTGGCTAAGTACTCGATTGAGAATGGTTTTAAGATGAAATATTTGAAAAATGAGCCTCGTCGTGTTACTGCTGTGTGTGCTAAGAAGGAATCAAATGGCTGTGAGTGGCATGTGCATGCTGTTAAGTCGAATGTAAATGGATTTTTTTATATTAAGAACTTAAATAATGCACACAGTTGCAGTGGTTTGATCCGTGAGAAGAGAAATAAGGCAATGGGGTCTCGTTTGGTGTCTTCAATTGTCAAAGATAAGGTTCGTAGCAATCCTTTGGTAAGGCCTATTGAGCTGATTACTGATTTGAAGGAGAATTATGGATTGGATATCCCTTATCATGTTGCGTGGTATGGGAAGGAGTCGGCTACTAAGGATTTGCATGGTGATGAGGAGTTGTCTTATGCTCACCTGCCTTGGTATGTGAATGTTTTGAAGGCCAGCAATGTCGGATCTCATTGTGTGCTTGACTGTGGCGAGGATGGTTCTCGTTTCCAGCGGATCTTTATATGTTTTAAGGCCTCCATTGATGGTTTTCGGTGGTGTAGGCCTATGCTGTTCATTGATGGTACTTTCGTCACAAACAAGTACAAGGGTACTCTTCTAGGAGCTACTGCAAAGAATGGAAATAAAGGTATGTAATGTAAATGCTGTAGTTGTTGACTTCCATTGAGTGGTATGAACAGTGTAGTTATGCAAATGTAAATGCTGTAGTTGTTGACTTCCATTGAGTGGTATGAACAGTTTCTATACTGTTCATACCCTGCATCTGAGTATTTTTATGCATTGTAGTTTTACTCTGCTTTATGTGGTAACACTGTTACAGTTCAAACTAACTAATATAGTTCTCTGTTTCTTGTAGAAGTATTCCCTTTTGCCTTTGCGATTGTATCCGGTGAAACTGTGGATAATTGGAGGTGGTTTCTGCAAAGGATATCTGAAGTCTTGGTGGATGAAGGTAGGCAACTTACATTCATTTCTGATAGGCATGGTGCTATTATCGATGCTGTTAGGACTGTTTTTCCTGCTTCTCCCCATGGTTTTTGTCTATATCATTTGAAAGAGAACTTGAAAAAGAAGTATCCGCATGCTGTTGGTTCCTCTTTCAAGGATCATATTTTATGGCTTTTTTGTAAGTTGTTGTATGCACCGACTGTTGAGGAATATCAAGATACGTTGAAAAAATTAAGAGATGATGGCGGTTCAAAAATAATTGATAAGTTTTTGGCTGATCTCCCTGTCCAAAATTTTGCTAATGCATTTTTTCCGGGAAAGAGGTATGGGGAGGTTAGTAATGCCTTGTCCGAGTCGTTTAATTCATGGATTAAGGATGTGCGTAGGCTTCCAATTTATGAGATGATTGACACTGTTAGGATCAAAATGATGGAGATGATTTCTAGGAGGAAGCTTGCATCCGAGAAATGGAGTAGTGTTTTGTGTCCTGTTATTGAGGATGAGTTGAAGAATTTAGCTGCAAAGGGTCGTCATTGGAGGATATGTCGCGCGAGTGAATCTGTTTTTGAAGTTCATGCTGATTTGAGTGTTATGGTCAATTTGGACGAGAGGTTTTGCTCCTGTTATCAGTGGCAATTGCTTGGGTTTCCGTGTCAGCATGCGATTCAAGTTATCCAACATTCCGGGTTATGTTTGTACAACTTTGTGGATGAGTATTACAAGGCAGACTTTTATAGGGCTACTTATGCAACCCCTATATTTCCCATACCTGATATTGAGAAGCCTCCTCCTGCAGATGTTTTTCTTCTACCTCCTCATACAAGAAAGCCTCCGGGACGACCTCCGACAAAGCGCTTCAAGTCAAGCAGTGAAACTAAAAGGCAGGTGAAGTGCAAGAGATGCGGTTCTTGTGATCGTCATAATAGGAGGACTTGCAAGGTTCCTATTTGATGTAAAGGTTCTGAGTATAAAGACTTGAATGAGAGTAGTTAGTTTTTAACTAGTTAAAGTGCTATGTGATTGAT